TAACAATTGCTGATTTTAAAAAATCCACTTTCTTACACGCTATTTTGATTTTCGATTTTCGATCGGCTTTATCTTTGTACAAGAACTACTTTGAGGATAATACTGCGTAGTTTCATCATAAGTGCTTGGAGAAAAATATGGAACTAAGAATAGAATTAAGCAATATATATCCTCAAAGCAGCTATTTTATTCAGCTAAAGCCAATCGGTGGACAAAAACGCAAAAATATCGACGTTTAATTGCAAAAATCACATTTCTGTAGGACAAATCTCAGCAATCTCACTCCTCTTTCCTTACTGCCAAAATGCGCGAGGACAAAAAGTACAAAGGTTCCGACGAGAGTGAGAATACTATATAATACCTATACTGTGATATTTATATGTAGCCAAGAAATATTTAGCTACAATAAACTTACATCAATAATACACACCTGTACAGCAACAGTTAAAACTCAGCAATTTTTTAAAATTTGACAAATATCGTTAAACGATAGTTTTTAAAAAAGTACAAATGCACTTGTTTTTGGATTTGTCTTCTTCAATAGACGTCGAATTTACGTCATGCGCAAAAATCGCGTCTTGGAGTTTGCGTTTCCAAGACGCTGTAAGCGTTCATAATGACGTCCGGTCAACTTTATCAAACACGTATGGTGTTTCAACAAGCGTTATATAAAATTATGAAAACAAAACTTACCTTAAATATGTAGTCAAGGCATTCAGTCTTTTAAAGCCGAAAAACGGCGTCGAGGTCAGAATTTATTACAGAAAGTTTGCAGATGCAATCAATATTGCAATCAACTTATGCTATGAATATTGCACGAGCAAGCCATGTGCGACAAAAAATTTGACCTTTAACATTGCTGTTATATATTTATATATAGCCAAGACATATTTACAATAAACTTACATCAATAATCCACACCTATACAGTAACAGTTGTAACTCAGCAAATTTTAAAATTTGGCCAAGTATCGATAAGAGATGGTTAGTTTTTCAAAGAAACGTAAATGCACTTGGTTTTCAAATTTGACTTGTTTGTTTACGTTGAATTTATGTCACGTACGCAACATTATGTCACATGACATTTGCATTCCCAAAACGCTGTAAACGTCATAATGACGTCTGGTTAACGTTATTTATAAGTATGTTTTTTCACCAAACGCTATAACTATGTACAAACAAACTTTCCTTTTAAATGTGGTCGAAGCATTCAATCTTTCAAAGCCGAAAAACGGCGTTGAGGCCAGAATTTATTACAGAAAGCAAAATTGTCACAAGACTAGGAGACGATACTGCTTTCACAATGGAAATATCAAGCGATAAAAATAAGCGTGTACAAATCGCATTTGTATAGTCTAGGCATTTATGAAGTTTAACTTAGACGTGAGGAAAAAAATTGCATTGTGTTATACAAAGAATCTATGCTGTGCATTTCAGTTTTCACATGCGTCTGTCAATATGCTCGTTTAAAAACATGAACATTTTTCTCATTGCACGGACATTATCCAATAACAGACAAAAAAAAATTGACATTTGACTTTGCATATGAGCAATATATTTACGGAAAATTTTTATCAATAATCCATAACCAATATGGCAAATTTCAAATTTTAAAATCCACGTCATATAGAGGTCAAGCAGAACATCGATTACATTTGCATAGAATTTGTAAACGTTAGTCATGACGTCTGATCAACGTTTTCTAAAAGATATGCGTCTTCATGAAACATGATAGCCAAAAAAAAAGAAGTCAAATACATGTGGTGGAAGCCTTTGCTGTGGACAGTCTTTGCTGTGGAAGGTGGATGTCAAGTTATTCGTTTCGTATAAGTATTCATATGTGCGCAAGATGATCAACTTACGAATGGTAAAGAGAACATCGACGTTACTTAAACACTTTTACCAGTTAACTTTGGCAAACGAAGGATGGAGACCTTGTATAAATGATGTTGATTGCCTATTAGAACACGAGCATGCCTCGATATATGTTGTGGAGTCACAAAAGAAACCTGTTGCAACAATTTCCGCAGTAAAATATGGCTCAAACGTTATGCATTTCGGCTCTTTCATCATCCACAAAGAGTATCGAAAACTGGGCTACTTTGAAAGTATTATACAAGTTATGAGAGAACGCCATGATGAAGAGCCAGGAAGTACAATAAAAGTGTGGTACGCTCTAGCTTCACACGTTGAATTTCTAAAGAAGATGTTTGGTGCTGTTTGTCAATGGCCAGTTGGCATTTACGATCTCAATGTAAGAAGAAGTTTAGACAAACTTCAAGGTTATTCAAGCCATTTTCAGTTGAATCATATCGATGTAAATAACATGCACGACGTGCTCGTTTATGACAACAAAGTGTTCGGATACACACGAGAAAAACTTTTGAGAATGTGGTTAGGTTCGCCTGGTACGCATGCCCGAGTAGCGTTCAACAAAGATGGAAGAATTTTAGGCTACGTTGTTGTGAGATTAGCCTTCTTCCCTGAAGAAGGTTACAAACTTGGTCCACTTTATTGCGAAGACATCGAAGTAGGAAAATCCCTTATAAAAAGTGTCTTCGAAGATATCAACGATCACGGCTTTTCACGATCGAATTCTGTCATCGTCGACAGCCCAACGGGACGGAATGCCAAAGCAAAAGAGTTGATGGAATTTCTAGATGGTAGATACCTTGGGGATATCTATTACTTAACAACAAACGGTCTCCCTAATGCATCTTTCGATCAATGGTTTGCTATTTTTTCACCTGCATACGGATAGAGATTAAAAATTATGTGGACAATCTTATGGAAGATCAAATTCTTGGACAGAAAGAACGATATCATTATATAACGAAATGTGATTAGAATGCGTCATATCATTTCTATTAAGGACATGGACATTTTTGACAGTGAAGCTTGTTATAGCACACTGAATAATTACGCCTTTGTAATTTGTATCAACTTATCAATTGTAAATGAGAAGGAAGAAAAATTGATAGTATACTACAGCAAACGGCCTGTGATACAATTTAGTTTTTGTTGATCACTGTTTCTTTATTTCTCCGCATGCGTTGTAGAAACAACGACAATAATGGACATCTACTGTTCTTCTGTTAGAAAATTCCGATTCTTGTATTAGTCATGTGGCCACTTTCTGCCATTTTTGTTGCTAATTTTGACATTCGAATTATTAAGTACATCATGTGATTATTTTAAGCGCTTTTGTATTTTGAAGTGAATATTGGTTTTGTAGGGAACATAAGTTTACAAACATCGATCATTCGACTGCTACTAAAAGTAATTACGTACAACTTGGATCAAAGACTATAGAAAAAGACTTTCTTATGAAGACCTTAAGACTGACGTTAATGGCAACTCCCATTTTCAGGCAACTCTACATAATTTCAGCCACTAAAAATAATTTCAATTATAAATTGTAAATACAACTTAGAATTTATGGAATCTGCGTGTTGTGATTATTATTCTAAGTTAATATGACATCTTATATATTTATTTACAAACGCCCTCAATTTATATTTCAATTGGCTCATAATCTTCAATGATGGAACACATTTGACCTTTGTCAAACTCTCATACCTAGAAAGGATAATAGTTTGGCGATGTCCTTCCCAGGCCAAAATGCCGAAAGAGAGGAGAAGACGCATTCGCAGGCAGAAAAAGAAGAGGAGAGGCTAAAGTTTAGCATTGAGTGCAGGGCTTTAAACGATGGAGCTGTGAGACTAATTGGACTAGATGTAAAGGAGAAAAGTAGATATCTAATGAGTTTAAGAGACCTGGTGGAAAGACAACACGGATAGAATTTCGTAGAGCAGGATTCAAACTGTATTATTTTGCTGCCGATGGGAAGAGAAATGGAGTTGTATTTTTCGTGAAGAAGCAGCTTGTTAATATGTTCTAGAGGCTTGAAGTTAAAAATCAAAGGTGTAATATTTGATGTAGTAAGTGTTTATGGCCCACAGGTAATATGTGAATCAGAAGAGAATCCGAAGTTCTAGAGTGAGCTAGATGAAGTGATACAGAGCACCACTGGTGAGAGGTGGGTGATTGCTGACTTCAACGGGCATGTTTGTGCAGGAAACAGACGTTACGAACGAAGAAGAAATGGGCAGATTAGGTATTCATGATAGGGAAGCTAAAGGATAGAAGGTGGTCAAAAACAATGGAAAACGCTTTGGGTGAATATTTTTTCCTAGACGAGGCGGACCTATCAGACTAAGAAAAGAAATTTAATAATAGAATGGGTCTCATTTCAATTACGACATAGACTGTTTAACTAACTATAAAAGCTTGTTTGTGGACACTGATCTTATAGTAATTGTATAGTAAGTCTCTCGCGTGATTCTTTTAATGAGAAGTTTTAAGTAACAAGACAGAATAAAAAATTGGTGAATTTCTGCTCGTGCTATCAAAGGTAAGTCGCCGTCGGCTTGTATAGTTCTAAAACTATTTGATTTAGCTGGAACCAACACGATTGCACATGTACATTTCATGGATTTTTCCACGCCTGTGCTTTCATGGTTAGGCTTATGCGCAATGCTGTTTGCAATCTACTTTGTTAGACGAAGGTCGATAACCGGTAACCTTTCTAACGGTCTAACCATAAGGGTTCTACAATGCGCTACTTAAACCATATAACAATAACTGATTTTAAAAAATCCGCTTTTTTACACCGAATTTACATGAAAACTTATCTGTGTGACAGAGAAATGAGATAAATTTATGAATTGATCGCTTATGTAATGCCTAACAAAGCCGCGAAACTACTTCTTCAGCTATCTTGAGAAGAAACAAAGGAAGTTATCGCGTCTATTTGTGCAATATTCGAGATAGCAATATCGCCTTCATGCACAGGGTGTTTTCACAATCAAAATGACCTTTCATGGATATTTGTCTCAGGCATGACATCTGAAGATAAATTAGCTTGCTTCCCTTTTATAGTGTACTGTGAACACATTTAAATGCTCGCGACAATATAGCGTACGTTATTTCAAGCCGCATCTTGCCTGAAGATACACGTGAAATATTTCGTTGCCAGATTGAATTAAGTCATTGGAAACAACAAGTACCGCAAAATAGTGAAAATATGTCGATGCGAATTTTTCTTTTATGTTTTGTTTTTGGAATGGCATACAGCTTTCGCCTCGTGACTGTAGAGAAAGGTAAGAATGAGCAACGGAAACGCTGCGCACGGGAATGGCCATGTTGATGAGATAACATAGATTACGCGAAAGCGTAGCCAGCCCGCAAAGGTTTAGTCCTGGTGTGTAAACTCCAGACCATTATAAATCATTCAATTCTTTCGGAATCTATTGTGTATTCACAGTGAGTAACACAAACATATTTACATACCAGCGCTAAAAAAGCGGGCTGGCTACGTCAACTTTTAGTAGCTAGTACAACAAGATGTATTGATAATTGATCAAAAATTCTCCAAAAGCAATTAAGCTGCTGCACTTGATAACCATGACAATAGGTAGAAAACAAGAAACATGCATGGCCGTTGTCAAGAAAATCGTTACTATACAATATACATCATGCTTGAAAATGGGTTGCTAATGCGACAAATATTAACTGTTAAATCATAAATAATCAATTCTTAAAAGGCAAAAACAACATGCCATTGATAAAGGAAGGTAAAAAACCGGACTTGCTTTGCAGCTGATATATTTTCATGACTAATGATGGTCATAGGCAAAAGTGCAATGTTAGGAGGTTAGTTTTTAAAGGATTAGGGATTTGAAAATATCAAGCAATATTACGATTTTGGACTACAAAATATGACACTATATGCAATACTACCAAATTAATGTCATAGACAACACGAAACAGACAAGCATTAGAACAAACATGTAGCAACTTGCACGAGACTTTAGAGGTGTCTTTTTACTGGTTTCGTCAATATGCATATAATTGCTTTCTCTACCAGCGTTTTCATGGGCTTTCGAAATTGTAATAAAGTTTTATTTTTCTGGTATTTTTTTGATTTGTTGACTGCCTCAATATTTTTTACTGGAAAATATCGCAAAAATTAACATTCCGCGTGACGCTCTTAACGAGAAGTGTGAATTTAAATTTTACAGCATCGGGACCTTGCGTGAGAACACGCAAAAAATGTTGAAACTGGTGATGGAGGGCAACCTAGATGTCCACGTTCCTGTGTGCACACCAAATGGTTACTTTAAACCAGGATTTCGCTGCACCTGGTTTGCATGTTACTGCTACGATAAATATGGAAAAATTAACTTTAATGTTGATATAATCAGCTGTCGTCGCTCATATAATGTCTAAGACATTGACTGCTTTGTAATGTACATATGTACGTGCTATATAAAGATTAAGACGTAGCCATCTTATATAACAAAAGACGATCGACGCCATATTAATGTATATAACGGAAACACGGGTGAAAATAAAACATGTCGATGATGAACTTCAAACAATAAACAGCTATACGTAGTTTTAGTTAAATTGTTGACCGTTATGATGAATGAAAACGATCATGTAGCTGACTGTTGCTCACATCATCAGATGGTAAAGAAACGGAGTCGCAGAACACTAGTGTTAACGAATAACGATTTAAGTGAACAACCTTACCCCCCGTAGGCATTCTTCAAAACACGTATATATGTGTTCATTTGATCTGAAATTCATTTGTAGTTTTAAAGGCAGCATAAGCAAGCAAACTTACTTCTAGTATACTGAAGGCGGTGAGACGAACGACATAATATCAAAGATAACTATACATTTTATTTCAACTTTTCGACTTATAAAATGCTTACGTTATTTGGAGTTATTGCGTTGTTATGTATTTTATTAAAATACTCAGTGGTTCCCGAAATCAAAATCAACTAACTTATATCTGAAGTTACGGTAACGAGCACAAACTCAAAGTGAAATCTCAAGACAGAAATTATTAAATTTAATGCACAATCTAATCCTGCATAATTTGTTTTGCAAACATAATCAACAATTATTGCGCTGTTTCATCGATAATAAGGGTAGTAGGTGTTTAATCTTTTGAATATGTATGTGTGATATGTGAAATTTTTATTCTTGGGGAGGTCCATGTGGTCGAAAATAAAAATCATATTTTAAGATGGCGTCCAAATTAATACAATGGAAAATTCAAAAAACAGAAAAACGTATTGTTTCTCTACATATAACAATTTGCCAGCAAATTGCCTCGTGTGACACTTACGCCATATTGCATCGAGAAAAAAACAAGATTAAAATATTTTTGCAATCAACAAAAAATCTATTTTTCAATAACGAAGAATATAGTTCTACCATAATATGAATAAAACAATAGCAATTTGAATGTAAACGTTGTATGTTGCCATCCAAGAGATTTTGGCTTCCATTCGAGAAAAATTATTGCAAAAGCCGTGTCCTACACAGGTTTGTAGTCAAGCTTAGTCTCCAACTTCTTGTTGTCGGACACCTTTCGTACTGCTTTCATGAAATCTTCTTGAACTACAAAATCCCGCTCATCACGGATGGCGAACATTCCTAAGATTGACACATATTTTCAATTTAGATCGGTTTTGATATGCATGGGGACACAACACGCGAGGAATTTAACAGATGAAACTCCTAAACATCGGTTTGGAATACACGAAACGAAATTTATAAGTCATTCGTAGTTTGTCAAAAATCGTGGCCAGAGATTTGCTAGGCGGAAAGCGAATTTTCAATATCAAAATTACAACCCACTGAGCCCAACATACAACTTTTAATACAGCCATTCCATTACAAAGAACTAGATAAAAGGTTTTTATTGATGACGTCATCAATAAAATTTCATTCACCACAGCTCTTTATAATGGTTCCATTAACAGTTATGTTGGGCTTTAATATCAATACTCAATATTCGCAGTTTATGGGATATCCTAAAGATAATATTCCATTGCGCATGCCTTTTGCAAATGTACGTAGTGTGGTACGTAATTTAGGTGAATAGCAGTAAGGCCCAAGGTCCAATCAGCTTAGATATCTTGGCGGTCCAGTCAGATTATATATCTTGGCGGTCCAATCAGCTCGGATATCTTGGCGGTCCAATCAGCTTAGATATCTTGGCGGTCCAATCAGCTTAGATATCTTGGCGGTCATGCATTATAGGAGGACGAGGAGATAATTTTACGACAGGATGGGTATTCAAAGTCAACAAATTACATTGCGAGAAAAGGACATTTAAACCAAAGCTTCCCCGAGGCATTTTTCAAATGGTTTTCATAAGGTCGACCAACTCAAGGTCATGAAACTGTCTAACTAAACTAAGCTAAACAATAAAGTGCAAATAACACGCATACCCGATTCGGTGCAAACGTTTCGAAGATCTGCGCCATTAAAACCGTCCGACAGCTTTACGACAGCCTCATAATCTTAAAGAGACGATATTATGGTTAAAAAACTATTTATTTTTATTTACAGGCATCATAATTCAGAAAAAAACAACACAGAAACAAAGACATACGAACTTTACCTATTTCTCCATGCTTAGTTATGGGGCCAGCATGAATTTTCAAAATGTCCATTCGAGCTTGCTCATTTGGCAAAGAAATTTCTGAAAATATGAAAATAAATTGTATTCAAACGCTGAAGCCAGAACCGTAAAGAGAAATGTTCTATTCTCTGGTAAGCGGAGTGCGGACACATTTTCGGATCCTTGACAAATTATTCTATCCCTTATATAATCTCTCACAAGCAGACACCTCCCGTAAGCGTACACCAAGTTGTGGTACCAGGGTGTCCGCAGACACCGTAAGCGTACACCAAGTTGTGGTACCAAGGGCGTCCGCAGACACCGTAAGCGTACACCAAGTTGTGGTACCAATGGTGTCTGCAGACACCTCCCGTAAGCATACACCAAGTTGTGGTACCAAGGGTGTCCGCAGACACCGTAAGTGTACACCAAGTTGTGGTACCAAGGGTGTCTGCAGACACCGTAAGCGTACACCAAGTTGTGGTACCAAGGGTGTCTGCAGACACCTCCCGTAAGCATACACCAAGTTGTGGTACCAAGGGTGTCCGCAGACACCGTAAGCGTACACCAAGTTGTGGTACCAAGGGTGTCCGCAGACACCTCCAGTAAGCGTACACCAAGTTGTGGTACCAAGGGTGTCCGCAGACATCGTAAGCGTACACCAAGTTGTGGTACCAAGGGTGTCCGCTTACGAGAAGTTAATCGCCAATAATCTTTACTTCCGTTTATTATACGACAAGCGTCACTTCCGGCAAAATGGCGCACTTTGATTGGCTCAGAAACATTTTTGGCGGTCCATTATTTTCCCGTAATCGACCACAGTCATAAACGCGTAATTTTACTGTCAAATGTGAACAAACTTCGTAATGCAAACAGCAAAACGCAAAATAAACGAAACAAAAAAACATTTAAGAATGTGATTCGAAGGAAAAACACTTGGAACAGTTTGACTATCCAGACGATACTATTTGAAACGATTTATTTTTTATGGACGAAAACTAGAAAAGTGAAAGCCAACTTGGTGCACATAATGAGCGTAACTATTTTGCCTTGAGCGGAATACATGCCGTATAAACTTCTTACCAATTTTTCGATCGAGTCTTCCTGGACGTAACAAGGCGGGATCTAGAGTGTCTGGTCGATTTGTTGCCATGATCATTTTCACCTGAGCAACATTTTATGAAAAATTCAATAAAATAAAAACGCGTGCGGCGATTGGTCAATAGTTGTATTTACATTAGCCAGTGCAAACCGATCTGCCAGAATGAATCTGAGCTCAACACATCGATATTTTTACATACTATTTAATTTATATTTTTTGCTCCTCTAATGAGCAGTCCTACAGCTTATACGGAGTAGACAGTAAAAAGAAAACCAATTTTCAAAACAACTCAGGGCTTTCAATGGACACGTGTGAAGTCATCATGTACTGCGAGTCATCACATGAAGAATTTTTAACAACTTTTATGTACGCTATGAGCAAATAAACTTGCTTTCCATGATTGCGCATGCCTCGTCCTTTAAAAAACGTCAAACCAATTGCATGCACGGTTTTCACGTGACATGAAAAAAATCAAGAAAAAATTTTAAATTGTCATTTTACCTTGCCAAGCCGATCGAATCCATCCATTTGATTTAGCAACTAAGGAAAGCAAATACTTAACAATTAATAAACTACATGTACTTATCATTTATATACGTACGCAGCTAAAACACATTGACAAACATATAACCACAGCACACTTGACACTTCTAAGAAAAGTGAAAAAGGGATAGATCTACGATTGTTATATAGTGTGTAGGGTGGCAGGCAGCCGTATAGTGGATTAGATATCGGTGGCTACTTTTCGTTGAATTGAGTGCTCCATTGAACACAAATCACCATTGCTTTTGCTTAATTGTTTGATATATTAGTATTTTGTGGGAAACTGTTTACCCTTAACATGCACCCCCTATAGCCACGGTCAGAACGTGCAATTATTTAATAAGATATAAAGTACAGAAATACTATCATTATTAGTGCCATTATTTTTAAATTCAAAAGCAAAATAAACGATGAACTTCATGAAATAAAGATGCCGTTTGTTTTTTCTTGGGAGGCCATTTCTTAGACGCTTATTAAATAATCATATCATTTATGTCATGGAATGGAAAAGCTTCATTAAAAAATAAGTAATAAGGACTCTACCTCCATTAAAGTACGCTGAATTTCTCGGTCGGCAGATGTTCCTTCAGAAAACCGACGCCCACCTTAAAATTACGAGAGAAAAAAATCCTGTTTGACTTTTAAACGTAGAAACAAAAAGACAGTAAGTTATTTATTTCCGGTTAAATTGTCATGAAATAATGAGGATTCCCAGTTGATCGAAGCAGAAAGTAGCGACGAACATTAATTATTCAACTAATTATTACGAGTTTGATTAAAGTCATGCACAGGGAATTAAAAACAGCGCGGGTAACGTAAGAAAAAAAACTTGCATCCTTAACAGAAAGTTAGCACGATTTGTCCAAACAAATGCTGACCATAAAATTAATACTAGCTACTTTCACTGTTATATTTATAATTCACTTGAATTTGATAGACACTGACCAACAAGAAAATTTATCGTTATTGCCAAAGGGAAGCAAAGTCGTAAATAAGAAATATTTCATACCGATTGCATCAATTTCATCCATGAAAATTATACAAGGTTCGTGGTCTTTCGCATACCCTGAAGATATATCAATGACGATTCAAATAACTTTACATGAACAATGCCAAGTGGTTTTTTTTCAACTGGAAAAAATTTTATTTGCACCCTTGCTAAATGAGCTCATCAAAGTTGAAGGGACAATGAAACAGAGAAATATATTTTTTTAAATAGATAACTTCATAAATTGAAAAACAGCAAAAACAAGACAACTTTTACACCCACATACCGAACATTTCTCTGATTAATCTCGCACTCTCTCCAATGTATTTATCAACAATGGCACTTGACACGACCTAAACGTTACGTCAATGGTTCAACCATACATGCCAAAGAAAAATATTTAATTTCATACGTGGAAATGCTTTGAAACAATGTCGTCCTTACAGCCGGTCTTATATTTACATGGATTTCATAATCGAACTAAAGAGTTAAATTTTTCATTCATAATGTCATATGGACAAAACATAAATGCTTTTTTTACTAGGGCTTCCAAAAGTAATCCCAAGTTTCAAACTTGGTTTCGCGTCATTTCAAGAGATTACACAAATCACGCGTGACTGACACCAAGTCGTGGAACCAATCAGAATCTTTGTTTGATCGTTTCACGGCCACATGTGAGACTGCATTGCCGAGACTTTCGTTGTACTATTTGGCAACTCTTGGACTCGCATATACAACCAAACACTGTTCTCAAACACTGTTCACGCGTGAACGTCTGATAGGCGTCTTGTTTCATAATATTATCACGGTCATAATCATTATTAGCTACTTGCTCTATCCAAGGATTGCATTAAATGTTTTTTTTTAATTATTTATAATATATTGTAGAGAATAATTTCACCGGACAAATGCGTCGATGTTAAAAATCACTGCTATCAATATACAATCTTACTATCAATCCCAGTAAACTAAATGGAAATATTACACAAAGGATAGTAAAATAATTTTGACACAGATGGGAAGGAAATCATCCGAATAAAATCTTACAAATCGAATTGCTTTTAAGCTATTTTAAAATGTAAATAGATAGAAAAATTGGTTGCTGTAATATATTTTGAAGTGAACTAGATCAGCCACACCACAGATTCATCTAGCATAAACGAATGCATATAAAAAACCTTAAATATTCAGTGATCAACCATACGTACCTTCAAAAAATTACAATCCAATTGACTGGCCACAGCTTTTGCAAGTAGCGTCTTTCCGGTACCTAAAAAAAGGCAAAGCTTTTTGGCTTTCAAAGCAGTCGACAACGAAGAGCAGAATCCACAATGACCGCTGCTCAACTGTTCAATAATTGAACAGGCTCACATAAATAGTAAAGTAGTTGAGGTAATCTTCAAAAGCCAATCACACCTGGTGGCCCATACAACAAGCATCCTTTTGGTGGTTGAATGCCGACTCTCAAGAAAAGTTCTGGATTTGTGAGTGGTAGCTCAATCACCTAAATTAAACGGACAAAAATTGTTTACTTAACTTAAACTTTAACACGTGTAACTCACGGAAATGAGCATGACAATTGAGATTATTAGACAATACGTGACTCTAGAGTCTAGATTGACTGTTTTCAGTTCAATAGTCTGCAAGGAAAGTACATCAATTCGTTCACATTTAAAACACAGCAATGTCTGTTACAAAATGCATTTCACTAGTTGGAAAAAACGCAATTCTCTATTTTCAGGTTTGTATGAAGATTATTGCAGTCAAAAGTAAGGAAAGAGTACCACTCTTCAAACCAAATATTTCAATTCTTAAAACATAAGTTAATCTCATTGGGTAAAAATCAAGTTCAAGCAAAAATCAATTAATCAAGAAGACTGCCGAATAAAATAATTTTGCGAACTACTTTGTAGATAAACACCAAGCATTAAGATACATACGTGATCAAACATTTCTTATTGTTCATTTCTATTCAAGTGATTGTTCATTTCTACACATTAGCTAACATTAATTTCTTTAGAAATCAACAATTTTGCAGTAAGAAAACACAAAACATTACCACATTTGCAGGCTGACTACGTCAATACACGCCATCATGGAACTACATTATAGTTACTATTAAGACACAAAACATACGTAGTAGCATCACAAAGTGAAGTTTGCGATTAAACTAACTTATGTCGGAGGGTTGGTAATATCTCACCGTTACTAAAACGATGTAAATAAAACAAACATATACATCCTGCTCTATATGTACCTCGCGCAATTCTCGTATCTGTTCCCCCAGTCCGCCAACATCGGAATACTTAACGTCTCCGGGATCTTCATGGGTCATGTTGTACACAAGTGGATCCACCTCACGAGGCAAACTCCTGAAATTAAAAATAACCTACGTACAGGATCCAGTTGTTTATCATTACGTCATGAGGATGTTAGCAGGCTTTCACCCAAGCCGTATTTGAAATGTCAAATGCGCTATAGCTACAAGACGGTAAAGTGAAGGGATAAATGATGATGACAATAGGTACGGGAATATATCAAAAAAAAAAGATAAAGACAGTCCCGGGTACATATTTTCATAACGTCACAAAAAAGTTTGATCAAGCAGAGAAGGCGAAAAAATAAAAGAGAGATTTCAGCTAATCATAAAATTTCAATTTAAGAAGAAATGCAGTCTATTCTATTTTTGACAGTTCTATCGCACCTCATTATAGTCAACGTGGTCATGTCCAGTGCCACTCGAGTTCCAGCTTTTAACTTGCTCTTGTCCACCTGTAAAATATGATCTCACGAATTTCATTGAATCCTACCATGTCACAAACAAATGCCACAAACACATTCCAACAGGAATTTATCTCCAAACATATCTCTACACTTGTACAATTTCAACAGTAGAAAATTTTTCAAAAATATAACAGCGAATGATTCTTGACAGTGATTGGATGGTCTCATTGTATTTATAAATGGAAGAGCCCCTCTAAATCCATAATTTCCATATGGCAGTCGTCATTTCTACTATAATAAAGGTCAAAAATGTATCTAAATATGTACGAATCATTTTGGGGAAATTTTTGCCAGTTTAAAAACACTTTAATGGTGGTGCAACAATACAAGCAAGAAAAATAAGTCGCATTTTACGAACTTGACGTCGACAGCCAACTACATATCGAGGTCCATTAGTAGCTTTTACAATAACTAAAATGAAAAATATCAAAATGTTATTAACAGGGCATATGGCACCTATAGTTTGCTGATAAGGATTGATCTGGGAATATGCTATTCAAAATCCAAGAAAGCGCCATTACTATGTAGGTTTAACAGAAAATGCAATTGATTATAATGGTATTGTGCTTCAATGAAATGCCAAAATTTAGCAAGTAGAGCCGTATATTTTCAATTGTAGGTTTGGTAAGATAAGTGATCAAGCAAAGCATTGACAATAGTTTACAAGCCAGTGATTTCTTTGAAGTGCATATCGAAATGATCTTTTTTGTCAAAAAAACTTCCCTTTCTTCCCAAATACAGCACCATATTTCCACATCAATATGTAAAAAAACAGAATTCTATTCCAATACATAGATTGCCCAAAGGTGGTAAAGAATATTTCATTAAAGAGCTTACACTTCTCTTCTGTCAGCTGACGTAATACCTCTCCTACAATCTATAATAAATTACATATTGGTCGACATTTTTTTTCTACAGGAATGTGAATATTACTAATATGTATGGGAATTTGATATAATTTCTAGAACAATAACTGCAGAGCTGTGCATACCTGACCAACACTTTGAAGTGCTTTCAAATCATTTTCAGACTTATCATAATCCTTGGTAAACTCTTTCAGCTCTTCCCGCACTATATTCAATTGTATTAAACCTTAAGACCTTATTCATTTTATGAATCCATGAAATGTAATTTTTACCACTAAAAAATGTGCTTTTACTGTTAAAACACTCACAATTTTCATAAATTGTCACTAGCAAACATTGCTGTTTTATTCCCTAGTTTGTCAAGAATTTTTGTCTACTAATGTTACGTATAAGTGAAGCATTTAAACTTGCACTTAATGCCTTTGATAGAGGTTTGAACAGAGTTGTTTCTACAGTATTAAAATACAGTAGAAAAAATTGTTGGCCTTGAAAAATAACTGCCAATAATTTCATAGTTGGTAGCACTATCGGCAGGTATTGCAAGGGTTGCTTTGATTTACATATGTTTATTCAGCTGCTGTAGTTGTTGATCAATATGTACAAATATGGTAGAATTCGCATTTTTAAAGTGTGATGTCACGTACGTACAGGCAGCAGTTCCTAATATGCAAATTGGTGAGATTAGACTCAGCATCAGTTTCTTGGCAAAATTTTCTATACTTATACTGTGCAAAAGTCTGAGTTTGAATGTGTTTTATTAAAAACAACCAAGACTTCACAACAATATGTGAAAGAACAAAGTATTTAGCTCAACGAAGAGCTAATATCTCCGAAGCAATCTTCTTACTAATGTTTTCCACATATTTTTTCACAACAAATGTCTATTTAGGGTTAAACCAAGTGACTTGGATCTCTGAACTTCTTTTTTTTATTTTCTATGTTCCAAAGAATTGATAAGTGGTTGAAAACCAATCAACATAAATTCAGTCTTTGCAACATTAAGACTTTATTTATGTACTGCTAATTAACTTGTCTTGTGTCACAGGCCCTGATATGAATAAAGATTCAATGAATAAATTCATCTCTATCCCTAGAATAGTATATGCATATAAAAACACAAACACAGCCATTTCAATTATCAAGTGCTTAAAAATCTTCTTAACAGTAAAACTCATGAAATTCGGCATAAATATACAAACCAAAACATAAAAATTCATCCACTAGAACAAACTCGCAGCTATATAAAAATTTAAGCTACATCTTGCACCTCAAATTGCTTTTTTCACTAATGCCTCTTTAACCTAAAATCTCTTAAATCTTGACTAGAGTCAATTCAGAGAAATGACTTGTGATTGTTTGGCTTCGTGCGAATGTAAGATGACATTACGAAAGAAGCAACTCACTTTTTTTCAGTTTGGCCTCAAGTTCACGATGTTCAAGAAGTTTTTTGCGATGGTCCGCCAAACATTTTTCGCGTGCTGTCGCATTTATCACCGAATCGTTCGCCATCTTGAATCAGTTCCACAATGCAAAAATATAACAATATGTACCAAATAGTCAGTACCAATCCTCCTCTATCCACACCTGTATTATCATAAAAAGATTATCGTGTATTGTCGATTGGGCCATTGAAGAATTTAAATTATAAGTAATGAATGATAACTCGAAGAGGTGGCTGGGGGATTACCAACCCAGCTAGCTATATCAGCCCATACATAGTCCCAGTCATAACCAGTGGTCATAAAACCTAACTGCACTATCAAACCAGCAATACCAACCAACAGTATCCCAGTCATTATACTGCACTACCATGACGATGAAAGCTACAGCACCTGAATCATGTTCGGATTTGAAGTATTGGATGATCACAGATTGGAAAGGATTTCATTAAAGAAAATTAGGAAGAAAGCAGTGGGGCTAACTAATTACGGGGCCTGTAGGCTAAGACAAAGTTGTCTTTAAGTCGGATATCTATTCCTCCCATTAAGTCCAGTTGATGACATCTGCGTTCCCTACGCTCCTTTGCCTTTGCATTTCCCAGCTTGTTTTTGTAACTCATAGTATCAATATTAAGGAATAAATTTAAACTTAAAACTGGGAAAAAACACACAACTTCATGAGCGTGGTGCATTTGAACAGTACATCGTACGCTTTTCAACAGAATAAAAGGTTTAAATTAAGAACATTTGACTAGTTTGGAATGGCAAAAACTAAAAACTAATTATGTCTAGATACAACGGGCCTCTCGAAAGCCCGATTCTGTAGGCTTCTGCCTACATAGCCCACTGAATAACGCGCCACTGGAAGAAAGAAATTATGAAGTTCTTCGAACATGGATCAAGGCAATATAAGCATGGACAAAACGAACACACGAATCATATATCCATTTATGTAAAAATAAATATAATTCAAACATATAAAACATTTAAGAATATTTCACTTCTCCAATGTCATCCAAGGTAAATTTCTTTGACCATAAACTCGTGCTTGGAGCGACCATTCCAACACTTCTACCAAAATTGTCGCTAATTGTATTTGTCAAAGGAAATATATTCGCAGATATATGAAATGAACGGTACTACAGAAGTTTGATCACGTCAGCGCGAAAGAAATTATACTTTGCTTTATGTGCATGCAACCCATTTGGGAAAGTCCTTTTTGGCGAACAAATAGCCTACCAAATATATTTATCTAAACTACACGGATCGTGGAATGCTAACACAACGTTCTAAATAGCAAGAAAACAACCGGCAGCACAAGTTGCTCAAAAAATGTGTAATCATACCTCATACAGATTACCTTGAAAATGAGCTAGCTTTTTGATAAACGAGAAACGATTGAAGCGAATTTTCATGTCTATTTACTAACTTTTGAAGTGAAGTATAAGTTCATGATGAATCGCATGTCATTAATATGCCCGGAAACGCCCTGATTAAGTCCATGGAAATTTGCACTAAAAAGGATACCTAACGAAACCTTTAAAATCCGAAGTATGAGAGAAATCTGAATGGAATTTCCTCATCCATTCTTTGTGGTCTCCATTATTTTCTACTGGCAATTCTTCATGACGGTACGAGGGAATGTGTTCCCTAGATTAAAAAAAAAACAAACTCAGCTTTGACGTATCCCGAGGCAAAGAATGAAAGCGAGCACATCGCTGAGAAGATAACATAAATAAACTAATGAGGTGAGCAACTATAACCTTCTCTAATAGTTATACGGTAGTTCTCTTGACCAACGATTTTATGTTTGAAATCCCGAAGAACTTCACAGTAATTGTCTTTTCTTAAAATTTCACGATATCAATATCGCAATAACGAAGAAAAATTCTAGCACTGGCAAAAATCAAAAGAATTCTCCAAAAAAATTTTTCATTGCTTGAAGTAAGTGAACGCTCCCAAAACATTAACGAATGCCCGGTTTGTTGGCATTTCAATCCTTCTTTATTTCTGAAAAGTTCAGATCCAAAAATATTTTAATCAATAGACAGAACCATTAAACCATTGATTACCTTAAAGAAGCATATGCAAGATCTGATGGGCCACGTAACGTTGTTGTTTGATGATGTAATCCACTGTTACCTACAGGAATTAACAATTTCTCGCCCATAAAAGTTAATCGAACAATGTAGCTACTCTGCAATCTAAGACGTAAACATAGGGCAAAACGTCGTGTAGTCGCATCCAGGACCGTTAAGGGTGAATATTCATAATTCAGCACTGCTCGACTGATTTTGTTTGTTAGTCAATTTTAATTTCAAAAGAAGTCAGCAGGGCAGAGCTGAATATATGAATATTCACACCGCCTCCCCCCCAGTTAGCGCTCTAGTTTCGGCCCAGGTCGCACCATTTTGATATATTTTAAAGTCATTTAGACAGCACGTCTTGTTTGTTGAAGGCCAATAAAAAGAGTTTCAGGTCTGAAAATTATACCTTTAATGTCAATGGCAAAACAAGATATTTCTAGAGACCTTTTAATGTAGGACAATTTAGTTTATTGGTCGCTGCGCAGGATACTACAACTTCTTCATGCACAACATATGCATTCAGAGAGGGCAAAAATATTTTGGTAAGCGAGAATAGTTCTAAGGCAGGTAAGCGAGAATAGTTCTCATAAGAGCAGGCACTTACTTCCGAAATAGTTTATCCACTTCTTCTCCATCGTGAGTTCAGCTGGTTCATTTTCTCTTCAAACACAACAAATAAAATTTCGTTAAACAAAAACGCATCTAACGCCACAATTACCAATCATATCTTATTACAAAATAACACAAGCAAAACACGTCCGCTGATTGATTTGTCGATGCCCGTGTTTGGATCAGGCCATCCAAACACGGTAACCATTTAGTAATTGTTTATTATAGCTAACACATCAAAAGGTTTTGCAAGTTGTAGCAATGCAAAAGCGAGAAACGCCATTTCTTCGTATCAAGGTACTTTAACTAGAGATTTCCAAAAGTTTGCAACCACCAGAAAAAAGACAGGATTAAAACATCAGCATGTATAGGGCGTATCAAAAAAAGTTAGACAATTTAAGAATGTCAAAAAAAATATTCTTTCGTCAAAAGTTCTCAATAACGAGTCAACCTCTTTGTATTTTGGAATCGTCTGATTTATCCAAATGTAAAAAAAATCAAAAAATTAATGTCGAATGAATAGTTTAAAATCTAATTTAATTCGATGAGGTGAAAGTTTGGGATCTTTTGCTATACACTAACCAACACCTTGACCACTTGTACCTTGAATCACACACAGTAGCTTAAATATCCCCGCAAGTTTTAGTTCAATTTATTTACTCACCTATTCATTGGAGGTCTTACATCGTTGGGTCTGTCGACTCTATGATAAACACTCGTCATGTATGACCAAATTCGAGAAAGTTCGTTGTTTATGTCTTGTAGAGAAGACATTAAACGATCGTTTGTTTCTCGATTGAGATCGTCGGGATTTGTCAGACGACGTTTCCTTTTCTCATATTTGATACGATGGCCACGTGATTTAGTGTTCTCAATTGCATACTGGCGTGAAATGGCAGATCCATAACCACGATTGCGGTGCAAATGACGTCCCCTCTCCAGAATGATGTCTGAGTCACTGTCTGCTGAAGTACTCGACTAAATGTATGGATATATATGGGTAAGTTCGTGTGAATAGACAGTTTCATGATTCGCATCTTTAAAGATCCTGAAGGCATCCAATGTAAGTGAAAGCAGCATAGTTTCAAATCGAACGCGTTATCAATGTATGCTCTATGTTAAGCTCTACGAAGCCTGCAAACTTGTGAAATGGACGAGTTGAAGAAGATTGTCGCCATATGGCGAGCACCGTGTCTCATCACTTACCAAGTCTTCAGCGAATGTATTTTCAAGCAATCTTATTCTGTCTTCTTTCTGACGGAGTAGATTCTCGCCGGCGCTAACGTGATATAAAGCTTCGGTTACCTCGGCTTCTTCCTGAACATGATATATAGAAACATTTCAGATACGAGAACTTTGATAAAAGATAAAATTCAGACTAAGGGCTTGAAAAGAAAAAAAATTTGAATTTCACTCTTTATCTTTAAGAAAAACTGTGTATTTGGAATCAAATGCTAACGGAATTGCTACCAATTTCTATTATCATTAACATGTCAATTTGAACACTTCTTAATCATGATAGACAGCAGGAGTTATTTCAAGTGAGATTTGAAAAATAAAGTTAGGAATGGATTTAGAGGAGAGGTGCGCGCCCTCCACTACCTTTCCCGGATAAGCGCCACATTCAGAATTAGGAAATTTAATAAGCAGCGCGGCGCTAAAGCAAAAATTTACGGTAAGCTTTAATATGATTAGACTGAAGAAAGTGCACGCATGCATATAAGCTTGATTAGCTGGAGAGACTCAGGCTGTATGTTACACTGTTATCAGCTGTTAGGAAATGTTGATGCCATTTTTATACGTATGATAATAAAGAGACAAAACAAATTTTAACAACAGAAATTACCTCATCAAGTGCATGCTTAATGTCCTCAACGTACGATGCCTGCAATAACAAAAATATTAGAAACTGTTCTCGTGCAATGCACGCATTATTACTGAAAGAAATACGTATTTCAATCGACCTTATGTCTTCTTCCATTCCTAGATCTACTGGCAATGTTTTCTATATAATTCTATAAAATATTAAAAACATAAGCAAAATAGCAATATCTAATACAGCATTCATCTAAGCTGGAAATAACAAAAAAGTATTGCTATACCAACAAGCGATTCTTACGGAATAATTTGCCTTGTTAAAGTGCCTTCATTATGATACAGTCATGTATATGCTGACTAATTTAGCTTCATTGACACAGATACTTTACCTTTCTACGATTCAGAGCACTTGAACGATTTCTTAGGAATTCCTTCGCCCTACTTATGGCGTCTTCTTCATCCTCAAGTCTTTTCCACAATGAACTTCTCTTCCTATGAAGTTTTTTAAAAAGGAATGCTATATTGAGTCAGAATGCATTTCAAAGGCGATATATCAAGAACAGATATGTCAACCATTATCTCAACGAACTGTTCATTGACGAGTAAGATAGAATGATGAAAAAGATGGTCGACAAATTTCTCAAAAACGTAAACGGAAAATTCTCGCATTGTTTTTGTATATATGTACATATGCATACAGTACGATATTCCCGCAAACCGCCTCAAACTTTGCACATTTTTCATTGCAGAAAAATAGCTCGATGTATAAACCGACTGCATGATGTGTATTTAGCTAGGTTTTTTTTGCGAAATTTGGTAAGATGAAATCACGAACGTGTAAAATTATTCAAACACGCAGTTCAAAATACTCTTAAACGGTAAAACATGGTAGAATATGCCTTATAAACTATGTACAGTACGGACAGACATTTTTATATAAACTATGAATGCTTCCTATTGCAAAAGCTTAAATTCGCCACTTCTTGAACCCAATAGCTGATCCGCACGCGAATGAAAAATACACAAAAATTGCCAAACCAGAAATATTGTTTTGAAAATGGGAAAAGGATGAAGCCAAACTATTACTTACGGTTTTGAGTGTTTGAGCTTAACTTTAGCTTGACTTTTCAAAAATTCCAACTCTGAAGGAAAATTTCAAAGATTATCGCAAAAGTGTTGTTGAGTTTCCTCTCGTAAAAGGGATCATGTAGGTAGACAGAGGGATCATGTAGAAAGGGATCATGTAGGTAGACACAACAACACGACGAATGCCAATTGAAGAGATTGTATGGCAAATCACGTTTGTCACAAAACTTGTTACATTTTTACTTTCGCAATGTGCTGGTGACTAAAACTACATCAGTAACGCATACAAAAGTCAATAATTATAAAAACACCAAACAGGCAAACAGCTTCTACAACAATCTACCGCATGGGGTCTGAATCAGGAAAGACAGCAGCTTGTATAACATTGGTCGGTTGATGCAAAGCCTGTATAGTTCAATTCAGCTACTAAACAACATTTTTGAATAGCTTACAAAGATTAAAAAGCCTCGTCAATCGATGGAACAAACGTAATTCAAACATAACAATAATTAATCTTTTATTTTTTCATAGCATTGAATCACTTTCTTCTAAATTTTGAAATGCCAGGCGAAAATGACGAAAAGTAAAAAAACAGGAAATTTATCATTAAATTATTTTATATTTGAAACAAAAAACAATACTTTTACCGCGTTCTCACGGTATAATTCGGTCAATCGCTTTCGACGTAATTTTTTTCCAACTTCATAAAAAATTAATTTTCCATGCTTTTCTCATATAATACTTACACACGTCGCCATTCCTTGTGAAATCACCCCCGCCGGTCCCTTGATGTCAAATTAAAACTGACCTGGATCGGAATCAAGTTCGGCAACCCAAGCTTCTTTCTTCGAGATGGAACGCATAAACGGTGGCAGTTCACCATCTTCTAATATTTGACCATCGCTCAAGCCTAAAGAACACGAAGCGCATGTTTTAATAATCATATTTTTACCAGCAAAATTTTCAGTCTTTCGTAGCCACACATTCCTGACGCCCATCCTTCTATTGGATCATCTGATTCCAATTCAAAATGAATGATTACCTGCTCTGTCCTGCGTCCTGGATTCATCACGAGTACTTGGTGTACGCTGGAATATTCGAAGAGATGCAAATGATTTTGGTTGTAAAAAAGGTGGCAAGACGGACAACACAACAAATTATACTTTGATACGCATATACTTTGGCAAAATTATCATTCTTTCGCGATGAAAATTAATTCCACTCATTGTTTTCCAGTGAGTAAACAAAAGAATCTTAGCAGCAAAGTAAACATTGGGCTAGGTTTGCCACTGACCAAATGAGCAATACTTATTCAAGACTATTATCAACAGCGAACCAAGAAAAAGGTTAAACAAATCAGAATGTGTGAACTAACTGCCTTTTTATCATTCAGATCTTCCACGAGAAGAATTTCATTTTCATCTTCGCTGTCGACACATTTTTCATTCAAAGAATCATTTGGTACTTTCAAACAGTCGTCGTTCGTCTTTTCGTTCTCAAATTGTTCACACATCTCTTCAGTTCTGTTTTTAAAGGCCGCAGTTCGTAACTCCAAATCACTGCGAAGACGAAATACTTATTACTTCATGTTGTGCAAGCATAATTTGAAGTGCTATGACACCAAATAAATGAAGTAATAATTCATAAAACTATAGTGACTTTCTTAGAAACTTTGTTTGCATGTTTACTTTTCAACTATTGAGTTTTCATAAAGCTATAGTGACTTTCTTAGAAACAATGTTTGCATGTTTACTTTTCAACTATTGAGTTTTCATAAAACTATAGTGACTTTCTTAGAAACAATGTTTGCATGTTTACTTTTTCAACTATTGAGTTTTCATAAAGCTATAGTGACTTTCTTAGAAACAATGTTTGCATGTTTACTTTTTCAACTAGTGACTTTTCATAAAACTATAGTGACTTTCTTAGAAACAATGTTTGTATGTTTACTTTTTCAACTATTGAGTTTTCATAAAGCTATAGTGACTTTCTTAGAAACAATGTTTGCATGTTTACTTTTTGAACTAGTGACTTTTCATAAAACTATAGTGACTTTCTTAGAAACAAGGTTTGTATGTTTACTTTTTCAACTAGTGACTTTTCATAAAACTATAGTGACTTTCTTAGAAACAATGTTTGCATGTTTACTTTTTCAACTATTGAGGTTTTTGTCTGAGGTCAAAATCATGTTCTACTTCGTTGTTCGGCAACAAAAATGCTCGCGCTTTATTCGATTATTTTTTTGAAATGAAAATTTATCACCTACGTAGACTATACGAAGAAAATTGGTTGAATATCAACAAAAAGTAGCTAACGAAAATTTTTATTAGAAATGACTGATAATAAATTGTGAAAGAAAAAGCCATTACAGTAAATTACATGCCTGTACAGGAAGAAAAAATGATTTTCGCCAAATAATTAATACCTGATCTCCTTTAGTAAAATCCTTTTCTCTTCTTTTAAATTATCAACATCATGCTGCATTTCTTTCTTTTCTCTAAATACAATAAAAATCACAAAAATATTTACATACATAGCATGTTCAAGAAAGCCTCCGCTGAAAATGGAAAATGTCATCGATTGTGATATTACGTAGAATAAAAAAGATAAACATACGATACAGTTCGTATATGTGTATGCAAGAATGAGATGTTACATGAATATCTATAAATTCACATATGTCGTGTAGGTCGTTTTATATTTTAATTACAATACATGCAGAATGCATATGACCCATTGTTTCCTTTCAAAGACACAGGGGAGGCGGAATTGCACTACGATAAACTCTTATTGAACAATATGGGTGAAGGATATTTTAGGTTTTCCATACCTTGTAATTTTTTCTATGATTTCTCTATGATTTGAAATATCTTCTTTCAGTTGTTGGTTTTCATGTCTAAGAGCATCGTCTTTTACTGAATGGTGATTCTAGTTGCATTACAGAACAAACTGTTTTTAAAGAGCCCGAAATTTTGATGTAGCAGCAATGTGTTATTGGGCAGAAAGCAGTAGTTAAATGATGTATACAGTAAGACATGTTTCATGTACAATTACATAAAAAACGACTACATTTACATCGAGTGGACAAAAAAGTAGCTCGTCACGTTTGAAGAAATGGGTAGAAATAAAAAACAATGCTGTTGAAAAACAATGTTATATGATGGACGATCGTCAACTATACCTTCAATCAAGCGATTGAAAGAAAAATAAATCTTGACAAATAGCAAGAGTATATTGACGCCGTCACGCTTCTGCTGGTCAAACAACAACTAGATATGATCGTGACTAGCTTCTGCAGGTCAAACAACAACTAGATATGACCGTGACTAGCTTCTGCAGGTCAAACAACAACTAGATATGACCGTGACTAGCTTCTGCAGGTCAAACAACAACTAGATATGATCGTGACTAGCTTCTTTGGTTATTTATTCCATACATTCCCAAGCATTTCATAAAATTTCGTCATCATTTGACGGTTTTCAGTTTTTTTTCCGAACAATTTAATTCTGCCTATAGGTTTTTAATAATGTTCAAACTTGTTACTAGGCTGGCCATTACATCACATGAATCTTTTCGTTTGTGGGATATTTCGAAACAACTTCACTTGTGAGTTTGCGGTCATTGTAATGTTGGAGCACACAAGATTTTCGAGCTACTTTTTTCTCCACCCATTGCATGTAATTCCCACATACTCTACATCCAAAAGTTCATAAAACCTGAAGCTCTTTTTCTTGTCTCAACGACTCCCTTTGTAATTTTTCTTTTCTGGCAAAAAGAAGATTTTCCTACAAACAAGAATAAATTGCATCGAAGATTCGTATACTTTGAAAACCAAGGTAACTGCACGGTGAAAGAATACTTTCTTCGTTGGATACAAACATCCCACTTCACACACATCACAGGAATCATATGTTAAAGCAAAATGTGTTATAGTACATGAATAGATGTATATTAGGAGACTATAACCGTATATTAGGAGACTATAACCGTATATTAGAGGAATAAATACAGATGAACCTCAGGGGCCGGTTGCACGAAGCTTGGATAGCGTTATCCATTGGATAGTATTTTTTCAAACTTGTAAAAAAAATAGTTATATTTTCTTTAGGATGAACAAACTTTGTAATTCTAGAATCAATATTTTCCATTTGAAATAGTAGATCGTTTCCCTTTAAGAGATTCTTGAAGGTTTCAAAAATATTGCTATCCAGTAAACAGCGACATTCGGCCTTCGTGCAAACGGCACCTGAGCCGTTACAGTGAAAGGATTTGTAATTGAATCTTCACCAAGGCTCTAGTAATCCTACCTTCTAGAAAGGAGGCACTAAGTATCGAGAACTAGAATTTCTCAAATTACCTCATCTTCAACGCTCTTTATCTCTTTTCCCAACGTTTCCTTTCGTTTACAAAGTTCACTCATCATCTTTTCAACGCCGGCTTTCTAAATGACAATTATATGCAACATCATAATGCCTGAATTCATCACAAAAAGTAAAAAAAAGAAAAAATCGTAAGCACCGTCATGAGTGTAAGGTGTGTATTGTCGGTAACTAAATCAATAGCATTGGAGCAGGCATAGATGAAATATGGTCGCGCAGTGTAGGCAATGTAGATAATAATTTAAAATATATAAAATAAACTACAACAGCCATTTTTGATTGGTGACAATCTACTCTTTTAGAATTCATAAAAATGGAATTTTAGAAAGATATTTTGAATTTCATATCAGCGGCTACAATTTATTTTGCCTTGCCCTCGACCTGCTACTAATGCTTTTAGTAGTCTTTCGACTTTTACTTCAGAAGATATAGAAGGTGGCAAATCCTACTAGTGATTTCATGGACGTAAGAGAGTGATCCAAGATGGCTGACGGGGTAATGTTTTGTGTAAAATATTACATGAGTGCAAGACATAAGAAAATTCTTTGAAATGCTATCTCTTGTAATTCGGCTAAGCTCTTCGGAATAAAAGAAACTATTTTTGATAGGAGTTTCCTTTTACAATTCACATTTCCTTGCAACGGAAAAATATTTTAACAAATTACCAATTTGTCGTGGTCAGCCATAATGGCCGACCGCTCATTTTCCAACTGAGCAGAAACTTTTGATATCTCATCGTCTTTCAGTTGCTTCATATTATTTTTCTCTCTCTCGATTTTTTCGTTAAGCTCGAACTGCTGCTTCATTTCCTTTTAATAAACATGGATGAATCGATTTAGAATAGAAACACAAAATACATGACACATAGAACACTATATCATTAGCTGAATATAATAAAAGGCACATTGTGGTCAGTAGCTATAACCATTTCTTTGAATTCCTGTTTTGTCTTGTAGATCATTGATTCATGCTCGTCTTTCAGTACTTCCTGTTGACAAAAGAAGATGTTTTAAAAGTTTCTCTGAAACAGGAACGAAAGAATTATTAAAACTGTAATGTGATTTTTTTCGACGACTGTCTATACTTTTATGTTGAGACTTGCATGGGAATGTATTAGTTATCGAACTGTTTTTTCTTATTGATATACTTAAAAATAATCTCAAATATTAAAAAATCATCGAACCAACTTTATTAAAATTCAATTAAAATTCAACGAAATCCAATTGAGTTTGATTGTAAATTAACTGAGGTCATGCAAATGTGATAATATTAACGAGATAAAATTGTAATCTCAAAAATGTAACTCATTCGATCCATTTAGCTACGCGAGACAAAATATCTCAAAAACAAATCGCGGAAGAGAAAATCTTTGGAAAAAGTTGAATTGTATTTGTAAGCGTTGTTTCGATTCAGAAAATGGCTAAGAAACGTCGAAAACGCTTTCAAGTATTACTAATGTATATTTTAACTAAGACAATCGATTATTACATGTTTGTCGATGTAGATCGTCCAGGTTAATAGAGTGCTGAGGACTGATGTTGTTGACGTTGACTGACGCTTCGACAACTTCAGTAATAGTCATGAAGATGGACGATCTACATCCAGAAACATGTAACGATACTCCCGGGTTCAAACAATTTACTCTATAATCGATCATTTTAGCTAAAATACCCAAACTTACAAGTTCTTCTTTGTGCTTTTCTCGAGCAATTTCGATCTCTTTTTCAAAACTTTTCTGGAGAAAACACGAATCAAGACTGATTAAAAAAAGGGCGATTTGCAACAACAACGAGTAAAACTACATCAAACCTTTGTCGCGTTCAACTGTTCATTATATTGTTCTGCAGTCGCCTCATTTTTCAAATTCGTGACATGATTTTCGTGACTTTCCCGCAACTTATCTCTCATTTCCTGTAATGCCTTGAAAAAAAATCTTATGATAAGAAATGACCGAAGAGCATATTTATCATGCCGAGTACAAATGTTACAATAATCCTCAACTGCATCTTTCAACATTGTTAAACTATGTTACTCTAGTTCTATACACAAAAAAATTATTTTTGTTCATTCTACAGAACCATAGTAAGCAACAACCACAAACAGCCATCGGTCATTTCAATAAAGCATAAATATTAACACCTTTTTAGCTAGTAGGAAAAAGTCCAAGAAAAGCGTTGAACGAACGTCGCACAAAATGGCCCAGCATGCAATATTCTTATAACGCCTGCACGTTTCTGCATTTTATTTACGTGATCTATATAATCACTGATATCTTTCATTTCTATAGCCTTGCAAATCGTCAAAATTCAACTAGCTAACTCTAAACAGTAGATGAATATAGGTTTCCTTCTTTGCATACCGACATAATTTCATAACCGATCTCAAAAACGTTTATAGTTCGTATTTTAAGAAAAACAAACTGCAGCAACAAAGTCTTTTTGTTAATCACAATATCTACCTTTTCATGTTGTTCCTCCACGTCTGATTTCATCTGTTGCATCTCATATTGATGATGTTGTTGCATTTCTTCCAGAGACTATATTTAAGCAAAATATATTTCTCCATTTAACAATCACCAAATCACTTGGATGGAAAGTTTTAAGTGCTGTGTATTTCCATTGAAAATTGTGCAACACCACTGCAATAACTTTCGGGGAAAAGGGAATGTCTATGCGAAATCCTGTGTTTGAATTACAGAAAGGTAATTCCGGTAAATGGGCAATCAGCATGAAATCAAAACTAATATTATTTACATACGCTCTCTCTTTCTTTCTCCAACTTCTCTCGTAAGTCATGGATAATCTGTTTATGTTGTGTCTCTAAAATTCGTTTCTCTGCTTCTTCTGCCGTCGTTTGTTTTTCTTTTAATCTACTTAATTCTGTATCACTTTCCTTTTTCATTTCGTCTTCCCTTTTCTCTCTCACATTTTAACATCGTTTGAAATTTCTCCAGTGCTTCGTTATGTGTTTTTCGGAGTTTTTCTTCCTCTTCGGCCTGCTTGAGTTTTAGTTCGGATTTCAACTTCCTAATAGCATCCTGCAAGCCTTCTTGAAGATGAGATTCTTCTTCCAAATGCTCGTCTCGTGTTCTCAGCTGAAGTTCTTTCATTTTTGTAGCGTAATCTGCACGCAGTCTAATTTCTTCTTTCTCCAGCTCCTCCTCAAGTTGCGTTTTCAAATTCGAAATTATTTCCACATTTTTCTTTCGTAACTCCTTCATAGGGGAAACGTCGTCACTTTTCACAATCTCATCTGATGAATTTAGCTTGGGTTCTGACAAATTTCTAAAATAAGCAGGCAGTGACATGCTCGATCATGCTTGATTTTTTCAAACATAAATCTACAATACAGTTTACATGTACAAAAACATGTACATACAGCAGAAATGTAGACTACATACTTACTCAATATATTTGTCTGACTGGTTCTTATCAACTACGGTGATTTTATTTTCATCCTTTTTTTCGTGAGGTCTGTCAGGCAAAATAAAAATTGTGAAGTGATTTAAGCATCGAGCAGAGAATTAATGCTCTCGAAGCTGATTACGAACTATTTCCTAAGCAAAACCATTAAACCTCCATTTTCCCTCATTTACACCTCGAAACTAACGCCATTATAACAAAAATAAAAAAGAATCAAAAACTTGAAATATGGGCAGTCAGTTTGCATATTCTTTTGAAGAAAAACTAATGAAGACAATCTTGATGATTTCCGAAGCAAATGAAATTATAGATTTTATAGGACCTACTGTTTTAGCGCCTCCAAACTCGAATCGCTGTTTCGAAAGAAGTCGGTATCCTAAAATGATAAGATAATTGAAAGTAAAGTTTATCACGACATGAATACCCCCGTCAACATGAATCGGGATCCAATATAATCGTATACCAAAATATTTTAGGGCACATACGTGCGTAGCTGTTGCATCAATAAATCTTCTACTGGCTGAAAAGAACAGTTTCATTTTCGCTTCATGCAAAGCAATAGTTTCGTGCGAATAGAAGGATAAAGGTATTTTAGGTTTTTTCGCAACCAAACCAATTAGATTGGTGAACAGCTTTTGAAGTATGACATTTTGTGTATTTTATAGTATGATAGTGGTACAAGATTGTATCAGATTTCGTGGGTAAAGAAGGCTGATAGTTGTGTGAAGTTCGTTCATTGTTCAACCAATCAGACTGTAGAACAGCTTTGAGTGAGCATGGCATATGGTATGATAGAAGCTTGAGTCAGAACAATCGTTTTCTTACCTTGTCGTTAATCCCAGATGGCATCAGTAGATCAGCACTCATGCCTTCTAATCGATCCGATAGAGCCAAATTGATGCCAAAATTCTGTGATGAAAAAAAAACAACACTACAGTCGTCGTAATCATCATCGCATAGCAAAATAACATGCAACATGAAAGGCAGCAGAAAAAAACAAATATTGCAAACACCCTATATCAGAAAAGTATTTTGTTTTTTCTTGCAAAAATGGTAACTACAAGATGGCAAAAACAAAAGATTATTATACGTGCTCTTTTTTGTTCCTTCAATAAATGTGAATTGAATATCGGACGTCGATGCACTCATCACTTCTTTCAACGTCCTCTGCCTTCGATAAAGACAGAGTTGTGCGCTTACATGATCATTGGCATGAGAAAGATATTCAATCATCAATTCTATCAAGTCTTCGGCGAATGCTTACACAAACAACGTGTAAGCAATTTTGCGTATTGCTCTTCAGTGTTACAGAGTCTGTACTTCTAAGTTGTTTTGAAGCACTGACACTAGTAGTTAAAAATCTGTGAGTCGTATTCGTGAAGTCAAGAACGTGAGCATCATAAAAAGAAAAGACTGCCTTCAGTAGTATCATTAGTGTCAAATTCCAAATTTACTTTCTTTCAACGCCCACGTGATCGAAAACTTAAATGCACTTTTAGCAGTGGCGTATAGCGAGCCCGCATGTTTTAAATCTGCTGCATGTGTAAATTTTAAAACATGACCATTTTAAAGTGAGAGAGCACATAAAAATTAACATAGCAGGGCCGAATAAGCGACCTGGCTCTGCCAGTGACAACTTACGTTTCCAGCGTTTTCTTCATTCTCACTCGAATGCGTATCGTTCAACGAGCTTGGTGTTTTGGCAGCTTCAGAAATGTCGCTGTTAAATTCATTTGAATCCTGTAACGTCATTACAAAGCATTTATATTTACACATAAAAATGATCCAGCTTACGGCACATGAGTTATTTCTTCTGGCAAAAACAATCCAAGAGGAAAATGAAGAACTGTATCGTAGTTTGCTTGAATGGTTTTAAAGGGATGAAAGTTGTAACTAGCTATCAGTGACTGTCGCAAGGCAAAGTAAATTATACTTTTTGTCATCCAATTCTTTTTTAGATTGATTTTTTTGGCATAGTCAACGTCTACGCATATCTGCCTTTTAAAAACTCGAAAATCATGTGGATGTTACTTACGATTTCATCGCACAACAAAATATGCGAACACGTTCAAACACTCGGTATGCGATGTAAAGATTGTTCCATATGATATTGATTTCTCCACTAAATACATTACATACAATGATGATTTACACACCTCTAAGTTCAGATTTTTAACTTCGTAGAGACCAGAATTAAACCTGGATGATCCCTTTTAACGATAATAACAAAATGTTAAATGCGTAAAAATAGAAATGCTTGTGTCCTCGGTTTGAATTGAGCATTTTAAGCGACTTAATACCTTGTAACCAAGTGCTTTAAGATCATTTGTGTCCAAGTGAACGTCAAGCCTTGGCGACTCCTGTATATTGTAGAACGGAGAACACAATGGAGTCAGCGATTTGAATACATAAAGTTACAGGTACAAGAGATACTTGCCTGGCTGTCATCGTCGGGGAAATCCATAGTTAGATTAATCTTCTCGCCAACGCCACTGCTTAATGTAAAATTGTTGGTGCTGATGGAGTTTCTATCCAACTCATTCGAGGAAGAAAGCTGCGGTAAAAATGTTAGCTACATCAGTTAAGAGTACGCATCTTGAATTGAGAGAGAAAAAGATTTGTTAGTAAAGTTTGACAGTGGGATTAAAACTGGTCAATCCTTTGTTGCACAATGTGCACAATCGCACTAAATACCGAATTAAACTCACACGAAACAGTACAACTTGAGGTCATGTGATTATGTGAGTAACGTAATCAGGAAAACACGCCTTTTTTCGAATAATCTTACTCAAGTCCACGACAGCAGAATAAAATAAATGATAATTACAGGTTTAAGAGTGCCAAGAGACTTTGAGCTGGACGGTTGTAATCCTAACGTTCCCAATGGCTTGTTCAATGGCTTCAATGCACCAACGGGAAGAGATGCTCCAAAAGCTTTGCCTGCTTGCCCTCGTAGTGGAGCTAAAGGTTCTGCTTTGAGTGGTCCGAGAGATGTTGGGAGACTTTTATTCTTCTAAGAAAATACGAGAGAACGTAAAAACCTTCGTACAAACAAAAATAAACAAAAACATGACAATAATTTATAGCCATATGTTAACTACTATTGATAACGGTAGGATCGAGATGCATAGGGCTTAGATTTTGCTAATTATTATGCAACTTTTGGCATGAAAGCATGAAAGCATGATTTTTGGGTCTTCTGAGATTGAGCATATTTCATGTATAGTGGTGTATTTTTTTGTACATGGATGTTTATATTTAGTGGCCAAAATACGAGATAACGATGATATCTATACACTCTGTTGTTTAGAAACGTACGTTTGACGCATTATATTGAAATAAAGATTAATGTTTAATATCTATACACTCTGTTGTTTAGAACCGTACGTTTGACGCATTGCATTCAAATAAAGATTTATCTGTATATCAGTCACTGTTTTAATGCTAGTTGAATGTACGAGTATCTTGCTGGTCACATAAGCCTGGAATTGTTGAAGCTTATAATAACGGTCTAAATAAAAATGTTTCAACGTTGTCAGTTTATTCTGTAAAGAGTCATTAATCTCATCCCCACCATCTTATCATATACCTCATTTACCTCCATGATATGAAATCATTTATCTTCTATTATAAATGATTGGTCGATGGGGGCATGTACCTCATATTCTCTCGCCATTATCATATACCTCATATTCTCTCGCCATTATCATTTCATCATCATCTTCACCATCATCATTCTTTTCTTCTCACATCATTCTCATCATCCTCACCATCATCATCCCTCACCATCATCATCCCTCACCATCATCATCCTCACCATCATCATCCCTCACCATCATCATCCTTTCATCATCCCTCCTCATCATCATCCTCCCCATCATCATCCCTCACCATCATCATCCCTCACCATCATCATCCCTTACCATCATCGTGTAAATCATCATGTAAAGGTGCACTCGTAAGAAATTAGACACCAAGTTTTTCAAGAATTTATTGCTGATACATTTTGGATAGCCTGCGTACCGACGTCATTACCACGTAATATAGCTACGAAGGCTACGTTTTCGACTGATAACAATATATTTTTGTAAAGAATTTCAAATGACATATTCCTGTATTGATCAGATTACGTTTTGAAAATTACGAGCTGCATACGATAGTCTGTTCACTTATGTAACTTACAGATAGGTTCGTTGATACGTTTCGGCCATGTTGGTTTGTATGAAAGAAATTCTATAATCAGTGGCGATGGTCAACCAAATCCGTAATCCGATAATCCTATGCCGTATTAGAATTATAATGCGAAAATGAACACGGCTATCATATGTAACTTGTAAAATGTTGTTTCAGCGCGTACTCTAATGAACATGGGAAAATGTCATGACAAATTGTGTACAACAAACAATTAGTTATTGCTAAAAGACCAAAACCTTTACCAGGCAAAATATTTACGAAAAACCACGTACAGGTGTCCACTAACTCTATGAGCGCACCTGTATGTTTCCTATCGTGTACCTTATCGGGAAAATCCAGTGATTTTGGCTTCTTATCTTTCTTCTTTTTTGAGCCTTTCTTCTCGGTTGTTTTCTTCACCTGCCCACCGCTCATTTCCAATTTTTTCGCTCTTCCTCGACCATGTTTCGTAATATTCGTCACATGGATGATCCCATATGCTCGCCCGTGGCAAAGTTGAAATAATATATCTCATTTTTTGGATCCTGGCTACAGGAAAGAAAAAAAATTTACGTGTAGAGTGAATTTCGAAGAGTAGCAAACGATTCCCAACATAAAAAAAAACAACTTAATATTCAAACATGAAGTTTTGAAAAAGCACCACTAATATGACAGGAAACATACTACGGAAACATACAGATCTAATAAGTTCCATTTGGCAAGCTGAACTTAATTCGCTAAATTTAGGTTTAACCAGTGGCCAAATTGCACATAGTCGTTTAAAAATAACATCGTTATGCGTCGACTTAAAAACCAGCTGAATTTTCACAACATACGTAGATAGTTTATATTCTACTTATAATTTACCAATTAAGATCTTATTTTTTGGAGAGAACTTAATCTGTTCATCCCAAGGAAGTATTTGTTTGATTTCATATAATTTTTCATTGAAAGGACTTTTCGTACGACTGGCTTGTTAATTCGTCTCGAATGTTTTTAAGTTTTAACGTTATTTTTATCTTTGTACAAGGAGTTGAACTTCCAATACAGTGAATCCAAACTTGAAGAATAGTCGAAATCATTCGAAGTATTTTAATTGGCAAGAACACTTTTAAGTACTTTCTTCAATCGTCTGTATTTCATTCATTCAATTTACAGGCAATAGAGAAATGGATATGACGATAGTTGAGTATCAAACTAAGTCTTTTTAACTTAAAATAATTGAGGAACATGAGCAAATACTGCGTTTGACAGGGAACCGGAGTAGACTGACAATTGGTGGGGACATATTCATATAATGTAATAAGTAAACACAATTGATTTCAATAGAAACAAATAAAGTAAAACTTGCATAAATGAATATTAACCCACTTGATCATCCAATTTCCTTGGTCCCTGTTCTATATAGTTTATTCAAAGGTTGTTTGAGTGTGGGGGCTATTGATTAGTTATTCGTGAATAACAGTGCTCAACATTTCATGCTGAAGTTGTATGGTAGTTTCTCTGTTTCCTGGTTATGATACCAAGCAGGTATTGTGATAGTGTGAATTTCTCAAAAGCACAAAAACAAAACATCCAATATCATGTTTAAGCATTGCTCACCAAAATTGTCTCATCTAATCATAAATGTTCAAAAGAGAACAACATAAAACAAAATATATGAATACAGAAAAAAGTTAGGGCTGCAAAACCATTACCCAAGGAATCAAGAAAGGGCAAAATTCAACAACCATGCATGCATACAAATTGTATTAAATTTATTAATAATCACATTGTGCTCACTCTATCAAAAATTCCATCACAGTTTAATCTCAATATACGGATAATGCGGTCGATGTGTGACACAAATGTCACCAACCTTAGGTTCATGTGGACATATGTTTAGTGATGAGTTCACAATGTCATTTCTTTATTGCCATTAATCATCAATCAAAAACCCGAGTGAAAGCTTTTGAAAAGAATACTGATTGACACAATAACAAAGCTTTGCTTTAAAGTAAATGGTATGAACCCGGGAGTATCGTTACATGTTTGTAAATGTAGATCATCCAGGTTGGTATAGTCATCAAAAGTCATTTTTGACTCTGAAGATGACTACCGCTAAGGATGTCGAAACGTCAATCAACAACAACAAAAACAGTCCTTCTCAGGACTATACCAACCTGGACCATCTACATTTACAAAGATGTAAAGCGTAGCTTTCTTACCATGGTTTCCAGTTTTGCGGCAAAGGTGCCACAATACCTTCTCTTGCAATCCAAAGCAATTGCGTTTCTTTTTGAGGATCAATTCCAATTGCCTCAGCATACTCAAAAATTTCTACATAGAATGATTAAAATCAAATTCAATGGTGTGCTATCATTCAACAACATAAGTAAAATCTATGAAATCCATTTGACTTCTTCCCAGTACCGTATTTTGATTTTCTAGTTTGTAGGTGTAAATTGTCCAGGATAGTCAAGTGTTGAGGACTGTTGGACCTTAACAGGCATCATCTTATGCAGAAATGTCAGTCATCAACACCAACAGTCCTTCTCAAGACTACAATTACCAGGACAATCTACATCAACAAACATGGAACAAAACTCTTGGGTTTATCAACCATTCACTTTATTTTAACTTATATTTTCCCCCATAAACTAAACATTGTCAACGTTCATGATGAACTTTGACTGTTTATTAGTTAAGGCTGGGTTTTTACTTTTCAAAAGCTCGCTAGTGCATCATCAACGTGGTCAAGAGATAAAGTGCAAGTGAGCTCATTCTTGAAATGCATAAAGCTCAACTAAATGTAAACAAAAATTTTCCCATGTATATTAGAGAACTGAGATATATGTTTTTATTGTTCAATAAGGCAATTTCGGAAGCGATGAGTCAAATGTGTATATTCAACTTATTTTACAAACTTTTAAAGCGTTAAAAAAGTAGTTTTAGCAATAAAAAGAGTGGAACATAGATGAATTTTAGACGGTACCGGTACCACGGTCCCAATTCGCAATTGGCACTGAATGTACCTTCTTCTGTTGGCTGATAATTTTCGTCGTATTCTTCTTCTAGGATGATCTGATCGTTGATTACAGTAACCATGATTGCGTTTTTTTTGAACGAAGAAGGTTGTCACTTCGCTGTAAACAATACTACAGAGTACAAACAATTGAATTTGGTTACCAATAAACAACTCGAATTTCAAAATTTCAAAACGCCACCAGTGCGCGGCGCGTTATATTGAGGGAGATTGGTGCTGAGTATATAACATAGATTGGTACACACCAACTGTACGCACAACGTCTTCGTCAGTAAATTTTGCAAAATAAATTCAGTTTTTTTCCCGTTTGTTGCTGCAACTAGCAAATTGCAAATTTCATTGTGTTACAATCTAATATGTTTTCCAAACGAACTATTTCAGGTTGGTTTTTTTAACCTAATTGTATTCGTAATAAAGTGATTGGTTTGAGAATTATTATGCTTCTAATTGTATTTGTTGTCTTTGAAGAGAAAATGAGTCAGCTGAATTATCCCCACATTACCAGGCCTTGAGACTGGGTGACAGCGGATTACATTGTCGAACAACGTTGCGCGGTCATACAGATCTAGCGCATGCTTCTTTGAAGCAGAGCAAATCACTATGCTATCCGTTGAATTGTTATTTTTGTCTACACTATCGATAAATAAAATAGTTTTTGCAGCTTACGAACCTATCGTCCGTTACTGTCTTGAAAGGGGTTCAGTTATTCCAATTGAAGAGTATTTACTACCTGATTTAAGGTATTATTCTAATTTATTTTTCCTAGCAGGTTATGAAGGTTAACAGAAAAATTTTCATGAAGACTTTCACTTTTTAGCACTCGAGAAATCAGCGACATAAAAGGAAATATAAAAAACTGATAAACTTCCAGTTAGTGTGAGTAACTTCCACGACAATGTAACTGAAAAATTTGTATATTGTTTCGGAAGAGAAAGTCTACAATAACAGTCTACCACGAGTGACTTTTACCTTTGTACCTATTACTTTATTTATGGTACTCATCTCTGCTATGTACTGTTCTCGCTATTCTTGGTTTGCAAGCTACGTCATAGACGCCATGTTGGATGACTTTAACCAAGGATTTTCTTTATTCACAATGCAAATTTCATCCAGCATGGCGAGCATTCCATTGTTCTCTTACTCCCAGGGGATGGTTGCAACCCACCAATTATCAGTGCTATTACTTTTTTGCCTATTGTGACGTCAAAGCTGAGTTATTTTTCAAAGTCTAGCGAACTCATTCCCCCATATCGTCATGAAGCAGTGAGCTGATAAAATAATGCAACTATAAAGAATGGATATGGATGAAGAAATTTGTGTCAGATTTCTCGCTTACTTAGGATTCAAAAAATTAAGGGTTTTCTTACGTATGTTTTCTTACGTATGTTTTCTTACGTATATTTCATATTTTGCCATGAATGTGAAGCATCTCATGTGACCCTATGCAATGCAGTTTACCATAAACTTATACTTTTAACTTCACTTGAAATGTTACATGAAAACTCCCTTCAACAAAAGAGCAACGAGAGCTTACAAACAAAGGAATCGTAAAAAAGCAAAAGCTATAACTATTTCGCTTTGTTTTCAGCCAGTTTGTATTTTAATTTAGCTCGAAAACTCGCTGCGTGCAAACCGAAATCTTGATGTAGGGCTAGAATTTGCATGTAAAACAAAGGGAAAATACAGCCTTACAGGAAAGGCTAGTTTTCCCCGTAGGGTTCACTGTTAAAAGTTAAAAACAGCCATTATAACCCTATATTAACCCTTGTAGCAAATATGCTACATTGGATAATCACTAATAAATTCGGTTAGGTTATGCAATATTTTTTTATTTTATTCACCAGTGTAGATTATTTGCTACACGTTTAATGCTAATATGTATTAATAAAACATGTGTCCGCCCCCCCCAGCATCAATTTTCCTAAATCAAATATGGCGGGTCACGAAGAAAGGTGTGGAGAGAATTTGTGGTAAGTTTAATTGCATTTTTTGTTTTGAAATATGATGATTTGTTCTATGAATTTTAATAATATTTAAAAAGGGGCTTTTTTAGACATTTTATGCTAGCTTTTGGCAAAGAATACTGATATTTTATGTTCAAAAAGTTTCGATAAAAATCCTTGTAGTAAATCTACATTGGTCAATAATAGATAAAACAAGCTACATGAAGTATTCGACATAAAGTTGAGGTTTTTTGTAAAAATTACGAAATAAATGCCTGCTTGATATCAATTTTATGATGTCTTTAACATGTCAAGTACTGTGTAGAATGAAATTTCATACTATGACTATAGTTTCTTTTGCTATTTACATATAGTATTGATTTATACATGCTTTTTCAAAGGTCAAATCGCTTTAAAGACATAAATGAGATAATTGATTATGTTATTGGTTCAGAGAATGAGTTGAGTGATTTGTCAGGTGATGATGAAACAGATGAATGGTTACCACCTGGTGATGAAAACCATGTTGCCGAACAACAAGATGATAATATGGACATACTGGCTGACAGTCCTCATAACGAGGATACGAACATTGATTTAAGTGATGTATTTCCTGAAAAAGTGGCCCATGCCTCAACTGCAAGAAACCAAGCAAAACATAAAATTGTATATAAGTTTGACAAGAAAGGAGCATTTGTTCCACCTTCAAACTTAGAATTCATTGATGCACAGCTTGAACCCAAACCAAAAGATGACACTCCCTACAACTACTTCAAATATTTTGTCACCAGCGACATGTTGGAATATTTGGCTAAAGAGTCCAATCATTACGTGCATCAAAAAGTTGAAATTTCTCTTCAAACATCAGCTTGTGAACTTGAAACATTTGTTGGTCTTTTTTCACATGGGATTAGTGCAAATGCCTGCTGTTGGTTGCTATTGGGAAACATAAATCCGTTATAATCCTATAGCTGATGTAATGTCAAGACAACAGTTTCAGAAGCTAGCTTCCTATTTGCACATTGCCAATAACTTAAGTCCATCTGAAAACCAATGCATTGATGAAGTTATGGTTGCCTTCAAGGGAAGATCAATGCTAAAGCAATATCGAAAATGGGGATTCAAGCTTTGGGCTCGATATTCATCAACAGGCTTTTTGCATGTTTTTGATATTTATCAAGGGAAGAATGCCACAATTGAAGATGAAAGCAATGTCTCTGGTTGTGGATTGGGTAGAAATGTTGTTTTGAAGTTGAGTTCAACTCTTCCTGCAGAAAGAAATTTCAAAATCTTTGCTGACAATTTTTTTCTAATTTTGTGATGGTTGCTGAACTGGAAAAAAGAGGATTGCATTATATTGGTACTATTAACAACAATCATCTTCATGGTTCTCCTCTTATATCTGAGAAAGAATTTAAAAGAGTGAAGAGGCTCAGATGACAGTGTTGTTGAGACAACCAGAAATCTCTCTTTGGTTGGATGGTACAACAACAAGTGTGTCACATGATATCCTCCTATATTGGAAATGAAGGTGGCAATGATGTACAGAGATATGATAGATCAAAGAAAGAGCACATAAGTGTTAGTCGTCCATCAGTTAGTCACTTTGGTTAATATAGGGATAAAGTATATACCATTAAAATGTATACGTTCTGTAGCGTGGACTTCATTTTCTTTACTATGGAACTTTCATTTTTAAATATCATTCTTGTTCAATCCTTTGTAATTGTAACTTCGAAAGTCGTCCGTACATTGCCGACGTGTATATTATATTTACATTTAACTTAACTAACAGTCTCGAAAATTTTCGTTAAACAATTTTACAATCTGCGACAGTTATTTTAGAAATGCTTCAGTCGGAAACGTTCCTCCAAGCTTGACTTAATTTATTTTAAAAGAGATTCACCTAATATGACATTGGCGAAGTTATCGACATATTCTTAAATGTTATATAGCATTTGGTTGTACATTTTGTGAATACATATAATTAGAATTCGTATTTTGAATGTTTTTATTCGCGTCATCAATGTTCAAAGAACTTCTTATCCTCATTTATCACAATAAACCATTCTTGATAAAGTGAATGAATCCGCTTCGATATTGAAATTTGGCCCGGTTTCGAATCCATGCGCGAAGATTTCTTCGATTGTTGCAGCTTTTATCATTGGTAGATAATCCGCTGATGTTCCAAATATTTGCAATCTCATAGTATCTCCTAATTTATCAACTCTGAAATTAATCCCTTGCGGCGTCGTCTTAATATCATTAAACTTGTCGAATACATCTGTCACAAGTGATCTGTGACCAGTAACAAATACCGAAAATTTCGACCGATTTACCTCAATATACACAAATTGTAGTCGCATTTTCCTTTCTTCTCTAAAATCATTGGACATTTTTGTTCCTTTGAAAATTTATTTACAACGCAGACTGAAGTTGGAGATTTACAAATTCAAGCCTTTGGTGTGCAAATTACGTAATAAACGGACGTTTGATTATATTAACCAAGCATTTTCCTTATTTGCAATGCCAATGTCATGTCGAGCGAAGGCGCCCAGTTGTAGAAGGCAAGTTTTCGCTGTGCCGAATGAAGTTTGGAAAATTCTTCGTAGTGACGTTAGGGATTACCTTGCTAAAGATGAAATCATTCTATGGTTTTTAATTTGATTGAAGAGAAGAGAAGATCTTTGTAAATAATGATCTTGGTTTCCGAGAATAGAGATGCTTGGCGGTAAAACGTGAATTATGATTATGAAGAGGCCGTGGTAAGATTTACGTTGTAGTTAATTGGAAGAGTTTAAATCGTTTTAAGAAAAGTAGGTATTTGTAAAGTAATTAAGATCGTAATGTGTGATATTAAAATTTTCCACTAGTAAAGGAAGCTCAAGCGTAAAACTTCAGTTTTTCATTCTGGTGAGACTTAAAAAGACAGAAAACAACGGGATTTTCTTTTGTTTATCATGCATCATTCGGTTTGTGCTTCGTCTTGTTTGTGTTTGTGCTTATCTCAAAGCTGATCTTTCATGCTTCGCTTATTGCCTTTGTTTAATACTTCATCGTCACTTTGCTGGTGCTTTATTTCAATTTGTGAACTCAAGAACATTTTACTGTGGTATTATCACGAGGGTTTACCAGACGGACCTTATGCACGGCATTGCATGAAAACTGATCTATAGACATCGAAATCATACTTTGGGTGTCCATGCTTTCAAATACAACCATCAGTTCAGAAATTCAGTTTAAATCAAACAATTTAAAAAATGAATACCATAATGAACGGTTGATAATCACAGAAGATAAAGAAGAAAAATGGCTGTGAGCAATATCACAACAACAGTGGCGTAGCAGCACAACTGGGGACCCGTGAAAAATTATTCAAAGGGCCTCCCTTTGATACCCATATTAAAATGCAACAACCACAACAATATAATACCATCTACATAGTGTTAGTACAAATGTAACTTTAGCCTTAAGCATTCTTGTTCTCTAGTATGATTTCGCTCGTTAGCCTTTAAATTTAAATGTTTTATACGTAAGGTTATGCCCTGCAATTTTTCTTGTTTTAATTCATTGTATAATAATAATCTTCTAATCTAACAGGGGGCCCTTTAGACCAGACCCGTTAGTTCTTTCCTCACCCTTGATATCAATTTTTCCGAACTGACCAGTAGAGAATCATACCTCTATGAAATAGTAATGCTTTCATAGTATTATGTTTTCAAAGTCTATTTGTATATCGTGCTATAGATGCTTGCAATTATTGAGAGTTTTGGGATTAAAGTGATGTGTTGCCAGCACATTGACTGGCCGGCACTTGTTCTATACCATTGATAGAAGTTAGCACGAATAAGTTAAAATGCTTGTTATCATGTTAATATGGAGGTAAGAGATAAGGCTTCTTGTGAACGTTAAAATGTTCGGATCTTCTGTATAACATTGAAATGAAATTTAATTTACAATTGATTTATTAGTTACATAAAGAATTTGCAATACACTGGTAGAGTATTGCAAAATCTTTAAATTACATTCGGTCTATCTGAAATTGAAGTAATTATCATATCAGTCTATAAAGCTGTCGACGTTAAATCTATAATTGGCTCTGTTGTAATATTGAGGGACGTTATAATAGCGTGTCTACCTAGTAGTTAAAATATGGTGAACACAAACATTTTCTGATAAAGTTATTTTAAACACAAGGTTATTTTACAAGCAATTTAATCTGACAACAATTTCCTGTTAACATCGAAGTAAGTCTTTCATACAAATGTTTGCAATTCACAGCTGTGTTCTGCTAATTATATTAAATTACGAGTTTCGACAAAATTTTCAACAGATCTTGTGCAAACACTGGTTTTACGAAATACACGAACTTCAACAGTTTGTCAATTCATGATTGTATTTTACTATTGTTCTTACACTTATTCATTTCATGGCAACAGTTGCAGAATAAAACAGCGGTATGTGTCCGTTTATTTGTTTGTTAGCCTGTTTGCTTGTTTTTCCACACCACTAACTTGTTGTTTAGTATTTTTCAGTTGCAGAGGACGAGAAAACGTAGTCAGTCAAAGCTGTAAGTGTTTTTTCCACTCATCAAATGTAACAGTTTTGTGGCTCTTGTTTCTTTTAGAATGACGAAGCCTGTCGTGGTCAATTAACGCTTCTTACGGTAACTAAGTGTGACCAATTATTTTTACTCGTATTAGATTGAGTACTATCATTAATTAGAATTAAGCATTTTCAGAAAGACAAAATCTTTGTCTTCAACTCTTCGATTGGTGTTTGCAGATGATCAATTGAAAATTTCGATTATACCATATGTATATAATTATTTAGTGCGAAATAACATCTAAACACACCAACACAAAAATATGCACATAAAAGGGATTTTGCAAATTGCAATATTCTAACTAAGTTAGAGAGTTCCCTCGCTCTCTAATTTAGTTAAGAACTTCTAAAAAAAGTCAATGTATTCCAAAACAGACTTCTGCCACCTATTTTGGAATACTTTCACTAAAAATTTCGCGCAGCGTACACTTGATAGTCTTAACATTTTTTGTGATTAAAATAAGATCTTGAATATGGGTATTACATTTTATCGAAACATTTGTTTGATGCAGTACATATTTTCGTTCGTTGTAGTCAGTTATTTTCGTTATGATTGACGTTGCAACTCAGCGTTTATTATGAAATGTGGGTACAATCTCGATTGGAAACGCCTTAGCTACGTTTCATCAGATAACATTGATCTCAGTCGAATAATTCTTGACATCATAACTATTTCCCAGTCCACAGTAAAGAGAACATACAGTAGGGCCACTACATTGAATTCTTTCATGCCACGCATATCTTATTACGCATGTGATTACCATATTGGCAGCCAGTAAATTGCATTATGTGACCAACAGGATTGACGATATGGCAAACGGCAGCCAGTAAACTAATTAAATATGCAGCAGCCAGTTGCATAGCGAAGTGGCCCTACTTTATATTCCTATACTGTCCCCAGGCTACCTACTTGTACGCACTTGGTACCTATTTTTTTGGTACAAAAGCATGTGTTAAAATGTACTCTATAGAAACTGCAAAAATGTAAAGGTGTAACGGACTAACTGTATATAGTTGGTCGAGACAATTATGGGTCACACTTACGTTCGAAAAAATAGCTCACTCGGTCGAAAAAATAATTGTTACACACATCCATAGTCAGCCCCAATCATACCCGACGGTCCTGTAAACAACCAAACGCGATTAAGTGCATGTTTACCTCACAATGAGAGTAGGAATAAAGTGCTTTCGTGTGAAATTATTTGAAATAGTGAAAAATTTGTCATTGTTTTTACAAGTATTTTGTGTGAAAACTGCATGAACTTTGCCATGTTCACTGATTGCGCGTCGATTCGAAATGATCATTAATTTTTTATACATTCATAGACAGAAATTTTCTGAGCCCCCACGAGTCTTATTTTCTGATAAAATTTCTGATGAAAATTTCTGAGCACGTGAAAATCTTATGATAATTAATCAATTATACCTGAAGAGAGGTACAACAAAATAATCAGCGATTTTAAATATGAGTATTACTGAAGAGAGCTATTAAAAAGCGTAACGTTTCGTTTTGACTCCCAAGAAATCATCAGACAGTATTATATTGCAATACAGTAGTGAAGAATATATATATGATAATATGAGTATATCTTATACCAACTTATCTCATCTTACTACAACATCTTTCATGATTGCATCCCACTATATGTAATTCAATATAAAATAAATAAAGAGCGACTTCCACTATCCTAGCTGGTCCTGCATGCGCGCCTGGTGAAGATTGATCAATTTTTTTGGGGGGGGAGGGGGTGAGAAGTGTTATATTCATATATTCATATGCTGTAGTTCATGATGACATTTGATTTCAAAATGAACTAATAACACGGGTGGATCTGCATAAAGCACAAATTAGATGTCTTGAGTAGCATTTATTTCTTTACACATGAAGCTGTTCAGCTCAGGAAAATTAAGTGTGATAAGAGATGCCCTCGTTGTAAAGGATTTGCCCCGATGGGTTGCAAACGTATAGAGCCAACCCAACTGGCAACTGCGGCGAAGGTGCGAGTTCAAGTCTCGTCCAAGTCACATGTTTTTTATGTGCATATAAAAACCGTGTTAGGAATAATATTATGCAAGCACTGCAGTATAAGGAGAGTTACTCGAAGGAACACATTGTGATCAAAAAAATTGACTTAAATGATAGTGACGTAAATTATTCTTTAATGTTCTTTCCCTGTTATAGTCAGTGTAATTTCATGCATAAATAATACACATGATTACGTATAAGAGACATGTATTCGGCTTTTGAATGTTTTTATTTTATGATATTTTTATCGTTGTTCAAAGAGCCTCTTAGTCTTGATAATTTTTATAAACTCTTCTTGAAAACTTGATCAAATCCATTTCAATGTTTGAACGAAAAACATAGGGAAAATACAGCCTTACAGGAAAGGCTGGCTTTTCCGTAGGGTTTACTGTTAAAAGTTAAAAACAGCCATTAAGGCGGATTTCCACTTATTGAAAACTTTCCTATCTTGGAAAATTCTTTAAGCTGAGCATGCGCTCTAGTCGTGTTTCTCTATCTTCTATGGGGCGCCAAATTGGACTTTATTCTAAACTTACAATACAACATAACATACTAAAATTATACATGGCAAACTTTATATACTTCGAGACAAATCTAAAAAATATATGCGAAACTTTTCATATACGTTCGAAACTTCTTGTATCGTATCGTCAAAATTTATAGCGTTCCAATTTTCATATACGGTATGAACTTTTTACATCGTGTTCCAATTGCTATACGATATGGCGAACTTTTACATCGTGTTCCAATTTTCATATACGGTATGGCGAACTTTTAAATCGTGTTGCATAATGCTTTGATCCCACTCTGGATTTCATATGAATTTAAATATATTAGTGCCCAGGTCCTGTGTTTTAGAGAAGTGTATTGTTTTGATTTGACGCCGCCATATTGACAACATGTTTGCATTCGACATCGTGCTATCTCGACTTTAAACATAATAATTCAATCAAAATAAACTCTCAATACATGGCTGAAAATACTGGAAACTTTCGGGCTGCTTTATCAAGTCTTGCTCAGGAGGCGCGTAATCTTCTGGATAATTTCGATGATAGAAATACTTTGACAATTTCGCTGCTTTAGAAGAATCATATCATTTTACCCTTGTTGTTACGTCATATCTGTTAATGAAAGTACAAATTCAAGATAGCAAAAGCGTTTTGATTGTTGCTTAATAAGTTGTTTTTATTTCAATGTATTTACTCGGAAATTGAAAAATTTCCAATGTTTCAAATGTATTCCCTAACATAGATGGCAAACTTAATTTTTGTTGCCAATTCTTACTGTAATAGTCGACATTGTTTGACAAATTGTTGAAATTAGTCCGGCATATCTACGTATATTATTACATGAATATTACAGAGGAATCTTACACATAGTTACTGTGTGACTTGATATATACTTCAATTGCATTGACATGCGTGATCATCAGGGGCGGATTATCTGGGGGTGGCAGGGAACTTTTCATTTCAAAAGCAATTATATATTTTATACCACCACCATTTTCAATCGAGTATTACCATGTGCGTTTTCACGAAAACATTAAAGTTGAAATTAATTACTAAGTGCATGCTCAGACAAAAATCATACAGATTTTTTTTACAAACGTAATAACATTTTCTTTATGCAAGTGGTTCACTCTTCTAAAAATTCTTAAAACGTTGCGTTAATGGCATTCACAAAATGCATGTACGTGTGAACTTTGTTAAATAAGTTGTTGTTTTGACTTGCTAAAGCTGCAATATAAGCAAACTGATCTTCAGTTAAATTTAGTGTTGTTTCAGGTACAACCACACCAGCTACATTTTCAATTTCATCACGTGCTTCTATTTCATATGATTCAACTTCATTGCTTGATAGTACATTGTCTAAAGTTGAGTTGCTTTGTGTTGCACATCTTACAATGCTTTCTGACCAAAGTTGCAAAGGTGATAGCCCTCCTTCAGTACTGATTCCATGGTGATTCCATTGATTAACAAACTCTTGTAAGGACTGATTAATGACTGTGACAAAAACAAGCTGTAGTGCAAGAAGATGTACCTCATTGGCAGGATCAAGAAGACCTGAATGTTCCATCATGTTAAATTGATCAATATAAGCCTTTAGAACACCAGTAGTAACATCTCTTTGAAGCCTTTCAACTCATTGGTTGTGAACTGAAGCACCTGTGATGATACTTCCCCTGTTTGTTCCACGGCACTCCAACATCATTCGAGCAACACCCACGTTTTCAAGTCCATGATCACATCTCACTCTTGAAGGTAATCCATATGAACGACATGCATCTTGGAATAATTCTAAAACTGTGTTTGCTTTGTTGTTAGTAGCACAGCTTAAATATGGTATCAACTTGGAGTAGCCATCAATGGATGTATGAGCCACCATTCGCCAGCGAATCATTTTATGGTTCCCGTCGATGTGCCACAGAGCATTTGCACAACCCACATTGTAATTTCTTCTGCAAATTGCTCCCCGCCAACGAAGTGCTGTTCCAACTGGATCCAATTCACGCATTAATGTCCTCACACGTGACCGTTGGACCCTTATATTTCGGCTCCTCAGTGCACCTACCATACGTGTTTGTCCTATTCCTGGAGTAACACTCATAATCTCTTGCATTGTTTCTCTAAGTTCAATGTCACTTATGGTAGACCAAGATTCTTCTACATCAATTTGAAACTCTACACGTCTTCGTTGTAATGTTTTTGTTGAGATACCCAATAATTCAGCGATTCTAGTCCAAGAAAAGTGCAATTCCCTTAGACATTCTACTAATCTCTTAGATATTTCGAGTCGCGGTTGACCTCTTGTGCCTGTGTACCTTCTATGGCAATTGTAGGTTGGAGTATAAGGTATCTGATTCTGAAGGTCGTTGATAAGGTTCTGAAAGAAACTCTGAAGTCGACTTAAATAGAAGGATAACTGGTGCATGTCGTTATAAAAACTCGCCATATGAAAATCATCCATAAGATTTAATGCTCTCTGTTTTAACGTGAATACAGTGTCAATATGGCGGCGTCAAAATCAAAACAATACACTTCTCTAAAAACCTGGGACCTGGGCACTAATATATTTAAATTCATATGAAATCCAGAGTGGGATCGCAAAGCATTATGCAACACGATGTAAAAAGTTCGCCATACCGTATATGAAAATTGGAATACGATGTAAAAAGTTCGCCATACCGTATATGAAAATTGGAACACGATGTAAAAAGTTCGACATACCGTATATGAAAATTGGAACACGATGTAAAAAGTTCGCCATACCGTATATGAAAATTGGAACGCTATAAATTTTGACGATACGATACAAGAAGTTTCGAACGTATATGAAAAGTTTCGCATATATTTTTTAGATTTGTCTCGAAGTATATAAGGTTTGCCATGTGTAATTTTAGTATGTTATGTTGTATTGTAAGTTTAGAATAAAGTCCAATTTGGCGCCCCATAATCTTCGGTCGGAAATATTTTTCTGCGCAAGGAAAAAAGAAAGTTGAAAAATTTCAACTTTTTTCTTTCTTTCATTGGAAAATATCTTTACAAACCAATCAAAATCAAGTAGACGTGCGGGCTATGTTTAGCCTGAACTACTGCCTGAACATTGTTGCCCGCGAGTTCATAAACAACATGGACGGCACAAACGAAGTCTACAATTCAAACAACAACGATTTATTGACAATATCCGATAGTCGTTTAGCAGAATTACTTCAAGACCCATCACATTCCAGTGTTAACCTTTGTCCTATACCAAGAACTGATTTTATGTCTTCAAGTACAATCAATGTGACGAAATTGGACAGTCGTAGCAAAAACATTTTAATAACACAGTGATAGAGTTAGTGCGAGACAGACCATGCCTATGGGACGTTTCAGCTAGATCATATAAGGAGAAGCCAAAGAAAGATGAAGCTTGGAGACAAGTTGCTACACAGCTTCGTGTCACAGGTTGGTTTAACTTTGTTCATAAATGTTGATATAATTTGCTTTATCATATACGTACTGACGTACATACATTTAATTTATCGTAATACTGCAGTTTTTAAGAAAATGAAAACCTTTCTTTTGAAATATTTGCGTAGACATCGCAATTTTAAAAAGTGAATGGACAAGAATAACAGCAAACTACAAAAAAGCAGGGAAGGGAAATCTGGTGATCCAGGTTGTAAGAAATTGCCAAATTGTGAATTTTTTAATGAATTAAGTTTCCTGCATGAGATTTGTTCAACACACGAAACCTATGGCAACATATCCATCGTCAATGAAGGATCTCCAACACAACCATTTGAAAATATATTTCCCACTACTTCTCCTGCTTTATCTGATGTCTCCTCAAGTTCTTTAATGTCAAACTCGCCTGCCTCGCCAGTTCCTGTTACCCCAGATCAACATATTCAGATGAAGAAAACTCAACCAAGTAGTAACTACTCCGAACGACGCAAGAGAAAACAAGACACAAGTGAAATGGTTGATGCCCTTATGGTCAAAGCTTTACATGATTCACAGCTGTTGGGTAAAAAGGAAAACAATCATGATCAAGATGATCCAGACAGTCTTTTTTGTGGAAGCATTGTTGGTCAAATGAAACAATTGACCCCAAAAATGAGAAATAAAGCACGTTGTAAAATTTCTCAAGTTATGTTTGAACTCATAAGTGAAGAACAATGAGTTATTGTTTGTTATTTACATTTTTGGGGATTGCATTGAAATGTTTAGTTTTAACTGTTCATTCTTATTGCTAGACGAATTATAAATAGAGTTATGTCATTACTAGCACATTTTGATATTTTACAACATTTCAACTAATTTCATGGAAGAAAATAATCTACGCATTGTGGGGGATTCTGTAAGATAAGTTGCTATAATTAATGATGGTCAAAAGGATTTGTTGTGCTGTTTGTCATTTGTATTTGCCATGGTACAGAACCAGCTACAGAACAGAAGTAGTCCCTAAAACTGTCTCGAACAGTTTTTGCATTTCTTGTGTAGTTTTGTGTGCCAAGCTTTCCAATGTTTATCAATCCAGTGTAGTCAGTGACAAAAGATCTCCATTCACCTGGTTTAAATCCATTTTGTGTCTCATTGTCACTGTATCCTGGAGGACGATAGAGTGATTCAACTTGATTTGGTCTTTTTATCATACAAAAGTTGTGCAAAGCTACAACAGCCTTGGTTACTTTCACAACAGTTTCAACTTTTGCAATGATAGGCCTTCGAAAAATCCTGAACCGTGATGCCGCAATGCCAAAACAGTTTTCTATTATTCTCCTCGCCCTTGATAATCGATAGTTGTAAATTCGTTCTTTGCATCCCAATGGTGCTGCTGGATAAGGTTTCATTATGTTCACTTTCAGAGGAAAAGCCTCGTCATCCACAAATACATAAGGAAATTTGATGGATGTTTGCTCAATTTCTTCATCCGGAGGAAAATGCAATCGGTTTTCTAAAATACACTGGCCAAGAGCACTATTGGAGAATACCCCACCATCGCTGTTCCTTCCTGTATCACCTATATCGACCATTGTAAACAAGTAATTTGCATCACACACAGCCTTCAGTACCATAGAGTGCGTTTTTTTATAATTGAAGAACATTGAACCTGATCGATGAGGGGTTTGCATAGCAACATGCTTTCCATCTATTGCGCCTACGCAGTGATCAAAATTCCATTTTGATTCAAAATCGTGTGCAATTTGTCTCCACTCGTCTTCAGTAGTAGGTACTTTTAATATATCGTTACTTAGCATTACAGTCCAAATAGCTTCGCAAGTTTCGTTGATAATTCGACTTATTGACGTGGGACTTATTCGATAGGCCATTGCTATGGTTATTTGAGCATCTTCAGTGCACAAATAACGTAAAGTTACGCACATCCGCTCGCTCGGGGTTATTACTTTCCTTCGTTGAGACGATTTCTTCAAATAGGGACTAATCCATTGAAGCAGGTCCTCGAATTGTTTTGGTGTCATTCGGAAATATGTAAAAAATAAAACTTGATCATATAACCAAAGATCTTTGATTAGTCGATTCATTTCTCCTTTAATATCACGTTCTCTGTATAGTTTTCGCACCCAGACACTTTTCTTATACTTATCTCTTCAATTGAGCCTCCTCTTAAGTAAATACAACATCAAAAGTCGTTTATTTAAAGCCGCCATATTGTTAATTTTGTAACAAGCTCGGTTTTCTGAAGAAACATAGATTACTACAGTGGAAATGGATGCAGGATCTTTTCCCGTCAATTGTAGAGAAATATTTCTTTCTATAGAAGGTTTTCAATAAGTGGAAATCCACCTTTATAAAGTATATGCCATTAAAATGTTACGCTCTGTAGCGTGGACTTCATTGTTCTTACTATGGAACTTTCAATTTAAATATCATTCTTGTTCAATCCTTTTATAATTGTAACTTCGAAAGTTGTCTGTACATTGCCGACGTGTATGTTATATTTACATTTAACTTAACTAACAGTCTCAAAAATTTTCATTAAACAATTTTACAATCTGCGACAGTTATTTTAGAAATGCTTCATTCGGAAACTTCCTCCAAACTTGACTTGATTTATTTTAAAAGAGATTCAACTAATATGACATTGGCGAAGTTATCGACATATTCTTAAATGTTTTATAGCATTTTGTTTTACATTTTGTGAATACATATAATTAGAATTCGTCTTTTGAATGTTTTTATTCGCGTCATCAATATTCAAAGAGCTTCTTATTCTCATCACAATAAACCATTCTTGATAAAGTGAATGAATCCGCTTGGATATTGAAATCTTCCCCGGTTTTGAATCCAAGCGCAACGATTTCTTCGATTGCTGCAGCTTTCATTATTGGTAGATAATACGCTGATGTTCCAGATAGTGTTATTCTCATAGCACGTCCTAATTCATCTTTACTCAAAACAATCCCTTGCGGCTTTATATGATAAAAACTGTTGTATATAGTTGACAAAAGTGATCTGGGACCCGTAACAAATACCGAAAAATTCGACAGATTTACCTCAATATACGCAAATTGTAGTCGCATTTTCCTTTCTTCTCTAAAATCATTGGACATTTTTGTTCCTTTGAAAATTTATTTACAACGCAGACTGAAGTTCGAGATTACCAATTCAAGCGTTTGGTGTGCAAGTACGTAATAAACGCTACGTTGAATTATAATAACCAAGCATTTTCCTTATTTGCAATGCAAATGTCATGTCCAGCGAAGACGTCAAGCTGTAGAAGTCAAGTTTTCGCTGTGCCGAATGAAGTTTGGAAAATACTTCGTAGTGACGTTAGGGATTACCTTGCTAAAGATGAAATCATTCTATGGTTTTTAATTTGATTGAATAGAAAAGAAGTTCTTTGTGGATAATGATAATTGTGTATCGTTCGGAAGATCTTGGTTTCCGAGAATAGAGATGCTTGGCGGTAAAACGTGAATTATGATTATGAAGAGGCCGTGGTAAGATTTACGTTGTAGTTAATTGGAAGAGTTTAAATCGTTTTAAGAAAAGTAGGTATTTGTAAAGTAATTAAGATCGTAATGTGTGATATTAAAATTTTCCACTAGTAAAGGAAACTCAAGCGTGAAACTTCAGTTTTTCATTCTGATGAGACTTAAAAAGACAGAAAACAACGGAATTATTTTTGTTCATAATGCATCATTCGGTTTGTGCTTCGTCTTGTTTGTGTTTGTCCTTATCTCAAAGCTGATCTTCCATACTTCGCTTATTGTCTTTGTTTGATACTTTATCGTCACTTTGCTGGTGCTTTATTTCAATTTGTGAACTCAAGAACATTCTACTGTGTTATTATCACGAGGGTTTGCCAAACAGATCAGACAATAGACAACGTCACCTTATGCACGGCATTGCATGAAAACTGATCTATGGACATCGAAATCATACTTTGGGTGTCCATGCTTTCAAATACAACCATCAGTTCAGAAATTCAGTTTTAAATCAAATAATTTAAAAAATGAATACCATAATGAACGGTTGATAATCACAGAAGATGAAAAGGAAAGATGGCAGTGAGCAATATCACAACAACAGTGGCGTAGCAGCACAACTGGGGACCGAGGAAAAATATTCAAAGGGCCTCCCTTCGATAACCATGTCAAAATGCAATTACCACCACAATATAATACCATCTACATAGTAATGGTACGAATGCACTTTTAGCCTTAAAAGCTCTTTAAATTTAAATTTTTTATACGTAAGGTTATGTCGTGCAATTTTTCTTCTTTTGATTCATTGTATAATAATAATCTTCTAATCTAACATGGGGGCCTTTAGACCAGGGGGCTCGTTAGTTCGCCCATCCTGAGCCCATAGTAGTTACGCCACTGCGAAACAGCTTTAAAATAAGAACGTATAAACAAAACAAAAACTATGAAGTTTAACATATATACTAAAATATTTTATCAAAATACCATATTGATGTACTAAGAATATCTGTATGAAATACAGACGATTAATTTTTTACTAATTGGCATATTTAGTCTTAATACGATGACATCTTACGTTATACACGATGACATCATTCATTATATACGATGACATCTTATGTTATACACGATGACATCATTCATCATACTATATTTCTAGAATATAAAGTCTTCGTCAAGATGTTGCAAATGGAAGAAATGGATTATCCTTCCACACAAAACACCTTTCCTCACCCTTGATATCAATTTTTCCGAACTGACCAGTAGAGAATCATACCGCTATGAAATAATAATGCTTTCATAGTATTATGTTTTCAAAGTCTATTTGTATATCGTGCTATAGATGCTTGGAATAATTGAGGGTTTTGGGATTAAAATGATGTGTTGCCAGCACATTGACTGGCTGGCACTTGTTCTATACCATTGATAGAAGTTAGCACGAATAAGTTAAAATGCTTGTTATCATGTTAATATGGAGGGGCTTCTTGTGAACGTTAAAATGTTCGGATCTTCTGTATAATATTAAAATGAAATTTAATTTACAATTGATTTATTAGTTACATAAAGAATTTGCAATACACTGGCAGAGTATTGCAAAATCTTTAAATTACATTCGGTCTATCTGAGTACTATCATTAATTAATATAAAGCATTTTCAAAAAGACAAAATCTTTGTCTTCAACTCTTCGATCGGTGTTTGCAGATGATCAATTGAAAATTTCGATTATACCAAACGTAGATAACTATTTAGTGCGAAATAACATCTAAACACACTAACACAAAAATAGGCACATAAAAGAGACTTTGCAAATTGCAATATTCTAACTAAGTCAGAGAATTTAGGTAAGAACTTCTAACAAAAGTCAGTGTATTCCAAAATAGACTTCTGCCACCTATTTTGGAATACTTTCACTCCAAATTTCACGCAGCGTACACTTGATAGCCTTAGCATTTTTTTGTGATTAGAATAAGATCTTGAATATAGGTATTACATTTTATTGAAACGTTGTAGTCAGTTATTTTCGTTATGATTGACGTTGCAACTCAGCGTTTATTAAAAAATGTGGGTACAATCTCGATTGGAAACGCCTTAGCTTCGTTTCATCAGATAACATTGATCTCAGTCGAATAATTCTTGACATCATAACTATTTCCCAGTCCACAGTAAAGAGAACATACAGTAGGGCCACTCTATTGAATTCTTTCATGCCACGCATATCTTATTACGCATGTGATTACCATATTGGCAGCCAGTAAATTGCATTATGTGACCAATAGGATTGACGATATGGCAAACGGCAGCCAGTAAACTAATTAAATATGCAGCAGCCAGTTGCACAACGAAGTGGCCCTACTCTGTATTCTTATACTGTGCCCAGGCTACCTACTTGTACGCACTTTGTACCTATTTTTTGGTACAAAAACATGTGTTAAAATGTAGAAACTCTATAGAAACTGCAAAAATGTAAAGGTGTAACGGACTAACTGTATATAGTTGGTCGAGACAATTATGGCTCACACTTACGTTCGAAAAAATAGCTCACTCGGTCGAAAAAATAATTGTTACACACGTCCATAGTCAGCCCCAATCATCCTCGACGGTTCCGCAAACAACTAAACGCGATTAAGTGCATGTTTACCTCACCATGAGAGTACGAATACAGTGCTTTCGTGTGAAATTATTTGAGATATTGAAAAATTTATCATTGTTTTTACAAGTATTTGTGTGAAAACTGCATGAACTTTGCCATGTTCACTGATTGCGCGTCGATTCGAAATGATCATCAATTTTTTATACATTCATAGACCGAAATTTTCTGAGCCCCCACGAGTCTTATTTTCTGATAAAATTTCTGATAAAAATTTCTGAGCACGTGAAAATCTTATGATAGTTAATCAATTATACCTGAAGAGAGCTACAAAAAAATAATCAGCGATTTTAAATATGAGTATTACCGAAGAGAGCTATTAAAAAGCGTAACGTTTCGTTCTGACTCTCAAGAAATCATCAAACAGTATTATATTGCAATACAGTAGTGAAGAATATATATATAATAATATGAGTATATCTTATACCAACTTATCTCATCTTAATACATCTTTCATGATTTCATTCCACTATATGTAATTCAATATAAAATAAATAAAGAGCGACTTCCACTATCCTAGCTGATCCTGCATGCGCGCCTGGTGAAGATTGATCAATTGTGGGGGGGAGGGGGTGGGGAGAAGTGTTATATTCATATATTCATATGCTGTAGTTCATGATGACATTTGATTTCAAAATGAACTAATAATACGAGTGGATCTGCATAAAGCACAGATTAGATGTCTTGAGTAGCATTTATTTCTTTACACATGAAGCCGTGCGGCTCAGGAAAATAAAGTATGATAAGAGATGCGCTCGTTGTAAAGGTTTCCTCCGATGGATTGCAAACGTATAGAGCCAACCCAACCGCGGCGAAGGTGCGAGTTCAAATCTCGTCCAAGTCACATGTTTTTCATGTGCATATAAAAAGCGTGTTATATAGAAATAATATTATGCAAGAACTACAGTATAGGAAGAGTTACTCGAAGGCACACATTGTGATAAAAAAATTGACTTAGATGATAGTGATGTGAATTATTCTTTACCGTTCTGCCCTGTTTTATTCAGTGTAATTTCATGCATAAATAATACACATGATTACGTATAAGAGACATGTATTCGGTTTTTAAATGTTTTTATTTTATGATATTTTTATCGTTGTTCAAAGAACCTCTTAGTCTTTATATTTTTTATAAACTCTTCTTGAAAGCTTGATCGAATCCATTTCAATGTTTGAATTATGCGCAATTCGAAATCCAAACATGGCGATTTCTTCGAGTGCTGCTGCTTTCAAAAGTGGAAGATCACGTTTTACTTTGGATTGCAGTGACAGGGTTATCCTCATAACGTTGCCAAATTGTTTTTCATCGATAGTATACTCTGATGAGTAAAATCTACTGAATGCCCGCCGTATTATTGAAATAGGACCCATAAGATCTACCGAACAATCCGACGAATTTACATCGATATAGGCATATTGTATTGTCGTTTTGTCTTCTTCTCCAGATTCCCCAAACGACATTTTTCGTATTTTTAAACTTTCTTTCTAACGCAGATACTGAACTCGATTCAAGGCAACGTGATCTTCTGTGTTTGCACCTTTTGACTTATATACATAACACTGAGAAAAATGTGTATAACTATTGAAATTCTCGGAAGCAAATATTGCATTATGACGTCATGTCGAACTTTGTATTTCAAAGGAAACGAATTCAAAAATTAAAGTCTGTTTGCCTGGGGGGAGGGAGGAATATTTAGCCATCCAAAGTGATTTTGACTTTTTTTGCCTCAAAATTTTACTAAACCTTAATACAGTCAAACTGCTGTGTTTAACACGATCAGTTCTACTTTCACTTTGGCACTATCGCACATTGCACCTACTTGCCCAATTACTTACCCACTAATTGGTTCAATAATTGGTTTATTTTCGCGTATTTTGTCTGAAAGAAGAACAGTAAAATTGGCGCAATTTTTTCTTAAATTGTGCTGATATTAGCGATCAGTTTTCCGTACTACGTCAAAACTTACAGAGAAGAAGAGAATAAATTATTGAAAAATTGAGTTTGGTATCAGCGTTTGGAAAACGGTTTTAAAAGATCAACAACGTTTTCCAATGATTATAGACAAGTAAGCAAAACAACACCACATCATGCGAAGATTGAAGTTGACAATATTAGCTACGTTGTATTATTTGAAATCAAAAAATTCTCACAATTCAAGCTTTTTGTTTTGCTAATTTGATTGAAAATCTTTGCAGAATCATTGCCAATTATTTACTGTTGTATCTTATGGAAGCAGGTTACCTACAATTTTGCATTTCTTATCACAACTTTAATGAAGCTCAATTCTTGCCAAAAATAATCCAAACTATCAAGGTGCCTTTGAAATTCTGTTTCTATCGTTTGTTTTGTCTAATGTCAATGGATTATTTCCGACAAAAGGCACAAAAACTGGTCGTGTTAGAATTGAAGATTTTGTTTGACCTAAAGGCTCTAGAACGTTCACGCTGTTGAATAGCCTGTATTGTTTCAGTTTCGTAGTATTAATCTTTTCCTTTAAAGTATGTGATGATGAAGCATTCGTTTCTTTAAATGGACCAGCATTACTTTGGTTTAAGTTCTCCGTTTTCTGTAGAGTGGTTTCTTTTTTAATAGCGCGCACATATGAAAGTTCCACATCGGACGAATTTTTTATGAAAATTGGTTTGTCTGACTCTTTTGTTGGTGTTTTATCACGTTCTTTCCCAGTGAACCCTTTAGTATTTGACCATCCTATTGGATATTTCACCTTCTGTCTTTCGGTTTTCAACCATGTGATTAACGGCTCGAAGTATTCTAACATAGCGTCAGCGCGAAGTTCTCTTTCCCCAGTCATCTTGTAGAGAGTTTGTGACCAGGGGCCGCTAGAGCCTGCTGCTAACAGCTCTCTGCAAAATTCCAACAGTCTAGTTTAATAGGTAGATGTTTGAAACATTAAAAAATATTGAGTTTATTTTAGTCTGGGCTTTATTTTGAAAACATAAAGTTGTAATTTCTGAAGTTTCTATGTGAAACGTTCCTAATTGATGACGTTTATACTTATGTACGCATAATATGTCGTATTAATTTTTTTTGAAATGCCTTTTTTGCTGTGGATTATGACATGCATATCAACATATATAAAAACAATCACTTCCCTCAATCATCGATCTCCCTACACCTTAGGCCTGTTTCAAACCTCGCATTATACGCGAGCCGAATGCATTTGAAACAAAAGATAATGAGAAATTTTTTCTTATTTTCTGTTGTTGTCTTTAATGCATTCGGCTCATGTAAAATGCGACGTTTGAAGCGGGCCTCATACCTGAATTTCTTCCCGGCTTCCTTTGACTTATAAATGGAGCATTTGTACAGTGGTTGTTTAGATTTTGCAATCTTACAGAGGGCTCGATGGAATTGAAACTGCAGTATATGACTGATAAAATAGCTGAAAAATTTAAATGAAGTTTACAACAATGTACGTCCTCAATATTACATTCTACTCTCACATCAAGGTTCTTGGAATATTTTTGCCTGTCCTCAAAAGTTATCAACAAAGCAAATACCTGATGTACGGAGAGTTTGTGGCAATGTGAAATTTGGCTCCGGGATCAAAGTTCGTCTCGTCACGTGGTAGAGGAGGTGCGACACCCTGGTAATGTGTTCTCAATTTCCACCATTCAGAATTGTAGGACTGTGCCGTAATATTTCCGGAGAAGACCCGCCAGCGCCATTGATCAACTAAGAAAGCAAAGGGGACGAACGCCACACGTTGTAAAGCTTGACGAAAAAGGAAGCTTATTGAGCTGTCTAAAATCAAAAACGATGAATTTTCATTTATATGGTTACGAAGAGATTCATTTATTTCTATCCAAGTTCACAATAAAACGTTCTATTTTTATCAAATTACGTAGATGTACGTTTTAATTTTTACACCTAACTTTACAGGATCAACACTGTCCCTTTGTAAAAAACAACTACTCCAAATAAGTAATACGTCACTGAATTCGACAAATACATACAAAGTTAAACCAACGTATAAATAAGGGCAATGACTCAGAAATTGGCAATGATTTCTTGCTGTAAAATTTTTGCAATTTATATAATGGCTTAATTAATTATTAAACATGCTTTCGGAAGTGTTAGCGAACCGTATAAAAACATTGAGCAGCAGTGTTCTTTTCAATAAAATGCGCATACACTCACTATATGTGTCTTCGGCCTTATCCAGTAAGCCAATCTCCTTCAAATGTGTTGGGTTTTCTACTGAGAGAGATATAGTGTCACCCACAGCTTCATGAAATCCTGGATTGGCTCCACTACGATACGCGAATGGCTTGTCTTTGTACGCAAGAAAGTAGGCACAGTGTCCCATTTCGTGATGGATGACGATGAGATCAGTGTGGCTAACTTTTGTGCACATCTTTATTCTATAGTGTTTCAAAATAGATCACACATTATAAAGGTCCGCTTTGCCATGATCGTCTATACTTACTAATATTAACATAGCATCTGTATTATTTATAAGAATTAGACTGACAAATGGCATTGTAACGAAGCTTAGTCCTGTGAAGTCTCTAAGTCTCTTAACAAAGTTTAGTCCTGCTATGTAAATTTTAAAAAATTATCCGCGATGAACTATTTAGAAATCTATTTTTGCCACAGTTGGTCCACACAGAAATATTTTTCCAACTGAAGTTGGAACCCTGAAATGGGTTATAGCCACGCTACTGGACGTTAGAAAATACTGAAGAGCTGAAATAATTAATTGTTACCTTACCTCACTTCACCTTCAGAAAAGTCCCAAGCGGATGCATGGCATACAACCTTTTTTTCTTTGGTTTCTCCAAAAGAGACTTATTCCAGAAAGAAAGGGGCATGGGCTCTAGACCGAGTGAAACATAGAATGACTGGGCCAATCTAAACATTTTCTCCGCGGTATAGCTTTGAGCTTGCAAGTTTTTAGTCACATTAAATGTGTTTGTATTCGGAAAGGGATTTACGAGATCAAATACGTGATCCCAGTGTTGTCCCCACATGTCCCCTAAGATGTGAGCTGGTATGGGCTTATTTACAGATATGTCTTCATAATTAAGACTCAGTTTGTATCGAACGTAAGCATGTAATTCTTCATACAATGGCCTTATTTGTGCCCAAGCCTTGTCTAAAGTTGGCCTAAAACTAGAACCGAGCTCATAATGCGAACGCTCAAAATAACCGTAATCAACCCAGCCATGCTCGCGGGCTCCTAGATTGACAATTTTCACAAATTCTTCATAAAGCGGTTTTATTTTGGGCCCTACTGCATTACGCCAACCCTCCCATGCGAACAACAGCTTCTCGTAATCTCGAGAAATTGCCATTATGTTGATCAAGCCAGGCTCCAGTTCCAAATATTTTGTTTTTTTGCTTAATGAATCTATATAGTACACTTTTCCCCTGCTATAGATACTGGTCATCTTTGCTTGAAGTTCGTTAAGGAGTCGAAGTTTGGCTTCAGCTTTCGGCGATGCACTTCTACTGATGAGCATTAGTTGTCGCGTCACGTCTTCCGATAAATTAGCATTATCTAATATGCTAGTCGCATTTTTGCTGCCTTCTATAAAAAACAACGTGGCTTTGGTCGATGCCGTTACTGAATTACGAAGGTTCTCTTCGGTTAAGTCTGTCTCGTACCGCCATGACATTTCAGTTGTTGTTTTTGACATGTTCGTCGCGCGAATTTCATAATAACGCAGAAAATCCGACGCTATTTTTTCTGTTAGCTTTTTCTGTGTCCTAGTTCCAATACTTTGCGAATCATAGATATTTACGATGCTTAGCACCAGCACTAACAATACTGTTGACATCTTAGTCTTTTGAAAAAGTCCGAGGTTTTGATACTATTCAGAAAAGTTTCGGAAAGATTGCCCTTTGTCTGAATCTCTCTACTTTGCATCCAATTGCTTATCGTTAAAAATTCTCATCATGCAACATGCATGGCGTGATTTAAACATTCGACAAGGGAATAATAAAATTTTCGACGTTTGATTTTTATGTGATCACTGCTTTTCACTTCACATTGTCAACATTGTATCACTCCTCTATTTTGCTACTCGTTGTTCATCGTCTTTCAAATGATTTGTCAAATATCCGTTCCCAAATAAAAGACTGGTTGACAGCACGACTGGTAAGAGATTTCATTAATATTCATGTTTTATCGTGTTTTGACGGGCACTGCTTTACCTGTTAGTTGAAACAATCACTTTCAATGATGAAGAACAGGTTAGGATAAGATAAACAGAACAACTGAGCGTGTTTGCAATTTTATATAGAGATACATCTTTCCGTTTTTTTATTAGCGTTCTAATCTATCATGTACATGTTGTAGGCAGAGTATTCGTGGTTAAATATAAGGAAAACATTGATAATGTTATGAACAGTACAAAGGACAGGTATGTCTGACAAGATTTTCAAGGATGAGAAAATTAAGCAAGATTAATTTTGAAAACTTAAACTTGTGATGAAATTCCTTCTCAAAAGATAAACCCACGGTCCCCACTCCAAGATAGGATCACATAAACACAAAGCTATAGAGACAACGAGGAATGTGTGATTATAAGCTTGTTATAATCACACATTCCTGATTTAAGACTAACTTTCGGAAACAAAGATTCGATCTATTGTGTTTGCTTTACATGACATGAAATAAAAAATGTAGAGACTGCAAAGTGTCCTGTAAATGGGGAAGGGGGAGACGATCAAAAGAACATGCTCTTTATATGGGACGCTGACTTTTACCCAATAAATTGTTTTTCCACTAAAAGAGGAGAGCCTTACACATATATTTCCTTCTCTACTCTGCCAACCCATATTGTATGCATATAAAGATTGAAATACAGGTGCATGTATGGGTTGTATTGATTTTAAGACACAATGTTTGAGTATCCTTAACTTAGAGGGCGGGGGATGTGGCACACAATTTGTTTAAAGTTTCAAAAATAACTAAAAAGTAACTTGAGAGTGCAATTTTGTTTTTTAATAATTAAAATCAATGATATCGTTATTAATGCAAATTTGAATAAAAACTGAACTGCTAAGTCATTACTTTATCGTTTTTAAAAGTAAAACATTTTACCGCAAGACTCAGAATGATAGTCCTACCAACTACCACATGTACGTACCCTCGTACCTATTTTTTATTTGTTTGCGATATTCTAACACATGCGCAGCCTTTACTTCGAGCTACCAAGTAAAAATTGTACTTTTATTTATTTATTTATTCACAAAATTGTTTTTCTGTGGTAGAGTTTTAGCATGTTTGGCAATGGCAATGTGCAAGAGTAAATAATGGAGGTTGAGCATGTTCCACATCGAAGGCTACCAAAACCTATACAATTTCGAGCGCCATTACAAAGTCCTGAAATCAATGCACAATTGAATGTGACTCCCGAGAAAAAGGATCGTAAAGATGTTAATGAAGTGTGTGAAGCAAGGAAAAAGACTAGTTTTTCAAAGTCTGTTGAAACAATAGAAAGGTTTGTGAAAAAATTGATGATTTTGTAAGCCTGCTGGCGTTTGATTTCTCACTCTTCTTCCATACTCTCCCATTCACCATGCAAATAAGCATGTGTCTGGTGGAAAGCTCACACATTTCTTAGCTGGTCCTCAAATATTCCCTCGAGTCGTTTGAGTCGCTTCAATTTAGTCGTTTCAGTTGTCTGTTTAGAGCTCTGTCATATCAGCTTACATTGTAGTGACGATCAAGGCAACTGAGTCCACTAAGAGGCCTGTCAGGAAAGTATACTTTTTGCATATCGCAGATTTTTTTCTCATATTAACTTTGCACACGAAGCATATTTATCAATTTATCAACAGAGAGAGAAAGAGAGAGAGAGTAGACCAAGTTGGTCATTAAAACTAAATTAAAATATGGTCTCATGCTGTTAGGTGACATTATTTATTGGAGTAACAAATACTTTGAGTAAACTTTCAAATGAACAATGACAAAATTGCAGTATTTTTCAAGCACATATTTGATTTTTACACAAGCACACCAATAATTTCATTGTGCACACCTGAGATCTCGTTGAAAAACTACATACTTTCCAGACTGGCTAAGAGGACTTAAACGACTTCGATAACATAGTCATAAAGTTATGTTTCATTTATTGAACAAAGGACAATTGTGCCCTATAATCATTATATAAACAGGATTTCAACTTTTGAACAATGGCAAGACATTTTCTGCATTACAAAAAAACATCAAAGCTTGAAAGCTCATGAGTTTTGCTGATATAACAAAACCACTTCCATTTATCCATGCAGATTTAGCTACTTTCCATTTCTAAAAAAAATTCAGTCACATCATCAGATTGTTAAGTTGAATTAGTGAATTTTGTTAAAACTTATGATTGTTCATCTCAATTGTGATGTTTCAATGCCATAACTTTCTTACACAAACAGTTCCCATAAGTTGGTTGACTTTCTAACCATTTATTTGTTCAAACACAAAATACATATATTTGTACATGCTTAGCACTTGTGAACATTTCCTATTTCATCTAGTTTGTGCACAGTGCACTAATTTGCTTATCTGTAAATTTTTTTAAGCAATAAATAGTTAGCTATTTGACATTACTCTGATGAATGGAAAAGTTTGTGCGTCTTTTGAAATGACTATTTTCCAGTTTTAATGCTCAAAACCCTTTTTTTTGATTTTGATAACTTTAAAAGTCAGATTGCCGTGTGGTTGTCGGCTTAGAATTGCGCCAACGTATCCTCTGCGTGTTGTAAAAGACGACTAAAAGGGGTTGGTGTAAGGAAGGGCATCCTACCGTAAAACTTTTGCTCCAACAAAATTCATGAACTTTGGAAAAGAAGATATGGCCCCCAGTCCCCGGCAGCCCTTTAGTGGGCAGGGGGTGCGAAGAATCTCCGGATCGAATGTTGGTGGAAGTGTCACCCTTCGGGTAGGCACAGTGAACGTTGGGACAATGAAGGGAAGGAGTGCAGAAGTGGCGGACATGTTGAAGAGAAGGAAAGTTGATGTGTGTGGGTTTCAGGAGGTAAGGTTTAAAGGTGAAGGTACGAGAGTCATAAAGGGTGAAGATAATGGAGCGAGATTTAAGTGGTTTTGGAAGGGAAACGGAAGTGGCACGAATGGTGTCGGCTTTGTGATAAGAGAGGATTGGGCGAAGTCGGTTGTAGCAGTGAAGAGAGTTTCGGACAGAGTCCTGAGAGTTGATGTAGTTATTGAGGCCGAAGTTGTGAGTTTCGTTGTGGTGTATGCTCCGCAGGTTGGACGAAGTGCGGAGGAGAAGGAAAAGTTCTACGACAGCGTGTATGCAGTGAGAGCAGACATTAGAGGGCGATGTGTGATGCTTGGTGATTGGAACGGTCATGTGGGAAGCGTAAGAAAAGGATACTGTGCGCATGGAGGTTTTGGAGTTGGTGATATGAATGCTGAAGGCGAGGCGATATTGGAGTTAGCAGCGAGTTGTGGGATGGTGGTAGTGAATACGTGGTTTATAAAGGAAGAAAACAAGCTTGTGACGTATGAATCTGGTGACAGTAGGACGGTGGTGGATTATATACTGGTGAATGAAGAAGAGAGGAAAAACGTAAAGGATGCAAAAGTGATTGCAGGAGAAGAATGTCTGACCAGCACAAGGTCATGGACTGGAGAATCAGGAAGGTGGGGAGAGAAGGGTTAAGCGGATTACGGAATGAAGGGAAGTGTTTCCGTGACGAAATTACGACATTGAATGTTGAGGTGAGACGGTGGAGGAGCGATGGATGAAGGGTGTTTTAACGGCAGCGGAGAAGGTATGTTTTACAAGTAAAGGCGGTGTAGTAGAAGAACAGGCATGGTGGTGGGATCAACGAGTCAGCGAAGTGATTGGCGAGAAGAAGCTGGCATTTAAAAGGTGGAGAAAGTCGCGGACTGAAGCAGATAGGATCGATTACATCTGGTTCAAGAAAAAGGCGCGAAAGGAGGTGGCTAAAGCGATAGAAAGGCATCAGAAAGAGCTTCTCGTAAAAATGCAGGAGAATGGACGAAAAGCGTTGTTTAGAACGGCTAGAAGGACAGAAGGAGAGGAACGATATTTTGGTGCTCCGGCGTGCAGAACCGATGGGGAGTTGAAGGTGTTATTGGAAGACAGGTTAGAAGTGTGGAGGGCGTACTGTGACCGTTTGATGAATGTAGAGAATGAATGGAATGGAGAAGTTGAAGCGGATGAAGTTTTGGGGCCGTGGGAAATAGTGACTGTTGATGAGGTGGCGGCGGCTCTGCGCAAGATGAAGAAAGGAAAGGCGACGGGACCGAGTGAAGTGGGTAGCGAAATGTTGGACAATGAACTATGCGTGAGAGAGTTGTGTAATGTAGCGAACGAGGTTTTGAGGGCTCAAAGATGCCGAGTACATGGAGAAAGAGTCTAGTGGTCCCGCTGTACAAAGGAAAAGGAGCAGCGACGGTATGTGGGAATTACAGGACTATTAAGCTGATGGAGCATGCGTTGAAGATAGTAGAGAGTGTTTGAAAGAAGGTTGAGGAAGTTGTTCGGATGGGGAAGAGCAGTATGGATTCATACCGGGGAGAGGAACGACGGATGCGTGTTTTGTGTTGAGGCAGCTGCAGGAGAAATTTTTGGAGAAGGACAGAGAATTGTATATGGTGTTTGTAGATTTGGAGAAGGCGTTTGATAGAGTTCCGCGAAAGGTGATCGAGTATGCGCTGCGTAAGAAAGGTGTGACAGAGAATATGGTTCGGGCAGTTATGGAGACTTATGAAGGTGTAGAGACGGTGGTTACGGAGGAAGGTGTTAACTCTGGTGTTTTTGACGTAAAAGTTGGTGTTCATCAAGGTTCAGTCTTGTCGCCGTTACTGTTTGCTTGTGTGATGGATGTACTGACAGAGGAAGTGAGAAGAAAAGAAGGATGCTGGTGTTTGTTGTATGCAGATGATATTGTCTTGGTGGCGGAGTCGAAGCAGAAAGTCATGGAATGGTACCGAGAATGGAAAACGGCAATAGAAGTCAAGGGACTGAAAGTGAATGAGGCAAAGACGAAGGGCATGAGATGCTCGAGGCAGGTGGAGGTGAAGGACAGCGATAAATGGCCATGTGGTGTGTGTGGGAAAAGAGTTGGAGTGAATTCGATAATGTGTGGGAAATGCAGTAAGTGGGTTCATGGAAGATGTTCAGGTGTCCGTGGTGCATTGACAAGAGTAACTGATTTTGAGTGCGGGACGTGTCGAAGTGGTGGGCGAGTCGCGATTGAACGGTTTGAACTGGGTGACGTGAGTTTGGAAGGTGTATCGGAGTTTAAATATCTGGGCGATGTGCTAAATGATGGTGGAGGGTGCGAGCAAGCGGTGAGGAACAGAGTTCAAGCAGCGTGGTGGAGTTTTAGAGAGTTGTCGGGAATGTTGTGCGGAAAGTCGACTTCGTTGAAGCAGAAGGGAGAATTGTATAAGGCATGTGTTAGAAGTGTTTTGGGATATGGAGCAGAGTGTTGGGCGCCGAAAGCAGAGGACCTGAGAAGATTGGCGTCGACGGAAAGGAGAATGCTTAGGATGATGTGTGGTGTAACGTTGATGGATAGGATTCGAAGTGAAGAGATTAGAGAAAGAGTTGGTGTGGAGTGTATCGAGAATTGGGTAAGGCGCCAGCGTTTGAGGTGGTTTGGGCATGTGGAAAGGAGGGAAAAAAGTGCTGAAATTCGTAGAAAGTTGCATATGAATGTTGATGGAGTCCGCAAACGAGTTAGACCGAGAAAGAGATGGATGGATACTGTGAACAGTGATATGAAGGCGATGGGTATAACGAGAGATATGGCGAGAGATAGAGACGTTTGGCGTGGAAAAATTCATGGACCGGTCAACCCCCCTAGCGGGGATTAATACTGGCCGGTATACAAATGTTGTTTGTTTGTTGTAAAAGTCAGATTATAGTAAGTTCTAATTTAAGTTTGGTATGTACGTACAACCTGTCAATGTGAATATTTTGGGAAATTTCCAGACCATTTAGGATTGGCACAAGAAAAAGTGAAGAAATTCACATGTTCACAAGAAATTTATTTTTGCTATGACACCTGACGTTTTTATTAAACAAAGTGACATCACTTAATTTTTTCTTAGTACATGACTGTTAAGTTGAGACATTGAGATTGTATGTACAAAAATATGGTAATAGTTAATACCTTTAAATCAAAATTTCAAGCTCAACCTTATTAACTTTTAAATTCAACTTTTGACTTGTAAATATATTTTATCATAACAGTATTTAATTATGTGTAATGCCTCCACCCGTAGAACAACTATATAGTTTGGTACAAGGTGATTGCACCTGGGTGCGCAGCTGTACAGATTTATAATTTATTTAAATTTATAAGATATTGTTTAAAAGCTAATAACTCTTTTACTTTGCAAGGTTTACTCATCTGTAAGCCTATGAATCCACAATAGCCCAAAGCCCTTGCACCTTTAGCTAGGACAATGATGCACACACCCCCGGAAAATCTGCACCCCTCCTGTCAAATGAGCATTGATCCCCCCCTGAGCGATATCAACTTTAGAACAAAAATTACACGATTTGCTTCAGGAGTTTTGGTATTTTTCACGTATTATGTAGCTGTTGCAGCCAACCTGTGATGAATTCAACTTCAATGGTGACTAAGAAAATAGCAAATTTGAACAGGGCAAAGTTCGATGCAACCTCCGCCATTAAAGAAGAGCTGACAAAATCTGAGAAGCTTCGAATAGATATCGCAGAAAAGGCCTCAGAGGCTTTGAATTATACACCGCACGGGTCGAACTATCCTGACCTCGTGTCGTTGGACGTATCCGCAAGCAATTTAGCTTTGCAGCAAAGAAGAATATTTAAAACAAAGAAAAAAATGTCAGAAAATGTCGAGCAGCCGGATATTATGGACTTCTTCTCCGATGACCTTGAGTACGAGAGCGCTTGTCTCGCATGTGATAGCGAATCTGATAGTTCACTTGCTGAGATGGACACGCAAGCGGATGAAGATGTATTTAGGTTACATCGTCTGATTGATTGTTGGAGATGTTAAGACATCATGAGTGTAGGCAAAGAATTTTTATTGTAAATTAATCAATTATTCACTCCACTGGTTATTTACCTAATTATGGAACATCCATTCGAAGTAGTTTCACACGCTGAAGCTGCCAGAATAATTTACAAACTTTGTAAGGGACATTTAACGTGCCCAATCCCCCCCCCCGGAATCCCCGAAGCATATTCACGTTTTCAGATTTTCAGCCTTCAGCCCGTCATCTTCTCCTAATTTGCTTCGGAAAGCCCTTCGTCGATATGCATCTTTCAAATCTCACATGTCATGCGTAGAACGTAAAACCTGTTTTACATATCTCATGTCCACGTTCGTGAGCTGTTATGGCGTTGATCAAATGGCAATCAATCGTCAACATCGAGTTCGAAACATGAGCATGTATTGCTTGCGTACGTCAACTCCTTATACAACAGTATTTTTTGTACATTCTTTACAAAATATCTATGTACTTTTGCGCTGGGGTTTAAATGCATTTGTTGTTACCGATGCAGGTGGTTCATATAAAGCATTAAAACCGTTTGCAAAAAAAGAGGGAAAACCACAAAGCGAACCTTGTATGTCTTATTTCGACAATTTAAATTCCCATACAGGCATCTTTCATAGAGCATTACCTCTACTCGAAATTTGTGTTTGGCTCATATATAAATGCCATTGAAAACTAAAGGTTTTGTAGAATCGCGACCAATTGTTTTACTGGTACCGGACCGTATGATTGAATCGTTATCGGTTTCTGATATTTAACTCTACATCATGCTCCAGATAAATTTTTAGAATATGCAAGTCTGTCAACCGTCGTTAAACATCTTGCAACTTGTATCATGCAAATTATATTCAAATTCGAATTCAGTAGCTACTTGGCAATTGGCTTTGTAAAATATATCAAAATATATATCTATAAATACATGCTGTTTTGAATTAAAGTGGGAAACCTAACGCTCATACATGCATTTAAAATCAAAAGTATCTTATTAGCGATTTCGGAGTTTCACAGACTTTACGGTAAGATAAGTGTGAACATTGCATCACACTTTGTGCTATCCCAATCTATCCCCGATATGTCCCCCAACGTCATCGAACATAATTGCGAAACTTGTTATTTTAGTTGGTGGGATATCGGAAATGTTAAACTTCCGATTTTTAAATGAAAACGCCGATTTTTACGACTGTCAACCAGGCTTTAACGACGCCATACATACGTCACAAAAGACGAAGCGTTTCTTGAAAATAAATAACAAGGACGTGAATTTTTGATTTTGGTTTATGCCATACATTATTATTAAAAACTGCATGTACTTCACAATGGCTTGCTGCTTACAGAATCGTCAATATTTTTCCTTATCTCGAACACTTCTGCCATGTCAATGGTAGACTTTCGTCCTTTCTTTTATCGTATAACCAATCATGCCTCTCACAATAAGGTCACGTGATCCTAATTGTCGTGGAAAAATGTAGCCTTAACTGCTGAGCCCAAAGCAGCCATCGCGAACAGTCGCGATGAAAATGGAGCCGTATAACAGAGGTAGTTTAGCCGAACAAAACTTCAATAAGTACTGATTAAGGTCTAGAATGAAAGCTAAAAGCCCGCACTAAAGTATGGGTATAATACTTTTTCTCGTTGATACTTCGGCGTCTATGTCTCAGAGGACATTCTTAGGAACTACACTCATCGACATCGGTAAAGGTGCTGTTGAGACGTTTATAAAGGTTAGTTTGGAAATTTTTCTTAAATGCACGTAATAATTACAAATTATTCAATCAGAGGGGTTTTTCCTATTATGTAGCTGAGGCAAAGGGACCAAGGAAGCCGTACAGATCGATATATGTTGATGACGTCCGATGAAATCGGCGCCATTAAGGTAAACTGATGCCTGGTGAATGCGCAAACAATTGTATTTGTAACAAAAACCTGCAATCAGGCTATAGGATGTCGATTCGATGACAGATGGCCGGCCAAAATTTATATTTTGTACATTTTCTGATAATCTGCATAAATTTCCCGTAAAATTCCTCAAATAGACGTTTTTGTATAAGAAGAAAGTTTAATAACTTTTACTTTATAGGGTTCATGAAATTTTATGATTGAAGCATTTGTGTGTAATACTAGGCATTTTGTAGGGGGGGGGGGAGAGGGGTAAACTTTGCCAATGTTTGAAGGATGGCGCAGTTGTCCAATTTTATGAATTATGGAGGAGGCAACATTTGGTTTGCAAGACCCTAAAAAATTACAGGCAGCATTATTGTTATTGTGAATAACTAGTATCATTCCAAAAGTACTTGGGGGGCATAAGAAGCTGATTTTTTAAGCAGAGACGTGTCTTGTGCTGGTTTTTTTTCACAAAAATATTCTTTAAGATAGCTGAGGCAGTGGAACTGTCAATGTATGTTGGTAGCCTGTTGGTAAATTTTGAATGTGGCGTAGACATGATGGTTTAGCATTTTTTGTTCAGGCTGGGTGGAAAGAAAATCTTGCGACATTCATGAATGAATTGAAAAACCTTCAAGCAACTGGATTGACAAATCTCGGCTCTGCTATGAAGCAAGCATTTGACTTGCTTAATCTCTATCGATTGCAGTCTGGTATTGACAACTATGGCATGGTTAGACTTTATTTTCTTTTAATTACAATGAAAGTTTTTATGAAATCATAGCCCAAATATTGTTGTGTATTTATTTTACTTGAAAACTCTCTAAGATTTTTAATTGTATTTACAATCTCTGCATTATTTGATTTTGTTGCATAGGGTAGAAATCCCTTTTATCTAGACCCAGCAATGGTGATATGCATTACGGATGGTGGAAAACTTTCGTCGATTGATCGTGTTCATCAAACGGTACTTTAAACATGTTTTTGAACAGTAATCACCACGCAAATAGACAAACTTTATGTCTACAAGAAAATTGTTCAAAATTGTTACCACAATACCATGTTACCCAAGCTATTTTTGTATTTTTAGTTGGAACTTCCACTTGAACCTCGTGCCCCAGGAAGTGAGCTTACTAAAGAACCATTTCGATGGGATCAGCGGTTGTTCTCATTGATATTAAAATTTCCTGGAAGTCCAAATGGGTTTGATAGAACTGCTGGGGTCAATGCGGATGTGACTAATGAATATTTGATTACACCAATGTGTGATGCTACTGGAGGTCAGTTTAAGTACAAAATTGTTAATTCTTAAGTTCACTACACATGACTGAGTTTGGGAAAGTATTTTCATTTTGGAGGATTCTTGAAATACATTGGAAACGATTTTTAGTACTCCACATGAAGCATGTATATTTTTTTGTAAATCGTCTGAAACAAATTAGTCCTTCTGTCTCATGGACTGCTATGATAATTGAAACATTGTTTTCTTTTATTTTGACCATCTTGTTAAAATATTTTTCATCTCTAGGACGATCTTATATAATCACCACTCCAAAGTCTTTGTCAAACGTCGTTGATGCTCTTGTGCAGAAATTTCAAATGGGAGTTGTTATAAATTTTGAAAAGATTGGAGGTCCCGATAAACCTGCTGAAGGTGAGTTATTCAATTCAACCCAGCAAGGAAACTAGACAATAAAAAAATCTAATAAAAACATATACAACTGCCAACCTACAGCCAACTCTTCAACGGTGAATTCCGACATGGAAGGTGAAGGCAAGCCAAAGAATCATGCCAATGTATCAAAGCCACCTAGCGACATGTCTGGGTGAGTTTAGAAAATGCTTTTCTTTCTTTCAATCTTGTTCGTTATGGCTGTAACAACATGCCATTTTCTGCAGGCAGCCGACAAATGATGATGCAGGACAATCACGTGATGAACAGCAAGCATCACGCAATACATCTTCTCCTCTACCACCCACTGTGCTGAATAATTTATGGTACAGTTGCAGGAGGTTGATATACATCAAGACAAATCCTAAAGTCAATACTCCTGTTGGCCATTGGCCAATTCCCGAATCATTTTGGCCCGAACATTCCATGTCTCAGTTAGTAAGTGTTGTTTTTGGTTGATTGATCATTCATTAAAAGGCGAAGTTATTATTGCGGTTTATACAATTAGTCTATATCCAAGGAGGCTTGTTAGCCGATGTTTAAAAAGCCGAATGCCGACACACTTGTTGAGAGCCCATACTTTACGACCGTTGATTATTAATCAGCTGAACCGCGTCTTCTTATCATCGGCAACAGTACTAAAACAATGTAACGTTTGTTTCAGCTAAAACATTCTGAAACATTGCAATAACTGGTTAGGTGAGTTTTAGTTTTGCGTTACCGGCAAACTGCAAATAGTCACGTGATCGTGGCTTTGCGGTTTTTGGTTCAGATTTGAACTGCAAGAGACCCTTCTTTCGGAAGGAGAGTTACGGCAGGCTTTTTAGTACTTTTAATGCAACCAAGTGACTTTTATAGCTCAATTGCGTATTTTTATTCGAGTATACAACATAAATATGTCTTTTTCATTGACAAACTGTTAACGAAACATGAAATTAAGCTCGGGACAATGCGAATTGTATAATACAAATGCAAAGCGTGATGCTAAATTCAATTAAATTATTTTCTCAACGGCAAACCTCAACGACAAACCAACAACAAACTACTACTCTCTTATACGTCAACACACACTAGTTGACCTGCTTCGCCAAAACACACGAATAAAATTTTGCTAAGATGAAAGCTATACTGTGGGTTGGGTTTGATAATCACGATACATTAAGATGGCATCAACATTGTAGTTGAGTTTGACTGCTGATAATCGTCAATTGTAGAAAACAATGATGCGCTTAATCTGTTTTGCTGATGTTAGACACATTTCTCGCGGTTACAACAATCAATAAAACTGTGTGCCAATGTACATGTGTTATATAATACTACATAAATTCATTTGCTAATGTTTCTCTGCGATACATTGAAGGAACCTCGAGATGCCGATCCCACGGTTCTGTTTTCTTGTGTAAATTCCGAACCAATGGTGATGGATCTTCTGCCGTTTGATAAATATGAATTGGAACGGTCGCCATTGACTCAATACATCTTGGAAAATGTTAAACCAACTCATTGTTGGCAGGTATAAATGTACACTAACTGCTAGACCAACCATCAACAAATTTGAGCCCACCCTCTTGCCGGAGCTAGCCCGCAAGTTTGGGCATGCTACGTATGCAAATATTTCGTAGCTCAGTGTCTTTAAAATCAATAAATTTGCAAAGAATTATTGCTTACGTGTGCTCTGAAAATTTCATTTGAACAAATTTGGGAGCAGTCCACGCTACTACCGATGATGGTAGTCATGCTGATTTCTTTGCTTTTAACAAGTCTTTCATTCATAGACTTACGTGTCAGGAAGTGGAAAGAACAGCGAATTGGGATATCCCTTTGGTTACCTCAAAGCAAGCGTGAATTTTCAAGCAGTCAATTTATTTGTGATGCCGTATAACTATCCCATTCTTATTCCTCTTCTCGGTTAGTATGAAATCTAACCTACACCACTCAACCGGTCGTATTTTTTCATCCAATTTATGTTCCGTTTGCTCCTTGTTGTTTTTTGAAACCTCAAATCTTTTACAGTGGTTGTACGAGCATGGAATGTTGAGAAATGTATGTTCGTGTTTTATGACAAGTTTAATTCTTGTTTCCGCCGATTTGCGGTCAGCGCATGTATTTTTTCATCATCCTGTGACAGCTTTTGCGAGACAAGCAATTCTTACTAAAGTATATTCTAGAACTCGACAGGTTTTCTTGATGTTGAATGCAAAAGTATTTGTAACCCCACGCTTTACTTAATCTGCGATTTAAATGTTCTCAAGATATGCCAGTAATGCCACTGAGATGATACAAACTGCTACGTACTTAGGTCTTTTTTCAATTTGATGATTAATTTGAATTATTGTAGGTGAAGTCTTTCACAATAAATTAAATTTCTTAACGACTTTACGTTGCGAAGTTGTTAAGAAGGTGGATGTCTTCCCGCAATAAATCTTTATGTTGTCGCACTGTACTTGCTCTCAAAAAATGTTGTTTCCTTTCATTCATTATAAAAGATTACTTCCAAAATCTTTATATGGTAAAAATACAAGTGTAAGCCCTTTGTAAGATTGCACCTGTTTGTATCCGAGGCAATGGATTAAAATCGTTACTGAAATGCTAGCATATCCTTACGCTGGAGCGCGTGTTGTAACGATGAATGGTACCATAACTTATGCTCCATGTGACTTGAGATCAATTTGTTTACACAATTGTGTGTGTGCCTAAGATGCTCCTAATGATTGAGAAATAGATTAATGTTGAAAATTTGTTTATTTTTTTCACCATATTCATTTTGCAAAGTTTTTTAATGTGTTAACTGCAATCATTTTTTACAGATGAGCTGTTTAAAGTGCTTAAATTAAGTCCCACTCCAAAGTGGAGACAGCTTTTCGACAAATATCTCAGCGATCTACCAAGCTACTATATCGTGGTAAGAAGTAGCTATAGCTGTGTTCAGCGTGTTTTTTACATTTATATAAGTATTTATACTTTCGCTATTATATTAATAAACAAGTTCTGGTTGGTATTGCTTTTTTTGCATCTTTTGTTCATGGTCGTTTCTTTTCATCTAGCCACTTAGAACGGCTCTCCGTCGAATGGGTGCGAATGTAAATCTGCTTATACCCGATCACGTTGAAAGCTCATCTTCTTTGAGTAACAGTATTCAAAGCTATCTGAAGAAATTAAAACAACAGGTAGCCATCTTAAATTAGTTGTTAACGTGTCGTTATCTGTTTTGCTGTTAGCTAACTTCAATGAATTGTTTAAGGCCAAGGTTGAAGCAGATAAAGTCTTGTCTGGCATCGGAAAGAAGGCTCCTGGGGAGTTTGGAAGACCTGTTTCCCAGTAAGATGTTACCGAAAACAGAGATAAATCCAAGATGATTATTTAGGGGAGGGGGTGCTCTAATATAGATTAGTTTTGGTTGCTACTCTCGTGGTGTAGCTATGCTATGTCTGAAATTTTTGTTAAATTCGATTACTCTCATGCCATGACCGGGAGATATTGAAAGAAATGTGCTCTATCAAACACAGATCACAATTGCCTTTGCTTATCGTAATTGCTTTTTACATTAATATTTTTAAGGAAATTGACACTCCTTTCCCCCCATCCCAGTAATTCAATCCTTACTGAAAGCATATTGTCGACGAATGCAAAATGAACGATTTCTATTAACTAGTCGATTTATCATTCAAGGATCAATAATAGTCCATTATCACCTAACAGTCTACAGAAGCGAGACTTTCACGAAGTTTTCCACAACATTCCGAGCTCTCAGCCGAGGTAGCCATAGAATAAACCTCTCTTTTAATCAAATGCCCCCAATATTTCATTAATGCGAACATTATTTCTCTTTTCTAGTACAATTCCAGAAATTGCCAATGTGACAAACCTTCCTGACTTTAAAGAGGTAGAGTAAAACAATACGTGTTAAACGCTTTTGAAGGAAAATAATGAACCGTTCAAATTTCGAGTTCTCCAAAGAAAATTTTTTTAATATCGTGGTATGCGTTAGGTCAATAATGCGGAAATTTTTTCCGAACATTTTGTGACTTTCAAAGTTTTTGACGAGTTTTTCTACATTTATCTTCCATGTGTAGCTACCGAAGATGCATCAATACAAGAATCCGTTTGACATCAAACGTTCTGAGCTGTTGGATCAACTTGCTCGAATGCGAATCAATTTTTTTCATACGGCACCCACAGCAACAAGACTTCAAGATCAAGGTAAGGCGATCAAAAAGATTAAAAACTCAATTTCGGATCCCAGGCACAGTGTAGGCAATAAACAATATTAGCACTCTATTGAAATTTTTTTACCGCATATTGTATTACGTATGTGGTTACCATGACGACAGCCAGTTTTTGACCAAAAGGAACGCTCGACTTCTTAAGTACTATATGTAATCTAATTATTCCTTATACTTTGCCTTTGGATCAGTTTCTCAAAATTTGTTTTGTTGTAATCATTAGTGGAGAATGCTTTCCAGACTTCTCGTCATTCAATGCAAGTAAATGTAAATTATACGAAAACAACGGTATTTCAAGTCATTGAAATGGTGCTGGGAGAGTGTGCCATTTTCCCTGTCCGTGTGTCTTGTGTTATAATTATATTTTGAGAAATACTCGTAAGGGGCCATAACTATAAAATTCGCGTTTGTTTGGAGTGCATCAAGGTGTGATAGAAATTAGGGAAACTCCGTTACTTTTATCATATCAACAATTCAGTTAAATGTTTTCGACTGAAGCACAGCCTAACGTTCTTTTGAATTCCTGAAAAAGGACTGGAATATAGTTGAGAAATGGCCGTTGGGGATGGGCAAGGGAATTTCTTTTATAACTATAAAGATGGGAAAAACTTAGAATGCATGTTGGCATGCATTCGGTTTTTATACCATATGTTACATGCTTTGCTCTTGCCGTGTTGTGACAACCACGAAATTTTATTTTCATTAGATTCTAGGCACAGTATAGCAATCAGCCAGATGGGCAATTATCAGGACTACTTGAAGCAAACAAGTCCTTTGCGTGAATTGGATCCTGGTATGAACAGAGCTCACATGTTCGGCAATCCATTCAAATTGGCAAAGGATCAGGTTCTTGACGTTTTTCAAATTTATTTTTCGCTTTAGAAATGATGACAGTGTTGTTAAAAAAACTGCTAGCAATTTTGTATCAAATCATTTTGTTAAAGTTACTGTTGATCTGGCTGTCCTTGGGAACTGAAACTACGTTGTATTTATTTCAGCCCATGATGGTCGATGAGGCAGATGTAGTGAACGAAGCCGTAGCGGGAGGCGGATCTTCTCGCAAGCGTCGTGACATTCGGTCTCCGTCACCACGCGACCGACGTCGGAAACCCGATGTGAATCCTAATAATTCAAAACGACCGACCCAACCTCAACCGATGCAAGAAAATGTTCACCAACCATTGCCACCAATTACGCCTCCACTTTCGAATTTTGGACAACCACCCGTAATCACTGGCGAGAAACCTTCCAGCCACAATGTGAAAGCACCTGTACCAGGAAAGAAACGGAAGCTTCAGGAGGGTGAGGGCTCGAATGAGCAACGTAAGCAATCGAAGCCGAGCGTAAATCCACAACTTCGTAAACTACAACAGCTTCATCATAACAAGCAGCATGGTCAAGCGAGCAGTGCGTTCACGACTGCAGGACAAGCTGGGATGTCCAAGGATAAACTGGAATCTTCAAAGGATATATCGTCAATATTACGAAACGCGTGTTTGGGGCCGAATGCAACGAACTCCAAAGCGCTATCTAACACGCCAGAAATCAAGCAAAGTAACCACGATTTGCCAAACGACAAAAACGATAAAGTGGGACTGCGTAGAAAAGAAGTTTCAAAGAGCATAGCTTTGCGGAAGATGTACGAGAAAAACACCAAACTCCGACAGATGATTTGTAAACAGATACGCACTTTGGGTCAAGGTATAGTATGATGGCACTATCTTCATCAAATACACTGTCTTCTTCTTGTCATCCCAAAGCTTTGGTTTGATATGTGGATGCAATTATCGCGAATTAGTATATGCTCTTATGTTGCGTCGTTTTGAAAAAAGGCTTCGTTTGTATGTATTCTGAGTTGTAAGCAATCGATTTTCATCTTTAGTTGTCATCGTTTTTTGCTGCAACAACTATCGTTGCCCGCTTGATACTTTAACGGCCGTTACGTTAAAGCTGTGGCACTAAAATTTAATTGCTTCCATCGAAGCGATGTAGCTCTATTTTAGTTACGGCTTCTATTTTCGTAATTGCATTTTTGTGTGCGACCTCCATGCAATTGGGATTTACGTAGCTTTCTAGGTTGAGCCACCTATTTCCTCTTAATGTAAAGCTTGGTGCATTTGAAATGTATTACTCTAGTATTTTATCAGTGCTAGCCATTTGTTTTTAGATCCAGATCCAATCATCGGCCATCTCGAGCAGGTGCAAGGAAGTTTAGAAAAGAGGCGAGAATTCACGCGAACGATAATTGACGAAGCAGCGAGGTTCAAAAAGAACAAACTTGTAGAAATATTAAACGTTTGGCTTAATGGTCAGGAGCAAAAAACTTCAGGACGAAATCGTCGTGCGATTAAGAGTGCACTGGTTATAACTGGTAACATCAAATGAATGCCTAAGAATCAGTGTTTACCTGCGGGAATGGCCTGTCAAACATGTCTCTCTTAAGCTCTCGCGCCCGGCGGTTTCCGGCGAATAAACGCAATGCGGAGCTTAAGTGTCTCAAGGAAACTAGGGTTAATCTACTTAAACAATCAAGCAAGAAAAATGTTATGTTTGAATATATGTTATGAACGGTCATTCAAAAGTTTTCTGCGCAGATGGAAGAAATTTGAAAACGGTTTCACTGTCTATATATATTTTCAATGTATGTTTCTCATTCGTAATACTTTTATTTGTACATATTGGACAGATTATGCAGGCATGCCATAGATGGACTTTAGGCGATTTTTTATCTTATAAGAATTGCTATCGGTTGGCATGAATTCAATACTTCGAAAACTGCGTTGAAACACATTCAGTGCTCACGAAATTAAATTTTGCTTTTTACTGGTTAATTGGTCCTGATTACAATTCTACAGATGGAGAACCATTTTGTCGCCTTCCTCCTTAAAACGTTTTTGTTATTCTTACATGAAGTATATCTAAAACTGAAAAGTGCCTCGGATGTTTGCATTGCTTGTGGTTGTTTTTGAGGCAATTTTGGGAGCAAGGGTTCACACTTTCCCTTTTTTGTTATGTGGTACGAGATTTTGCCGGGGTTTGCTATCATCTGCGGATGTGTTGTAGCTTCTGGCTTAGCTATGAAGACAGTTGACCGGGTGATTTTTGGAAAGGTGACTATACTATACTACCAACTTAAAACAATCTGTCTATCCTCTTAGTAGCTGAAAATATTTTATCACAAATTTCTAGTCTTTACAGAAAATGATCAATAACAGCTATGAAGGACTTGTCATAAAAATAAGAAAATACGCGTTTATAAAAGGATACTTACTAGCTAGGATTTCGTAAATCGGATACCATAAGTTGTGAAGGTGAACGTGACCTTACTAGTTTATTTCGAGCAACTTGTTGGTTTCATCACAATTCTGTTGGATGCGGTGTTGCCAAGCAAATCGCCGTGAAACTTGTTCTAATTCATAAGCTATAACTTTAATGCCTTATGTTGAGTTTTCCCTACTGCTATTTTAATTATTGTTATTGAAAAATACATTTTGATAATTTTCATGTTTTGCATATGATTTTTGACATCCAAGTGAAATGGCCTTGGTTGAATGACATTTAGGAAGGAAAAGTTGTGTAAATATCATTTATTCAAACTTGTGTAGCAATTTGGTTTTGAAACCCATAAGTTTCTTGAATGGTGCATTTCAGTGAGATGTGTCAATCCTTCATTTGTTTTGTCTCAAACCTTCAACCTGGAATAGCATTTCTTTTTATAAACATGGTGGCCACGTAAAACATTATTGACACAAGTGTTGGTGCTAAATAGGGATTAATGTTTTTAGACACAGCGATACAATGTTGATGTCCTGGATATCATGCTTACTGGACGAGACAAAAGAATCACACAGTCTGAATATGTTCAGAAGGTGATCTCTTGACAATACTCTTTCTTTAAATTATATTTTCATGTGCAATATTACCTAAAAGGCCCTTCTTTTATGAAGACATCTACTCTTTGGAGCTGTTGGATTTTTTTCATTTTTTTTAACCAACTTTTTGAATATTTACCTTTCTTAGGGTTTAGATGACTTGAAGACAGAGTAACAAAATTTTGCATCTGGCTAATGGTACAAAGCTTGTTAAAGTGTATATATGATGTACTAAATAAAGAATACAAGTGATTGTGATAATCGTTCTTTAAATTGGTATTAAGTTTTGTTTTCTGTTTTACCATAAGCTTTTAATCAAACTACTCCAAATGACAGTGATAAAAGAGCCAAATGAAAGCAGGTCACAAAGTACTGACAGAAATATAGTTTTACTTAGTTTCCAAAAAAACATGCTTGATTGAAGGTTTAGTAAAGTGTAATAGATGTTGTTGACAATAGATCTCATCAGTACAGCTTGTACATATGCCAACTATAGGATTCTAGTCTACTTGGAGTTAAAAAATAAGACAGGATTCTACTCCCCATTTCCCATTGGAAAATATACACGTATGACGCATGTTCTTTACACGTGATCAACACAGCATGTTGTCATTCAAATATCAGACGTTTTGGTCTTTATTATTTGTGCAAATGGTCAGTTCTATTATCATCTACATTGTGGCATATGCGAGTGTTACCTATTAATACAATGATTCGTCTAAAAAACGTTGGACTTTATTCTACAAGAGAAAAATTTAATGTAAAGTATTCTTTTGAATACGAATTTTGCCATTGTTTGCCTTTCCAAATGTGGGTTTCATATTGATATCCAAAGAGCCACAGTGTCCCAGGCCAAGACATACAGGATAGGTTGCGGGCAGCAGTAGCTTTTCACCGTTCCCGGAAAACAACAGACAGGGTACTTTTCGTAGCAACAACCACTCGTGTTCCCGCAACACACAGGACTCTCCGTTGGGCAGCATGCGTTTCTTGAGGAACAGCAGTTAGCACCAGACAGCGGACAGCACCAATAAGCTGTGTTTCTTCTGGATTTGGCTGATGAATAACATTGCGGAATGTAAGTGTAGTGTGCCAATGTGTCAGATATGCTCAATCTTGTTTTTGAAATGTATATGGTTTTCAACTGATTAAACTGTAGGTGCAGTTTAGCAAAAAGCGTATATAGTGTAGCCTTTTGTTTGTGTTATGGAATGATGTTTACTTTCTACAAGTATACGGATTCTCGTCGAAATATGAGTGACGTAAGAAAAAGTATCAATTTGGTGTACTCATTAAAGACACGATGGTTACGTTACGGAAATTTTAAGCTTTGGAGTTTATGCTATGGCATTTGTCGTACCTGCTTACTCTCAACTAAGTTTGGTCAAAACTTTGAGTACAATAGTGTGGTTTAAAAAAATGAAATTTTGATGACAGGTATAGGTGAGAAACAAGTCTTTTGGGCCGAACTTTTGGTGACTACTTTCTAACTAGTTACTTACCAGAGTATTGACAGCAAGTGTTATTCTCAGCACAACAATACAAGCCTGATGCATCGCATGCTTTTGGCTTTGGGTTGGAGCAACCCAATTGGTTTGAGACATCATTGCAACCGGTTGCAATGCGTTCTGCGAGCGAAGTGCAGTAGTCTGTGGAAGTACACCATGATTGGATAAGTACCGCCGAAGCAAATTTCTTCCATTGGCCATTGCTTGTGTACGACATGGCATTTGGAACCTTATTGATTAACTCCAATCCATAAGTGTAGACGAGAGCAGTTAGGGAGTTTCGAATATTGCAGCATTGCAATTGGTGATCACTTGTACGGATTACTTTCTCCACTTCTTTTTGAGCGCGGTCGATACTTATTTGGAAAAGACGCTCGCTTTGTTCCATGGTCAAGCAGAAGTTTTCTTTACAGTTACAATTCCCTGGTTTTTGGACCAAACCTTTGCGTAAGTCGACTTGATCAATACCAATCAGGGCGAAATCGTCATTGGCATTAGGATGGTTAATGTTGTAGCCGTAGCCGACGAAGTCCCCATTTTCTGCGCGACGAGGACAATGCGAGTGCATTTGCCATGTCTTGACCTCGGCTTTTGTGTCGCATTCTTCGCTTGTAGCGTTCGAAAAAAACAGTAAAGCGAGCAAAACTGCAATTTTCAAAGACATTTTCATATGAAAAGCACGTAACTTTTGTTATCCAGCGTTTAGTGAAATTGATCAAGTTTTTTTGATGCGTGTTGACTAGTGTTGAGTGAGCGATACCAAGTATTCGATATTCGACACCAATGCCAGGTAGGGGTATCGATTATTGACTTGCTACCATAGAATCATCGCCTTTTCTGGTTTTCTCTGGCTCAAAGCCTTATGTTGGCCACTAACATTTATAACCGATTCCCGCTCAGCACGTCTCTTGCTTCTATCAAGTGCAAATGGTTGTTCAACAAACAACAAACACTGAAAAAACGCCAGTGTCGAAATTTGAGATTTCTGGTATCAAGGACAAGACAAGCGCGCCAAAGTGCCTCTCTCAGTCTTATGTCTTGACAATTTTTGCGTTATTATAACGAGGAATGTCTTAACATCACTGAAACCAACTTATTATATTTACCGGTAGTAGGTTATGCGTTTGATGTAAATGAATGCTATGGCATGATGTAAACAAACGTCTGACGAATGTTGGAAAAATTGGGCTAATGTATTGATTTACAAATATAAAGATCCGGCATTGTAACGTGATAACTGAAGGTGTTAAAGGTAAATGTTTGCGTCCGGAATTTGTAAGAAGCCACACCCAGAGACCGTGGGTCCAAGGTTTTGGCCAATTTACCATGGACGACGAGTCACGCTGAAAAGCAAGTTTTCTTTGAAAGATTTCTTTGAAGGACATTCTATTTTTCATCACAACAAAGAACGTCGCTTTTTTTTAGGAAAATGGCTATGTACCCTGCCTGAGTAAGGAGCAGTGTGGCAGTGACGTAGCCAGCCTTCATGTTTTGTCGTGCTATGTCAATCCTATTGTCTCTACGGTGTGTGAACACAGGTCCACGACCAAACTTGCATACTAGCTACGCCCCTGTACTGGAGTGCTTTAAATGTCAACAAAATTCCCTTGTCTGCATGATTACCGCGATGAGTATCATGCATCATGGAAATTATGATAGATGCAACATTGCCTTCAAATCAAGTGTTTGATACCATGCAATTTACTTCATTCAACAAAATTGCATGGCATGAACAAAACTAAGATTTGGTCAACATAAAATGAAATACTACCTGGTATTCTCAGGATGTTTTTCTACAACTCAAAGCAAAATGAACTTAAAAAATATACAAAACATTTCTTTCTTTTAATAAACAACTTAGCAACTTCAACCTTTAAATAGAAGTCAATGAAATAGCTTGCATGCGGCCAGCAATAAGGTTGGGACTTTTGTACAAGAGTGTAATTACTCTTCTTTAGTACCTTTACTTTGTCCGATGCTTCATTAACTTGAGAATAAAATACATTTTCTTATTTTAAATGGGAAAATAATGACTTTGAAACCTGAAATAAAAAAATTACAAGAATGTTAGAGATGTTAGAAGAAACATTGAAAATTCAATTATCACTGGAAAAAGATGACCGGACTTCTTCATCTATAATAAATTTCATGTCTAAAAAACATTAAGAAAAATGACAGTTTTTTGCACTCAAAAAGCTGTCATTTTTCTTAAAGATTTCATTTCATAATTCATGTTCAGGTAAATTTCCAGTGTAATTGTTCAAATATTTCATTGAAAATGTTTTCATTACATAAAATTCATGATTCAGATGCCCTATAGCTAATGGTTCAACAATCAAATTGTATTACATATTGGACACAGGGAGATAGTAAACAAACAACTTTTCTATTTATTCCTAGACTTTACCAATGTTAAAAATCATATAAACATTAGTTTTTTGTCCTTGCTACTTTGCGAAAAATAACAATAAACTGGAGCCTAACAAAACCTTGAGTGTCTTCCTCATTCTCAATCATTTTTTACAAGCCCAGCCATTTCATTTTAAATAACTCAAGTATCAAGCAAAGAATACATTCTCTACTTCAGTCTCAATCAAAAATATGCTATTCATTTCTCATCTTTTCATGCACTTCTTAGCTAATACCAAGTCATTCAATGACATTTGCACTTTGTACTCAAGCAAATTTATTCAACAAATTAGTTAAATCACAGAAGCATACAGCACACCAAATATAAAAGATATGTTATATTTTTTGTATAGGCAGACTTCAAGAGGGAAAACTCCTGCATAGCTAGCTTTTCCAATTTAAGTAATTTATTTTCAATCTTAGTCAGGATGTGAATGAAAGGAATATGACAAATAATGAAATAAACAAATAGTTTACAAATTCATTTCCTGGGGTTAGAACCACCATTTCGTGCTTCTTCAAAAATATTTCTGTGTCATTAGGTTACTAAGAAAAGTTATTAACAATAAAATCAATTAGTAACAACAAAAAAATCACTTACACACTTATCCACACATCCTACGAAATCGAGCAATTCTTGTGCACAGTTCTCCTCTGTTCGTTGCCTGCTGCTAACACGGCTTTCACAAGCATCAAACTCGTTTTTCAAAGCCACGCACTTTGAAAGTTCGCCACATTTTTCTCTCAGCGTTTCTTGTAAGTCTTCAGGATCTTCCTCATCTTCATCTTCTTCTTCATCTTCGCTTTCTTCATCGGATTCGTCTTCGCCATTTGCCACAGCATTGTCCTCGTCAGTCACGTCGTTGTCCTCTAGGTCGTCAACTTCATCCTATGATTTCAGGACAAAACAAGTTGAAACTTCAAATATTTTCAGCTAAGAACAATAAAAAATATCCGGAGAGCACTTTGCGATACTTTTTTATACCTCTACGACGTTATCGACCGCTTCTGGGGCTTTTTTTGCTAAAGTTGAAGCTTCTAAAATTTCTATGCCGGCAACCATCTTTGCAGGAATACGTAATCGCGCCCGATACAAGGGGGTAGTTTACCACATATTAGCCGGCAAATATATTCTGAGCCTGATTTTTCAGAGAAAAGAGACTGGAACTACTAAATAACCCTGATTTTATAAAAGGGACGCCCTTATTACTATAAATTGCTATATATTTGACTTCGCAGCCACGTTTTTGTTAGAAGCGCTTGGGAGCGCTCAAATGAGGATAACAACAAAAGGTGGAATTCCGGCAGTCAAAAACATACTAAAATGTAGTTTTTTTGCGCGTTTTCACTGTGTTCTCATTCAATTAGTGTAACAAAAAAATCTGGTTTGCGTTGAAGAAACACACAGAAACATATCTTTGTAACAACGTCATTCCGTAGAAATTACAATCGGCAGGTTTCGTTCGTGGTTTTATACGAATATATACGAAATTTGGTCGTGAATAGTCTTCTGGATAGTTATTGAAAATGGCGATTGGATCGGGCGTTCCGGCACCCTTGCGCAAGGTTGAGAGGGTGCAGTTTGGTATCTTCAGTCCTGATGAGCTTGTGAGTGAAAATAGTTCAAATTCTCAGCCAGTCGACATTTTTGCACTCGTGTGAATAGTATTTTCCTGGAACGGGCAGAGTTATTTAGCATTCATTGTTTCTAAGCACTTAATTGTAATGGTCTCCATGATATATACACCACTTCTTTACATTGAACACCTTAAAAGTGTTTGACCTTCTTTTTATAACGCATTATGAGTTACATTTTGGCAATGCATGGTTGCTTCAAAACTAGATTAATATTCTTTTTTTTTTAAATCCTAGAAACAAATGTCAGTTACTGAAGGTGGTGTGAAGTACTCAGAAACAATGGAAGGAGGGAGACCGAAACTTAATGGGTTGATGGACCCTCGCCAGGGATGCAGTGATCGTTTTTCACGTTGTCAGACCTGTGCGGGAAACATGACAGAATGCCCTGGCCATTTTGGGCACATTGAGTTATCAAAGCCTGTTTTCCATGTTGCTTTGATTCCAAAGATTATCAAAGTGTTGCGATGTGTGTGCTTTTACTGTTCAAAACTTCTGGTGGATGTGGTAAGGCTTCTGTTTCAATGACATAGCAAATTCGTTAATGGAGGCACAAATTCATATATACATGTCTGAATACATTAAAAATAAGTGATTTCAAAGAAACTTATTTCAGCATAACTAGTATTTATGAATATGTGCCCTCCAATTATTGAGTTTCCTACATGCCAATGTAGTTTGTACAACAGCTTTGTATTTAAAAAATGATATTGACATAAACAGGTCTTATCATTTTCAATATTTGGTAAACAAATCTTACAGGCAAACGAATAGTGAAAAACCTTGCTTTAATGAACTTTTCACTGAGAAATGTTATCCTAGTAAGCATTTGCTTAACTCACTTTGCTATTAGTAGAGCATTTAGAACAAACCTTGTTAGTTCTATTTTGAAAACTTTTGATTAGCAAGTGAAAGTATTTTTAGAATCAACTGATCAATAACCGATGCCATATGGTTGTGGAATTGATTGCATTTGTATTTTCTTATTACTTGATTTGTGTTATTTTTGCTTCTGCCATAGGATCATCCGAGGATAAAAGAAATCATGATGAAGACACAGGGTCAAGCAAGAAAGAGGATAGCTTTTGTTTATGAACTGTGTAAAAGTAAAAAAATATGTGAAGGTGGTGATGAAATTGATGACAAAAATGACATAAATGGTGATGGTGGTGAGGCTAAAAAGGTGAATTGCCTCAAGACATTTAAATAATTGAATTTTTCACAATTAAAAGATTGATTGAAAAATTCATCATCACTTGCATCTACCTTTTGGTTCTTTCCATTTGAAGTATGACAACCTACATAATACTTACACTGTGTAATGAAGGGAGTAGATTTAGGATAATCAGTCAATGTTGGGCTGTGCTTTGTAATAGAATTTGGTGGTTACTTAACTTTGTCTTTTTCAATTGTTTTGCTTTTACACAACAATTGAGAGATATTGTTTGGAAGTGTGTCCAATTAAACACAAGTTGCATTTTTGTTTTGTTAAATTGCTTTATACATTAATTTTTTTGCAAGGGAACTAGTATTCCTTCTGCACCAGCCACCACCACCCTCCCCATTCAACCTACCCATGTGTAATAATCAAATTTTTTAAGTGTAAATCTTATAAAGCATACTTTTTGTGTAAATCAGCACTTTGCACCAATTGTCGTACAAAAAGAGGACATAGAGTATCGTCTTAGCTCACCGTTCCACTTTATTGATGTGTCTTCATTGTTGAAGATCTATGTAATGCTTATTGATTGTGTTCACCATTCAGGGTCATGGTGGTTGCGGTCGCTATCAACCACAAATCCGTCGTCAAGGCCTTGAGCTTACCGCAGAATGGAAACACATAAACGAGGATTCCCAGGAGAAGAAAATCATTTTAACGGCTGAGAGGGTTCACGAGATATTTAAAAGAATTTCTGATGACGAGTGCACTATCATCGGAATGGATCCGAAGTATTGTCGACCTGACTGGATGATCCTAACTGTCTTGCCTGTACCGCCGCTTCCCGTTCGACCATCCATCGTAATGCATGGGGGAAGTGCTCGGAGTCAGGTGAGATACGCGAAAGATTGTTGGAAACATTATATGCCTCCAAATGCAATACGTTGAGATATGAATGAAACAACTTTAGGCGCTGTTTGTGTGGTTAATTGTGATCTGCTCAAAATTATGTAAAATGTTGTATACATATTAACTGTTCTATTTATTTGGTATATTGATCTTTACCAAATAATTCTTTTTCTTTTTTGTTCAGCTATGCGTTCTCGTATCAATTTCGTGGTTCTTTCCATTTAGGATGATTTAACTCACAAACTTTCTGACGTTGTTAAATGCAACAATGGTTTGAAAAGAAACGAGTTGAATGGTGCTGCAGCGCACATTATTGCCGAAGATACCAAAATGCTTCAGTACCACGTTGCCACATTACTTGACAATGAGATCCCCGGTATTCCAAAGGTATGCTCTAGCGGATGTTTGTACAGAACTCACAATTGCATGAAATGAATCAAAGTTCTTTATTTCTTGAAAATTTACGTCATTCATATTTTTCGGTAAATTTCTCCAACGTCGATTCAAAGTCAAATGAAATGTCCACCTGTATTTTTTTGTCGTTGTTGAAGTGTTTATGACATGAAATTTTATCACAAAATTTTTCGATTGTATTGGATAGAACATGTATAATGACTTGATAACTTCGTCACTAGAATTGACTTATTGTACTTTTTGCAAATGACATCGTTACGACATCAAAGTACACAGTGACTTTTAAACATCGTGAATTTTCAACATTATTAAAACGTTTTATAAGCAAAGACAACAGTTTAATGAACTTGTGCGTGAATAAATATTTGTAAAAATGCCAAAGTTGGATAATTTAATGCTAACTTTTGACGAAAATGAGTTTTTCTAATGCTAATGATGAAATGTGATGTCATAACGATGTCATTTGCTTATTGAAGAAAAGTTACAACTCCAAAAAGAAATAAAATAACAATTCTATTGATGAAGTTGTTAAATCATTTTCAATTGTATTTACAACGCAATCAAAAAACTTTCAGATAAAATTTGGGGCCATAAGCACTTTAAGTGAAAGTTGCGTCCTTCATCATTTGAAGAAATTTATTCATGCATTGATGATTTTGTATCAAGCCGTTTTTTGCTCAGCGCGAAATGAAATCAAGTTGTATTCATTGTTGTATGTTTTGTTGTATGCGTTGTTGTATGCGTTGTGTATGCGTTGTTGTATGCGTTGTTGTATGTGTTGTTGTATGTGTTGTTGTATGTGTTGTTGTATGTGCTGTTGTATGTGTTGTTGTATGTGTTGTTGTATGCTTTGTTGTATGCGTTGTTGTATGCGTTGTTGTATGCGTTGTTGTATGCGTCGTTGTATGCGTCGTTGTATGCGTTGTTGTATGTGTTGTTGTATGCGTTGTATGCGTTATGCGTTGTTGTATGTGTTGTATGCGTTGTTGTATGTGTTGTTGTATGCGTTATGCGTTGTTGTATGTGTTGTTTTATGCGATATATGCGTTGTTGTATGCGTTGAAACTGTAACTATGTATCTCAACTATTGCACACATGCATGTACATAGCACAAATTGTTTTTAGGCAATGCAAAAGTCGGGTCGGCCTCTTAAGTCTATTAAACAAAGACTGAAAAGTAAAGAAGGCCGAATCCGTGGGAACCTTATGGGTAAACGTGTAGATTTCTCAGCTCGTGCTGTTATCACCCGGATCCAAATTTAGCCATTGATCAAGTCGGTGTTCCTCGGATGATTGCACAGAACTTGACCTTTCCAGAAATTGTCACACCGTTTAATATTGATCGGTGAGTAGCTACTTCATAACGTTGTTGTTATCAAATAGTTGGGAAGATGGTTGTGTTGAAAATGTCATTTCATACGTGTGTTTGAACTTCAGTATGCAAGAACTTGTACGACGTGGCAGTTCACATTATCCCGGGGCGAAATACATCATTCGAGACAACGGGGATCGCATCGACTTGCGTTTTCATCCGAAACCGACTGATCTACATTTGCAGTATGGATACAAGGTATTTTACCGTCTTATGTTTGGTAACAGCTATGTAAACGTTTTCATCCTAAACCCGAGTGACCTGCATACACTTACAGTATTGATAGCAACAAAGTATTTTCCCGTCTTATGTTTGTAATAGCTATGTAATACAGTTCTGGTTGTCAGGTACACAGTTCACTATCGCCGAGAAAGTGTGCCCCTCATCTAACAAAGTTTTCTCTTAAAAATGTTTAACTTCTTAATGTGCAACGTTGAGCCGAAGTGGATGACACTTTGACTTACCTTGTATAGGTGGAACGTCATTTACGAGACGAAGATTTGATTGTGTTCAATCGTCAACCAACTCTGCACAAAATGTCTATGATGGGTCATCGCGTGAAAGTACTTCCCTGGTCAACTTTTCGTCTCAATCTCAGGTGGGATAAATCACAAACTGTATAAAGTTGGGATGTGTTTGTCAACCAAGATGCAGTGCGCGCTTTCTTTATGTTTTCATTTTGAACTTGTGACACACTGAATCCAATTTCGTCACTACGTCGTCTAATTTATCTGAAAAGTTAACGAAAAAAAACATTGATTAAAAATTCTATTTCACATTACTTATTGTCGTTCGTCTCAGTTGCATTGACTACGATAACGACATCCACTATTTTCTCGACCCACAAAATGGCCGTCACGCTGTGATTAGCGCGCAATGCATCATGGCTGACACACGTTCTTTAACGACAGGAATGAAATTAACAAGTCATGTTCTGTTTTTGGCATTGTAATTCATGTTCAATGCTTACCCACATAGTGTGACAACTCCTTATAATGCGGATTTTGATGGAGACGAGATGAACCTTCACGTGCCTCAGTCACTTGAAGCACGTGCCGAGATATCAGAACTAATGATGGTACCGCGACAAGTTGTCACACCGCAGTCTAACAGACCTGTTATGGGTATTGTGCAAGATTCGCTCACCGCTGTACGAAAATTTACTAAAAGGGATGTTATGATGGAGAAGGTGAGAATAAGCTTTTGGTGTCATTGTTTCCTTCGCCATTAAGCTGCAAGGGTTATTAACACTATCTTACACATTTGCCTTTATTTTTGTGGTAATCATTCTTATAGTGTGTCCTTGCAAACTTTTATGTAGGACGTTGTGATGAACTTACTCATGTGGTTGCCCAGCTGGAATGGCAAGCTTCCGGTGCCCGCCATCTTGAAACCTAAACCGCTTTGGACCGGAAAACAAATATTTTCCATCCTCATTCCGGGAAACGTGAATATGATTCGTGCCCACAGTACTCATCCCGATGACGAAGATGACGGACCATATCGACACATATCTCCTGGTGATACCAAGGTGACCTTTCACTCAAGAAATAAAAGATGTTTACTGTGTTTGCACGGGCTTATGCAAACCGAGGAGACCTTTGGGAGAACTCAAGAGCAGATCAGTGCAAGCCCGAAGGTCGAGGGTTGCACATGCTTGAGAGTTCTCACAAACGTCTCTGAGGTTTGCATAAGTCAGTGCAAACATGGAAAACATCTTTTATTTCTTTTATAAAATAACAATAATGCGAAAAAGACGAACATTTTAATTTTTCCTCTAAAATGTATTCACCATCAATTTGCAAATTCTCTTTTACTGATTGATTGTTTAGATTGATTTGATTGGTTGAGGTCAGATGTGTTTTGCACTGGCTATTGCAAACTCAGGTCTAGACCAATCAGCGCACGCGTTTCATTGTGTTTATTTTATAATTGTATCTTCACAACTTATCTCTTAGTTTGCGTTAAGCAACTAATGACTTAATTAAGTAGTTAAGAATTGCACATAGAATTGCTCATTTACATAATGTTTTCTTGAATTTTCTTCGTGGTTTATATTTTTAATTTTTCTATGATAATTCACCGTTTTACAAACTCTCACACTTCAACTACGTGTCAGGTTTTAGTCGAGGACGGTGAACTGTTGTCCGGCATTATCTGCAAGAAAAGTTTGGGAACTTCATCTGGAAGTTTAGTTCATGTTGTTGCCATGGAGTTGGGACATGAAATTGCAAAAAATTTCTACAGTGAGATCCAGACGTGTGTTAATAATTGGTTGTTGATCGAGGGTCATAGTATTGGTATTGGCGATTGTATTGCCGACAACGAAACATACGAGGTCATCCAGAAAACAACAAAGAAAGCAAAGGTACTTTAGTGGCCATGTGCGTTTGAAATGCATACGTAATTAGGGCTTTCTTTGGTAGCTCTAAAGCACGGTTTCCTTTATATCGGCTCAGTCTGATTTGGACTTACCAGTCTTGACTTAGCTACAAAAAAATTGTGTATTTACATGAAAAGTTATGCAAGTTTAGTTGTCGTTGTGAGCCTGTGTACAGTTCAAAATAAAGCTGCATGTTTTGGCAGTACTTTACCGTTGATCTCCGATTCTAGGACGATGTGATTCAAGTCATCGAAAAAGCGCACAATGATGAACTTGAACCTACACCTGGTAACACACTAAGACAGACATTCGAGAATCAGGTACATTTTTATAACTAGAACCATGCTGTGCATCCATGCTTGTTTTATGGTAAAATAATGTGTAGTTGTCGCGTACTTGGCAGTTGTTATTGGCATTTTGATCAAATGAGCATGCGTTGCTTAATTATGTGTGTCTATGAAATCTCTGTGCTTAGCGAATTGGTATCAAGCCAATTGCATCTGTCTGTTGTTTTATGTTGGAAGGTCTTTATTGCAATTGCTTGAGAGCAAGATGTATATGGAATAACAAATTGATTAAGCTGAAGCAGATTATCTTATCCCTTTAGGAATCACCGTTTTATTTTCAAGCTTTATTGTTGTTTCAGGTTAATCGTATTTGAATGATTGTCGAGATAAAACTGGCAGCAGCGCTCAGAAAAGTTTGTCGGAGTTCAACAACTTCAAAGCTATGGTTGTTGCGGGCTCAAAGGGCTCCAAGATCAACATTTCACAGGTAAAAAAATGTTTTCAAACACGTACAGTTCAACAACCCAAGAACGCATGCAAGAAAGGTTTAGCCACGAAACAATGTCTGGCCTAACACCTTAAATTGGTACATTTACCGCGTACTGTGGCCAGTTTTCGTTCACACCAGCAAATACAATTGCGACTGTGTACGAAGTTGTCAAGTGAATATTACTCTTGTGGATGGATTCGTGTAGAGTATTGAGTGACTTGCGCAGATTAGTTATATTTTGGAAGATCGAAAACTGACGTTAAATCGTCCAATAATTATTTAAAAGCAGATCGTGTAGGTGAAATTTAAGACAATTTTGTGTTTTTCCCAGGTCATCGCAGTCGTAGGACAGCAGAATGTTGAAGGAAAACGGATTCCGTTTGGTTTCAATCATCGGACGTTACCTCATTTTATCAAAGATGATTACGGTCCAGAAAGTCGAGGTTTTGTAGAAAATTCCTATCTCGCTGGCCTCACTCCTACGGAATTTTTTTTCCACGCTATGGGTGGTCGTGAAGGTCTCATCGATACTGCTGTGAAGACTAGTGAAACTGGTATGTAAAGATGCAATCCTTCGCTAGTCGTACAAGGCTTTAGACTGAAATGTTGATGTTTCATGTAAATATTACAAACAAACGAATGATGATGTTTTCGCTTTACACGATAAAGGTTACATTCAGCGTCGTCTAATCAAGGCTATGGAAAGCGTTATGGTTGCCTACGACGGAACTATACGTAATTCTGTGAACCAAGTTATTCAGTTGCGTTACGGTGAGGACGGAATGGACGCCACTCACATAGAGTTTCAAAACATGCCTTCGTTGAAACCGAATACGGCGGCATTCGAAAGAAAGTTTCATTTTGAAACCGGAATTGAAAGGTATTGTTAGTTCAGGTTATGTGCATTGATCACAGTCTTTGGTGTGGTTTCAAGGTTCTACCAATCGTGACGAAGATCGTTACAAATGTTAATATTTCAGTTATTGTAACTTATATTTTGAACCAGGGATGGATTTAAGGGATGGATGCGGAGTGGTGTGCAACCCTCCTATCCTTGACTAAATGTGATGGAGTAAGATTGTCAGTTTGCCTACAAAATGCGTACTAAATTATACCAAATAATTAAGCCCCCCCCCCAACAAAAAGTCGTTGACCCATCCCTGTTTTGAACATTCTCGATTCATGGAAACATCGAAATGTAGCAGTGACAGTTGCGCATTTAAATGTACGAATAACATGACGCTCATTCATTGCATAAATGTTCATAGCCGTTTTGTTCTTTTGACACAAGGAGGATGAAAAGGTTTCTTCAAGACGAGATAGTGCGTGACATTGCCGGAAGCGCGGGCGCGCTTCAAGAAATCGAGTCTGAATTCTCCCAGTTGGAAAGAGATCGCGATACATTGAGGTCCATATTTCCGTCTGGTAACAGCAAGGTACGTAACATGCATAACGTGTTGTGATTGTGTGTTTTTGATTAAGGAAAAAGGGTAGCTGCGCTCGTTTGCTATCTTCATGCGATTAATATTGCTCGCGATGATTGTGTTTCTGTGTGTGCTTTTGTATAAATATGTACGACAATTTGTTTTTGCTATGTGCTTAGGTTGCTCTTCCCGTCAATCTTAGTCGACTTATCTGGAACGCACAAAGACTTTTCACATTAACAAACGAATGCCCAGTGATCTTCATCCCGTGAAAATAGTTCAAGGTAAGAACCTCGTACGTCGTTGTTTTTCATCGTGTTTTTAAAACTGAATTGGATCAGGTTAGTGGAGAAAATCAAGTAATGGCATGCCGATGTTGATATGCAAGTTGAAAAAATTCTTCCTTCGCGTCGTGTTAAAAGATGTGCCTTGGGATATTTCATCGCGGTTTTCTTTTTAATGTATATCTAACAGAAAAAATTGTGTGACTGATATATGAGCATGTCCATCAGTTGAAAAAGGTCAGCAAATCTTAGTGTCGTGCTGACTGGTTTATTTTCAAGATTTGGTGAATTTTTGGGTGATCATTGTTTTGAGAAAGACATAAGTCCTCTTCTTCTATAAGGAGCGAAAGACCTTAGTTGTATTCAATATGAATCTAAAGATCTAGATTCTTTGCCTGCACTAGAGATTGGATGATGTATGTATTTTGCGTTAATCATATAATTGTAACCGTTTTCAGATGTTCGTAAACTGAGCGAAAGATTGGTTGTGGTTAAAGGAGACGATCCAATCAGTAAGCAAGCGCAGAGTAATGCCACATTGCTTTTTAACATACTGCTCAGATCAACCCTCTGCTCGAAACGAGTCCTCGAAGAATTTCATTTGACGTCAGAGGCTTTCGATTGGATAGTTGGTGAGATCGAGACTAGATTTAATTTGGCACAGGTGTGTGTATGCCTTGTATTGGCGTGGATAATGATATTACTTTGGTGGCTTTTGTATCAACACTAGCTGATAAATTTTCATTTGAGACATGCAGTTAAGAGTCTTATTGAACAATTGACATTTCAATATCTTACAGTTTTGTCGGAATGCTTGAACGCTTGGTGTGAGGCTCTTAAATTTGTTTAAAGGTTCTTGATATCGCTTTTTTCATGTAGGTACAGCCCGGTGAGATGGTTGGGCCACTTGCAGCACAGTCTCTTGGTGAGCCAGCAACTCAGATGACATTGAATACGTTCCATTACGCCGGTGTATCGGCTAAAAACGTCACGTTAGGTGTGCCTCGTTTGAAAGAGATCATGAACGTTTCTAAAAGACCCAAGACACCTTCATTGACCGTTTTCCTGGTCGGGAAACCGGCTCGAGATGCCGAAAAAGCCAAGGTAAAGTTTTGGCATCTAGTTGTACATAAACATAAAATAATAGCTTCGTTTTTAGTGCAAAGTTTTCTTGAAAACTTTGTGATAAGTGGCGAAAATTCAATTTTGTCATACATAATGTATATGTTCGTCCTGAGTTAATGTAGTTAGTCAATAAATCGAAGGTTATTCAAAAATTCTTTTGGACATTTGGCCATGATCTCAAAAATTTCAGAAGTCCTTATCTTTATTATCAATTTTGTAACATTTGAATGTCGGTTGTGTAAAGGATTTTGCTCCGGAACACACAGATCTTACTTTGAAGCAGACTGTGCATGGCTAGTTACTCCGAAATCGGTATTAGTAAATCCAGATGGTTCTTGCTACTTCCATGAACTTGAACAGCTGGATAAAGGGACCGCGCATGGTCAGATAAATTGATACCAATCCTATCCAACAACTTTGCAACTGTATATCAATTTAGGAAAAGCAGGTATTAGTCGAAAATATTGTCAGTTTTGCTCACTCGTAACTATAGAATTTCGGCGGAGACAAATATCTAGTAGATTGGGTTCTTAAGGTCATTGTTTCAGGGGATATAAGTGATTAAAAGTTCCCTTAAGCCTCGTCCGGCTTGGCTTCGTAAAAGTCCCTCGTTCTGCGCTCTTCTAAAAGTACCTCCCAATGCGAGCAGTTTTTCGTCAATTTGTTTCTTTCCTAGGACGTCTTATGCCGACTTGAGCACACCACTCTTCGTAAAGTTACTGCAAACACTGCAATTTATTACGATCCGGATCCCCAGAATACAGTCATCGAAGAAGATCAAGACTTCGTGAATGTGTACTACGAAATGCCTGACTTTGATGTCACTCGAATTTCTCCTTGGCTCTTGCGTATTGAGTTGGACCGAAAGCGAATGACGGACAAGAAATTGACAATGGAGCAGATATCCGAGAAGATCAATATGGCGTTCGGCGATGACTTGAACTGTATATTTAACGACGACAATGCGCGAAAACTTGTCCTTCGTATAAGAATCATGAACAACGACGACAACAAAATGGAAGAGGTTTGTCGTTATTATGCATATATTTATTTTCGAAGAACAAATATGTTGGCAGAAAAAAGTTGAACCAGTAATTAGGACGACGAGAACGAATTATTACAAAAATTGTTTTTAATACTACAGTGACATTATTATATAGTTGAATTTTCCACATTTTGTTCTTGTCTCGTACAGGGGCGGATCCAGGAATTTTCGTACGTTAGTCATGAATTCATGAAGTCACACAAAGCCGAATATTGCGTCATTGATGACGTCATACTTAGCACTCTATAATGTAATGGTACTGGCTTGTTATAAGATACAACTGCGTGGAAATGTGACGGCAAATTTTTCAGTTTTCATTTACATTTTGCAATTTTTACTTTAGTCGTGTGACTGATTTGACGATCCCTAGATCCGCCCCTAGTCTCGTACTCTCGTATTTTTTGTATTATAAATTGCGAATGTATCGTAATAGATGTGCCTGTAGATCTCTCATTCTATGTGGCATTTAAAGTGCTATCGAAAGAAAAGGAATCCCACATCTGTCATATCGTATTTATCACGTACTCTTGTATTTTTAGGCGGAAGAACAATTGGATAAAATGGACGACGATGTATTTCTGAGATGTATCGAAGCCAACATGTTGACAGATATGACTCTTCAAGGAATTGAAGCAATTTCCAAAGTTTACATGCATTTACCCCAGCAAGATAGCAAGAAGAGAATTGTGATCACCGAGCACGGCGACTTTAAAGCCATTCCAGAATGGCTGCTCGAGACGGACGGTGTTAGTTTAATGAGGGTAAGTTAACACATTACATAGTGTTTACCGATAGAGTAAACGTGTATTCTGTGAAGTTGAATTAGTGAATTAATGAAGTTGACTTTTTGGTAATTTTTGAAAGGTGTTGATACAAAGAAGCAAACAACACTATTGCGCAGAATTGATGTATTTCATTCCTTTTTTAAAGGTTTTGAGTGATCAAGATGTGGACCCGGTTAGAACGACGTCAAATGATATTTGCGAAATATTCTCGGTTCGTTTTTACATTGAATATTCTGCTACACGCATTACATAAACATATAATTATGGATTTTTATGTGGAGCATCATTGTGTATGCACCGTAACATGAAAAAGATAGCTCTGAGCTTTATATTGTGGCAAAATCATGGAAGAACTAACGAAGTTGCCTTTCTTCTCGTTATGACTGAAATATGTTCTTGTACTTGCAGGTCCTTGGTATCGAAGCGGTGCGCAAGGCAGTGGAACGCGAAATGAATCACGTCATCTCGTTTGACGGTTCGTACGTGAATTATCGCCATTTGGCATTGTTGTGTGACGTAATGACTTCAAAAGGTCACTTAATGGCTATAACTCGACATGGTATCAACAGACAAGATTGTGGCGCTCTTATGAGATGCTCGTTCGAGGAAACTGTAAGCACTGTGTATTATTTGATGCAAAAAGCTTTTCGCCTTCGGTTGATTGAAATCCGTTATTCTTCTGATTGAAAAATTACGTTGGTGACAATGTGGCGTTTGTGTGATATTGCTTTATACTGTTAACACACTCACCTCAATTTATTAAGCACAGCAGTCATGATGTTTTTATGAAGGATACGTATAACCTGTGACTGTGTAGTCCGCTATATTACGTATATAAAATATCTAAGATACAATGAATTGCAGTATGATAGGTGAAAGGTTGATAAAGAAATAGAAAAACACGCTATAAACCACGTGGTTGCTTGAGCAATCACGTGTATTCATTACGTTTACCCACAAATTATGTACTAAACTTTTTATTGCTCTCTTGAAACATCGGGATTATCGTTTTATGATCAACTTTGTCGTAACTATCTTATCAGTGATATTAGCAAAGGCATTATGCGTTTGATTTAAAAAATAAAAGATGTTTACTGTGTTTGCACAGACTTATGCAAACCGAGGAGACCTTTGTGAGAACTCGAGAGCAGATCATTGCGAAACCGAAGGTCGAGGGTTGCACATGCTCGAGAGGTTTCTCTTTTACTGATTGATTGTTTAGATTGGTTGAGCTCAGATGTGTTTTTCACTGGCTAATGCAAACTCAGCTTTAGACCAATCAGCGCATGCGTTTCATTGTGTTTATTATATAATTGATATCGATACACGTATGGTATGCAAAGCTTCACAGTGTCAGTGAGCCTCATTTTGTTTTCATTGATTTTATTAAAGGTTGATGTCTTGATGGAAGCAGCCTCCCATGGTGAGGTTGATCATCTTCTTGGTGTAAGTGAAAGCATTATAATGGGTCAGTTGCCAAGAATAGGCACCGGATGCTTCGATCTCATGTTGGATGCGGAAAAATGTAAATATGGTATGGAAATACCTACGCACATGATATCTGGTGGTCTTTTTGGAAGTGGGCCTATGGCTGGTTAGTGTTCAACTGATTTACTTATACATTGATTTGTTTACTTCTTATAATATAAAACAAATTCCGAAGAAACAAGACATCTTGAGATTGCAAAATATGAATCAAAACAAGACGAGAAGTAAACTGTAAATTTTCGACTTTATTTCAAAGTCATCCTCAGACAGAATGACATTCTTCATGTCTCTCATATTTTTTGCAATCTCAAGATGTCTTGTTTCTTCGGAATTTGTTTTATATTATACTTCTTTAAATTGTCGGCTGGTCATGGTTTTTGTTTACTTCTTTACGCGACAGAATGCTAAATTTGCACTATAAACTGCATTTTATTTCCTAATTTTATTTTTTTACTTCTCTCAAGCATCTGGAATGTTCTTTGGTATGGCAAGCTCTCCTACATCTGGGATGTCTCCTCAGAAGACTCCATGGAATCAAGGTGCAACTCCAAATTATCAAGATGCATTCAGTCCTGGTTTAGGTAGTGGTATGACGCCAGGTGGTGCTGGTTTTTCACCTGCTGGTTCTGACGCCAGTGGTTTTAGTCCGGCTGGACTCAGTCCCGGTGGTTGGAGTCCCAACCCTGGATCACCTGGCTCTCCTGGTGGTGCTGCTAGTCCGTACATACCGAGTCCAGCACATGGTGGTGCAAGTCCTAGTTATTCACCAGCCAGTCCTGCATTTATGCCAACATCACCATCAATGTCGCCTACAAGTCCGTCGTATTCGCCAACATCACCAGGATATTCACCCACTTCTCCAAATGCTGGTGGATTCACCCCTGCAAGCCCTAGTTACTCGCCGACCTCGCCTTCTTACTCACCAACCTCACCTTCCTATTCACCTACGTCGCCATCATATTCACCTACGTCACCGTCCTATTCCCCTACCTCTCCATCTTACAGTCCAACATCACCGTCTTACTCTCCAACTTCACCTTCTTACTCTCCAACCTCACCTTCCTACTCGCCAACATCACCCTCCTCTATCTTTATCTCCAACATTTTCCATCTTCATCTTTCTTTTTTCATCCCTTTTATTTTTCTTCATTTTTTTCCACCCACTATTCCTTCCCCACTTATTCTAATCTATTCTCCTCCTTCCCATTTCCTTCTTTCTCTCACTTCCACTTCACCTTCATTTCCCATTATCCATTCCTCATTTCATCCATTCTCCCTTCATTAGTTCTTGTTCTCCAATACTTCTCCAACCTTTACCACCAACATCCCTCACCAATTTTCCAACATCACCAACCTATTCCCCAACGTCGCCAAATTATTCCCCATCTTCTCCTCAATACTCCCCAACGTCTCCTCATTCCTCACTTCCTCCATCTCCTCAATACTCTCCAAGCTCACCACAATACTCTCCCAACGTACCTACTTCTCCTCACTACTCCCCAAGTTCTCCTCAGTATTCACCAACATCTCCCAACTACTCTCCAACTTCACCACAATATTCTCCAACGGAAGATTACAGTCCTGTAGCACCGAGATACTCTCCGTCATCTCCAACTTACAGTCCTTCAACACCAGGAGGTGCTTCAAATGCGTCTCCTCAATACTCTCCGTCATCACCACAGTACTCTCCATCATCCCCTAGTTACGCACCTGCTACCCCTGGATACTCCCCAGGATCTGCTTACTCGCCGTCTAGTCCTGTCTATACACCCAATGCAGATGAAGAAAAGGACAAGAAGAAAAAGAAGTGATTGTGCCCATTTGTTGGTGGTCTATTTTTATCGTAATTAGTTGATTCAACTCAAAGCTCTACGAAGTTTCTTTCAACGTCGATTCTTTGAATTACGTGGCTCAGTACAAGAGCGTCCAAAAAAATGTTCGCGAGCGATGACTTCGAGCAGATATGTGCTAGAATTTACTAGAATTCGAGATCTTCAAGAAGAAACATGTACTCGAAGAATTATTGTTAAAATTTATTGCGCTAAATTATTTCTCATAATAGTGTAGAATAACTATAACAATAACTGAGACCACGTCGAGATACTATGTGAAATCAAAGGCCATTGTTAAAAGAAGAAAAGTCATTATCTTTTTTAGTTGTTGTAGACGTAATTTTAGGTGCGCAAGATATGAAGTACCGCTGACCGACTTGTCGGCGACCTCAAAAGAAAGGAATATTTTTAGTCTTGATTTACAATTCTGCATGTGTAGAGATAGACAACAAGCGTTGTCATATTGGCATATTTGATGCAAAAATTAAAGGAAATACTTTGAATGTGTGTTTGGAATCGATCAAGTCATAAATTAACAACCAACTACCAACCTTTATGCCTGCTTTTTTGTCCACAATTATGTCTACCTTCGTGTCTATCTTTGTGTCATACCATGTCCTTCTCAATATTCTACCAACTTGTACCATCCGGCCACATTTACAAACGTAACATGTATGATGCTATACAATTTTTTTGAATTCGAACCCCCAATAGTTAACTTATGCATGCAAACATAGTTCAACGCGTGGAAACTGAGCGAAATTGTCCCTTTAATTTTGGGATTTCAAAAAATAAACGCTGAAACTTTTGTTTTCGATAATTTTATAATCTATATTTCTCTATATAATATACATTTTTTATCTTTATTTAATATATTCATATAAAATATTCCACTATATATTATAATTTGTGTGCATTATTTATCCAAATATGTTGCTATACATACATACATTGCAAGGGCATTGAGATAGACAAAGTTTTTCATTTTATGATACACATTAAAACATTCACGAGAAAAGCAATACAATGCATTGTCCACAACAGTTTGAATGACATTTCATGGGTTATAAGCTGCATTTTCTAAAAAATAAACAACTTCTATGCTTCCATTGCACAATTGTCAACTAATAGTAGCGTTGTTGGGTTTGAAAAGAGTTCATTGGCTATGTTATGAACAAGGAGGGTTTTTATTAATTTTTCGTTGAAATGCGACGAGTTTAATGTTGAATTTTGAGTTCCATTTAATGATTTTGCTTCTGGAATCGATCGTCAGTTTGGTCCCATGTGTAAAACCCATAACCAATAAATCGTTACCAATCTGCATTCGTGGACATGCGCAGCTCGAAGGCGCCAGGAAAAAGATTTGTTTGCGTACATTTTTCGATTTTCGTTTGCCGCTTCTCGAGCAAGGAGGCTGAAGATAATTACGAATCAATTTCAGTTGGATTTTGCTATTTTTGTTGAAATACTTTCTGACCACGCCGCGGACAACTAAAAGCGAATTATAAAAGTCAGTTATCGCATGTGTTTGTATGAAAAAGAATTTAAATCATCGTGTTTTTCTGGGAGTCGAGTAAACATGACACACGCCCATGATTGCATCTCTCAAATTTCTTCCAATGCTTACCAATGCAAACGCGTAACGGCATTTTTTTTTTATTTGCTGATAATTTTATCAGATGAATCGAAAGTCTATATGTTAATTTATTTAATAATTTATAATTAATTAAGCTTCAGATGAATCGAAAATCTATATGTTAATTTCTGCGATAGCTCATCGGTAACAAATTTTCCTGATGGTTTTGTCAGTTTGTTTATTCCATGTTTTTATAAACAATGATTAACGTATGATGGCTTGGTTTGTTCTTTTTATCCATGCACATTTAAAAGATTATCAGTGAATGAAAGAAATTAAGTTTTAATTGGTAAAGGATGAATTTCAATAACTATTCTATGTATGAATAAAGGATGATGATAACTTTAAAGAACGACAGATTCAATACCCCATCTTTAATATCTCATTAATTTGGAACGTAAAAAAATTGCTATTGTTTTGTTTCACTGCATCATCCGTTATAACCAAAAAAATCGTTGTGAAGTGAATAGTATCATGTAATTTTAGTACAACCAGTCTAACAATCTGAATTCTGAAACATGAAGACGCGTCAAAATTTACCATAATCGTATCTGTAGCGGCACATGTTAACACTGCTAATTTCTGATATTGTTGTTCGTGTTCCGTTGCAGAAATCAAAACAAGATGTACCTGTGGTAACGAGAAAGAAAATGAAAATATTTCTATAGCTTCATTATGAACATCTAATATCTGCTAAGGATGATCGTAAACTCTCAATTGTGGCAGAAGTTCCTGAAGTAGTTTCAGAAACAGATTTAACTGCCGTTTACATTTTAATAAGCTGGATTCGCAAAACTGTTTTCTAATATTTTAACGCTAAACTTGTTAAAGACGCCACTACTGTTCAAAAGAAATTGGAAGTACAAAACATTTGCATGCATTGAAATCACATGTAGCAACATGCTCTTCTAGCAAGTTCAGCGAAAGACCTCTCTCTCCCTCCTCCCCAATAAAGCGTTTTTGTAGATAAGGACTACTGAGAATAGTTCTCTTGTATACGTCATGACCATTGACCATTCAGTGGTGATAACTGGTAGAGCTTAGTAAGTAATGGTTATATATATTACAAAGGTCGTATGATTTCAAAGTGCGATAAAAATGCTATTCACAAATGAGGATTTTAAATGCTTCAGGGCAAGTTCCCGGAGTATCAAAAAACAAGGTTGAATCAATTTCCTTTGTCAGATAAGACTCGCCTAAAATACCAATATGAGTAACAAGACAGAAATTCTGGAAGACAGAAATTCTGTTTGTCATGCATTTACATGGCCCGATGTAGAGTGGCATGTGCATCATTGAAATTCTTACCGTGATTGTTTTGGTTTTGGAACGTGCTTCGACGAAATATTTGACCTTGAATGAAAATTTTTTTGTCTTTTTATCAAGCAAATGAGGATGAATGTGATAAAAGACATCGTACGTCATAGCATTTCTGACAATTTTGTTTGCTTTGTTGAGATACTATAATGTTACCTTTTACGTAAATCAATCCAATTTTGTTTGGACAAGCACTTGACCGATATCTAAGTATGCCACGCGCCTCAAAGTTACGAGAAACAGTTTCTAAAGCATAGAGAAAAGTCAAGCGAGTCAACAATCAGTAAATGAATGAGATTTGTAAAATGAATGGATGTATTAACTATATATTGCTTTATAAATGGAAATTTAAAGTGTACAAAAGATGCTTTAGGATACAACATTAAAATCATGAAAGATCGTAAAATTACTTACTGATCAGGCAATTGTTAGCATAAAATTTATGCACATGGAACTAATTTGCAAAGAGCAAATTTGATATTGAACTTTTAACCATTTTACATGGACTGTATTTATATCATGCGGTATGGTAAACGAATTTCCAGAAAATATGTTTGAGAAATAATTTTCTTGTCTTGGCATGACTTGTGGTAACGTGAGCGATTTTGACGCTACGCCAAACTGTTTTAATAAATCTGTTTTAAGACATATCATGTCTCATGCATTACATAACTGCTACTTTTCTATCGCAACTTGCAACAATATAACGACATTATACTTTCATAAAAAAACATTTAATCGGATTATTTGTCCGCAAATAATTAAACAAAGTCGTTACTATCAAGGCTTAACCACTTTTTTCCAGCTACATTTGAATCTGGCAAAGCTAAATTTTAAATTCAAAATATACGATGCAAAATATGGCTAGTATGAACCTCAAAAATTAGCTGTTGTTAAATTCTGGGGCCGGCCGGTTACACGAAGCCAGGATAACGTTATTTATTAGATAAGAAATTTTTTCAAACGGTTGAAAAAACTTCTTTAAAAGGAAAAATATAAGGTTTGAACTTAGCAGTCACTGAAATAAAATAAATCTTCTGAGTTTACGAAATATCTTTGTCGTAACGAAAATATAAACACCTTTTTAACGAGTTTGAAAATTTTATCATCCAATGAATAACGCTATCCAAGCTTCGTGCAACTGGCCCTCATGTATATACAAACAACACATTCCAAGATAGGAGTTAAATATAGCATGATTGTCTTGTCGTGGGAATAAAAATCATAGATATGGTGAACAGATCATATATCTCGTGCAAATTCTCATTAACCACTCGAACATAAACCTTACGACACCTCATGGTTTTGTTGAAAAAAATCAGTCATACTCATATTCAAACATTTTCTCGATTGTTTCATTAGAGTATTTTGAAATAACACGAAGTCTTGACGTGCGTCGTTGTTATTAAATATTGATAAATGAAAAGCATGCGATGTTATCATCGTCGCTGAGATTAAATTATAGATTAACATACATCGTCGTCGTAAACATAAGATTCTTGTTGCATTCTTTTGTTTATAAATTGTAAACATCTTAAACAACTTCCAACATGCATGGCATTTCTGAAAGGCGAGTCATAAAATTAATATAAGTTTTAAAGGATTGTTGATCATTGTCCGGTGGAAAATCTTGAGAGGACTTTCGCTCCAACACACATTCAATTTGTTTTCATAAAATCTGCCCAGATCACGGAAACTTTGTTTGTCTAAACCGGATCTGTATGCCTATGAAGATCCCGAAAACAAATTAACTATTGATTGAAGTGAGAAAAGGGAATGTCGTGTTATCGTTAAGTATCGAACATCGCAATTACTAAACAAAACTTAAAAAAAAGAAACCAAGAACTACGTACAGCTCATAGAAGCATTATATAAAAAAGAAAATAAAGTGAGCCTTTGAAAATTTTCGACTCAATTTTTTAGAAAACGTCTCTATTACCAAATTTTACCAAATTATTCATTGCAATATTTTTTGCAGTGCAAAAAAACACTATATTTTTTCAGAACAGAAAAGACCTATTTTCGAAATGCTCTCTTTTGATTCTGGTCCATAATTTTATAAGAAACTATTCTTTCACGAGTTCATATTTTCTTTTGAAAAGTGCTTCATTGTGAGAAAGTGCTTGATTGCACAAAAGACATTTTAAGTTGAAAGATTTTAATGATTCGTGAAAATACTTGCACACATAAAACAAATGTCGTTTATTGAACTTTGCAATCCTGTATACTTTTCACTTCTGTAACATGTGACTGATCTAGAGCATATGTATTTAAATTTCCAGATACCTTAAGGGCAACTCAATGATTGGTGAAATTTTATTCTTTAGAAATTCAAAACCAATGTTTTCATTTTGAAAGAATTTTAAATTTAGGACTGAAATTTATTTTGACTAAGTCCTCTATTGTGTGTAACAGATATGTATCATAATGAACTGAATAATGACGACTTTCTAAACTGGCCCTGCTCATACGGAAAGAGCAAAAAAATGTAAAATGAGAGCAAATTGTTAAGGATTATGAATTGCGTTAAAAAACGCCCAATCGTCTGCAGATGGTTTTCCTGAAACATTTAGTTAAAGTATGCACGCGCCATTCAAAGCAATCGGAAATCACACATCAACTTAGGTATACAAGCTTACAATAAACGCAATTCAAAAAACTAAGCCATGCATAGCTCGTGCGCCACAAACATAGAAACTTGTCCGCCACAAAATGAATCGTATCGCAGGCAGCTTAGTCCACAATACCCAATCGCAAGCAATCAAATAAGTTTCTCTCAGGAAACACTGTCGTAATCTCAAAGATGATTTGCATCCATAAAATCTCATCTATTCTATACACATGTGATTGTACAACACCCTCAAGGCTTAATTTTGATCATACTGCTTGGTTTACAACTGAATGCCTCGACGCACAAAGCTGTCAAAGATTTCTTCGCCATAAAATGATGTTGAACAACATCGAAGCGTTTTTGCATTGACTGATAGCCCGAAGTGCAAAGAAGATCTTAACATGTTGTTGTATTAAAAGACGACGTGAATTTGTTGGTGATTTTTACGATACACTACGACATTATTTCAAGAATATCTTTCACAGAGTAAGCAACTTTGAAAACGTAAGTCATCAAAAATATGAATTTCACGCTTCAATAACAGAAACGTCGTCATTAACGATGACGCTAGAAGAAGAAAAAAAGAAAAAATCGTCGTCAATATGGTTGATATTAATCCACTTATAGGTACTTACGATGTGAAGGAATCAACATCTCGAATCTTGAACGTTTGTTAGGCATGGTAAGCTCACTTAGAAAGATTGTATAATTTGTGGGATTTGTCCATTGGGCTTTTTCCCCAGCTCGTACGACTCTGTCCAGATTACAATGATCGCTTTCCCACGCTTCGCTCACGATTTCTCCCAGAATGAAGAACAGGAGAAATATGAGAAATTCCAGGGTCAAAGTTTTTGCAAATGAGAACATTTTGCAAAAGATGCGTTGCTCAACACTGTATGGCTCTGGGCTTTGCGACTTGGTCTCCTAAAAACTTGCTTAGCGTGATTCGCGAAGTGACGGCTTATTTATAGGTTAATTGCAATAGTATGACATGTAATTTGATTTTCTTGATTGATCTTACAAAAGATACACCGAATGGTCTTCACTGTTTTTGCAGGAAATCGTGCAAACCAACAAGCCCTGTATAACTGTTTAACTCATAACCGGCCATATGTTTTGAATTCCGTTAGCCTGCGCTACTTGTTCTTCTGGCAATTCGTCCCCTTTGTTCCTCCACTTTCGAGTGAAGAAGTAAGTTTTAGCATTTCTCTTTCGTGTCACCCGAAATGAAAATGCCATATGTGTGTGATGAACCAGATTGATTCCATTTGTTTTGTCCTCATAAGTGTATTTGTAAACGCGAATATCCATCAACAACCCGGACCACCAACAAGTACTATCTCTAAAACGTGAGAATATTTTCACGCAGTACCAGAACAAGAAATTTAAAGGAGCTGCTGCGGTCAAGGTGAGATCGTATCGCAAGGTAACACGTCAATGGTGTAAAATAGAATGAGATTAGAATGACAGCATGCGATCAAATATGAAAAAGACAGCGTAAATTAGCTGCATGGCCGAGGAAATTCAAGCGAAATCTGGAGTGTGAGAATGTTTGCCTTTCGCTGCAAATAAAGCATTACTAGTATACAGCGTTTGCAACATTTATCAAAATATTTATCGATGTAAATGCCATAAAAATGAAAAGCATTTTGAGGATCATTTTTGAAAAATTGCAAGCAACGATATGAAAATTCTCTACAGGTTAAAAAATTCTAACAAGTTAGCATATGGAAAATTGACTAACACTCCAAACAAAGGGGCATTCTCAATATTAAAAATATATAAAATCCACAATTCTCTCAATATTAGAGAAAACTTGACCGCTCCCTAAACCAAACTTTTCTTGTTACCAAATCATACGAAATTCCAGATGCCGTTTGTGTTCCATGCAAAATAAGCAAGCGCATGGTAGCGACATTTTTCACTGAGCATGCAATAAAAGCGTGTGGTATCATGGATGAACTTCGTATAAAGTCACAAATTGTAATGGTCTTATGCAAAAAGGCCCTAAATTCAACCTTATTGCAAACATAGAAGTAAAGCACATTGAATCGTATGAATAAATGAAGTGCTTTGATATACGACTTTCGACGATTTAATGCAGACTGGGAACTAAATAAATTTCTAGGAAAATTTGTGCTTTGTAATTTGAGTCATTGATAATTACACTATTGGAAAATGAGCAGCAAAAATCTAAAAAAAGGTCATAAAGTCTGTCAGGGCTCAATCCCACACAAGCAAACGACTCGTTGGGATAATCAGAAGAAAATGTCACATCCAACTTAATAAAACATGAATTATAATGTGAATTAATGGTTTTCATTGAACAACGTTTTATAAGAATCGATAAAAGAATTTTTAAGTGTACTTCAGATGACAAAAGTACTGCTCAGTCTTGTAGCCTTCGCACTTCTTGTCACTCTCATTTTACTTAATCTGTGAACAGCACACTAAAGCTGCCATCTCCCCATCTTTCATTTTCGTTATTTTTACAAAGGACTTTTTCTCAACATATCTTTGTATCATTGTTTGTTTGGAATCTATTACGCAAAACGATTCAAATTATTTGCCAAGGATTTCAAAGTCAAAGAGAAGCGGCAAGTGGTCGGAAGGAAATTCAACACTAGGCAAAGCAGCCGCTCCGATAACATCCTTTGACGGAATTGCTAGGAAATGTCGAGGAACAAGTTCCGAGGAATGCCACACGTAGTCAATGGTATGGCACACTTCCTCTTTTGGTCTGAACTTCCATGTTGTGTATGGAGCTTCGCTGTTTGTTGAAGACTTGTAAGCACTACTTAACAGGCCAATTTCCTCCATCTCCTGATAAACAGGTTCTCCGGCCGACGCGTTGAAATCTCCACAAACCACTAACGGTACAGCGTCGTTTCCTTCGGCAGATTTCATTTGTTTTATTTGTGAAAGAAGATCCCTGCCTTGCTCCAGCCGTAATTTCTCATTTCCTTCCTTTGCTTTAAGATGAGTGACTGCAACCAGGAGTCTACTGTTACATCGGCGCCTTGTGACAATGGCAAGAAGAGCAACTTGATTGGAAATTACGCCTTTGCCATCTTTGAGTATAATTTTCTTGATTTTATTTATCTCGAAGTTGTTGCTTTTTACGAATAACGCACAACCATCAGGGGAATTATGACCAGGTACGCGTAAGCATACAGAATTAGGCTTCGGTGCAAAGCTACCTACGTAACCTCGCATTTCGAGTTGCGGTGCAAAATAATCCTCAAAGTGGTCGACCTCTTGAAGGCAGAGTAAGTCAGGCGAATACAATAATGCGTCATGAAGAATTCGCTGCTGGCGATCAGGCCATTTGAGAATATTAGGTGTGCATTTTACAAAGTTTTTCGTTGGTGTTGAATAGCTGAGTGCTGAAATATAGAAAATATGTATAATATTTAAATCATGGAATGCCGGGTCAGCATAGCTTGTTCAGAAGTGGAGAACAGGGGGGAGGGTACAGCAGAAGAGCATACTCCATATATAAATTTCTGAATTATACACAAAATAATCGTTCATGGTTGTCTATTGAAAAAGTGATGGCCCTCCATGCTCCGTGGTCCCTACAATGTACATTTGTATATAGACATATATCAATAATCGAAATGTAACGATAATTAGCAATAGAGTTTTCAATATCAATAAAGACAACAAAATAACAATCCATAAGTATACTGTTGCTGTAAATTGAGAAACTGTCTTTCACGCGTAAAGGTCATCAGGCATGGCTCCTCAACATGTGTCACCCGTGTCACCCTGCATAAGGATGATTAACGATAGAGCCCGCGTAGAGCACATTTTTACAAAAATTGTATTTATGTTCTCCCCGTATGAAAAACTAGTAACAGGTAATACTCAAATTAAACAATTCAACTTTCTAGACATGCGAAAATGTGCATTCAAAATTACGTATTGCATGCAGTAACCACTGAAACCCGCTTCAGCTGGAAATTTGTTGTTTGTTTTACCACACAGTCGCATACCATCGGCAAGAATATTCCACTGCATAACTCTCACATAACAGCTGAGACGTCTTCTTTGAAGTTAATTTCACATTCTGTTCTACAATCTAAAAGCTTTCTCCTGGAAAACCGTCTCAAATTTTGGTCTGCCTTTGCCATTTGATGCTGTATGATGGAGTGCGTTGTTGTTTAGTCAACATCAACAATTCTTCAATCTGCAATAGAAAAGTGTAATATGAACTTCTAAGTGCTATTTATGTATTCAAATTTCAAAAGATCAACGACGAGTTCCCAAGATTTTTACTCCGAATGAACAAACGAATTACTGATTATTTTGCTTAGATGTTAGAAAATTCAAATTACTTTCTTCACACAACAACCAATGAATTAATTTATTTCCAAGATCAATGTTCCATGTCGATTTTCATTGAAGTGATTAAGAACAAATTTCGCGCAAACTTCAAAGTTGAGTTCGTCCACAAAATAAGGCTATACAATATACCTTCGTTAATATAGCCTAAACGTTCTTCCTCGCTTTGAAATCGGATGATGAAAGAGAATGAAAAGAAATTCTTCAGACGATAGCGATATGACCTACTTAATGAGTTCAACAAAGACAAACAAACGTTGCTGTTTCTCTCGATATTACGGAAGCATTTTAGCCACTGTTGCATTTGTTTTTCTTGTAACTGGAGCAGTACTCGCTTTGACAAACGCTTGCGAAGAGTTTGTGAAAACTAAAATCAGAAATGTAAGGTTAACGTAATGCTACTATGTTAATAGTACTATGTATTTCAGTAGGAGGTCAGTATAGGGCATGATGCTAATTGTTGCTGCCTGTAAATTGGAGTTTTCTCAATGGTTTACTATCAAGTGGCAAGTGCTGAAGGCAGATCTTAACTTTGGGCTTTGAAAGCCTATAGAATAATGGTATATGCTTTGTTGATTATATTCTCATCATTGTTTTGATTCAAGTTGGTATTTTGCAGAAGTTAAATACTTTAAACGATTAAACTCTATAATGATTTACATTCAATTATCATGTGCTTTCATCCGTTCTCTCTAAATGACTGAACTTTAGGGAGTAAAGTTAAAAGCTGGTAATACTGTTTATGATGAATGGCTGCATTTCAAAACACCGATATATATTAAGTACTACATTTTCAACGTGACAAATTCAGACGAGGTCTGTAAAGGAGGCACTCCAAATATCCAGGAGCTAGGACCATATACTTACAGGTCAGTTCAGTGTTTATCCATTCGGGGCCGTGTCGGAAACTGATAAGGACATCATTCATCATAAGTTAGAAGCATGCACGGAATATCAGTAATAACGTCAAGAGTAGGGAGTGATAGAGGAGAGAGAGTAAGAGAAGCGAGTTGTGAGGCGTATGTGACCGAGACAGAGTCCATTGTACAATACAGTAACGAAGTACGAACGTACTTGTTATTTAGAGAGTTTTGCTAGTTAATATATCTTTGTAAACCTTATTGTCGCGTGATTTTATTTGGTTTACTTTGATCGATTTTGACTTCTCGAGTACTACGAATTTGGAGGCACAATTCTCGACGGCCGTTCAAAAGGGGGGGGGGGGGCGGTAAAGAAGGTAATTCCTTCAAGCCTTGAGGTTGGGCCAGATGAAAAAGACGGTAAATTAAGACAAATGGAAATAGTTGTAAAGTGTGTTCATGGGTCAAGGAGAAAGGATTCCAAAATTTTATGACACCCCGTTTCCCGAATGTCACTTAAAAGTAGGAGTCGACATTTCAATATGTCGTCGTATCATAGAAGCGGACGTTTCATTATTTTATTTTAGTTGTTCTTTTAAATTGCTGTCATTGCAAAGAATTGTCATCATAGAAAGTCGTCATAAATTTCATATATGTGTCGGAGAAAAGGCCCTCGTGGCCACCTAATTTCTCTGAACGGCCCTTCATTATTACCCTATTACTTATATGTGAGTCTTATCTCTTTGTTTTATATACGTCTCTATATTTCAACATCTCAACACTTATAAAACAACTCTTTAGGTTGTTTTTCAACAGGAGAAACATTAGCCGCCAGAAGAGTAGCTTGTCTTACTTCTCTACAAGCACGTACTTTTTTAAGAAGAAATTGTCATGCGATCTGTGCGATCCATTCCACGATAATGTAACAACTGTCAATTTGCCATTTTTGGTGAGTTAAATACTTTTTGTGTTCCAGTTTGCATTTGCCAGTTTCAGTCACGAAGTCGAATGTTGACGAGGCAATTTTCTTCAGTGTTTTTAATGGCGCCTTTTCCTGTATTTGATTGAACAACTGTTAGCTTGTTGTCTTTTCTACCACTCATGCATTCTTCTTTATAGCTGATCAATTGCTCGAATTTCGACACGTATATTATGTCATTAAACAAGAGAGTATGTGTTGAGCTGTTATTTTGGCACACCGGCTGTAATGTTTGTTCTAAGTCTTTACAGAAAAAATTTCATTCGTGCACAATAGCTAACGATGAGTATAAAAGTTTTCAGCTGGCTTTGGGTGCTTGTAGGAACCTGTTTCGTCTTCCATCAGTCAAAAACTTTGGATGCCTTAAAAAATACCTAAAACAAATTCTCATGCGCTAAATTTGATTTCCTAATTTTGCTATCGATTATCGATTCATCATCTTATCTCTTGCTTGCATAAAAAAGTTTTTTTTCTGACTCGCACTAAACGGTGAATTTTAGGCAACACTTGAAATGATAATGAAGTACATTGAGCCAAAAGATCCTTCTGGCCTTGTTGTACGCGTTTTGGACAACATCTTCATGCAACTGTCGTTGCCTGCATTTCACACACGAACAATCAACGATCTCCTCTGGGGCTACGAGGACATTCAATTGGCCCAGGCGATTGGACTTTTGAGTAGTGTGGCAAAATTTGGCATTCCGTCCCTCCATGTTGATTTTCCGAAGAGACTGGCGTATGTGGTAAGCTGTCGATTTTTGAGACGTGCAACGATATATATTTGCATATCGAAGAAAGTGTACACAGACCAGGCTAGTCTTGGAAAAAGTTTTCTCATGACTCACAATATGTTTCTAAATTTGAAAATCTATTTTAGTGGTCCATACAGTAGGAAACATGCATTATGTACAATTTAAGACCATACAGCACCAATGGAAAACTGCAAAAGGAATTATTAATATCTTTTATAAATCAATTAATTGTTCAAATGTCATTATTTAGCAGAGCGAAGAAGAATTGCGTCACATAAATTGTCCGCGCTTTTAATACACAAAAGTAGATGCGCTATGCCCTACATGAGCATACCCTTGCATGGACACAGTTACACTTATTTCACGTGTATAAAAATATACGAGACGTTTTACAAAAATTTCTTTAGTGAAGTTTCGAGGTCATTTCTGTAGTAATGAAAATAAGTTCGAAGAATAACAGTAATATTTTAATAACATTCCTTTTGTTCGGAAAAATTTATAATGTTCTCTTTTCCTTTGGTATTGTGTCATTTTGTTAGCCTTAGTGATGTAGTGCAAATTGAACGGTTGGGAAACTTTTCGAAAAATTGATTGTCTTTAAAATTTGCTATTTTTCTTAGGTTAATATGTCATCTTCGCCGCACACTATAGACACGGGTGAAGAGGACGTACAATATATTGGAAAAATATTGAAATGGAATCACTCAGCGTACGTGTTCATATCATATCTTCTTCATGCATCTTATTTTTTCACTCTGAATAAAATTTTCGATCTGGAGTTGGATTAAGTTCATTCTTTTCACTTTATGAAATTTCTGACTGTTTTCATACATAGTGCACGTGGATTTGTCAAACAATAATTATTTCAAGTAATTTTGAAAACAGGCGTTTTGTGACTGTCGCAGGCCAATATATTATGATGTATGCATTCATCCAAAGCATGTTTTTACATTTCTTCTTCTAGGAGCATACCATGTTGGAAAGATAAATACGCTAGAATGATAAATGGTTCAGGTAAATATTTTCTTATTTCAGCAAAGTCATCAGATATCTCCTTAACTTTACTGATATGATCTTTTCTTCAGATGGAGAGCGTTTCAAGCCTTTCTTAGAAAAAGATGATATTCTGTATTCGTTTGTTGTCAACACTTACAGGTACACAGGGGTTTGCATGACGAGGCTTGTAGATAAGAAAATGTCTTTGTAAACAGTAACAAACATTGCACACTGTTTTTAATACATAGTCTGTCTCCAACCTATATGGAGGTTGTCCTATAAATGTTGGAGATATTGATAAAACAGTTGAATTCATAGCAGTTGAATTATGGCTTATGATGGAACATGTAACACGACAATGTAAATCTTGACAGAATGATAAGATCATGGCAAGATTCGGTGAAATATTTTTGATATTGACATGGAGCGAAAACTACTAGTTGTTTCCAATGCTTAACAGAATCTTACAGAATCTCTAGCATGATATTGAACTGGAGTACATGAATTATAAATTTAACTCTGCTGTTATGATATTTGCTGAAACTTATAAGTTAAATGCAAAAGAGTGAATGATTTTTTGCTATTCAGTATAGTTTTCTCCTCTTTCTTTACCTAAGTGTAACTACAATGACGACTTTCGTACAATTACTCAAAATGAATGGTACGTGAGAGAAAGGAAATATGTCAATAGTTATGAAAGGAATGGACCATGGAAAAAATCGGCCAACGTTTGTTTGTACTGGTAATAACCCAAGTCACGTAATTACATGTTTTGCATTCTTGTTTACCTCAATGCTTTTTACACTTTTACATTGAGAGGAGACAATAAAAAACAGAAAACATGAAGTGAGTGGCAAAAATATAAACACATGTTAGCCGATTTTTTTAATTGGCCTTCATCTACTGAATTGCAACTGACTAACTGGTATTTTCCTTTTCATTTGAAACAGATCTTACCGGCTGATATATGATTCAACAGTACTTTACAAAGGAGTACGTCTCTATCGGTACACACCAGATCCTAATCAATTTATATCTGGTGATATAAATGGGGATAATAAGGGATTCTGTATAACGGGAAAGGAGAAGAAATGCTTCCCAAGTGGTTTATTAGACTTGACTTGTTGCCACCCATCACGTAAGTATGCATTGTGAAAGCGAAAAAAGGTTTTCCGGAAATGAGCCGCTTATCTTTGCATAGATAAAAATATGAAGAACAGCAACTCAATAATTAAAAATTTATTTTTTCAATAATTCTAACAAATTATCATCAGGGGGATGTACACCCCGTAAGTAGATTTTCACGAGATAGAGTGTTGTCGCTTTTTTGAACAAAATCAATTTATAATTTATATATATTTATGACATCAAGAATCGATTTTATCCATCCCTTGTTGTCAGTAATATATGTCTATCGTCTTCAGTCTCACAAAGTCACTTGTTCTTATGAAGCCAGATACATTTTCGAAATAAATTTAAATATTAAAAGCTTCTATAGCCATGTATAGTTTTAATTTTACAAGCGAATATGCAATTTTCGATATGAATTTTGTGCGTTGCTTATTTATTGATATTTCGTTGATTTAGATTTGCCAATTGATGCTTCCTTACCTAACTTCCTGTTTGCAAATGCGAGTTTGCTAAGCAAAGTAAATGGCTTACATCCACAGAAGATTAAACACAGGACACTCTTGGACATTGAGCCGGTAAGTTTGCAAAATATCACGCATGGTTTTTTAGTGGTAGTCGATTTCAACCGTTTAACTGACATGAGAGGTTTATTTCAAAATTGAATTAATTTAAGTATTTCACTATCACCATCATTGTTGATCATCTGTAAAAGCGTGGTCATTCTGCCTTGTTTCAGACCCGTCGGAAACGGGACGGGGGGAGAGGGTGGATCTGGGCATGTTAAACCTCACCCAATAATTTACTAAGAAATTTTGGGTGAATTTAACATGCCTCACTTTCCTGGTGACTTCCTTAAAACCTGGTCAAATAGATATTTGAATTTCCAATCTCACTTCTCAGTCTTAGTTTGCTTCCATAGGTCTTGTTTTTACGTCATTTTTGAAGGCGCATTTCCACCTATTATCGTTGTCTTTTTTTACAACATAGTTGCAGGGACGACTGAGAATGGAGGGCTGAAGCCCCCCCCCCTCCTACTTTTTGCAATAGCAAAATAAAAAAGATATTTAGACTGAGCTGAAGTTATTGTGTAGAGGTGTTTTTCAGGACATTAAACTAGGATTGAAGATCTATCCCCTGCACCTCTTATGTCGCTCCGCCGTCCCTGTATTGTATAACAGTTACAATACAATCACATATTTCTTGCATTAAGATCACTGGACTAACTATGCGTGTGAAGGAACAGCTCCAAGTAAATGCCAATTTACGAAATATTGATGGAATAACGTACGTCAAAGAACTTTCAATTTGTGCATGAATAATTAATTTGTACCAGTTGGCCAGAGTCTCCAAATTATGATATTTTTCATTTGTTTGAAATATAGAGCTTTCAATCACACACCTTCTCTGTATTTACCAATGTTTTACGGCGAGAAGGTAAGCTTGTTCAATTAGAAACGTTCATATGTGTATTTCAATTGTGCAGTAGTCGAGGATGTATTCCTAGTCTTGCCTATCAATACTTTCAAGGCTGTTCAGATGGAGATGATATAAGTAATTTTCCCCAGGCCCAAGGCTCAAGTAGGGCCCCTAATAAAAAAATAGAGGCAGGCAAAGAAAGGTGAATGGAAAGTGCGTCTATGGGTCAAGGAGAAAGATCTCTGAATTTTATAATTGTGTTCCGAGACATTTCAATATGTTGTCATTTCATTTGATTGAGTTGTGAAAATTGTCTTCTCATCTTAAAAAGTTGTCATTTCGTGTGAGTTGTGCTCTCAATAAGACCTCATTCCATGTGTGTCTACGTTGTAGAAAAGCCTCATTATAAAAGGCGTCAAAAGAGTCGAAGAAACTCCTCCAAAGTTTGATTGTGCACGTCTCAAATTGAAACGCTTCATGTTATATTATATTGATCATTATAAGAAATATCCCCTATGTTAAATCTACGTTTTTAATTCTTTATATAAATGTGAATAGGCGAGGTTCAGAAATACAAATGTCCTGCAACTGCTAATGAAAAGTAAATTTTGGTTTTTACATTCTTTCTGTTAAATTCTATTTCATAAAAGAATGGTCAAGCATCTGAAGAAGACATTCATAAATTCGAAAATGACGTCCGCTTGCCGCTGAGATTGGCCAAAGCTATACCGTTTGCCTTTTTTACTCTCAGCGCCATGATCTTTCTAGTGTTTGGAGTTTTACTCTACTACAATGGCAACAAAAGATCACTTTAAACTGAAGTAAGTGCATACGGTGACGTATAGAGATATAGAGTGGGAGGAAGTTGTTACACTTCTCAAACATTTATTAGTTAACTCGTTCGTTGCGAAGACTTTCGGTATTTGATGTGTCCAGAACATACTGGCTAATTTTGCTATCATGTTAGATTCACTTGGTTGAGTGGTCATCTTTATAACAAGTTAAACGAAGAGTACTTTTAATTATCTCGTAAAGATAAATGCTGTGTTTGCCATACTCTTAACTATCTGCAATTCTCAAGTGATTTTTCTACACCTACGGGCTAAATTATCTCGCTCTGATACAGAGTACGTACGTATCAATAATTTGAAAGTAAAGAGGAATTTTTCATAGCTTGACTGTCCAATTTGACTCGCTATAGTTATATTAACAGCGTACCAAGCTTGAGATGAGTAATGGAAATAATCGAAAGTATAGTTTACCACTGTAAAACCTTTAACACTCAGTTCACATGAAAGTAGGAAGTATTCATGTTTGTAACTGCATGCTACAGTCAACATAAGCATCAACTCACTGTGATCACGAAAAGAAATAATTTAAAGTGGACTATAGTTGGCGAAATATATTTCTGTTTATGCTTTAACTCGACACATTTTCATTTTAAAAAAATGTTAAATCTATTGGTTTCTGTTTATGTTCGATGGCTTTCTATGGTTTTATTTCTCACAATTTCACGATCAGTAGCCAGCCACCCAGACAGCTTGGTCGTGTTATGTAACCAGTCCACTACAATGCTCGAAGGCCTGTTTCAAACATATCTTATTGATGATTTTATTTTCAAAATTTTCTGTATGTTATATCACAATTTAGTGACTTGATGGCACAGGTTGAAACAAATCAGTGGACGGTATTTACCTTAACAACTCAGTATTTACATATTTGGTCGGAAATTGCAACACACAAACATCTTATACGCTTGTGTTGAAATATTTGACGTGCCAATGATATATTACTGTTGGTTAAATATTTCGTTGTTCACTTATTGCAAAACAATTTTCAACATATAAATTATGATAATGTTCTGAAATTTAAATAGAAGGAACAAAATTGCCGGCTGCCTGCGCCACCGACATATGCGCACCGACAAGCCAACATGATGGATCATGAAAATAATGATCAGTAGCCGTGCCAGATGGCAAGGGGCCAATCTCAAAATTTTTATCATTTGTAGATACTTTCATTTCACTATTGTCCGCTAAGAAACAGGCTCTCTGACGAAATGCAAATGCAAAATAAACCAATTACCCAAAAAGAAACCACTTCTTTGCCTACCAATTGACTTCCTATTGTTTTGACCAGATGTCATTAGTACCACTGATGAAAACTACCGTTTCTAAGCACACCCACTACGGTCATTGTGAACTAATGAGATGGAAGGTTATGTAAATTACCCGTAGTTATATGTTTGTATTGAGCCAGTGTGAGACGATTCAGTATTGCAACACTTTGCGTTTGACATACAATAAGATGGAGATATTTAACATGTAGCTCTGACAATTATATACCATCACGACACCATTGTTCAGCGAAGTTTATTTGATTTGACATGGCTTGTGGTACACGATCTAAATGCTGCACAAACGTGCTTGTTCTTTTGACGTTTATCGCATTTAGCTTATTGATCGCTGGAATTATTGTGGCTGCTTTGGGGTCATTCACGACGCTTGTCGATGATGAAATAAAGAAGGTTTGCTAAAAAATTTGAAACGTGTACTAAGCTCTTCACTGCTTCGAGTCTTGAGGCTGTCATTCATTTTTTCCCCTGCTTCTTTAATTTTTGGTACGATTAATTTAACATGTATAACGATGACAAATGTCAAGAGAAAGTTAGAAAAGCGAAAACAGCAACAAATGCTTATAGAGCGGTTGACTTGAACAAAAGTTTGCCCTAGATCAATTTAGATACAAAGTCAGCTTGTACTGTACTCGATAAGCACTTCTCGGTTGAAAGAGTTTTTAAGCGTCAATTTTCACCAAAATTATACCGTGAGAATATTACTTTTGGCTTGTCGACGCATAACGTTTTTAAGAGGAAAAATTTAGTGAAATTTATAAACTTCGTTGTGTAAGCTAGTTGCTCGTTTGTGTAGAAAGAACCTCGATATAAATGTACAAAATCAACACCACAAACGAGCCATAGAGAAAGAAGAGTGTCAAGTTAATAACAACGCCTCCGCTATAAGCATTCTTTGATTCTTAAAATAAATTTTATGGTGCTTAATATGCATATGCTTAATAATTTCAGTTGTGTATGAAAATTTTTGTAAGTAGAACAAGGGTTGAAGATGCGGTGAAGTAAGCAGGAGACTAGTGAAAGTTTGTAAGTAAGTGGGATGAAGCTGTGGAAGTTAGTGAAGAGGCCAGTGAAAGTAGGTTTGCGGTAGATGGAAGTGGTGAATTTTCCATTTGTGCGAGAGATGTCAATGTCAAGAAATGATAGTTTTTGGTTTTGTTCGACTTCAGCTGTGAAAGTGATGTGCGGGTGTTGTCGGTTCAGATAGTCAAGAAAGAGAGGGACGTGATCGGAGGAATGAAAAAGTAAAAAACAGTCGTCAACGTAGCGTCGGCAAAGTAGTGGTTTGAATGAAGAAGGACATTGATTCAGCCAGGATTGTTCGTGATTCTTCTAACAATTCCTATGAACTCTCCATTCATGAGAGCCTTTTAAGCTTTCTCTTAACGTGCAAGGAAGTTCCATTCCACTTAACCTCTTTTAATTTCACTTTATTTTACTTCCTAACTTCCTATAATCCATTTGACACCGCCTCCTTTAGTAGTAATTTAACAACTTTTGTAATTATAATATCTTGTTAAATGAAGATATGATCTTCGCACTTTGCTGGACAATTTAAGCAATTGTCTCATGAACCTGAAAAATTCAGGTGACTCAACGGGATCACCGTTGAGTCACCTAAATTTATATCATATCATATCATATGTATATATAGTATATCATATCATATCATATCATATCATATGATATATCATATTACTTTTATATTAACCTTGTATCACCTATTATTTCACTCATACTGAAGATGGCATCGTGAGATGTCGAAACATGTCTATTTTCAAAAAACTTGTCGTTTATATTGAATGTGCATTGGCAATAGTGCTTTTACGAAATTATGGAAACATTAATTTTTATTACACGAATTCAATAAATAGTTCTTTCATTCGAACCTATGCTAAGTTGTGCCTTGTAAAAAAGACAATTTAAACAACACGGTTATGCATGACTAAAGAAGGACAACTACTGTTCAACTGTAGCTTTAAGTTTTAGTCCTGTCCGTGTGTGTCATATACAATAAATATCTTCATATTAAAAAGAAAACACATTTAAAAGTGAGATTGTTCGTTCAACGTAATATTTCATGTTAGAAGTGAAAATATGTACTAACATATAATATGAATAAGCTATACGTGGTTACACCAGCTGCAAAAGTGTTATTTGAGTAATTTGCCAATTTGATAAATGCGTCTAAAAGCTGAGCATGTTCAAACAAATACTGTAAAATGGCTGTGTTTTTTTTGTTAATTAATTTCCTGAGCAATTCATCACATCACAGAAATGACAGAATTCGAGCCTGTGTATATTTTTTTTAGTAATCGTAGTGTGTTTATCACTTTTCACTGGCGTTTCAAATGTTTTATTTTCTCGCACATTTTTAATTGGAATTCTTTTTGTTTTTAGGTATAAATTAATGACAGTCTCAATATATTTTCGCGCTTTCCGCAATCATGTCACCATCGTAACCATATTTATATATATTGTGCATGATCACAATATATAATATAGAAATATATAACTAAAACGCCATATAATAAATATGTAAATACCGATGCGTTATGAGTGGGCTTCTGATCGCTTTGTTTATAGTTTAAATATCCAACAAAAATGTTAACGCTGTCTGCCCTTTTTTTTTCTAAAATTCAGTGGACAGAATTTTTGCAGTAGTATATGAGTATTTTTTGTAGTCGTAGCAGTTCAGTTCGGGAATAGTTCATTTGTATTCAAAAATTATTCTTTCAAAAAATTTGATATTATCAATATAGCTAAACTAGCGTATGACTATAGAGTGTAGTTAAGCATACAGAAAAATGCATTTATTTTTTCAAACGAGGCAACTTCATGTGAAAACAGCGACTGAAAAAACTTGTCTTAATATAGCTACGAAATTTACAGCCTCTGCCTGGACCGGGTTTTCTTCAATGCGGGTTTTAAAAATGGATTGAAATATAAAAGTAGAAAGTTCTTTGACGTTAAATTACGAAAATGAAACTAAAATGATGAATTGCTATAATTCTAATAATCCAAAAAGTTAAAGTGATAATTGAAAAGTTAGTAAATATACAGTTACAAATACAAAGTTAATAAATATAAAAAGTTACATTGAGATGAGCCGAAATTACTACAGACAAAAAACTTAAATCTTTTGTGAAATGGTCCTCTGACTCAACTCACTCATTCTTCAATGTTAATTTTCACAGAATCTGCCACTAAAAGAAGGATCAACTAGTTTTGATAAATGGAAAGATTCTGATGGGGAACAGTTGATCAAATATTTTTTTTTCAACATTACGGATACAGGAAATTCAACTACCGTTCCTCGTCTAAAAGAATTTGGTCCCTACACATACAAGTAAGATTTTAAGTCATTGATACAATGATGTTCGATTCATATGTAGGTTTAAAAAGGAAATTTTTTTAGCTCTTTCATAAAATTGTCAAAATATCCATTGAAGGGCAAAATACCCACCAACGTTCTTGTGGTTTTCTTGTTACACCCAGTCATTCATAATAATGTCGGCGTGGGTGCCTAAATTGAGCCTCTAAATTAGTACTTGAGAATTTGTAAAGGAAAATTAAGACCATTAAGATTCAAACATCTTTTTGGCAAAGTCAGTGAGTTACTTTGCCATATTGGCCTGTGTTTCGCAATACGCTGTGAGAAATTAAAAAACATACTCTGAAGATGACTACTGCTAAGGTTGTCGAAATGTCAGTCAACAACAACAAAAACAGTCCTTCTCATGACTATACCAACCTGGACGATCGACATTTACAAACATGTAACGATAATAGATCAGTTTGTACGATTTCCTAGTAGATAGTTTTTCCCAGTGCTCTCACTGTTAAGGAATTATCCTTAAAAATAGGATTTTCTTAAGGTTTTAAGGATATGTTTTTATACTTTAAATTAACATACACTTTATGATATTTAATGTTTCTTTACAAATACAACGTTGACATACTTTAAAACAGCAAAAAAGGAGTAAAAACCATGAAAAAACACATTTTGGGCCTATGCGATCAAGCCTTGTAATAACTTTTACAATTTTAAGGAAATTAAAGCATTTTCTAAGGAACTAGGAAATTTGACTGTGAGAACACTGGTTTTTCCGTCAGAAAAAATGTCGTCGACAAATTTTTTGTGCGTTAAAGCTGTCTGTGGTAAAGTTGTGAAAGACACAAAGTTTTTTGCTCTTGCAAGTATAGAAAGCGGAAAATGTTTGAAAATCGGATACGCCAAAGATAATTTGTGCTCACTTTAATTCTCATATTTTTGTGCCAAATATTTTCTTTTGAAATTGTGCACGTACAAATTACTCTTTATTAAGCTCTTCTTTCAGTTTTTTTATCTATGCCGATATCTTTGAACCTGACACAATAAGTTCTATTTAATGTTCCAGCATATTAACTTGTAAATGAAAGTTTAAAGACGTTAAAAGCTTTAATATAAAACTGTTGTTCTATTATTACTTTATAAGGTTGTGAAATGTGTTTCTTTATTCTCTTAGAAAAACGGTGACAACAAATGTGACAAAGAGATTAGGTCAGACCTTGACATTCTTCACTATAACAAGGTATAACTTTGACAAATCGAGATCGTGTGCTGGTTGTGATCCCTTCAAAGATCGCTTCACAACAGTAAATTATCCGTTATTGGTAAGCCGTGCATAATTAATCGTATACGTTGATTGAATAATATGATGTATTCAATTATTATTTAAATTTTAATTATTGTATTAATTTATCTTGCTTCTTGCTTCTATTGGTTGTTAATCTTTTAATCCATTTCACTTCATTTATGTGATTATTTATTTTATTTGTAACGTGATTACAAATTGTCATTTCAACGACATAATTTAGTGTTCTTTTAAGCTATATACCTTGTGCATACTACGTAACATATGACAAGCAATAAAGTAGCCCTTTTAACGTATCTAAAATACTCTTAATAAAATTTTCTTCAATAGTGTTGTGCATACAGTTGCACATTTTGACAATCTTCAAATCAGACATACTCGAAATTTGACTTTTTTTATTACTTAAGTTGGAGATTTTCGTCTTTCATTGTGTTTAGGTTACAGCTAAAAGCAATTGTCATTTCAAATTTTTATGTAGGCACTTTTGAGAGGCGTTGGAGCTAGGCTGCAGTTACAGAATGCAAGTACTGCTCAAATAAGAGCTCTTCAAACAGCATCTTTGTTACAATCGACAGGAGTTGGTCTATTTCGAGAAAGATCGGTTCAAGAGTATCTTTGGGGATACAAAGATACAGCTTTAGGTACTGTGTTTCAACAACTCACCAGACAGCTCATTCCTGGAAATATCTTTCCCGGTGTGCAGGTAACCTAATATGAATTAAAAAATCTTTCACTTAAGAAATAAAAGATGTTTATTGTGTTTGCACGATTTTGTTAAAACCGAGGAGAACTTTGGGAGAACTCGAGAGCAGATTAGTGCAAGCCCGAGACCGAAGGTCGAGGGTTGCACATGCTCGAGAGCTCTCACAAACGTCTTCGAGGTTTGTATAAGCCAGTACGAACACGAAAAACATTGTTTATTTCATTTATAAAATGAAATAATGCGAAAAAGACAAAAATTTCAATTTTTCCTCTAAAATGTATTCATGATCGATTTGCGAATTCTCTTTTTCTGATTGATTGTTTTGATTGATTTGATTGGTTGAGCTTAAATGTGTTTTACACAGGCTAATGCAAACACGGCTCTAGACCAATCACTGCGCGCATTTTATTGTTTTTATTTTATAATTGTACATGCAAGAAACATGAGAATGAAACCATTCGTGAAAAAAATGGTGCTCGTATTTAGACAATTTTGTTTTGAGCGCTCTTTAATGATCTGCATTGTTGTGTGTTCAATCATGTCAGAGCTTTCATCCAAAGCTAAATCTTAACAAATATCATTGCAAACGGTAGTTTACTTTTCTTTTACAGTCAAACAATTCGGAGGGTTACGTAACAAAAATCCACACTGGAGAAAGTGATGTGAACAGGGTGACAGAAGTTCTAGAATGGCGAAACTACACGTCAGTGTAAACTGTTTTAACTGTTAATACATAAATTTATGTTCTATCCCGGTTAAGTTACACTGATAAATTAAAGCATTTTGTGAGATAGAGATTTCTGGAGATAGCTACCATTATCACTTTAAGTCTTCAACAGTTGTCAGTTCATTGTGTTAATCAATTGTTCTTCCGAAAGTTTGAATCTTCATATCTTGTCTAGATATAATTTATGCAGTTGCAATAAAAAATCATTTATCGTATAGCAATTAAAAAACAACAAGCATTCCTAATTGCTTTAAAATCAACTTTTTTGTATGAAGAATTGAAACCAACGAATCAAATTGATTATTTTTTTTTGTTTATTCTAAAAGGAAACTACCATTTTGGAACAGTGACTCTTCAAACATGATAAATGGAACGAGTAAGTTATTTATTCTGCTAGTAAAACAAATAAATAGCAAGTAGATCGATAGTTTGTGCGTGAGCAGAGACAGATCCATGGGCCATGCCTAGGCAAAATATATTAAAGTCGCTTTTAATTTCATATCAAAACACCTTTAGAAATTATAACAACGCCATTGGTTATAAAATTCGAAAGAATAAAATCCGATTAATCGCGATGGATTGTGGTTTATTTTGCCTAACGCTCTATTCACTTTTTGTGTTCGAGATAATTTTTTTGTATAAAAAACCTCGGCGAACTTAATGGGTATAACTAAGATAGCAGTCCATTAAGCATTTCAATCACCAATAAATTCATAGTGAATTTATATGAAATCAAGTTTAAACTTTCTTCCACGTCTGCGCCATTTGAACGATGCCAATGATCATTACATAAATGAGGCTAGGAACGAGGTGAGGAAGACTGGGAACTACTGGATCTAGTCCCAGACTTTTACTATCTAGCGCTTTCATTCACAAGAGAGGTAGTGCAACCCAGATGTTTATGTTCTTGTTTTTATAGATGGCAGAAGATTTAAACCGTTTCTCGAAAAGCATGACACGTTAAATGCGTTCATAAAGGAAATCTGCAGGTGATTATCAATCATGCATGATAGCAATCACGAAGAAAAATCTTCTGCTGAAGTTATGTGATATCGAAAACTTATATCATTGTTCGTTTCCCACATGCTCGCATTCCTACTATAGTAAGCAAGCTATTTTCCATCTACCCTATAACTATTTTAGAATCCTTTAATTGAAATGCTTTCTAATTTACTATTGTTACGGTTGAGTAAAAATACTGTGACAGTGGTGCCTCTTGATGGACATTTCACTTTTATAAAGTTTCTCGATACAATGTGCTTTTTAAGATCCTTGCGTATCAGTTATGATTCGAGTACATCAGTTCGGGATATCGATCTTTATCGCTACATTGTGAGGAAAGAAGAGCTCCTTAATGGTAATGTCAATCCAAACAACAAAGGTTTTTGTGTGACCGGTCCGACCAAAGCTTGTTTGCCCACTGGCTTGTTGGATGTCATGAACTGCAGGGGCGGCTCAACAGGTAAAGCACGTTTTTAATGTTGAAAATCGTTAAATCAACTTGAGTAAATTTTTTATTCTGTTTTTAGAATTGTATCGTAATTGTTATTCGTATGCATATTCGTGTTTATTCGGCTGATTTAAATAAATTACGTAGTTTTGTTCTTTCTTCGCATTATGTGAAAGTTATCTCACCTGCTAATCCAGGACAAGAGTAAAGAATTTCTAAGAGCTTTGTAAAACAAATAAGTGTCTCGAAACTAAGCGAAGGGGCTTTTGTCAATCATATAGTTTCTCACGTGAGGAAAGTCTAGAGAGTAGAGATATATTGCATATTTCAAAATGCCATTTCTGAAGAATTTTTCCTGAAATTTCCCTTTGAATGTTCAAAACATTACACGTATGCAAAATTACTTTTGAAATGTATGAAGAAGAAAATTAACTGTATTACCACCGAACTTCGTCTAACTCGTTAGATATTCTTTCACGAAAATGGTCATCGAGATTGTCGCAAAGCACTCGTTAGATTTTTTCACTAATTTTGTCATCCCACCTTAAACGAAAAGCTGTATCCAAGAATTTCAATTAATTTCCAATTCTTCAAAGGTACTCCATTCATTGCATCTACTCCACATTTCTATGATGGTGACCCCAAACTCTCCGAACTATTCGATTTGAAACCAGATAAAGAGAAACATGGTACCTATGTAGCGGTCGAACCAGTAAGTATATTGATGTGTAAATCAATAAATTTTAAATGATAAAGGTGGCTGGCGGTAGAGAGAACTTTTTGGGATTACGTCAATTTGAGATTGGAAAATCCATTGCACTGTCTAAGTCTTTGGAAAACATTGTTACGAGGGCATAAAGCTTACCAGGGCTTTCCAAGAAATGTTTCGACCATGTTTCCAAAATGTTTCCCAAGGTTGGCAAATTTTTAACTAATCGAAGGCAAACATTTTCTATCTCACGAGAAGAAAATCTTCCCTTCTGAAATATTTTTCTTTCAGCTAATGTTAGTGAAGCAAAGTTTCCAATGGCTTTAACTTGGAGACTTTTTTGTTTTTAGAATACTGGTATCACAATGCAAGGGCATCTTCGACTTCAGTTAAACTTCCCTGTTTCTAAAAGTCAAGACATACCAAGGTATACTTCACACAGAATGGATAGTGTTACCTTAATTGATGATAATGAAAACATGGCTTTTGGTCAATTTTTCCGAAACCTTGCAGTACATGGAACACTAAAGCCATGACGCATATTTCTGTAGACGTTAACTTTGTCAACTTGTGTTTGTAAACTGAGAGCCTCTTCAACCGAAACACTTTAACAGCTTTTTCAACTCATGCCAAAGTTTTTTTTTAAATGATTTTTGCTTGAAAGGATTGGGGTGAAATTTACGTACAAGTCAATTTTAGTCTTTTGATCGTGCTTTATTATCGTAGCGATAAATGGAACATACAAGATAGGATGTATTGCAATGGGCAGTGAAAATATATAGCTCTCCATACATACTCCTAAAACATGCAGAAAATGCATGATAGCATATGGCTAATTGATCTAAGGCTTGCATTTTTTTTACTTGCAGAATTCTTTTGAACAATGTCTCAGATATTCTATACATTCCAGTATTTTATACCGATGATGTAAGTATAAACGTTGTTACTTTAACCTGCACATGGGCTTTACCATTATCTAGCTGTTTGCTGTGTACGTTGCATGATAATTAACACGTATTGAAATGTTTTGAACTTTTCTCACGTGAAGGCAATTGGCAAATAGTCAGGTGATTGCTCGTCAAGGGAAAAATCTAGTTTTCTGTAGTAACCAATTCTGTGTCATTTTTCATTAATGTCTTTTTGTCGTTTTTTGCCATTGATTCATCACTCAGCTAGTTCAGAAAACTATTTTTTCCCCGGATACATTCGAAATAGATGTCAGAAGATTCTAATAAAAATCTATCCAAGTGGGAAGCTGTTGTTCATTGCGCAGGCAGAATCGATCATGTTTTAATTCAATTATTTATTATGAGTAAACGCTTCTATCGAAGAAACAAGCTTTGTAAATTTCATTTACAAACTACTATACGAAAGGTTGTTGTTTGCAATATCGTTATGGTAACTATAAAAACAGTGAAAAATATTTATCTACTACAGTTTGCCGAAATCAGCGAGGAGGATGCCGATGATTTTAAGACAAACGTTCTCCTTCCAAAACTCATCGCAGAAGCAATGCCGTACGTCATGATTGGACTTGGAGCACTACTGCTGCTCATTGCTGTTGTCATCTTAATCGTTTGTCGTTCCTCAAGAGCAGCGCAAGCAGAGTTAAGTGGAAGTGGTAAGTGCAAAGCTAACGAAATGAAATGTATTCCTCAAGTGTGAAAATCCTGGAACTGTGTAATAAAAAAGTGGAAATCATTACAAGACATGCAGGCGAAAAACTATGTGTAGAAAGCGAAATAGCATCTTATTTCTGAAGGCACCGATTAAGATATTTAGCTTTTACGCAGTATTCCTCAACTCATTTCACTTTGCTAACGTCCACGACGACTAAACTTATTCGTTGCTCGTACATGCATTGAAAAATAATTTCATATTCTCTCATTGACGCCCATGAAGCACTATGTAAGCTTGCTCAGTTAATCTAAACGATGGTAACTGCTTTTAAGAAAAAATTTTTGTATGGTTAACACTAAACGAAAATTTATCGAAATGACTATAAATTGATTTATTTTTACAAATTTTTTACAAGCCTAAAGCCAAACACAATATTTATGGTTTGTCTTACAATCAACAACAAACTGGGTGGATTAATTGTTAATTAGTGGAAGCATCTCCTTATGTCCCCTTATGTCCCCGAATGATATGTTGCCGTTTACATTTGTTTGATTGCGTAATTTTATTACAATTCTTACTGCGTTATGCCGACACGAATATTTACACTGTTAAACGGCAACAAAGAGAGAAAATTTGAATGTGATGTGCACTCCAACTTTAATCCTGAATTTAATTATTATAATTAAGTTTCCAATTGTAACTCATTCGTGATTCAAGTCGTCACACTGTATCATATTCTTTTCCAGGTGGAAAGGACAACTTTTCCATGAAATGATCCTGTACTCAAGTTAGTTTGTTTTAATAGTACAATTAAGAAAGCTTAAACTGTACCATTGTTAATGCATTGAGACAGATAAGCGGAGAACAGATTGAGTTACAGATAAATCATTAATCAAATTATCGTTTCCAAATTAAATTTAAATTGTATGAGTAGAATAACTATAAAACAAGGCTCCCTTTTACCTAGAGAAATCAATTCACTACTGAAACGGCCATGGCCGGGTACTTTTTATAGAAGCGTTATACAATCTACATGCGTGTACTATCTAAAAAGGCTGAAAATTCTATTAGCTGTGTTATTATATGCAATGTTGTGGCTAATAAAAGATGTTTACTGTGTTTGCAGATGATTATACAAACCGAGAACAAAGCCAGTGCAAACACGAAAAATATCTTTCATTTCTTTTATAAAATTACAATGATGCGAAATAGACAAATTTAAAACAAACGTTTTGATTTCTCCTTTAACACGTATTCATTGATTGATTGATTTTATTGTTTAGCTCAGATTGATTTACACAATGCTGCAAACACGGCTATAGACCAATCAGCGTACACGTTTCATTGCTTTTATTTCATAATTTGTAATACGATTTACTGATATCGAAGTTATTTAATAAATTCTATTTAAATAATACACTGGCATATATTTCATAAAATGAAAAGAATCGTAGCTATACGTATTGAAATGATAGGATTATATACACTTATCGACACTTGCCTGGCCAAATGGTCAAAGACAAAGATTAGTGATACACCTTTTCTCTGTCAATGCGTTTTCTTTCAGTGGCTCAGATATTGTCTGCTGCACGTTTCTAAAATATGTCAGGATTGAACTACTTGTAGGTTGTGGAACATATTAAACTGCAAAGACTTGATTTTTTGTCTGCCTCACACTTGAAGTGCTTACATACATTCTGTAGACTTTGAAGCGAAGGTAAAAATTTATTCTGTAACTTATAAAAAATTGTTGATTTAGTTAAATAGTTTATGAAAAGTGCAGATTCAACCATCGAAAAAACTACACAACGGTAAACCACTCTTTATATAGAATTGGTGTGAGGCTTGTTTGACGATCACGTTATTCTCATAGTAGCATTACTGAACATGGCGCAAATTCTTGTGGTATACTAGAAACCGCGTAAACGCAATTTAGTAAGCACATACCACAAACTAGCTATGAAATGATGCAATTTAGAAACTACGTAACACATACTACAAAACGCATACTTGTCAATCTAGCAACGAAATTAAGCAACTAATAAACCCTACACAATAAACGCAAAATTAATCAAATTAGTATTGAATTAATTACATGACATACAATTACAAGACTAAACGGGATACCAGCCGGGATACTGTCAAACTTAACAGAAAGATATACTAATATATAGCAACTACTATCATTTGTTTGGAACTATTTTAAGTAGACTGGATCATTCTGTAGTAGATTTAGACTTTTGCCTGTTCTCATATCCATCGAAGAATGCCCTCACAGAACTAGGACGTGTTCACACTCACCACCGATGTATTTCCATTTAAGGAAAAACTAAAGACTTAGGGGGACTTAAAGACTTTGGGGAATTTAAAGACTTAGGAGAACTTAGAGACTTTGGGGAATTTAAAGACTTAGGGGAACTTAGAGACTTTGGGGAATTTAAAGACTTAGGATGATTTAGGAATGCTTTAACACAAGGGGCTGAGGCCCAAGCCCGAGGTATTGCTGAATTACGTAGAGTTGAGGTACTGCTCTATCAACATTTTCAATCTTAGAAGATAGAATAAAGAATTTTTAGCTAGAAAATTGAATGTTGATTATGATATGAAAAGTACAGACAATCATTTTGGTCACTCTAACAATATGTATATTCTGTAGATCAGTGTGACGTACATCTCATCTTTTGCCTATTCAAGACAAATCAATCATAGGACAACTGGACAAGGCATTCGTAATTGGATTTTCATCTCGTGTGCCTTGTTGGCACTTGTTTCATCATCATGATTACATTCCTGTACAACATGCCCTTTCTCGTTTTACTAAGAGGCTAAAAGACGCAATAACTGAATGACGCAAATCATTGTATGAACACTTTAGGGGTCGGACATTTCAATTCTGTCGATTTTTTTTTTGTTTTGCGAGGAGCTGCTTTTTAGTTATACCCAGTAAATATACAATATTTCATACTTTCAAACCATTTTGATGCAAACGAACAACTTTTTGGGAAATAAATGCAATTCAAGTATTCAACACAGGTCAATAGTTAACAGTCAAAGTTCAACGGAGAGAAATAGGAAGTGAAAGCACGATGAGTTATGAGACGAAAATGTAAATAAATAACATCATACAATACTGCCATTGATTTCCGCAGTATACTTTTTACAATATCCATTCATCGAACTACCGTTTGACATCCGAACATAGAACTTCAAAAGGTAAGTCCTATCATACAATATTCAATGTATTATCATACCGCCATGAAAATTCCACGTATGGATCTCGATATATGTATTATACCGAAGTAAAATGAACTTGTCACTGGCCCACTGCCAGTGTCCAGTATAGTGAAATAAAGCAGTTCATTCGAGGAGTTTGCATAAGGTCTCATTCAGTTCAATTTTTACCCGTGTTCTACAAAGGTTTAAATGTCTAAAAATTTAACGGTGGTATATATATAAGGATCTTGCCAGTCTTCGTCTTAAAAAACTCGTCCTGTGCATTTATACAGATACTTATCAAGCACTAACGACTCACGAGTTCAAAGTGCAATTAAAATATACATGCATCGTGTTGGCTATTCAAGGTTTGTGAGAAGAAAACGAAAGCTTTAGTTGACGGAAAGTGACAGATATTAACTTTACTAACCTAATTCTTCTTTATTTAGAAAATGAAATTTAAGCAGTGTGCTTTTATTAACGTTGTCATTATCGTGGACATTTTGATCTTTGGCTCGAAAGCTTGCAACAGTCGAACGCCACAACGTAAGCTAAGAAGCCGTGATTTTGAAAAGCGGATGACTGTAAAACTGAATTAGTTCTTTCGCTAAATCTACAGTGTGTTTCCTATATAAGAAATCGTCTTTTATTGGAACATGATCAATGCATATCACATGTGTATAAAAAACTGCAAATACCATAAATTTGTATGCACGAGACCATACAAAAACATAATTAAGCATTTCAATAGCTTTGCAACTAATTACGCTTCTGGAATTTGAAAATATGTTTCCACGTACAGTACTATCAAAATGAGCACATGAATAAGGATAGCGCCCCAAAATCGAACCCGGGGGTTGGAGGCCTACGACTTATATTTACTAAATTTTCTATGTCTTACTTTGCTTCTAGTTGAAATATATAAATGTTAGCTGCCATGAACTCTTTTCAGGAAAGGTTTCCAGTACAGTTATACAAAACGCTAGAAAGTACGATATTTTAGGATCTACCTAAACCTGTGTAACGCATTTTTAAATCTCCAAAGCGTAATAATTTGTACAGCCATTTAAATTCTAACTCTAATATACGTATAATCTCCCGTCCCGAATACGAATTATGGTATTTGCAGTTTTTTTTTGATACACCCCGTGTGCAGATAGCTGACAATACTCATGTGCACCTGTGGACTTAGCATTGTTATAAATATTGAAAAATCATCACACTATACGTCAATGACTCATGTCTAATCATTATTCATACATCCTGTATATCTGTATATATATATATATATATATATATATATTGATATTTAAACTTGTTAGGAACAGTGCTCGTATCAGCTGTTACTGATTACTATTGTAGAAAAGTCATCTCGTCCACCTACTACAAAAAGAACCAATACAATGACGTCAAATCGTTATTCAACGACACCCGGTTCAGATAGCGTCACAAAACCATCTGCAGGATCCCGTCCCACCTTATCCAGTTCTAGTAAATTTGTTCCAAGCACAACAGGTGCAACGACAACATTATACAATCTCTGTATATCCACATCAATGGAGAATCTAACAATTGACTTCATAGAAAAACAACTAGAAATTCTAGGTGAGCTTCGCTATGTTTTCATCTTGACTCCAATTGTTTACACGCTGCTCTGTTCGAATGGTAAATGAAACGTCTATCTTTTTTTGGCTATGCAATACATTAATTTCCATATGATTTATTGATGTCTATTGCTTTGTTTGGCACCCGCGTTGAATGGTAGATAGGCTTACAGGTTCATTCAACATTGACATTTAACGCCATTTAAAACGAATGTCTCAAGTGTTTTAGCGAATGAATTACAACGGCATATTAACCGCGAATCAAAATTCATCAAATTTAGTACTTGACTGTTAACACTTTCATTACAATTGCAAGGTATATATAATTACGGTGCACATAAGCTTGCTGACGAATGACAATGAGATAATTGCAAAAAAGTTGCACATTTAGGTGTAAGATACTGCAAAACAGAAAGCTAGCGTAGTCACTGCGAGAAGTAGAACCTGATTCCTGTTGCAGCAAAGTTTAGTGCATCTTGTCTAATGTCTTCAACGACTTAAATGTTCACATCGAGACACACGAGATTGCTTTAAAAAAGCATTGAAAGATTCACAAGTTATGTAACTAACAGGTTTCCTTCTCGGGACTGAACCCCATTCTCGTATTTGATTTTCTTCTATGAAACATCAACTTGTTGTATTTTAAAAATTCCTTTCAGGAAAAGGTGATATTCTGAAAAACCTGCTATTAAAAGTTAGCACCGAAGAAGCAAAAGTTTTTATCAAAGTCCTTGGATCGGATGGCAACACTTGTTCAGCAGGATATTTAATCAAAATAAACAATAATAAAGACTATCACTACCACCTTCACAAACTTAATGATTCGTCAACAAAGCAATTTTGCGAAAGTGCAAGAACCTGCATGAATTATTCAGGTAGTAAGTTTGTATGCTGCTCTCATATCGTAACAAATAGCCTGCGTTGATTTCCTGATGTTATTTCGATAAGATTCCTTTTTGAGAAATGTGATAGATATTCAACAGATTTCTATGATTTTCACCAGATCCAACATGTAGCTATCATTATTTGTAGTGCCTCTTGAAGTTATATCCGAATTGACGTTAATGTTGTGCTCATTGATGTTGAGTTCAAACAATCATCCTGTTTGATGTAATCATTAGAATTTGCATGGCATACAGATTCAGCTGCTTAACACATGTCTTGCCCAATTTCGACTGTACTGAACTATGTATATAGTGATTACATATACCACTCTATCGTCCTAGATTGAATGGTATATGAATCAACGATTGATGCAAGCCATGTTTCTCTTTTTTCTAGTCGTAGCCAGGATGAAAAATCTATCACCACCAACAAAAAGCAGCACCGACAAACCACTAGAAAATACTCCTGCTCCGCGAAAAGGATCTAGTGGCGCTTCAACAATAACAATCGTTATACCGATTGTTGTTGCAGCTGTTGTCATCATTGCTGTAGCGATAATACTAGGATTTTGGTACAAAAAACGTATGGGAAGATAATGTATACATGCACGTTTTCAAATCAGTCTAAACTACCCTTGCTTCAATCACCAATTTTCATGTAGTGCTTGAAAATTTTGTACAGACTTGAAAAATCCGTTTAGTTGGTTGAAGTACCTTAAAAATCTCATATTAGTTACACGTAAACTATATATCTAAAATATTACATCCATGAATTGAATGTGTGCATGATATTTTTTTCATAATTCTTCATTGTATAGCAACCATTACATTCTGCAAGAATGTTGCGCCTTGCTTGTGTGACAGAGATTGGTTTAGTCTTAAGCTTGCGTAATAATCTTATCTCTGCATGTGTGATAAAAGCTAATTACAAATTAAACTTCTTTATGTTTTAGGTGGAGCCTTCAGAAATCAAAAGCCAACGTAAGTATTATGCTTGTTTATAATCTCTTTGGTCAAAGGGCTATAGTCCAGATTGTTATACAGGTTTTATGTTCAGTCTGTTTACATACAGCTGACTGTATAGGAATACATCAACATATATAACTCTACTAACTGCACCTCAGTGGCGTAGACAGCCGGAAAATTTGGTCCCTCTGTGGAAATTTTTTTTTGTGTTCACCTACTGCAAAAAATATATTTCTAGAGAAAGTAAATAATGATAAAGCTTAAAGTTTACACAGCAGGATCAAAACTTGTGGGAGATAGCTACACCACAGCTTTATCTCCCTCTGCTATCTTGCTTTTCATAATCTTAAATGATAGCATATCCGTTGTCACGCCACACGATATCTCATTAACTGACATGATGTATTTATGGATAATGACAGAAAAACCACTGCTGAGCACTTTGCTGGTCCTGTTAATGGTGATGTCTACACCGTTGCCAATCCAACCAACGTGAAATTTGTCAAAAAAGTAAGATCCTAAATTTGTAATATTCTTATCGTCGGTATTGACGTATCTTCGTACATATAAAAGCATTTCGACTGACATAAACGTGGAATATTTTAGGTAAAAATATGAACAAGTGAGGTGATACTCATCGGATAAATTAATTATTTACAAATTATTAGAGATTAGGGACAGGATGTGGGTAATACAGGCATCCGTAGTGAGGACATAGGAAATATTGAAAATAGTATTAAAATGTTGGACTTGTTTGTGGAGGTCAGGTTTGTGCTTGCCAAGGTATAGGGTTTCTTTGAGTTTGTGAGAGAATGGAATTTTGGCTATGTCTAGGAAAGTGAAGAAGTATAAAGTGTATTGGATGTGCATTCCGGATATTGTAGATATTTGTAAATGTTTGAGTTTTTCATTTGAAAAATATTCATAGACTGTTTGTTGCAACAACCGACGTATGGTGCGAAATGCCTATAAAGCAAAGTCGGAAAATAGTTCCCAAAATATGGCTGTCACGACGGACCAAACATGTGCCCTTCCTAAAATAATCCAAACTGTATCGATTTGTTTTAGGAAAAGGAGACAGACTTGGTTTACACGGAACTTTCTCATGAGCGCTCTGAAAACGGTAAGAAGGATATTTCTAAAGAAGACAATGCGGAATATTCAGATATAACACATGTCCTCAAAGCTGGAGAAGAGACGTATCAAAATGTCGCTCATAAAATGGAGGACGGTGATTCGTATTCCAATGTGAAATTGATTAAGTGATAAGTTTGGTTTGCCGGATTGAAACGTATGTTTTTTATCGATTTTTTTATTGAATTCAAACGATAAATTTATATTTCTGTTAAGACAAATAAAAAATGTGCTTATTGTGTTTTACTGATCAAGTAGAATTTTGGCTCGTGGAAGTATTGCAATTTTTATGTGGAAGTATCGTTCCATTCAGTGTAAGGAACTTGGTGATATAATAATTCCGTGTTCTTGAAAGTTAAGTATGTGAAATTGATTGCTATAGCGTATAGGACTGACATATTAGTAAGAGACTGGACTAGGGGATCAATCTCTCATATTTTAGGTGTTTGGTTATTGTGAGGTTAAAAATGATATTTAGTAAATTTACTTTCAAACCTGAAAAAATATCTAAATCATATATGGCATGCTTTTTTCTCAATTGTACACAGAAAGTTTTAGTGCCAATTTGAATAACTAGTACTAATTGAAATATTGAATTTATTTTCATTGAAAGAACTCTCACTTGAAAACATGAAAACATGCAGCTATACTTTATTAATTGTGTAACTTGTAGCCTAGCTGTTTTAACAATCATCGAAGGTCAGCTTGAGTTTAACACGGGAAGTGCAAAAATCTACATTTCTTTTTCTAATGCTAAAAATTTGAAACTTCAAACTTGAAACAAAATTGAGGTAAGTTTTGTCCCAGATACATCCAAATGGAATCATCCATTATCCCTCGTAGGTTACCCTCATGGCAGGAATCCAGCATCAGCCCTGCTTCCTTTGTGTCCATCTTTGTGTCTACTTTTATGTCTATCTTTGTGTCTACCTTTATGTCTATCTTTGTGTCTACCTTTATGTCTATCTTTGTGCCTACCTTTATTTATGTCTACTTTTGTGTTAACCTTTGTGTCTACTTTTGTGTTAATCCTTTGTGTCTACTTTTGTGTTTACCTTTGTGTCTCCTTTGTGTCTACATTTGTGTCTATCTTAGTGTCTACTTTTAAATCTACCTTTTTTTCTATTTTTTTGTATACCTTTTTACAAAGAGAAGGGACGAAGAAGAATTGTGTTTCCTTACGAAATATAAGATTTGTTGGTTTTTATTTTCACATGATTTCTTGTATATACATTATGCCAGAGACTTGCCCGATATTTTAATTTTTCATTATAAAATATCGTTTATGAAGACTTTGGCAGCTATTTAAGACCAAATTTCATCAGATAGGTACATGTACGGCTTCAAATTCGTCGTATTCGTCCTCATTCATCTCTTCAGCATCATTATCCAGCAACTCTAGTTCCCCCTCTGTAAACCAAGCTGCGAGAGACTTGCGTAAAGGAATCAAACATAGCACAAAGAAAGGAAATGAGGGAGCGATAATGGTGAGCTTTACAACAATTATGATGCTCACGCACACGACCTGAATTATGGTAAATATATGCATCTTTTTTGTGCTTACTTTCAATACGTAAGAGACATCTGGATGATAGTGTCCTGGCATAAACAACATTTTTATGCGTTCTAGGAGTTGAATATGAGAAACCGAACAGATCCCGAGATAAAGCAAAACACCCGCTAAAACTGCTATCGGAATTTCCCGTAGAGCCGGTGCAAGAAAAGCGGAAAACAAGACAAGTATATGTATCACAACGTTTGTGACTCTTTGTTCTTTGACTTCTTCAAGGACAGGTCTCTCGCCAGGCGCCTGATTGCTATTGAAAACCATGAGGGCGTGTAGGTGAGACATTGTGTGAATGGGGGACGCACAAAGCCAAGGAAAGCCGAGAAACGAACACAAGCACACAATAATGCTAACTACGATAAGGTCGAGATTATATCCAGCACCTTTTTTGAGTTTAAATTCTTTCTTGTCAAGAATCAACGCAGTCAACTCTACTTCCATAAAAATCAGGATGCTCACCAATATTGCGGGTATAATGGCTACAGTTATGGTGAGAGCATCCATGTTTTCACCCATAGGATTTACGAACCACCTGTCTTTCCATTTCGTACCAACACCTTCTGGTATCACAAGCTGTGAAACTGTCGTTTCTTTGTCAAGGTTATAGTAGGCAACCATGGAAAGGATTGCTATCAGCACGCCAAAATCACTAATAATCCTTCGGATTAAATGGCCAAAGAAGTGAGAGTGCCGAAATCTTAAATGAAGACAAGCAATCAATCGTTACTTGAACATACATGCTTAATTGAAGAATTGAGCACCCACAGCTAAGCATGCTTACCTTCGAAACATATAAGATATTATAAATGTTCCCAGAACCAGGAGTACAGCAAGATGACCTGAAGAAGAGGGCGAGCTTGTCTTGGTCGTCGACGTTTTTGTAGCGTTTGCTATCGTCCCGTTTGCTGACAATGGATGTTTGTATTCATCGATAACTATTTCTATGGCGTCGTACATAAAGGTGTACGCTATGATGGTGGCAAATATTTCTTCAGTAAACCGCGTGAAATAACGAACGAGAAAGCATCCCTCGAATGCAACGATGAGAAAGCAAATGAACATCACCCAAATTCCTATCCACGCCCGTAAAGGTAGGTAGTCGACATTCAGATTTTTAGAGAGCTCGTAGATACTCTTCTCAAACACGATGAGGGGACCAGTAAATGAAATAATAGTAAGTGGTTGACCACCTAACAACGCAAAAATGATCCCGAACAAACCCGTCGCCAGTATTGTCTCGGATGCGTCAATCTTTCCTCCGGTCTTTTTGCTAATAATTCCGCCGAATGTGATCGCTGGCGCAAGAGAAGCGATGTAAACAAACACGATTGCGGCGAGACATTGTACATTGAACGCGTCTGTAAAGTCGCTGAGATAGTGGGGAAGTCGGCGTTTTACATCGCGCACAAGACCACCAAAAAGCACACCAGTTCGTGCCAATGGATCTCCTTTCGCATCTTGCAACTGGTGCATGCCTACCTGCGTTGCCAAGCTGTGTTTGCGTCGACGATTTTCAAACAACTTCTGACTCTGACGCTCCAGAATGGGAATAGTCTGCATCAACACCTGACGACCCCATTCACCGGGAGGTATGACGACACAGCAATCAAAAAAGTCGTCCATTGTTTTTAAAAGAGTTTCGCGTTCCTGTAATATCAAATGTTCAAGGTTGCTACAAAACATATTTGATTTGAATTACCAACAATTACTATTAAAATTTTATGTAATGATACACATAACAGGATTTTTTTAATCAGGAGATCGCTGAGCAAGGGTGTAGATTAGTACAACCCCCTGAACACCGCACATAATGTTCATTAAACTCTTACACGGTTGATTGTCGTTGGTATTTTGAACAAAAGCGGTCGGTAAAAAGCTCTTAATGCATTCACTTGTGGTCGGTGATGTCAGTCATTCACCTTTTAATTTCTCAATTTCTGAAATTCGTGAAGAGATTTTGTTGGTAAAATGAAGTATTTATAAAATAAGATCCCCTAATCTGAATGCCCTCGGTACTGATTAATGTCATTTGTTTCTAACTTAAACGGACATGAAGTGGTTAAAATGAGCAAATTGCAAAGAATGTATTACTTCTTGAGAAATCGATTAATATTTGAAAACCCGGACTGAAACGGTGGAAAACATACCCAGAGTTTAAAACTGGTAGGATTAAAATCTAACATTAATAACAAAACGATCACGTTGGTACCTCGAAGTCATAAGCCACAGACAGAAAATCTTTGTTGGACATCATGGCTGCAAGTGCACGGCCAATTTCGTGATAACTATTCCTGCCAATGTTGCAATAACTTTTTCTGCAATCTTGTGGTCCCATGAAGATGAAAATAAAACGCACTGGAATATTAACATCGATTAGATTACCCAGAAAGCAACTTTCCTCGAGGCGAGCAAATACTGAGATTGGTTGCCTCAAGAAATTTGCTGAGCCCACAAGAACGACAGTTGATTCGGATTTTTCAGGATTTTTGAATTGTGGAGAGCTCTTACTGCCTTTTCCAGGTCCATATGCATCATGGGCAGTGTTGTTATCTTTTGATGAATTAAAACAATTGTTGTGACAAACTTGGAAACCTGACCATGGACATCTTGAATAGAAAATTAAGACGGTCCTGTATGCTACAACTTAGTAAAATAGTTGACTAATTAATCAGTAGTTCCGGCAACGGAACGATTTATAAAAGTATATCTCTTGAGTTATATCTCAAGAGATATAAAATCACAATATATACATAATATATACAAAATATATAACAAAATATATGACGTTATGTTTTATGTATATAATTTATATCTCAAGAGATATAAATTATGTATATATTTATGTATATATAAAATCGCTCCAACAACCTTTGGAGCGATTTAGTCGTCCCTAAAATAAGACCTTGCTGGTATGCATGACTTGGCACATGTTGTGAACTATGAAAAAATGGAAAGTAAAACTGCTGAAGCAATATAAATAGTCAATTTAGACACAATGAGAAAGCCAAGAGAGCGGAGTCAAAGAGTTTTGGTTTGAAAATTGACTTTTTCAAGAGAATTTGTTCACGTCATAGATCACAGACTATTGTAATATATTTTGAACTTGAAACTGCTGAAACAAAAAGCGTAAGTTTTCAGTTTTCTATGAAAAGGAAACTTGCAAACAGATATATTTCTGAGATTGTTGCAACACAAGGGAAGCTGTACTCAAAATTCCACTGCCTTGCAGCTTTGCTATAGATAAAGATACAAATACAAATCACCTCACAAAACTCGTGACCAAAATATTTATGCTTGTATACATAAGAAATATAAGGTCGCACTGTACAAATATCTGCTTGAAAATTTTTTCAAAAAAAAATAAAATAAATAAAACGTTGAGTTGATGTGCAAAATCAGATATCTGCTAAAATAAAATTACAAAGTCAAAGCAAACCTGGATTTTTGTCCAGAATCCTTTCTGAGCAGTGTCAGTTCTTTATCCTCCTCTTCTAAAGCATGAACCGCAAAATGTCGAGCGAGGCGACGGGACTGTGAGGACGTTCGATTCTTCAGACGATGATTTAATAGAAGTAGATCCATTAAATGGTCGCGATGTTCTTCATCAAGATCACCACAGCACACGAGCTCGTCTATCATCGCATTCACGATCCCCGACATATCTCTCTCGGCGAGGTTCGTCAATATCGGACATTTTTTCAGAATGTCACGAACATCCTGCAGACCTTCAATATAAATTAACGTAAATGGTTTCACATCCCGGCGTTTCTTAAGAGAAGTTGGGAGAGAGTTGAGAAACGATTTAGATGCACAAAGTTCGTCAGTTTTCGAATGAAATATTTTCGAATTAAACGAACATCGTTTTATTTTTTTTATTTTTCAAAGAGATTTTACAAAGGCAGATTTTCATTGGAATATGCAGTATCAAATGCGTCTGAAGCCAAAATTGCAAAACTTTATGTAATTATCTGCTGCTTATTATGAGTCAGTAGCTATAGCCAACTCGACATTTGCTAACTGTTTCTGTGTTTCACATGAGTGAGATAATATTTAAGCCAAAACAGTACAACATACTATACTACTTGTTATAAGAAATAACCTTGCAAAGACAAACACGATACATGCGGCTTGCTCCAACGATCTGATTCAAACGTCTCTTCTAGTTTGACCCATCTCGCAGTCTTTTCCCATTGGGCCTTGTCTCTTGTTAGATGAACAAGCTCTTCAAGCTCCACAAAGCCATTTGGACGCGCCATGTGCGTTATTGCCGTAGTGGTTTTCACGGCATTGCCGTGCGTCTTTTCACGCGAATGGCTTGTGACGTCATTAATTTTACGACCGAAATTAAGACGCCTGCGCATGCTGCTAGTTACATGATGTGTCAATTCTATTACATGAAACGAAAATCAATTGTCAAAAAAATCCGGACAAACTTGTAGCCAAGGACTGGTGTATTGCTAAACAATGCGATAAAAATGTTATTTTTCGAATTTAATATTCAAGTTCAACCAAGCCTTATTTTTTTGTCATGCTAGGCAACTGCTCATGCAAGACAACAAGAAACAGTACTTAAATGAAGATATGATCTTCGCACTTTGCTGGACAATTTAAGCAATCGTCTCAGGACCTGAAAAAATCAGGTGACTCAACGGGATTCGAACCCATGACCTCTGCAGTGCCGGTGCAGTGCTCTGACCAACTGAGCTATGAAGTCACACAGTGGTGAGCAGGTCATTATTGTTGGGCTCATGTTTTCTCGGGAAAGGAATGTCGTATGAATGTTTTATGCAGTGCGGTGTTTGAAATTAAATGAAGATATGATCTTCGCACTTTGCTGGACAATTTAAGCAATCGTCTCAGGACCTGAAAAAATCAGGTGACTCAACGGGATTCGAAGAGGTTAAGTGGAATGGAGTTTCCTTACCTCTTTTAATTTCTCTTTATTTTACTTCCTAACTTCCTTATCATGTATCCATTCGACACCGCTTCCTTTAGTAGTAATTTAACACCTTTTTGTAAATATAATATCTTGTCTTAACATCCTATTTATTATTTGTCTGAAGATGTCTTGAGTAAAGACGAAACGTCACAATAAATTTAACTTTACAATTCGTTTTTTTTTTTTGTCTATTTCTATGGCTCTAATCAGAACTTTATGTTGGGCATTAATTTTTATCACACGAATTCGATTTCCGCTCGGCAAGTCTCTCGCTACGATTCAAGAAGTACCTCAACGATGAGAATTAAATCTCGATAATATCTTATATCAATTCCATTTGTCTGAATGGAAATTTTATTTTCGGATACTAGCAATTGTATATGGAGAAAAAATAATTGTCTCGCTCAGCAAAGCTGCTCACATTGGACCAATCATATCACGATTATTTTATGGGCTGTTACACAACGAAGTGGTATCAAAGTCAAATGAGGAGTGGTGTTACTAATATTGGTGGCCTTACCATGGCTGCGGCCATTTAAACAGGGACGGGCTGAGCGACCTAATTTGGTTGACACAACACTTTATTCTTTATACAATCTATGTGCGCTCATTGTATTACCATAAGTGTTATCCTTTAGGAATGTACCTCATTGATATCTAATAAGTAATACATTGTCTTTGGTATGTTTGGCAAATTACTATATTATCGCCCGAATGACATTTACAAAAGCGGCATGTGTCCTTCACGTGGGCCGGCTACAGCAGATAAGCAGAACGGACTTTAAGCTCAGTTGAGTGATCGTTTCTGGCTTATAGTCTCTAAAATTTATGTTATTTACAATGTTGATCGCAATATAATGTGGGAAATGTTTTCGTAGAATTATTTCAGCGAAGAGGCAATTCAAAATCGTCGACATGCTGTTAAATTTCCACACCAAGAAGAAGTTAAGAAACGTCGTAGTTGGTTTGTTTTTCTTGTTTGGTGGCGTTGAGTATGGTATGCATCGTTTTAAGTTAAAAATTTTTATACATTAAAAAATATTCACATCAATAACGAGTAGCCCTTTAAATTACAGTTGCTATATGCATTTTTGGTATCAACTACTTGTCTGTTTGTGACTTAATTGCTTTTTTGATACCCTGTATTGTTAAAGCAGTTGATCATGTTACACTTGGCGGTTACAAAATCTTTTAGTAATCAAAGTTGACCTTGATTTTTGTCAGCATACATGCCCACTAAAGAATCTAGAAAGCAAGTTCAGCAACTGTCAGGCATATAGTGGCTAATTGTTTCCATTGTGCCTGGGAACTGGTGGACCAGGGAGTCACTGCATGAGCACCAGTTGTTTACTTTTTGAATAGGGCTATTCTTGATTTATAATGGTTTTGATTTGACAACTGGTTGATAATTTCATGGAATTTGTGACTCATGCTTCATATGTTTTTGCTAGGTGTTATTATTCCAACATTATGGCTGTTCCTCCAGCACACCTTTGATGCCAAAGAATCCTACTACTCAATTGTATTATCAGCATTCAGTTTTTCAAGTCTTATCACCAGCCCTTTCTTTGGAGCATGGATAGATTTTACCCGTAAAACAAAGATCACTTTACTTGTTGGATTGATCTTTGAAATTGGAGGTTTCTGCATTGCTTTGTGGGAAAATTAGTTGTTATTATTGTCGATGTAACAAATATTTCTTTTTTGTTTTGTTTTTTAGGCAACTTTTTGTACTTTATTGCAAAATCAAAACATATTGTTCTAGCTGGTCGATTACTTTGCGGTATGTGCTTGAAAGATTGAAAAAATAAAAAAGTTTTTACTTTTTAGTTTGGGAGGGGGGAGTATTGGCTGCCTCATTTGGGTGGTATCCACCAGAAATAGATTTCAAAAAATTAAAGTAACTGTAAAATTATTTGAGGGCAGAGGGGTGAAAGTTTTATAGCTACCCTATGTTGTCCCAGAGCAACCTTAAAGAAATTGGTATCTGTGCTATTGGTAATAAGTATTGGTTTGAGAATAACGCTGAACATGATTTGACATATAAAAGTGAGTGGTCAGAATACATTCAGGAAAATATAATTCTATTTTGAAATACTTCAGACTGAATTGTATTGGGAGCATTTTTTCCTTAAATATTCTTTAGAAATTTTTAACCGACAGCGTAGTTTTATAGCATTTTGAACTCAATTTAGCTTGACCCACCGCAGATTTGCCACTGTTTCAATGCACAAATGTATTTATACTTTAATTTTATTGTTTGATATTATAAAATAAACACAATGAAACGCGTGCGCTGATTAGTCTAGAGCTGTGTTTACATTAGCCTGTGCGAAGCACATCTGAGCTCAACCAATCAAATCAATCAAAGCAATCAATCAGTCAAAGAGAATTTGCAAATCGATCATGAATACATTTTAGATACGTCTTTTTCGCATTATTTTCTTTTATAATGTGGTTGCACTCGAGGGTTGCACTCGAGCCAGTGCAACCCTCGACCTTTGGTCTCGGGCTTGCACTGATCTGCTCTCGAGTTCTCCCAAAGGTCTCCTCAGTTTTCATAAGCCTGTGCAAACACAGTAAAATTTTAAATTTTTTAAGTAATACAACAGGAATTAAACTTTAACATTTTTCAAGTTAAATGCACTGAAACACGATACACATTGTATTGATACAATGTGTATTGATACAATATGTATACAATGTGTACTTATACACATTGTATCATTTCTTGCTGAATAGATGTGTTGAACAAAGAAAGACAATACTTTATATAGATTTTACAATCAAATTTATCATAGAAGTTGAAAGCAGTTCGTTATTGCCAAGTGTGAGGTAGTCAGTTTTCATTGGATGTACAAAAACTACAAACGAAAACATGTTTTAGCGGCGCATCATCTCCATTAGAGTGACTTATGACTTCACCATTCAGCACTGCGTTTCACTTCACCATTTGGCCCAGATCAATTGTTTGATTATACATAATATACTATGTTTATAAGAATGCTGTTAAAGTCAATTGTTTTTATCGTTCTAATATGCATAAATAAAGAAGGCGCCCCCCCCTTCCAGTTGTCCATTCATTGCTCCTTTACTGTTCCATAACCCGTCGTACGTACATTACAAAATTTTTATGGCGCAACGGAGCTTTGGAAGTGTGTTAAGCGCTTGTTGGAAATCTTGGAAGATTTATTATTTATTTTTGATTTTTCAGGAGTTGGCGACGGGGTCGGTTCGGTTTTATTTGCATTGATTGTAAGAACTTCGTCCGTGGAGGAACGCTCCTCTGTACTGTCTTTGGCATTGGCTGCGAGACAAATAGGAACTGTCCTAGGTAGAACTTGTATTATTTTTCTTTAAGATTGGCTTAGATTGCTAGTATGTCGCGAATCTGTCGAGTCTGCTTATCATTTTTTAGGCCCGGCTTTGAATCTCGCCACGAAGTACAGCAACTTTCATGTCGGCCCTTTTCTTGTCAATGCTTACAGGGCTCCAGGGGTAAATACAGTAAATATTTAGACAGTGTTATTTCGTTTGTAAAAGTCAATAGCGACGTTTATAATGGTATTACTAGTGTAGCTGAAAAGTTCTGAAAAATATGCTTTAACCGTGGTAGTAGGAATTGTTTGACTTCCTCTAAACAGCGAGCATTATGTTTTGGATGACTAAAATTATTGTCTTGCGACCTCGAACTGTAGGCCTCTTCTTAAGTTTTTAACGGCCGACGGCAATGTTTTTAGTACATGAGCCAGGCCTATATCAGGAAGGTTTTCTTGCACACGGCACGGCAAGACGGATTTTACTTCAGTTCGTGACAGTAATGCAAATAACTAATAACTACCGTTAAACTAATAACTAAGCTATTGTTTTTATGAATCTCAATTATGCGATGAATTTTAATGATGAGAGATGTTTTGCGACCACGTAAAGCAAGAAATCAACTTAGTAGCTATAGCTTGCTATTATTTTATTTATTTATAGACCTTATATATTACACAGTTGGTGAGACTTTAAACGAAGTTATGAATGTTTGAATAGGGAGTTATTAATGGGAATAAAGCCTGTGAATATACATCTAAGTAATACATGATGCAAACATATTGGTTTGTTCATTTTGTTAGATATTGATGGCCGTGGTTTGGAGTATCATGCTCATCATTGTAATTTTTCTCTACTATGATCTGCCCACTGATGTCGCCCTTCAAAGTCTCTCCGTGCAAGCGGGTGAAGCTAGCACTGAAAGTACACAAAATGGCAATGTCTCTTCACCTTTGGGAAATATTAAGAGCATCAAAAAAAGGCTCGTTTTATGGAAAGGTAGGAAGGTATATGCAAAATGTTTATAGCACGGGGGGGGGGGCGCAGAATTGATCTTTTGGACGAACCTAGTACTTATTTAATGTATTCCTGTACTCATAGTTTTTCTCTAGCTCTTGTTTCTTGAAGCTTAGTTGTCAGAGCACTTCATATGCACTGCTTCAGCCTTGTTTTTCGACCCTGCCAAACCATGTTTGGTTTTTCTTACAACTCTTAAAGATAATACCCGTAAAAAAACATAGAATTGCGTATCTCTTTGTTAATAAAGCTGGATGTTAAGGAATACGACATACTCTGGATTCTGCATACACTGCATAGTAGCTGAATGTCATATATATATGTGTATCTGTGTGGGTGGCATGCGCGTATTATATAGACAGTCGTGTCACTCTTTTTCTGTGGACAGCGCTATCCTTGCACATGGAGACTGCCAGTGTTATTCTTGGAGACTGTCGGTGCTGTCAAACCTGCTGGAGTAACGAGTTGTTTGTTTGTAGAATTACTCAATGAAGAAGTAATCGTTCTATTGATGACGCAGTTTATCTCTTTCTTTGCATTATGCACACTTGAGGTAAAGTTTATGATCTATGCGCAGACACGTAGTGTATGATTTGTGCGTTCTACAGGTGAATTGTATGGTTTATGCAAGGTAGTGCGTTATTAATACGCACGATTGAGAGAAATGTTTTAAGGAAAAAGATGGCACACTAAGAGAGTCGATTTATTTGAACTAGGAGCTTGTACAATCAAATTGTAAAAACCGTTTCAAGTCGATATAAATCTTTTTATACAGGCTCTGTTTGCCCCAATGTCAGAACATCTTATGGGCTGGAAAGAGACGGAAATTAGTGTGGTGTATACTCTGATTGGAGTAGAGGTAAAGCTTCTTTTGGAAAATCCTAATTTGAATAGCACTAGTCTCTATTTTATATGTCTGCTTTGATTCGCAGAGGATATTTATTAAAGTAATACGGCAAACCTGACGTTTACTCCTCATTTGACTCTGAAGATGACTACCGCTAAGGTTGTCGAAACGTCAGTCAACAACAACAAAAACAGTCCTTCTCTGGACTTTATTAACCTGGACGATCATCATTTACCAACATATAAGGATATTTATTCATGTGTAACCTTGTAGCAATTCGTGTAATTACAAAGACCAGATAATATCTAGATTGCATGCGTGCATGTGGATACTGCTTAGCATCGTTTTTCAACTCATTGTAAACCTTATACTCTATAGGTAGGTGAACCTTTATACACTCACTACAGGGACTACTCGTTTTCCTACTGAATCATCGTGTGTACCTCATCTGATTTTCAAGCACAACATTTAGTTATTTTTGAACCTTTCAGCTCGTGTCTTACGTCATTTGGCCTGATTTGCATTACTTTCGTGCGAACTGTATCTCAATCAGGCCAAACTTATTTTGCCGAAATGTAATATAATGAATGAAGGCTGATTTCCAGTCAGCGCAAATTGTCGCGCAATCGACTTTTTCCGATCACTTCTTTTCAATTGTAAGCTGTCGACCGGAACAATTTCACTCTGCTGCACACAATTCAAAAGAAAGTGATCGCAAAAAGTCGATCGCTCGACAATTTGCACTGAGTGGAAATCAGCCTTGATGTTGTAAACAAGCAGAACTTCACGACATACTAGTGAAATAAGTTGATGCCACTAATCCTGAATGATTTCATCTCATCAAACTATTCGGCTTACATTTTTGACCGTATACTGCTTCTTAAGATTCAAGCTTAGATTTAGCTGAACTTATGCATTTGGTACATCTGCAAATGATGAAACTGTAATGTAATAATGTACATTTTTTCCAATCTTCCTCAATGGAGTGAAATCTCATTCATTGATCTTTTTGTAATGTATTTGTCAGTACATCATATTAAGCTACATGTTGCTATTTCTGTACCAAGTTACTTATGTCTTTTTGTAGGCCATTATTGTGTACGCATTTGTGAGCAAGATCAGTAAACGCATAGCAGACAGGTAGGCAGCCTCAATCCGATGATTTTACTCTGTGACGAAAGACACAAAAATGTGGAAAGGCACTGGGGACGAAATTGATATGAAATGTGTTTTCGAAAGAAAGCTATATCTTTACATTCATGTTGATGTTTCATGTTGGTTCAGCGTTCGTTCGATTTTCCTCCCGTTTCTGAAATGGCTGGAATTACAAATGTCGTGAAGATTGTAACCTATTAAGTAATCCTATGTCCAGAAAGTGGTAGAAAGAGGGCTTGTCCATGTGTGAAATACCTAATTTAATCAACTTCTTTGAGTCCGATATTAGAATTGCTGTTGTTTATAACATGAGCATACCATGGGGGTTGCTCATATTCATATTTGCATGTGATAATGAAGCTCTAAAGAACTTAGCACTGCATATCATGCAGATATGAATATGAGACCCCCCTCCCCTCACAATTTCGGATCATTGTTTTATTTATGATCATCGCTGTTTTCGTTTTCAGGTGGTTATTGGTTATTGGTCTTGTAATGCTATCTTCAATTGTCATTCTTTATTTGATTCTTTTAGCGCCTGCAAAGCCACGTGAGTATTAAAGCACGAATACTGTACTTGTAAGTCATGGAGCTTTCACCCCGCCCCACCTCATGAATATCTGTCCATTGTCTGAGCGTACACAAAAGGTCTAATCATGCAGTCAGCAGAGTAAAGATTATAATTTCAAAAACCAGTTATCGGGACAACCAAGACGTGTTGGCGTGTACAAAATATAAATCGAAACATATGTAATGGCACATGCGTATACTAACGTACAAACGCTTGTACACTTGCTTATATACACACTATGAGCATTGCTTTGCCATGATGTTATATATGTCTAAAGTTTCTTCTTTATATTTACAGATGATCCCACTACATTGCCTACTGTCTCTGTAGGTACGTTCGTAATCGTTCTTGGCGTACCATTTCTTGCTGTTGGCGGAGTATCTTTATACTCCAAAGTTACCGACGAAAAAACGCAAGGTGAGAAAGAAGTATATAAGGCCAGCTCCACATTTGTCAAAATAGCGCGCTTTTATTAGAAATAGCTTTGGCTGTCCTCAATCCCCCCCTGCAATGCGATTTACACTCTCTAATCTTGTGTGAATTTCTCGCGTGATTGAATCAATCAGTTGATACATCAAGTGATGTAACAATACAAAATTTCTCAGATAAATGGTCGTAAGACTATAACAGTAGAAGGACTACACCTAGTAAAACAAAACCTGGAAAAGATCCAGGAAGGTTTTGTTTGTTGGGGGGGGTTCCAGTTTCGATTGGACTTCCATGTCTGCTTGTTGCCGTAGCATGTCAGACTTTTGTTCTTTTCTGTTACCTTAAGTGGACAGGGAGGTTTTTAGAAGTGTGCTCTATGTATTATCAATTCATTTAGCAATTTATATCTTATACAGTATAAATATCGTGAGTAGTTTTAATCAGAGATGGATTTGGGGGGAGGGATACGAAGGGATGTGCAAGGCTTCCAACCTTGGTTAGAGAGGGTGGTGGAGGTATGCCGATCTCCCTACAAAATATTTCTAAACCAAAAAATCAAGCAAAAGCAATATAGTGATTAGTGTTTAATAAACTGTGAATTATTTTTAGGTTTTCTTCAGGGCGTACGTCGTTCATTTATTGGCGTGGGTACGATCTTCGGTGCCCTTTGGGGTGGATCTCTCTTTCGGAGATTATACCTACTTTTAGCTGTGATGATTGGCTTGCTTATCGTTGTTGAGGTACGTGAGTTTCTTAACTTAGAAGTCATAGTAATTTTGGTAGAAGGCGAGCACTACTGGAAAGCATACGTTGCTACTCCATTATTATTTTTGTTCTAATTTGTGTTAGGACTTAAAATATATTTAAAAATTAATATTTCTTTGGTTACCTGTACGTAATGAAGGGCGTGGAGACCACTGATTTGAAAAAATTTGCTGTTGTTAGGAATTCAAACAGAGATTACTTTCGAAAAGTCGAAAGAAGTTGAAAAATAGTTTATCTTGTAGTGGAGGAATGTCTTCAAAGTATATGTAAATTTCTCTTTCCCACGAAGTTTGGGGGCGTAGACTGAAAAGAAATGAAGAAAAAAATCAGAAGCTCATTAGTACGATCTGCATATTACTTTGTTACTTTTTTACAGTTTCTTATGTGCCAAATATACATCGTTTATTTCAATAATAGCAGTGATTTAAATTTACCTTGCTATACGTCTTATTACTTTAGGTCATGTTATTTTTTTCATTCAATCGCCTCCGTGTACCTACCAGCGGAAATTCCAGCGACAAGAACGAATCTACTGTTGATAACGATGAAAGTAAACCGCTTTTGGCGTGATATGGTCAATTTTCACGTGTCTTCTTGGGGTAATGTGTGACGAGTCTTACCCTACCATGACAGCTACTTAGAATTCCTCTGTTTTTTGTAAAGTGAAGCTGTTGGAGAAAATTCCTTAGGTGTTTTTATTGATAAATTTCTTCACATGAATCTTTTTGTTCCTTTTATTAAAAAAAGGCGTTATGTAAATTATAAAGCGCATGTTTTACATACATTATATTAATTTACAGAGACACTATTGTGTATGAACAGGTAACGAAGCACACAGACGATCTAAACGTTGTAACTTGTAAGCAAATTAAAGTTACTCTTGGACTCTATGTAATGCTTGATAGTTTTGTCATGTTTCGAGAAATCTCCTTTTAGTGTATGAAAAATAGTTGACTATTTGTTGATTGATTGAACACCCTGGCTTTTTTCTTCAGTTCTCGTCGTTCTGCTTCACTTACTTGTAAACAAACTATTGTTTTACGGCGATTGTACTTTTCTAAAATCTTATGGATGACGGCAAGGATTCGCTGAGGTATTCTTCATCTAATGATTTACTAGCGACCTTGAAAAAGATGCAGACCTTTCGGGCCAATGGTCAGCTTTGCGATGTCACTCTGAAGGTTGGAGAGCGAAGGATTCATGTTCATCGTGTTATAATGGCCGGATTTAGTGATTATTTCGACGCAATGTTTAATGGAGATATGGCCGAAATAATACAGGAGGAAGTTCACATACAGAATGTTGATCCCGATGCGCTGGCACTCGTTGTGGACTATGCATACACTGGTGATATTGACATACATGTTAATAATGTAGAAAATTTACTCACCGTTGCCTGTCTACTGCAAGTTGAAACCGTCAAAGATAAATGCTGTGAGTTTATGCAACAACACTTACATTCTACGAACTGCATTGGTATTAGAGCTTTCGCTGAGGGGCACGGTTGCCTGGGTCTTTTCAGCGCTGCTGATGTTTATACGAAAGAAAATTTTCAACAGGTTTGTTGTAATAGTTGGGATCATGGATGGGAAAATAGATGTCTTGTCGACTTTCAATTTCAAAACAATTAAGTTATTGTATTTTTCTTTTACTTGCTACAAAATTCCTTTTCCTCTTAATTCTTTTGTTGTGTGTTTTTAACATTTAATTTATATTTAATTTAAAATTGAGGCTTTTCAATTTTTATATTTAATATTTTATTTTTTATCGTCCAATTTTATTATAATTTTTTTGTAAAACTTATATTTAATATTTATGTTAAACAGTTAATGTTCATTTTATATTTTAAGTTCATTTGTATTTTAAAACTTTCGCTAAAACCCAGGCTTCTTTAATTTGAAGTATGATTCAAGTATTGTAGCTTGTAAACAATTTCAGTTACCAGATTATAGTGAAAGATCCAAATTGGCAATGTGAATATTTATTTTACCTGAGTCTGAGACATTTATTATGTCATGTTTGTAAAGTGCAATTATTTTTTTGAAATTCTGTCATCAAGATAAGTATGATGTACTCCATGCATGGCATTTTACTCTGTTGCATTGGTAATTTTTGCCAGATCTTTCATGTTTATTATCTTTTTGATTGTAATTAATTTAAACAAACAAATTTTCCAAGTAAAACTTGTGATTTCCCACAATCCCAATTATCCCAATTTATTGAGTTGGGATACTGTCTTTATGAAAAGTCATAATATATAATAAATGTTAAATTAAATATTGCTCTATACATGCCCAGCCTGAATGATCTACATCTAACAATTTTATTAAATGACATTATGGTTAACATGCAGATATTTGCGTGGCTATTTCATCTACGGTGAAAGTCCTCTTACAACATAAACTACTTTCCCTATAGCATCACACATGTGCAGAATGACTAAAACGCAAAGATGACAATTGTCAACTTTCTTCTAGGTTATTGAAAGCAAAGAATTTGAAATGATCAATGGAGAACAATTGATTGAGCTCATAACCAGTGATGACTTAAATGTCAATCGAGAAGAGGCTGTGTTTTATGCTGTGGAGAGATGGGTTCAATTTAACTCCACTAAAAGAAAGGCATTTGTGAACAAGCTCCTTGAAAACATTCGATTTCCTCTAATGAACTGCAAGTTCTTGGCGGACTATGTTGAAAAATCCTCAATACTTAGCTACAGTGATTGTGGAAATGAGCTCCTTTTGGAAGCTATGAAATATCATTTGTTACCTGAAAGACATGCACAAATGCGGAATAAGCGAACAAGACCAAGAAAGTCGAACGTTGGTCTTTTATATGTTGTTGGAGGTCAGTAGTATTTCATTTTGGTTAAAGTTCTCAAGCGTTAGTTGTTAATATCATAAAGGGATGAAGTGTATATTCCTGAAAAAGTGTTTTTTTATTTTGGCAATTAAAGCAAGCTTTAATTATCAACATTTTTTAGGCATATGTATACAGTGTGCGAATTAACGGTGTGCAATGTGCAATTTACACATCGTTTTAGCTAAAATGAAAACAATTGCACATCACTTTTTCAAACGATGTGCAAAAATCAGCAGTTTTAACGAAAAACACTGTCGTAAATCATATAAATTTGTTCACGTTTGAAAATATTAATTTAGCAATTAGCGCTATATAATAATTAACGTAATATCGATTTGAGTATGCCTCTAAAGAAATACTTTTGTCAAAAAAATTGCACATCGTTTTTTCTGAACTAATTCGCACACTGTATGTATACTTACCCAATTGTTGAATACCTCTGAATATCCTTGTCTGGCCTCCAGCAATTATGTATTTATGTGTCAATCAGAGGAAATACTGAAATTTCCAATTACAAATTACTTTTCCCGAGCATAAGTGATCAGGAAACATGTATAAATTGACTTGTTTAATTGACTTGTTTACAAATGAACGCAACCATGTGCAATGTATTTGGTGCTGGAATCGTGATTTGATTTGATTTGATTTGTCAGTTTGAGACAATCATTTGTTGATTTTAGCCCTCCAAAAACACTTTAAATCTAAGAGGCTTACGCTCTATTAAAATTTTGAATTCAACGCAAGAATTATCAATATTGCTCCACGAAACGTCATATTTTTCTTAATGAGGAAGTGATAGCCCGGATTTCTGTTGGTTGTGCACTCACATTAAAATTTGTCATTTTCCCCCACTGTTGTACATAATGCCAAGAGACTGAGAGCTACGTATGCTTTATTATCTTTTTCATTTCAAAGGTGTGGAATCTTATCAAGGGATTGGTAATCGTAAAGGTGATTTGTTGATTTAATCGATTAAATAATTTTGTAATAAAACCATTGATCATATTTCATTTCGCAAAGGAACGTAGTAGCTACATAAGAGCGTACATATAAATGGATCTACAGAGTGAATATAATTACCATGAGTCAGCCTACTATGTGAAAACTGTCGGTTATATTTCACTAAGTGATTGTACTACACTCTAGCCTACATATGTAAAAAAATCTCCAAAGTAAATGAAATTACTAAAAATTATCTTATTATTCGAAAACGATTGATCGCTACATACTTGACCATCAGTGAAGAATTGTGTGGCTACTGCATTTTGTATGATTTTATTTCAACATTTGCACATTGTTTGTTTTACAGCAAATAACTCGGATTTGCACGTTGTTTGTTTTACAGCGAATAACTCGGATTTGCACATTGTTTGTTTTATAGCGAATAACTCGGATTTGCACGTTGTTTGTTTTATAGCGAATAACTCGGATTTGCACATTGTTTGTTTTACAGCGAATAACTCGGATTTGCACATTGTTTGTTTTATAGCGAATAACTCGGATTTGCACATTGTTTGTTTTACAGCGAATAACTCGGATTTGCACGTTGTTTGTTTTACATCGAATAACTCGGATTTGCACGTTGTTTGTTTTACAGCGAATAACTCGGATTTGCACATTGTTTGTTTTATAGCGAATAACTCGGATTTGCACATTGTTTGTTTTACAGCGAATAACTCGGATTTGCACATTGTTTGTTTTACAGCAAATAACTCGGATTTGCACATTGTTTGTTTTACAGCGAATAACCGGATTTGCATATTGTTTGTTTTACAGCAAATAACTCGGATTTGCACGTTGTTTGTTTTACAGCGAATAACTCGGATTTGCACATTTTTTGTTTTATAGCGAATAACTCGGATTTGCACATTGTTTGTTTTATAGCGAATAACTCGGATTTGCACATTGTTTGTTTTACAGCAAATAACTCGGATTTGCACATTGTTTGTTTTACAGCGAATAACTCGGATTTGCATATTGTTTGTTTTACAGCAAATAACTCGGATTTGCACGTTGTTTGTTTTACAGCGAATAACTCGGATTTGCACATTGTTTGTTTTACAGCGAATAACTCGGATTTGCACGTTGTTTGTTTTACATCGAATAACTCGGATTTGCACGTTGTTTGTTTTACAGCGAATAACTCGGATTTGCACATTGTTTGTTTTACAGCAAATAACTCGGATTTGCACATTGTTTGTTTTACAGCGAATAACTCGGATTTGCATATTGTTTGTTTTACAGCAAATAACTCGGATTTGCACGTTGTTTGTTTTACAGCGAATAACTCGGATTTGCACATTGTTTGGTTTACAGCGAATAACTCGGATTTGCACGTTGTTTGTTTTATAGCAAATAACTCGGATATGCACATTGTTTGTTTTACAGCAAATAACTCGGATTTGCACGTTGTTTGTTTTACAGCGAATAACTCGGATATGCACATTGTTTGTTTTACAGCAAATAACTCGGATTTGCACGTTGTTTGTTTTACAGCGAATAACTCGGATATGCACATTGTTTGTTTTACAGCAAATAACTCGGATTTGCACGTTGTTTGTTTTACAGCAAATAACTCGGATTTGCACATTGTTTGTTTTATAGCGAATAACTCGGATTTGCACGTTGTTTGTTTTATAGCGAATAACTCGGATTTGCACATTGTTTGTTTTACAGCGAATACCTCGGATTTGCACATTGTTTGTTTTATAGCGAATAACTCGGATTTGCACATTGTTTGTTTTACAGCGAATAACTCGGATTTGCACGTTGTTTGTTTTACATCGAATAACTCGGATTTGCACATTGTTTGTTTTACAGCAAATAACTCGGATTTGCACATTGTTTGTTTTACAGCGAATAACTCGGATTTGCATATTGTTTGTTTTACAGCAAATAACTCGGATTTGCACGTTGTTTGTTTTAAAGCGAATAACTCGGATTTGCACATTGTTTGGTTTACAGCGAATAACTCGGATTTGCACGTTGTTTGTTTTATAGCAAATAACTCGGATATGCACATTGTTTGTTTTACAGCAAATAACTCGGATTTGCACGTTGTTTGTTTTACAGCAAATAACTCGGATTTGCACATTGTTTGTTTTATAGCGAATAACTCGGATTTGCACGTTGTTTGTTTTATAGCGAATAACTCGGATTTGCACATTGTTTGTTTTACAGCGAATAACTCGGATTTGCACATTGTTTGTTTTATAGCGAATAAATCGGATTTGCACATTGTTTGTTTTACAGCGAATAACTCGGATTTGCACGTTGTTTGTTTTACATCGAATAACTCGGATTTGCACGTTGTTTGTTTTACAGCGAATAACTCGGATTTGCACATTGTTTGTTTTACAGCAAATAACTCGGATTTGCACATTTTTGTTTTATAGCGAATAACTCGGATTTGCACATTGTTTGTTTTATAGCGAATAACTCGGATTTGCACATTGTTTGTTTTACAGCAAATAACTCGGATTTGCACATTGTTTGTTTTACAGCGAATAACTCGGATTTGCATATTGTTTGTTTTACAGCAAATAACTCGGATTTGCACGTTGTTTGTTTTACAGCGAATAACTCGGATTTGCACATTGTTTGTTTTACAGCGAATAACTCGGATTTGCACGTTGTTTGTTTTACATCGAATAACTCGGATTTGCACGTTGTTTGTTTTACAGCGAATAACTCGGATTTGCACATTGTTTGTTTTACAGCAAATAACTCGGATTTGCACATTGTTTGTTTTACAGCGAATAACTCGGATTTGCATATTGTTTGTTTTACAGCAAATAACTCGGATTTGCACGTTGTTTGTTTTACAGCGAATAACTCGGATTTGCACATTGTTTGGTTTACAGCGAATAACTCGGATTTGCACGTTGTTTGTTTTATAGCAAATAACTCGGATATGCACATTGTTTGTTTTACAGCAAATAACTCGGATTTGCACGTTGTTTGTTTTACAGCGAATAACTCGGATATGCACATTGTTTGTTTTACAGCAAATAACTCGGATTTGCACGTTGTTTGTTTTACAGCGAATAACTCGGATATGCACATTGTTTGTTTTACAGCAAATAACTCGGATTTGCACGTTGTTTGTTTTACAGCAAATAACTCGGATTTGCACATTGTTTGTTTTATAGCGAATAACTCGGATTTGCACGTTGTTTGTTTTATAGCGAATAACTCGGATTTGCACATTGTTTGTTTTACAGCGAATACCTCGGATTTGCACATTGTTTGTTTTATAGCGAATAACTCGGATTTGCACATTGTTTGTTTTACAGCGAATAACTCGGATTTGCACGTTGTTTGTTTTACATCGAATAACTCGGATTTGCACATTGTTTGTTTTACAGCAAATAACTCGGATTTGCACATTGTTTGTTTTACAGCGAATAACTCGGATTTGCATATTGTTTGTTTTACAGCAAATAACTCGGATTTGCACGTTGTTTGTTTTAAAGCGAATAACTCGGATTTGCACATTGTTTGGTTTACAGCGAATAACTCGGATTTGCACGTTGTTTGTTTTATAGCAAATAACTCGGATATGCACATTGTTTGTTTTACAGCAAATAACTCGGATTTGCACGTTGTTTGTTTTACAGCAAATAACTCGGATTTGCACATTGTTTGTTTTATAGCGAATAACTCGGATTTGCACGTTGTTTGTTTTATAGCGAATAACTCGGATTTGCACATTGTTTGTTTTACAGCGAATAACTCGGATTTGCACATTGTTTGTTTTATAGCGAATAAATCGGATTTGCACATTGTTTGTTTTACAGCGAATAACTCGGATTTGCACGTTGTTTGTTTTACATCGAATAACTCGGATTTGCACGTTGTTTGTTTTACAGCGAATAACTCGGATTTGCACATTGTTTGTTTTACAGCAAATAACTCGGATTTGCACATTTTTTGTTTTATAGCGAATAACTCGGATTTGCACATTGTTTGTTTTATAGCGAATAACTCGGATTTGCACATTGTTTGTTTTACAGCAAATAACTCGGATTTGCACATTGTTTGTTTTACAGCGAATAACTCGGATTTGCATATTGTTTGTTTTACAGCAAATAACTCGGATTTGCACGTTGTTTGTTTTACAGCGAATAACTCGGATTTGCACATTGTTTGTTTTACAGCGAATAACTCGGATTTGCACGTTGTTTGTTTTACATCGAATAACTCGGATTTGCACGTTGTTTGTTTTACAGCGAATAACTCGGATTTGCACATTGTTTGTTTTACAGCAAATAACTCGGATTTGCACATTGTTTGTTTTACAGCGAATAACTCGGATTTGCATATTGTTTGTTTTACAGCAAATAACTCGGATTTGCACGTTGTTTGTTTTACAGCGAATAACTCGGATTTGCACATTGTTTGGTTTACAGCGAATAACTCGGATTTGCACGTTGTTTGTTTTATAGCAAATAACTCGGATATGCACATTGTTTGTTTTACAGCAAATAACTCGGATTTGCACGTTGTTTGTTTTACAGCGAATAACTCGGATATGCACATTGTTTGTTTTACAGCAAATAACTCGGATTTGCACGTTGTTTGTTTTACAGCGAATAACTCGGATATGCACATTGTTTGTTTTACAGCAAATAACTCGGATTTGCACGTTGTTTGTTTTACAGCAAATAACTCGGATTTGCACATTGTTTGTTTTATAGCGAATAACTCGGATTTGCACGTTGTTTGTTTTACAGCGAATAACTCGGATATGCACATTGTTTGTTTTACAGCAAATAACTCGGATTTGCACGTTGTTTGTTTTACAGCGAATAACTCGGATATGCACATTGTTTGTTTTACAGCAAATAACTCGGATTTGCACGTTGTTTGTTTTACATCGAATAACTCGGATTTGCACATTGTTTGTTTTACAGCAAATAACTCGGATTTGCACATTGTTTGTTTTACAGCGAATAACTCGGATTTGCATATTGTTTGTTTTACAGCAAATAACTCGGATTTGCACGTTGTTTGTTTTAAAGCGAATAACTCGGATTTGCACATTGTTTGGTTTACAGCGAATAACTCGGATTTGCACGTTGTTTGTTTTATAGCAAATAACTCGGATATGCACATTGTTTGTTTTACAGCAAATAACTCGGATTTGCACGTTGTTTGTTTTACAGCAAATAACTCGGATTTGCACATTGTTTGTTTTATAGCGAATAACTCGGATTTGCACGTTGTTTGTTTTATAGCGAATAACTCGGATTTGCACATTGTTTGTTTTACAGCGAATAACTCGGATTTGCACATTGTTTGTTTTATAGCGAATAAATCGGATTTGCACATTGTTTGTTTTACAGCGAATAACTCGGATTTGCACGTTGTTTGTTTTACATCGAATAACTCGGATTTGCACGTTGTTTGTTTTACAGCGAATAACTCGGATTTGCACATTGTTTGTTTTACAGCAAATAACTCGGATTTGCATATTGTTTGTTTTACAGCAAATAACTCGGATTTGCACATTGTTTGTTTTACAGCAAATAACTCGGATTTGCACATTGTTTGTTTTACAGCGAATAACTCGGATTTGCATATTGTTTGTTTTACAGCAAATAACTCGGATTTGCACGTTGTTTGGTTTACAGCGAATAACTCGGATTTGCACGTTGTTTGTTTTATAGCAAATAACTCGGATATGCACATTGTTTGTTTTACAGCAAATAACTCGGATTTGCACGTTGTTTGTTTTACAGCGAATAACTCGGATATGCACATTGTTTGTTTTACAGCAAATAACTCGGATTTGCACGTTGTTTGTTTTACAGCAAATAACTCGGATTTGCACGTTGTTTGTTTTACAGCGAATAACTCGGATTTTCACGTTGTTTGTTTTATAGCGAATAACTCGGATTTGCACGTTGTTTGTTTTACAGCGAATAACTCGGATTTGCACATTTTTGTTTTACAGCGAATAACTCGGATTTTCACGTTGTTTGTTTTATAGCGAATAACTCGGATTTGCACGTTGTTTGTTTTACAGCGAATAACTCGGATTTGCACATTTTTGTTTTTCAGCGAATAACTCGGATTTGCACGTTGTTTGTTTTATAGCGAATAACTCGGATTTGCACGTTGTTTGTTTTACAGCGAACAACTCGGATTTGCACATTTTGTTTTACAGCGAATAACTCGGATTTGCACGTTGTTTGTTTTACAGCGAATAACTCGGATTTGCACATTGTTTGTTTTATAGCAAATAACTCGGATTTGCACATTGTTTGTTTTACAGCAAATAACTCGGATTTGCACATTGTTTGTTTTACAGCAAATAACTCGGATTTGCACATTGTTTGTTTTACAGCAAATAACTCGGATTTGCACGTTGTTTGTTTTACAGCGAATAACTCGGATTTGCACATTGTTTGTTTTACAGCGAATAACTCGGATTTGCACATTTTTCTTTTACAGCAAATAACTCGGATTTGCACATTGTTTGTTTTACAGCAAATAACTCGGATTTGCACATTGTTTGTTTTACAGCGAATAACTCGGATTTGCACATTTTTCTTTTACAGCAAATAACTCGGAAGCATCGAAGGGAGCAATAAGTATAGAATGTTACAACCTGCGCCTGGATGCCTGGTCTCCTGTTGCAACAATTGCGAATAAACGCTTGCAGTTTGGCGTTGCGGTCATCGAAAACAGATTGTACCTTGTAGGTGGTCGTGATGGTTTGAAAACATTGAACACGGTGGATTGTTTTGATCCAAGTACGAAAGAAAAGACAGCCGTTACACCTATGAATATTCATAGACATGGGTTAGGTGTTGGTGTCCTCGGAGGACCTCTCTATGCTGTTGGTGGTCATGATGGATGGTCGTATCTCAACTCAGTGGAGAGGTATTTTTAATATATTCTAGCCCACCTGAGCATCTATTTCTTTCTTGATAGGATGAATGAGTGAGGTTTTGATGGTAATAGTAACACTATGAAAATCGAATATTTAACTCGATATATTGTATAAATCGTTGATATTTATAATTTTTAAATTTTCTGTCTTTGGGAAGTGAAAAGAACGTTAAACACAAACATGAACACTTACTAGCTAAATCATACTTCCAGATTGGATCCTTCCTGACCTATCTCTCAAATCATACTTCCGGATACGATCCTTCCTGACCTATCTCTCAAATCATACTTCCGGATACGATCCTTCCTGACCTGTGTCTTAAATCATAATTCCAGATACGATCATTTCTGACCTATCTCTCAAATCATACTTCCTGATTGGATGCTTGCTGACTTATCTCTTAAATCATAATTCCAGATACGATCCTCAGACGCGTCAGTGGAGTTTCGTCGCAGCAATGAGTACTTCAAGGAGTACTGTTGGTGTTGCGGTACTTGATTTTAAGCTGTATGCCGTTGGTGGCAGAGACGGTTGCTCGTGCCTAAACTCTGCCGAGGCTTACGATCCACATACGAATAAGTGGACTATGATATCGTCCATGAGACATCGCCGTGGAGGTAGGGGATGTGTAGTTAGAAGCAAGTTCTTGCTAGAACCTTTGAAAGACGTTTGAGGTTGCCGGGTTACCGTCCAATCGAGCAGCAATCTACAATTTCCAAACATAATTCACATAATTTGAATTCACGGTTTACTCAATCTGCTATTCTAAAATGTATCAAAAAGTATATGTATGTGTTTAGTGTTTAAATTCATCTTTCATGGTTTGTTATAATAGTACGTTGATACCCAATTATGTCTTTCATGTTGCATGATATCATCCGGCATAGATCTAACTGACCAGTACTTGTTGGTCACTGACCGATACTTGTTGGTCAAGAGTTTTTTAAAGTTTTTCATCGGTTCTAGGTGTTGGTGTGACTGTACTGGATAGATATCTATATGCGGTTGGTGGCCACGATGCTCCACCCAGTCAAGATACGTCGAGGCAATTCGATTCGGTTGAGCGATATGATCCGAAGACCGACGAATGGACTATGTTAGCCCCGATGCTGAACTGTCGGGATGCAGTTGGAGCTTCATGGCTTGGCACCTCGATTTACGCGGTCGGTGGCTACGATGGGACAAAATATTTGAACGATGTGGAGCGCTATGATCCGGTCACGAATGAGTGGGAACAGGTAAAGGGACTGAATATTGGACGTGCAGGCGCATGCGTAGTAGTCATACGAAAGCAGTATGACGTTATGCATGTGAAGCCCAGGTGAAGCTTTGTATTTAAGCAATGGTGTACATTTATGTACAAAATAACAGAAAATTGTTCTTGTTTATGAAGACTTGTAAATATGTTGGTTGTGTATAAAATTATTTATATAATACAGTAAAAAAGTATTGACATGGCAGAAAACGAAATTATGTTTGTTTTTTATTTTATTAAAGTACCTTTTTTGATCCTAAGACACATGAGACTATACAATGTTGTTTATTTAGTCTGATGATGATTTAAAGTGCACCAAATCTTTAATTGTTTTTTAAACGAATTTGTGAATTGTAAACTTGGAATAATAATGGTGAAAGCCTTGTTTGAGTTGGCTATATTTGAATTGACGCCAGAGTTCTCACGCGGTCGCTAGTCAAATATGCGCTGTTTCACAACACTTTGCGTCAAGATTTTTCATCCAATAGGCTAAACCTAAGCCACTGCAAACCTAATCGCACCCATTGAGTTCTAATTACTATACAGGTCAGCGGTGTAAACGTACCTTAAATCGGTTAGTAACTGTAATTATCAATGAACAAAACTGTGTGTCTTGATGAGATTTTTTATTTTAGGTATTGGGATTCATAAGATTTTGTTAAATTGTAAAATTGTGGAAAACCGTCACTGCGAACACTTTTTGCAACTCGGTGAGGAAGAAAATCTTCTCATTGGATCTACATCTACCTAGGAACTCGAAAAGCGAATTTTTTATAAGTACTATTTACCAGTTTACGATAAAAGCAGATACAGGTTCACATTGGTTATCACCATAGTTATCACCACTGTGGTTATCACTGACAAAGCTGACCATCGAACTTCATGTAATATCATATATTGTGGTAAAATGTTTGACATTGGTTTGTGGTTGTAAATACGCAACCTTAGCAATTCAAGTCATTGGGATTTTGGAAACTAATGCACATGCTTCCAGAATGTTATAAATAAGCGTCTTTGTAAGTCGTTTACGAAGCATAAATCCCCATGTGTTCTTCGATCATTGGTACATGGTCATTCAGCCGAATGGCCGTCGAAGAAGCATTGTCATCTTTGGAGAGAAACGATGACATCATACGTGCTTTAGAGAAAGGGATCAATGGTCTGTTGCTTAATTTTTAATTAAAGTCACTTTTATTTTATTTTCATGATATTTCCATAGTCACATGATGGACGAAGAGTCTTCTAGTTCTACAAGAAAACAATGACAGATTTCTTTGTTATTCATCACCTTTTAGTTGTGGAAGATGATCCCAAAACTGGGAAATACGTTGTTGGGCGTGGAGGATTTCCAAATGAAAATGGAATTTTAGAATGTGATGCAGCCATAATGGATGGCAGAAAATGCAGATTTGGTGCAGTTGCTGCTCTTCAAGGGTGTGTACAAATATTTCCTTATGTACTGTTCATAACAGGGTTGTGTGGAGGAGAAGGCCAAATGGGTCCCAAGCTTGAAGGCTAGTCATAATGATGTACAATGCCTTTCTGGCCAAACATTTGTTTTCTATTTTTTTGCATAACATTGGTATACACTTGGAGAAATGATGCTGGGCCAGAAAAAGCAAATTGTTGCCCACCATTAGTTTGCTGCAATTGGAAGATTGCGTGTAAGCCAAAAGATTATAAAAACAACTTGTTCCTTTTGTTTTATTTATGAAATTTTCTTTTAACTTTTGGTTGCATTGTAGAGATGCTTGGATTATTTATAGAAAGTTAGTACACATGTAATTATGAATGGTTATAGCACGATGTGTAACTGGGTTTTAGAAACATGAAGTAAATAGGAAATATTTTTCATTCACTGGTTACTCAATTGCTCAGTCAAAAGTCAAAATTTTAATTCCAATACTAAACATGAACTGTGTACACTTTTAATTGTTGAATGAGTTATACTCCTTATATTGCAGGGTTGCTAAACCTTTCTCAGTTGCAAGACTTGTGATGGAGCATTCACCACACAGCATTTTAGTTGGTGAAGGTGCAAAATTGTTTGCAACACAGCAGGGGATACCAATATTGAGCAACATGTCATTGCAGACAGAGAACAGTCTAAAAGCATACCAGGTGAGTTGGGACATTGCTGACAGACAATTTGTTTGTGGATTTGTTACATTTGCATAAACATGGACCATAATTAAGACTGTCATTTAATAGACAATGCAATATGGATAAAGAAGGGACTACATTTGAATTCAAAAATTATTTGTGCATTCCTTAACAATTCTTGTAAACAAAATTGCTCTAGCAAAACTTGTTGCAAAATGTATAATATTGATTACAGTTAACATGGCAACTTTTTTTGAATTAGAAGAGTTAATCTTGCAGGAATACAAGCATGAAAATATGAAATCCAGGCAGACAGCATCATCTCATGATACAATTGGTAAGTACATACATCATTAAACTGACTCAATGCCAGAATGGTGTCTGGAAAGGTACACATGAAGATGGGAAATGAATAGCCCTACTTGTAAAATGATGATCATCAGTCTAAGCTCTCACAATTTAACAAACGACCAACTAACTAAACTTTGCCATCTGAAAATTTCATACTTCAACAAGTAAAACTTATGTTTGGCTAACACCCTCAAATGTCATGCAAGAGCGGTCGTGAATGACGCCATTAACTTCAATTTTCTTACCATATCGACGTTATCAGACCTCTCGTAAGTGGAAACTGGTTTTGGGTCATTGCCACTATGTTGTTACATTCATAACTTCTTATAAGCAAATGCCTCCGTGAGCGGACGCCAGTTCCTTGTCCCAAAAGTCTCTGCATATGTGAGGTTTGACTGTAGTATTCTTCCTTTACTCGAAGCGAAACAAAAAGCCATCGACCATTTCCTTGTTTGCATGTTTGCTCCGTGAAACTAGTTGTAATATCAACACTCTCTTGAAGATTCAGCATGCCGTGCAGCAGTGATGATGAATTTTTCTTTCTGTAGGTTTGCTGCTAAGAGATTTTGATGGTAATATTGCAGCAGGTATCGTTATTCAATCATGAAAACTTATTTCGGTTTATCATCTCATAAACCTGGCATAAGCATTAATTCATTCTCTAGAAATCTATTGTTTTACAATTTAAAATTGATTCTGTTTCGCCCAGCCACGAGGTAGCAAAACCTCTTAACATTTATAAATGGGCAAGTCACTCGTCATAATGCGGATAGGGAGGGAATTTTTATAACGCTGAATAGTTCTCATTTTATCATAGAATGTTTTCAAGATTACCATTTTTTATGTATTCTTTGTGATATAAGTTGATGCGATTTATATTCATCTATAGGAACTTCAACAAGTGGCAAGCCATTTAAATCCTGCGGTCGCGTGGGGGATTCTCCGCTTCCCGGCGCTGGACTTTACGCTGACAACGAGGTAAGGTTTGTTTGCGTATAGTGTGTGTATTTTCAAGTGGCTGCCTTGTTGCTCGACAGCGCGTTATAGTGAAAAAAATTTATGACGATTGCATGCTGTAATAATTTATGAGCACAAAAGGACTTTTGATTGTCTGACCTTAGGAACTTCTCGGATCGATTGCCTTATATAATAGAAGTATGAAATTTTTAATCGCCAACATTTTGCAATTAAAAAATACGGAGATGGTCTGAAGCTTATTTTAAAGTTCTCGTCAAGCTCTTTCGAATGAGATAAACATCCTATCTCCCAAAGTATTAATTCTCTTCTTTCACCTTTTCGCTTACTACAAAGCAAGGTCATACAACGGTTTGTGCTTATTTAAAGTTTATTCATACAAAGAAGTTGCCGTTCAAAATTGATAATGTTTCATCTCAATGAACTAAAGCCTATTCGATCGTTTTAGTAGCTATGATTTGAGCTGGGAAAACTCCTTTTCATTTTGAAAAAAAGTTTAATTTGCTGCGCAACTGTTATCCGTCTCCTTCTTCGTCATTTTAAAAATAAGTGTAAATCATATGTAAAAATCATCAAAATTTATTTACATCTAATTCATAAGTAAGATCCTACAAGATCCTATAGGATCTTACAAGATCTTACTTACAAGATTTCTACTAGTAGCTATAATAATAATTTGATAGCAATGGAACGTGGACGAGTTTCGATAAATACACGAGTAAAACGTCTTGAACAATGATTGAAAATATTGTTTAACTTTAGGGTGGAGCTGCTGCAGGTCAGTGAATAAACGCATGAAAATTTTGACATGGCTCGTGGTGCTGTATTTTTTATAATTTAATGCCTTAAGGTGTAAAGAACGCACCCTTTTCGTGCAACAACATCAGCATTTTGAGACATACGCTTGTGTTCTAATCGTTCACTCACACGTACTGAGTGCATTGTGGTTTGAAAATCACTTTAAAACTATCTGGACGGTATCATTTGATTGTAATAATGTTCAGCAAAAATCTTGCCATCGATGGAGTAATGCCATTGATTGGTAGGTGCTCAATTTCTGTGTTGCACTCAGTTTGTTTGAATGTGAGTGTGGTTAAATTTTTTTTCATCTTATGATCGTATTTGCCAGCACTGATGGCGTTGAGCGAGGAAAATTTGTAATTTGCATGTTAAAACCTTAATCGTTCAATTGTACAGTCGTGTGCACATTTTCCCGAGCTTGCTTAGCGATTTGAATGATAATTTCTCATTGATTACATACAGCAACTGGTGATGGCGATAATATTTTACGTTTTTGTCCATGTTTTCACGTTGTTCAGCTTATGAAAAAGGTATGTAAGTGTGATGTATGATTTTTCGTGGCTCTTAAGACCCTACATGCCTTATCATTGAAATGGGGTTTTCCTTGCAAGCACAATATGAGCCCGAAGAATGCCTGCCGAACTGTGATCGCTGATATCTGGAAGCGTGTCGGACAAAATGAAATGTTTAAAATGGCACTTATCTCCATGAATGTCAACGTAAGTTCTTCACATATTATAATTTTAGAAAGTATTTTGATAAAAATACTTTTCATTCAAAGGGTGATATTGGCGTGGCCAGTACTGTTGAAGAATCGTCAAACCATTACGGAAAAGACGCTTTGCCTGGATTTGCGTACAGCATTTGGAACAGTAAGCAGCAAGGACCGCCTAAAGTTGTTTGTGAACCACCTATTGTCTTTGATGATGTCTACTAATGAATTTTTGTTTGTAATTCGTACAAACGCCAGATTTTTGGTTGTTTGGTAGTCAAATCGGTTTTTGTGAGTACAGGGTCTTTTTTGTTGGGTTGCGTCACCCGTTCATTTTTTACAAATGAAGAATTAGACTCTGAGAAAAAAGACAATGGACTAAATAAACAAAAACTGGAAACGAGGTGCACAGACCATTATTAAGACTGACAAAAGAGCAAAAAATAAAAAGGAAAAGCAAAATACCGTAAGCCGTAAGCGCTCGCGGTCCATATATTCTTCCATTTGTTTCATTATTTACCTGGTCTTGCAAAATAAGAAGTTAGGAGCTGATAAAAGAAGGTATTAATGAACAAATAAACACTTTCAAAAATGGTGTTAAAGGGAATTAGCTACCCTTTTTTAATGTGCAATTACAGCTTTCCAACAGTACAGTTATTGCATTCTCAAAAAGCTGTAAATTGCTATTACCAAATTTATCAGTGCAATGACAGATAAACTGTACTGCAATCAACCAATCACAGCCGAGAAATATCCAAAGTATATTATTATATTCATTAAAAATTAAAGTTTGTATTTTGAAAAGAGTTATGTAAGACATTTATGACGTACAAATGTTTATAAAATTCATATTTCATGTATTTAAAAGAGCAAACTATCCCACAGAGCATAATAATGTTCTTTTGTAAAAGTGCAAACTAGATTATACGTGCTTTTAGGTGCTTGCTTATGTTGGTAAACCGCAGTTCAATTTTAAATTAAAAAAAATACTACTGAATGTTGCTGCCTGCGAAGTTAATGACTGGTTTTCTTTCTTATCCCTCTTATATCTACGTCATACAACTAAGTAACTGCGATAAACATCGTTTTTCAGTTGAATAGAATAATCGGACGCCTATGGAGCATGATGAATGCATGTCGAGAAAATTCAACTATAACTTATGCGTGTTTTATTCGCATTTCTAAAAGTATGCACGACTTGCATCATGAGAAGATATTATTATTGACCGTAGATTTTTTGTATCCACGTTTATACGTCTTTGTTTGAAAACGCGTTTCGGCGATGAAGACTTCCTATTCAAGAAATGCATGTCTTTATCAAAAAAAAATGACCTGAAACACTTATACATTGAGGGGCATTTTTAGCATCGTGTATTTCAACTTCCACACCGATTTGTGCATGTCTGAGCTTCATAAATCTTGGAAAAGAAAAAGGAAAAAACTGAAAAAGGTGTAGTACAAACAAATGACACAAATAATAAATTAGTAATGAGCGCTATTCATAGCGGATAGGCATAAAATAGCAGTTGCGGCTTTTTGACCAAGGATCACGACCGTTTACAATCTCGGTTATACGCAAATGACTCAAAGAGTTACAAAGACATTGACGCGATGTCACTGAAAATATGGCTAGATTTAAAAACTGACGTGATGTAATAATGAAATAGAAAATATCATTCGTCCCACTATTCTCATAAGAGTAGAACAAAGAGAAAATTGTTATTTTGTGGTGCTGTCCAACAGCGAAGACGAGAACCCTATTTGAATACTGACGTATTGGATACATATATTCATTCGTTTTAAAAAATTCGTGCCATATTTCTCATGTCCTTTGTGGAATGAACACGACGTTCGGAAAGTTGTCATTTGCAACTAAACTGTGGGCGTCCTTTCTACTTATTTTTCTCAATGTATTTACAATTCTAGCCAATTTACTCGTAATCGGAATAGTTTTGGGCAATCATCGACTACGCAAGTGCACAAACTATCTGGTCGTCAACCTGAGCATTGCAGATCTTCTGTTCGCGTGCATTTCGTATCCGTTTGCCATTAGGTCCGTTATAAATGACAAAGAAAATACAAATCACGCTCTGTGTCAATTTGTCGGTTTTTCCGACTCGTTCTACGCCACTACAGCCTCATTCACCATGGCAATCATAGCCTACGAACGATATTATTCGATAATTCACTGCTTACACTACGAAAAATGTATGATGAACAGGAATACGAAGCCCGTTATCGTTGTGGTATGGGTGACATCTTTGATTATTTCTGTAGTACCTCTGCTGAACTGGGGTACCTATGGCTACGAAAGGCATCAGTACAAATGCACTTTGAATTTAAAAAAAGACAACGGGTATTTCTTTTTTAAGATAATTAGCACGTTTTTAATACCGCTCACAGTCATGTCAGTATGTTATAGTTGGATTTTCGTAGTCGCCAAACGCCATGCGGCAACCATATCCACAATCGAAATTCGCGTTCAAAACGAGCTCTTAAAAGGTGGCGTTCAAAAAAGTATTGTAAAAAAGAAATATCACACTGGCACAGTTTTCATTACAATTATTGTTCACGTTATTTGCTGGCTTCCGATAAATGCACTGTATCTTGTAAAAAATCTTTCGCCGTCCACGCGTATTCCCAACCTAGCTATATCGATTAGTTGTTTACTTTCATTCCTATCAAGTGGGATCAATCCAATCGCGTACGCCCTTGTCACAGGCAAATTTCGAAAAGGATTTATGAGAATAATTAGGAAGGTTCGACTGAGGCGATCGTCATTGACTCTTAGGAAAACGTCACCTGCTACATGGACATTATCTAGTGCTCGATTTTCAAGGCGTGGCTCAACGTCAAACGCTAAAATCTACCGAAGCGAGAATAATTTGGAAAGAGCCGTTGATGACAGGTCCACAACGGCTAGACAATCTGGGGCTTTGTTAGACATTAAGAAACTAGAGAGAGGTCAGCGTGTTCTAAGTCCCATCGAAGTTAACGTCGACGATAATTTTCTCACCGTACCGAGGTATATATTGCCTTCAGAAAGAGTACCGATTTACAGTGATGTTCATCGCATTGGTAATACCGAAGAATGTTGTAATAACTGAAAACAAATATTTTCCATTGTTGAATTCAAGTTAAAATACAATACTTAGTGAATACCAAAAGCCAAGTGTAATCTAACATGATGCAGACATGAGCGTTTTTATAAATCTCAACAATTGGGCTCTCTCGTTTCGATCATCATACTAGAGGTGATGCGAAAAGCGTTGTCATAAAACTTTTTGCTGTGATTGGATTATGTCACGTTCGTCCTCGAACTATTGCCAAGTTTGCATTACAGCTGTTGAATCGATAGACATAATTAATAAATTATAAACGTTCTTTATTCACTAATAAAAAACACAAATTCACTAAAAAACAATTAACTATTAAGCATTCATTAAAACTTGCAGTGTTGGTGTTGTGAAATGCAGAAAGTTTGTGTTGTAGAATGTAATGAAATCAAAATTTTTCAAAAAAATCGATCATGCGCCATGTGCACTCAAAGACGTCGAGAATATGACATGCCCAATTGTGTAAGAGCCACGTCATTTTTACGTCGTTTTCACGTCGTCAAAAGCCATAGGTCGTGTCTGATAAGCGCTAATTCCAACATTACTCGGTGCGCAGCATTAACATGGATGAGAAGTGATGTGGTAAATGATGGTTCCTGCATATACGTCATACGTACGTCAATACGTCAGAATTACGTGCTTGCACAAGGTACTTGTTTGCTGCGCGGCTTGAACTCGGCAAACTTGGCAATAAAGTGGAAAAGTCCACATACCTCGAACAGCAATTTGAAAGTTAATCATCAGGAATGTAGTATACTCCATGTTTTTGAGGGGGTTTGGGCATAAAATTTGCTGACAAATAGAGAGTGGCATGGTCGTGGTTTCAGCGTATGTTTCTAAGAATGTATTGAAATTTCTTTAAAAATCATCAATAGAGGAACAATTTTTGCCGATGGAACTATGATGGGGTGGGGTGGGGGGTCTGGCACCCCCAGGTACCCTCCAAACGCGACGCCCCTGTTAATCATTAAACTAAATATTTAATACCTCAAGTGTTTAACTGTCACGTCATATATGACTAGAAATCCGCAAAAAATTTACAACGTGATTCTTGTTCTATTTTATATATTACTTTTTTATTCAAAATGTCTGGTTGAGGTCTTAAAAAGATCCCATGTACTATACACGTCAAAAATTATCATATTTTAATTGCTAAAAATTCCTTTTCCAAGGATTATACCATGTTCAACAGTTTGTCATTTCAAAGTTATAAAATAAAAATGCCCTCTTGTTAATGTAAAATTGCTCTTCTTTAAATTATACATTGTTCACTGTATTTTTCACACTAAGACACTGGAATTGGTTCATAATCATATGGAAAGCGAACAAGATTGATTTCCAATCTTCTCCTATGCAACTCTTTTGCAAAAGTCAAAATTAATATCAAAAAATGAAGAACAAGAATCCATTCAAATGCATTTCCAATGACATGAAGCTTGTAGCCAGGGTCATTTGAGTTCCAATAAAATATATCACCATGCCACAATTTTTGCGAATAGAACTTCAAAATAAGAAAGATAAAAAGACTTGCAGTTGAAATCACCGATACTACAGTCCTGACCACGCAAAGAGTGGTTGATACCAAATGAAATTTTCTCATATGATAAGATATGATTACTTGACACCATGCATACAAATTGCCGACAACAAAAAAAATAACGGCTCCAGCATCATGTGCATCCAATACTTGACTTTCCTACAAGAATTTGATAAATGACTTTGGACTATTTAAGTTTAAACATAATCTTGTGTCATGTGGTGTGTACATTACAAAGGGGAGGAAGAGTGGTCGAGGAGGGTAATGGAAGAGGAGAGTGATGGAGGATGATGGAGGATGATGGAGGGTAATGGGTTGCTACAACCCACAAAAATATATTAACCAAATAACCAATTTATAAAACTATAACTCCACGGGAAGACATGTCTAGCAACAACCATACTTGAAATGTGTTGAAATGTCGCTCATGAATATGTATATTTTAATCCGTCATTTTAAAAGAGCTGCATTTCATTCATGAATATATAGCTCTCATTTTCCGACTGCATATTGTGAGCAACACAATGAAATAACTAATTACAATTGTTGGTTTGTAATAATAATGCAACATTCTACTGTCATGCTTACCGAAAAATTACCAACTATACTGGCACCAAAGATAGAAAACACACCGAAGAAGGCACTATAATGGTTCAATTTCAATGTCACGCGATTTCCGATCAATTGAGCAACGTCGCGTTTAACCTGCATGTAACGAACGCCGACAACAGCTATTCCAAGGAATGTCGAGATATTTACCAATTGTGAGAATATATTGCTCTCGGGAGGTTTTGCAGCCGTGTCACTAATGGCCGGGAAAACTGGTACTATGTCGTGTAGCGCAACTGCAACCACGAACGAAGCACATACAGTTATTGATAGCAAAGCAGAAAAGCAAATCGGTAAGAGATCGGCAGTACAATAGGCCCCCATCACGATTGGTTCAAATGAATAATAACTTCTGGCTTTTTAAGTCACACGCTTTTTGAAAATGATTTCACAACTAAAAACGTACACGCTACAACACAGGCTAATCAAAATTACGTCATTTTTGCATTATTTGCAGTGATTACTTGTCACATGATTAACAAGTGATGGCGTTTTCTGAGAATTCTGGCCGAACAGGAAATAAATGTCAACGAGACAAAAACATAATTTTGGCGGAGGAATTTTTAAAAAAATTGTGCGCGTATTTAAAGTTCAATTCAAAAAAGTTTTACTTAAGATGTCGAGCAAAGCTCATACGTTTCATAGCATTTTTTGCAAAAAGCGAATATGAACAATTATACAATTTTTACGAAATCTGTAGCAAAACTGTCTACGTTTGGTGGATAGAAACAAGTCTTTATTGTAAAATTGCACAATCAGGTGATCACGTGCGCAAGTTGCAAACATTGCTAAATACTTGTAATTTTGTTTGGTGATTTGTATTATACCAGTTGTACCACTCGTGGGTTGTATACATTGCATTCTGAGCGAAGGATTAAGAATGATTTCGAATTGTCCGCAATATCTGCCCATAATATTTACATTATTGCTGACACTGTCGATTATAACTTCATTTCTCATAGCCGTTTCAAAAAGCGATGTCACACCGTGGTTCCCAACGATCAGTGATACGGCCACAAAATCTCCAGAAAGTAACATATTCTCCGAGTTGGTAAACATCGCCACCTTTCTTGGCGTTATCGTAATTTACATGCGATATCTTCAAGTAAAACGGGACGTAGAATGGGTGGAAGGTAGCCGAAAAATATTCGTCGCGAATAGAATATGTGTGGTCTTAGGTTTTATTGCAATATGTGGGTCCAGCTTGGTTGCAAATTTTCCGGTAAGTACAATTACCCTGGAAGTGTAGTAACTTGCGTGAAAAAGTGGGTTAATGCATAATTTACTAATTTAATACTTCTACCATTGTTTACAGGAAACTCAGGTTACTACTGTCCACCTTATTGGTGCCTTTTTGCTGTTTTGTTCTGGAAATATATATGCGTGGATTCAAGTATGGATATCATTCAAAATGAAAGAAATAGGTTTGGTGGGTTCACATATCTGTTTTATCCGACTTGTACTTTCTGTTATATCAACGCTTTCCTTTTTGGCAATGCTGGTATTGATGAAATTTGCCTACAAAGATCATAACAAAGGTATTGTTTTGCGTTGGCATTCAGATGAATCTGGATTCAAAGAACACATTGCAGCCGATGCTATGGAATGGGTAATGGTAGGCTCATTTCTTCTTGTGTTTCTTACTTTTACCAAAGAACTGGAAAACAGTCGACTTCAGGTTCGTCTGGTTAGGAGTGAAGATCGATATGAATCATTAACAAATCAAACAGAAAATAATGTTTGATTATTTCTTCATAATTCCAATGAAATTTATAGATGAAGGTCTCTAATGTTAACGAAATGCTTCATATTCATTATAAAACTTTTGAGAAAGATAGTTTCACTTGATATTTGCCAGTTTTTTGAGATCCTAAAGAAACTTTGGCATCTACTAAACATTTATAAAGTGCATTATTGTGTTATGTTAAATTTGGATGTAGTATTAATTATACTTGTAATTTTGACACATTTTTTCTAGTATCATTTAAAGGGAGAAAAATAAAAAGGTGAATGTTATGAGTGCAAATTTATCAAAGTTGTATAATTTGAATCTATTGATAGCATGTTGCATTCCTGTGACTTTTGTACATTTTACAGTTCGCTGAATGTTTCAAACATTAAACCAATTTTAACTCAAGCATGCTGGTCATACTGCATATTATAGTTTTACTACATAATACCAAGTCAATCATCCTCATGTTTTTGATATAGGTAATCTTAAATTTAACTAGAACTGGTATTTCTTAATTGGGGTTTACTTGTTGAAGTCCAAAATCATGCTGTGATTGCGGCTCTCAAAAATTCAAAGAAGAAAGGTCACTGACTGTCTGGTATAATTAGGTCCATATTTCACCAGTCAGAATTCCCCCAACCCAACCTGGAGCCACAGGCGTGATGAAAAACTCCGCAACAGGATTCATCTTTCCTTCACCTGCTATGTATATTGTACTTGGTACCATCAGGTTCTGAAGCCATGTAAAGAACGAAAGTTCTCTCTCGTTGTCATATTCTTTTTCAGGACGGCCAAAAACCTGGTTTAAGCAATAATCTATATCTGTTTCTGAATGCTCAACTAAATGAAATGGTATTTTTGTCTCAAAATTTGAATTGTATGCATCCAGTTGATCTTGCCATATTTCATCATGGAATTGAAATATCGTGCTAAAAACTGTTTCCTTATCTGGTATAGGTTCTGTACCTACCCAGGGCATAAGAACTATTGATAATGAATTGCAACCTTCATTACTGGAGCATTCATTTCCTATGAAAGTATAAGATAACAATGTGATGTCATTTGTCGCCACTAGTCTGCAGATTTTTACTATTAAATTCAAGAAACAAATTCAACTAGAATTATTTATGAAATCAAAAGAACTTGTCAAAACAATTGAAGATTGTAGTATACAAAAGGAAGTATCATCTTTACCACATTGTAATCCAAATTCCACCACCCCTTTCTTCATGTACATCAATATCTCAAGTGATCTGCTCAGACCCTGTAACTCTTGAACATTTAGCGACAATGGATTTAGTTCATAGGGAACAACTACACCACACTTCCACATGGAAGGAAAGGGTTTGATCACATACGTCTCGTTTTCATTGTATTTTTTTCTAAAGTAGCAATACCTAAAAAGTATATTATATAACAATGCAACTGCATGTTACCAACAGAGTAATATTAAGTTGTACACAATATGTTATTTTATAAACTATCTTACTCTTGCTATTACCATGTTTCAGAATTTGACCACTCGCGTAATGGCCCTTCCAATTTATTTCGATCGTTTTCTACAGTGACATCGAAATTCAGTTGAAGAAATTTTTTCCAAAAGTATTCGTCCGACAACTGCAACTGTCGTGAATAAAAAAACTTTCGTGATGTTCTATGAAGCTTTTAATACATTTAACAGACGGGAAAAGAACTTTTTAACCTTCCAAGATTTGCACACTTGCATACAACGAAGAACATCGCGAGTCTTCAAACCGCTAAGCATAATTTCACACAAAACATCATAGTTTATAAACATCTTGAACACGGCCACTGATTGTGAACAGTCAAATAGCCACGAAATACACAAAAGAACGTTACCTGTCAGATACAAACTAATGAAACTTGTATGATTTCCATGATTTTCTTTTCTCCGTACCGGAAGTTCGTTTGCAGAAAAAAATTGTTAATAAACCGGAAATACGATCACGCTTCATTCGCGCGTAAGTTTGAAGGCTGAGCTTATGATCAGGTACAAAAGCGTTCGTGTGGTTTAGTTTTATTATGGTTTAATTGCGTTTTCGCGAGATCGAGTAATTTATACTACTCAATCTTGTGAAGGACTTTTGAATAAAATAGTTGTTATAAATGGCTTTTGTCAAAAGAGGAGATGATCCTTTGAATGAAAATCCACACAAGCAGCCTGGTTACTTCTCGTTTCCGTTCACGCCGTACGATATCCAAGTGAAGTTCATGCAAGATCTTTATTCCGTTATTGAAAATGGTGGAGTAGGAATATTTGAAAGCCCGACTGGAACTGTAAGTTTAAATGACGTAAGATACCACTGGTCAGTTTCATTAGTTCTTGGGTTTTATTAAATGCCTTTGTCATTATACCAATTACATTATACCATTAACTTTTGCTATAATTCCAGGGGAAATCGCTGAGTTTGATTTGTGGTGCTTTGACCTGGCTAAGAGATTTTAATGAAAAATCTAAAAACATTAAAGAAACTCATACTACTGGTGACTCAATGTATGTAGGATTTGACACTTTTTAGTTCTTTTTATTTTTATGAAAGACAATGATTATTGGGAGACTGTGATTGTTGAATGATGCACCACAATGCTCCTGCTGTCATCCATCATACAACTGCCAGGGACAAGACAACAAGAACTTGTGTGGGCCCCTGGCATTATGGGCCCCTTACACAATAAATAAGAATTTGAAGAAGTTAAAAACTAATCAATAACACTACAGTTGCAAAAGCCTGCAACTTCTTTAGAAGCAGGGCAAAGCTAGAATTCTGATTGAAGAAGGGGGGGGGGGTTGTGTTAAGAGTTATATATTAAGCTCTGCCCTACTAATATCTTTTGAAATTAAGATTGCTTTTGAATGAAATCAGTGCAGCAGAGCTAAATATATGAATATTCACCTTTCCCCTGTTACCGTATAGTTTTGCCCCTGTTTAGAAGAGTTTTATACTTGTTTTCATTTTAGTTTTTGGTTTTAATTCTGCCCTTATTCATTGTTCTTTTTGAAGTTCAATATTTTGATTAACTGGTTCATTTTCACATGATCTTATTAACCATTCGTTCCTTTTTTTAATCTAGTGAAACAACAGGGGAGCAAGATAGTTCAGGTTGGTTTTTACATGTTTGGCTATAAAATATGTATGAAATTTACAAGCTCATGTGTTTACATGCAACAGGTTGGGTAAGAAATAAGTTCAAATAGACCACAATTGATCTAGCAAGTTTAAAGGACACAACAGCTGCAAAGATAGAAACATTCTTTAATGGTTCAGTTGCATTGCAAATATTTTTACATATACACTAAATGTGAGTTTATACAACTTTGTAGTTCCGTCTTGGGTGCAAGAAATTGCTTTAAAACGGGAGAGAAATGTGCTTCTTGAGCATTCTAAGGTAGGCTTCTGTACTCTGTAAGCCATTGACAGATAAAGTTAGCAAGCATGCTTTATAATTAACTATGTAGACATATCTATTGTAAATCATAGAAAAAGTTTTTAATAGGCTAAACAAGAAAAAGAAGAGCAGTATAACGAAAAACTAAAACGCTTGAGAGAACAAAGATATAAGAAACAACACAAGAGAAAAGTTAGTATGATGTGCAACCATTAGACAGTGGTGGTACTAAATTTGGGCGCCAATCAATCCCCCCAATTTTATTGTCTGCTCTTAGTTTGCCTTCCCCAGATATTTTCATTTCACTATTGTCCATTATGAAACTGAAGGGTTTTCTGCTGAAATACAAGTCTAATAATAGCTTACCTAAAATAAATTGCCCTTTCCCCAAGATACTTTTCTCTCCCCCCCCCCCTCTATTCATTTTGACATTGCCCCGCCACTGATTATAAAATAATTTGTAACTAAACATAAAAAATTATTCGTGTTACGTATGTAGCTACAACAGCCAAGTTCAATAGTCACCAATATTTTTCATATAAATGCAATCGTATCAAAAACAAGCTTGTTCATTCGTGTTGTGCTGTGTCATATTCGCGCTGTGGTAATGACAAACAATTTTGACGTCAGTTGTTGACATACATGTTATAATACGTCAGTTGTTGACATGGCGATTTCACGTATGAATTTCAGCCAATTGTAAGATCTGATGTTGCATTCTATACGAAATTTTTTTCAGCTCGATAGTGACGACAATATTAGTAGTAAAGTGCATCGGCTCCCTCGTGATGAAAGTGGCGATGTAAATGTAGGTAAAGACGATGACGATGAAGATATTCTGCTTCAAGAATATCTCAGTGACAATAATAAGGAAGGGGATGCCAACTGGTTTGTAATCTGCATGGAGCTGAACTGTCACTTTTCATTGTTAATTTTTTAAAGATATTTTGTGTTTCATGTGTCCAGTTGTAGCTCCGAGGAAGAGGAATTTGAAGATGCTCATGTGACTAAGGTACTCTATTGTATAATGAAATAGCGTTGAAATTGCTATGAAAATGTCAGTCTTAAAACAGTGCGAAATTTATGTGTATGACTTTTCTGATGTGTTTTGCCGCCACAAAATAAAATCCTGCCGGCACCATTCATTAAGATAACACTGTAGAAGTTAGTGCACGCAATCTAAATTATTCAATTGTGAATTTTATGAGAACTACTTCTATACTTTTCAAACTTCGTGCTGCATTCCTGAGCAGAAATCGGGAATGACTCGTGCTAGCGAAATATAGGTATTTGTATTTGACTTCTATCTGCTTTGAATTTTAGTAGCATTTTTGGGTATAATTTGTAGGTATTGTAGCTAAATTAACATATTTCATCGGGGATATTCCATAGCTGGGCTATTCTTTAGAATGGCCTGTAGGGATAGATATGGTTGCTACATGAAGTAAAAGATTTCATCATTCGCTGAAAATTACAAAAATTTTCCAGATATATTATTGCAGTCGTACTCATTCGCAACTTGATCAGTTTGTTAATGAAGTTAAGAAAAGTGGTTTTGGTAGCAGTATTCGTGTCGTCTCTCTCGGTTCGAGACTGGTACGTACTTATTGTAGTATAGTGATTATTTAGTATCCATAAATTATGCTCAACGACCCTGTTTTGATCTGTTCAGAACTTATGCGTGAATCAAGAGGTCAAAAAATTACGTAATATCACACGTGTCAACGATAAATGCCTGGATTTACAGAAAAAAAAGAAAGGTGAGGTTATGGTTGAAGCATGGAAAATAATTGAGAACGTTGCTCCATCCAGTTTCAAGTATTTTACGATAAATATTATGAAATACCATTAAACTGTGTGCATTAACTGCATTTTTACTGTAGAATTTAGCATCATTAATTTTACGCGCGCCTGCTCTCTAGGAAAAAAGAAACAGGAATCTCAAAGAAATAAGAAATTCAAGTCTGCAAATGGTTGCCCATTTTATGATTATCAACGACTCCAACACTACAAGGACTTAATATTGGTACGTTCAAATTGTGCATCGAAGCGCATGTTGTTACGTGAAACGTTGTTGTAAATTTTTTCATCTCCAAATAAAATGCATTCGAAGTTGTGAGAACTGCTTATTTTTCAAAACAGTTCCAAGTTACATAACTTCATCTGAAGCTTTTGGACTTATGCCCCAGCGGTCTCCTTTTACGCTATTTCCAACAATTTTACTGACGAACTGCGTCACTATTTGGAAAAAAAAAGCATTTAGTTTTAATAGATATTTTAGCTCCGCGAACGTTCTATCAAATGTTCCTTCTTTCGATGGTGTGGTAGTTTATCGAAGAATATGGAGTATTTTCTAAAATGACAGATAAAATTATTATAGGGATTATTTCCTAAGTAAGAGATGAAAGTATTTCAATGTTATTATTTCACGGGAAGGTCAATGAATATGCGTGCAAAAACATTTACCGACATCGTGTAATGAAGTAATATAGTCGAGTTTTTTCCAATACTTTCTAAAAAGGAATTTTGCGATTTCATTTTTTAATTTATAACGATCGATGATAAATGATTTTACATCGTTTTCAGATGGAAGTAAAGGATGTGGAAGAATTGATATCTGTGGGCGAAGATGTCGAAGCATGTCCATATTATGGCAGCCGATATGCTGTACCTAAAGCGGAGGTACGAACACCTTTATGTTTTTATATCATTCTATTTGAGTTAGCCCACATTGTCATCACGTCCGATAACTTTTTTTGCTTTGTTTTCGGGCTTGATCTTATTTTGAACAAGATGGTCTTTTCGGAGGAAGTTATTATTTCGGACATCATGAAATCATTCTACATACTTCATACGCATAGATATGCGCGATCAATCCAATTTGTCAGAATTATAGCACCAATCAGTTTATATAGTAACGTTAAAATTTTAAACAGTTTCATTGGTCGAGAGCCATGATCTATAAGAGAACAGACGCGCAGAATTGACGTCAAAGAAAATCTTTTGTTATTTACAAAATGAAAAATTTACAAAATTAGGCTATATTTATACCATAAAATTAATGAAGGGAACAATGATTAGTTATATCACAATGAAAATTAATATTTACACGTGCATTTATCAATGACCTCTATGTGAGTGGCATTTTTCTTTGAAAGGCAGAAAGGGATTTGCTATCTCTTATTTGATGTGGAATAGAATTCCTAATGCGCGCCGCATCGTACGTGAAGCTTTTTTTCATACTGTTCATACTGTTAGTACGGGGGGGGGGTCGGTAATCAAAAACTACTAGAAGTATCACGAAGATGGATGATTTGCCTTTTCGCTTTTATACGTAAACATATTGGAGAGTAACTTTGAGCCCTCGGTATTCAACAACTTATACATGAACTTTGCTTTCCATTGGATTTTATCTTACAGCTTGTAGTATTACCCTACAATATGCTTCTTCATCAAGCGTCACGTGAAGCCTGCGGTATTAAATTAAAGGGGAATGTTGTGATTATTGACGAAGCTCATAATTTGATTGACACGATCAGCAGCATACACAGTGTCGAAATTTCAGGATTTCAGGTGTAGTGCTTTTGTATTTTTTCTGTTTGCCTTCATTTCAAATGTAGCTCTAGTTTTTGCTTGAATAATTTGAAGCTTACGAACTAAGCCAACACAATCCCAATGTTGAATTTTCCCTGATACATATAGTCTGATTTGATTTGACTTGATTTGACTGATACATATAGTCATTTTAAGTGATACAAATTCATACAAAGTAATTTTTCATATGTCAAGAAAGGTTGCACTTACTTGCCCATAAACGTTCCTTTTTAGATATCAAGAGCACATTCTCAGTTGCTACAATATCGGGATCGATACAAGTACAAAAAGATATTTGTTTGCTTCTTCAATGTGTTTGCTTCCGCATGACATTTTTAGTAAGCATGCGCTGCGTTTTGCAAGACATGCTTCTCTGTTTCATTAGAAGTCTGTGTATGTGTGGATAAATGTGTTGATGAATGTGTTGATGATTCATTGAACTGTTTAGGTCAAAACTGAAAGCCAAGAATTTGATGTATGTCAAGCAGATTTTGCAAGTCTTGAGTTGCCTTCTTTCATGTTTTGGTAAATTGAAGCATTTTTTTATTTTACCGTTGAGAAAATGATCGTTATCCTATGATTTCATGAACTCGTTATGATTAGCTATTTATCTCCTCTTTCTTTGAACACAAGAAAAATCGTCACAAAAGAATGATGATCAAGGCTTTTGTCCCAAACATTCAGGTTTTTTTCATTTCTTTTTTGTTTTTGTTGCATTTTTGATATGATGTCACTATAGCTAATGCAAGCATGCGTATTAGTATGTGCAGGAATGTGTTGTTGTATCTTGTGCAAACAAAGCCAAAATGTTTCACTAACTTTGTCTAATAGTCTTGCGACGTTTGCGTTTAAATTTTAAATTGTAACTTACAGTCATCCAAAACAATAGTTCTAAATAAAGTGGATGCTTGAAGATGAGCTGATTAACTGGAAGATAAGTTGATCTGGACAATTAGTGCACGTCGAAACTCATTTCTTCAAATGAAAACCATAAACTTAACTTAAAAGACGATGAATTGTGTTTTTTGTCATTATTGGGGAGATATATTTGGTCTTGGCCTCATTTCAGGCTTCTTTCTGTGCGTACGAGCTGAAATCAAGCAAATGCAATTTGAAACGCTGAGCGTGTTTTTTTCAGCTTCATTTAGTGCGTCGATGTATTAAATCTAATCTTGTCTTTGCTGAATAAAGTTGTGTAAAACTTCATCTCTTTGTCAGCAAAATACCAATTTGCATTTTACTGTTCTTCCAGATGATGTAAGGTTGCTAAAGATCAACGATTTTCTATTTGCAACCAAGATGGACAACATCAACTTATTCAAAGTACGTCACGTGGTTTATTATTGTGGTGCACTTGATGGTGATCGTTTTATTGCAGTTATTCGTTCGTGTTCTTTGTTCTCTCTGTAAACATCATTGCACTCTTAAATATGTTTATTCTTGTATTTTAATTGTAGGTAAAACGGTACTGTGAGCGAAGCTTGATTTCTAAAAAGGTATGTGGAAATAATGAAGAGTTTTTGCTGTTTATAAATTCTTGGTTAATTTATATTCCAAACCTAATAATTCCGGTTATATTTTTAGCTGAACGGCTTCGTTGATAAATACAGCACCGCAGTTTGTGCAGGTAGATTATGTTATATACAAGTGAAGGGACATCAGCGCCAGTATTCTAAAAGCTCGCTCACCTTCAACTCACGCAGTGCCACCTAGATATTGCACTCCAAAGACCAATGGCAAACTAACTTCTCCATCGATAGCAAGTTTTTGGCTAAAATATTTCAAATCGAGCAATCAGTCGAGTGAAAATGCCGTTTTCGTGTAATTATGAGACGACTTTGAAGCAAAACTAAGTGAGTGTGAGTGAGCTTTTAGAATACGGCATAAGTTTTACATACGTAAGACGACACCTTCTTAAAGCGAATAATGAATTTAATCCCTAGAGCCCTGCCTCTTTGAAGAGAGTTCAATGTAATTTATTTCATATGATTTCGGTGTGGCTAAGAACTTGTATTCGAGCTTTAGGTTCTCAATAACTGACTACACGTATGTATTTGCAATACATGCTAAATTCACAATTCCATAGTATATTATTATGAAATAAAAACAATAAAGCGCCTAAATCAATCAATCAATCAATGAGAATTTGCAAATCAATCATGAGCTGATCTTCTCTCGTTGAGTTCTACTTAAGGTCTCCTCAATTAAGATAAGCCAGTGCAAACACAGTGAACATCTTTTATTCCTTATATATCAAACGGTGAAGCCACTCATTGGAAATTTAACAGTTTTTATATATGTCTACGTAGATATCTGCTTCCATAGCATTGTATTAACAAGCGTTAGATAAGTATGCATTAAGAGGGCTATTTTTCACTTATGATGAGGTTTGTTGACAAATGCAAGAACGTTTCTCGAATGACTAAAATCTACTGAAATTAATCCGTGATTTATATCACTGGCTTGTTAATCAAATTTAATCGGTGTTTTATGAAATTATTCACTTCTGATGTTTTTTTTAAAGATGGAAAACATTGTGACAGTGAATTTGTTCCAATGTCATCGCCCCTCCAGAACATAGAAAACTTTCTGGAGTGTTTGACCAATGCAGATAAAGATGGTCGAATAGTTATTGATAACAAAGGTATAATACTGTTTTTTGAATATCTTCGATTTGCGAAATACAGTGCTGTGTGATATTTAGTTGGTTTTAAAATGTTCACATTGTTGGATTTTCATCTAAAGAGATTTGAAGTCTTGATTGAGTCTCGAGAAATGTACGTTAATGCTAATCTGCTGTCTGTTGTTCAATGTTTTCCTTGCAGAGTTGGTAATGCATAAATCATTCTGCATTTGGAACATTGTACCAGTAGAAAAGTGTATGTGTCGTTGCTTGTATTTAGGTCTTTTGGGTCGTTCCACCTTGAAGTTTCTTCTTCTCAATCCTGCCGTTTACTTCAAGAGTGTCGTTAAAGACGCCAGAGCGGTCATAGTTGCTGGAGGAACCATGCAACCCGTACGATTTTATTCATATTTTTATCTTAGGTTATATGAAGTATCGTGTTATTATGTGACTTAAACCTTCTGTTAGGTACACGAATTCAAGCAGCAATTACTATATGCCTGTTCTGTACCGATGGAAAACATCTTTGAATTTACATGTGGTATGTGCTTGGCTATGGTTGCAAGATTATCGCTCACAAAGAGCTAATTAGTTTCAAAAGTATTGGTTAATTTTTTCCATAGGTCATATTATTCCGAAAGATAATTTGCTGGCGATCGCCCTAAATAGAGGACCGTCAGGGTTTGATTTGGATTTTACGTATCAATCGAGGGATTCAAAAAATATGGTTTGCGAGCGCTTGATTATCAATTCTAATGATAAACACAGTTTTCATATGTATTGCGTAACGTTGACAGCTGTATCCCACCGTTTTCACAATCATTTTTTTTTAGATAGTGGAAGTGAGTTGTGTGTTGACAAATATATGCCGCATAGTTCCATCGGGATTGGTTTGTTTCTTCCCATCTTACGACTTTAAAGAAAAGGTTGTTAAGGAGTGGTATCAAAGTGGAGTTTTCCAAAAGATTGACGCCAAAAAGAAGGTGCCTGCGTGATTTATTAAGTTAACAATCTCAATTGTTTCATAATGGCAAGTCTTATTACTTTAGAGCAAAACATGTTGGTAATTATTTTAGTGCAATGTTGCAATCTTTTTTGCTGAGCCTTTCATAAAACAAATATGAACAACATGCAAATTCTTCTGTATCAAAACGTATGCGACATATTTTTGCACAAAGCACAGTTTCTTGTGTGTGTATAAGTCTGTTGCACGTCATTGAAAAGTTATTTTAGGTAATAGAGAGTTTTAGTTTGGCGTCTACGGCAAACTCCAAACCTAAACAACCCGCTGGCCGTTGAGGTTTGCCGTTTCGAAAAAAATTTCAATTTGGTTTGGCGTTTTAAATTTGTATTTTACTATTCGCATTGTCATGAGCTAAATTTCATGTTGTGTTAAAAGTTTGTCGATAAAAAAGGCATAATCATGATGTATACTCACATAAAATTATAACATTGAGTAATAAACGTCACTTGGTTATGTTAAAAGTACTGAAATGCTTGCGGTACATCACCTACCGCAAGAAGGGCCTCTTTCAGTTAAAACCTGAACCACAAACCGCAATGTAAACAGCAAAGCCATGATCACGTGACTTTTTGCGGTTTGTCTTTAACACCAAACTAAAACTCTCTAGTAAGTTGATTTCTTCGTATCGTTTTTTTCCTAAATACAATGTAAATCAACGATTGGACGCTTCGTAAGGTGGTTAATTTCAATTCAATTTTTTGCATTATCCTAGCCTTTTATTTCCCACGAGGAACTAGATTTTTCGGGGCAATACATTTAAAAATTTTCTTAAAAAGCCTACTTGTCGTGGTAAAGGGTAACTAAAATCTACCTTCAAAGAGATAATTGGACAGACTTGTGAAAAAATGCATGACCCAATACATTTCGGCAGGCATCTTATCAAGTTTCTTTGTCTTATTGCTAACTAAAATGCTAACAAAAACGTTGCAAAGTTTGTATTTCTACGATGCAAATGTTTAAGCAAAGGTATTATTCATTTTTTTAAAAAGTTGAACTAGCTCCATTCATTGTATTTATTTTAACTGAGAAATATTTGATTGTGGGAATGAAACTAGCTGGCCTTGCCACTTTTTTGATCTTGATGACCATTGTTAAGTTTTTCACACGTAAAAGTAAAATAGATATATGTTTGCTTCCAACTCTGCCTATTTTTTGCTATTAGATATTTTCCGAGCCAAGAAAAGCAGCAGAAGTTGAGCAAACGCTTAATGATTATGGTCGATTCATCAAGGTTGGTTATTTCATTGTATTAAAAGCTTTCGGCAGTGAGGTGAATTATACCGTGAAACATTGGTGATCAGCTTGTTCGTTTTATGAAGTAGGGGAAAAATGAATATTTAACTACACTTATGAAAGTTATATATAATGTCTGTGTCGTTATGGTGTTTTTATATTACTTTGCAGAATAACGTTAATATTTTTTTCTCTGCACCACACTGTCTTTTTGTTGTGAAATAATGTCAAATACAATGTTTTAACAGCAAATCGCGTTTTCGACGAATGATTCAGTTGACAGAGATGCGCTTCGAACAAAAACTTTTCCTGCCACTCTTTCATCGAACAAACGTTGCACCTTTTCAAGAAAAGGCTTTTGCTATTATGTTTGTTTTTTTCCGTCATAGAAAACTCAATGCAAAGAGTCAACATCCGCTCATAACGGCGCCATCTTGCTATGTGTCGTTGGTGGGAAAATGAGTGAGGGCATTAACTTTTCAGATGATTTAGGAAGGTAAATGAATGTATTGTTTATTCGCGTATTCTTTATTCAAATAGGTGAAATATCTGTTTCGACAAGATTGTATACTTTGTTTTCAATAATAAAGGTGCATCGTTGTAATTGGCTTGCCATATCCGAATATCCATTCACCTGAACTCAAGGAGTACATTTCCTATCTCGATGCAACTTTGGGCGTGAGTATTTTTGTGTCGTAGCGTTTATTTTCATTTGAATTGCCATGAACGTGACTTTCGTTTCAGTTGATCTGTAATTTTTATTCAGAAAAATGCCGGACAACAACATTGTGAAAATGTTTGTATGAAAGCCGTCAATCAATCTGTCGGTAAGCAAGAAGTTAGTAAGTTATAGTAAATTATCTGGCCCGACCGGTGCACGAGCTGTTGTAACTGGCAGTCTCGTAAATTTTGGTGAGGTAGCTGGCTTTTTTTTATGTGGTATTGACGGCATTTTAAAAAACTTCGCGAAGATAAAAAGGGTTAATAAGATATTCGTTCCGTGGATTACTGATTTTTAAGAGTAACGGTGTAGTAGGCCGCGAAATTTGTAGAAAATGTCGGCGGATTGTGTAACCGAAAATTTTTCTCTCCATTTGACATTCTTGTGAAGGAAAGTAGCTTCCATTTTTCATGGTTGTCCAAAAAAGTAAGTTATGTTAGTCACGTGACTAACGACGTGAGCATGTGAATATCAGTAATTAGAAAGTTATTTGATTAAAAGTGTAAACAGTTATTGTTGTAAAGAGCTTAAAGTAGACTAAGTGAAAAACACGTAAAAACCCATACCTGAAAATCGATTCGCAGAGAGTTAAAGTAAATGGTTTGAACCCGGGAGTATCGTTACATGTTTGTAGATGTAGATCGTCCAGGTTAGTAAAGTCCTGAGAAGGTTTGTTTTTGTTGTTGTGGACTGACGTTTTGACAACCTTAGCAGTACTCATCTTCAGAGTAAAAAAAAAATGACTCAAGAAAATTGATATTAATAGATATAATACGTTGTAAAACTATTTGTATTCCATGCATGTAGCAACTCTTTGCATGGTATTGATTTTCAAGTACGGTTTTTGTACATAGTTTTTTCACGGTTTTTGATGCTCTTTCAAACAACATCAGTAAGCTCTTGAAATGGTGAGGATTTTTGCGTCTCTCATTTTAAATTATCAGCGTGCAGTTTTTATTTCGCACCTGCGGCTCATCTCCAGGCTTTTTTCATTTATTGTGCATGTGTTGTGTTTTAAAATGAACCAAGCAATTTCTGTCCTTTTAGGGCGAGCAATCCGTCATATAAATGACTATTCCACGATACTTTTGCTTGATCAGCGCTACAGCCGCCCGAGTATTCAATCTAAGTTACCTGATTGGATTCGTTCACGTTTACAAACGCACACCTCTTTTGGACCAGCCTTTGCTGCATTGCGTAAGGTAAGTTAATATGTGCGATATTTATAAGCCCTATTTACACGATATAAACTAACCCGGGTTTAACCCAGGTTAAAATAAACTCGGGCTTAATCCAGGTTAATTTTTTGCGTGTAAGCAAGACCAACACAGGTTTAACTTGGGTTAAATTCAACCCATCTCAAGAGATAGGTTAAGTTTAACCTAGGTTGAACCTGAGTTAGTGGTGTTTACACGCAAAGAAAACTAACCTGGGTTGAACCCGGGTTAGTTTATGTCGTGTGAATATAGGACTTAAGTCTCGAGCTTTGCGCGAGTTTTGCTTTTTTAATACTTACGTGTGGCTTCAATGCTGTATGAACATTTATCCACACACACACTGGATTAACGTTTTAGCTATGGTCGTGCATACCTGTATCGTATTGTTTTCATATAATTGTCACTTTAGTTTACAATTTGAACAGACAAAAGCTGTAATAAGAGCAACAAGTTATTGATAAAGCGGCCGTACAGCAATTTAACTATCTTCGTGACTTAGCTACCCATCTTTTTAGTACATTTCTTGTCTATTTTTAGTATTTGAATTAAACTAAACAATCAGTCATAGTGTAAAAATGTACCCGTATAGCCATTGACGTCAGTCGTGGGGTGATTGTTCTTTGTTCTTGATTTAAAAATATATCCTTAAAAGACTATCACATTTTCATCAACAGTCTCCGTGATCATTCTCATTTATCCTCAGATATCGCAGTCTTCACCATTTTTGGTGATTGTCCTTATAAATTAGCAATTACATGCAGTTTTCATCTTAGTCTTGTCAATTGTTCTCATATGGCGAAAGTTCCATATTGACAGTCTTCACTTTATTTTGTGTCATTGTCCTGATATATTGCGAAGAATTTGGTAAATTTGAATAATTTTACAATTGACACGAATAACTTAATTCCTCTTTGTGTTCAAATAGATTAATAGAATGATGATGAAGATAGCATTTAGAGGCGGAAATGACTTTGTGGGGTTTTCCAGTGTAGCCTTGCTTGCAATCATCACTATAAGATACAAAGTCATGTGTTGACAATTCTATATCATATACTATATATAAAATCTTACTGCAGCAACATTCAAATCCTACAAGATTGCATTATCCCGTATATGTAGCCTTTTTTAAAGAAATGATTACAATCATAACTCATGTAGCCGATAGCTTTATATCAAACTATGATGCTTTAAATCTTTCATTGTGTATATATCTATTTGGTTTTAATCACAGTTATGAACAACATTTTGGTATTTTTGATTTGCGTGATTTCATGCTTTGCAATGTTTTTTTCTTTTCAGTTCTTCGTTCAACGTTCAACTTGAAAGTCTTTCACGTAAAGAATGCTGTATGCTTACGTACATGGAGAATCTGAAGGTTCTTTTACGTTGTTGGTGCACTGTATTTTTGTTGAGATGCAATATTGATTCTCGTTGTGTTTTCACTTGATCCGTTTGTAATGAAAAGTTAATTAATTTAATCTTGGAAAGATTTTTTTTGGAAGGTAATCGTGGAAGGTAGTCCCCCCGTCTCCATAGTTGCAGATAATCATTTTGTAAAAAAATCCGAAATAGGTAGCTCAAAAAAATTAGGTGAAACCTTTTGTTACTTTCTATGTATAATACTTTAAAATTCAACTGACTCAATTACTTGCTTGCCTGGGTGATCTGTTTTCAGCTTTATAAACAAAAAAAACCATCAAAAATCGGCGTTTTTACCAAATTTAAAACGAATATGGCGATACTGGTTAAAACTCTGCATTAACTAAAACCTTTTATTTTAAAACGACAATTAACAATCTTAAACGAAAAGAAAAATTTACTAACTTTGAAAAGCGCAGATCGTCCACAGGTTAACAGCATATAGTCAGTGATAACATATTGAAGAAGTTTTAACCTACCCTTACGATATTAAACGACTAAAATAACTGTGACCATCCATACTACTGTGTGTATATAAAGAGCTAAATAGTGTTATATTGAATCGCGAATTGTAGTGCGCATGCGCAGATGCTATCTCCCAAAGCATTGGAGCTACGGCGATGATCTTTAGCTCATTCGAAAGAGCTCAACGAGAGCTTTAAGATGAGCTAAAGATCATCGCCGTAGCCTCAGTGCTTTAGGAGATAGGATCTGCGCATGCGTGAATCTTTCAGTCAAAACCAACTTTCGCGCCAACTTTCTTAGCTAATTTCTCTGTATCTGTTTCAAATTGACTGGAGAAAATAACGTTAACAATCTCTGCAAACTAATTGTACTTCTAATTTTTTTCCATCTTCAATGCTCACAAAGCAACTTATTATGAGCACAATCAACCACGGGTCTTAACAATGGTGTTGAGACCAGCTAAAGTTTCTAACTATCGAATTTTAGGAGAATTAAAAAATGATATGTATAATGAAACTTGATTAAAACTATCGCTACAATAAGAAGACATAAAGGTAGACACAAAGGTAGACATAAAAGTAGTCATAAAAGTAGACATAAAGATCAACAAAAAGGTGGACACAAAGGTAGACATAAAGATCAACAAAAAGGTGGACACAAAGGTAGAGACATAGGTGGACATGAAGATAGGGTCAGGGAGAGATTAGGGTTAGGGTTAAGGTTAGATAGACACAAAATAACGTTAGCTACCAAGAAAAGGGTTAGGTGGTCACAAAATAAAGGTAGGCGCAAAGGCGGTCTTAGCCATAAAGGTAGAAAAAAGGTAGACATAAAAGTAGACACAAAGATAAGGCCTGTTTTATTGGACATTTTACAACACATAGTAAAATTATTTAATGGCCAAAATTTTGACTGGAATGACTTTACTAACACAAATTAAATCTACTTATGAATTTTCAGCAAACCAAAATTACTTCTTCATGTGTCATGCATGCAAAATAGGGTTAAACTCTGATTTAATCTGCAACATGAGATGGCATTATGTATGCCAACTTTTTTTAGAAACATTGGTGTCACAGGAAACATCAGTTTATAAATTCAACCGTCATTTCAACAGGAACATGAGATGTTGCGGCAGGAAACTGTTTACGTCATGCTCAGGCTGTACATTCAGTAAAAATACGCAAGACTGTTTACAGAACGTATTAGTGTTGGTTGTATTATGTAAATTGAAACAGATATTTTGTTTACGTTCTACATATAGTCAAAATAGTTTCGAAAGATTTTATTTAGGTCGTTGTAATGATTTGTGTGACACCTCGTTCGTGACTCGTAAAGCCCGCCGCACACATGAGCTATTGGCAGAGCTAACAGCCACGCGTGAAATTTGCTCACATTACGTGTTTGCCACAAACAGCCGCGACATTCGCTCAGCCGATACTTTTCGCGGGAAATTCAAACATGGCGGCTCATTTAAATCTTCATCGAGTGGCAGTCCTTTTAATATTTCTACGGCGACGCCGTCGCCGCAAGACTAAGGCCGTGGTGTTTACGCAAATCTCCTCCAAGAACTGAAGGGCGAAGATCCCGAATCTTTTCGGCAATATCACCGATTAGATATCAACTCATTTAACTTTATTTTGAACATGGTTAGACCATTAATTCAGAAAAAGGAGACATGGATGAGAGTAACCATTAGTCCACATGAGCGGCTCGCAGTTACTTTACGCTATTTGGCAACCGGTGAGTTTTGGCACGAAGTGAACAAGTATGTGAATTAAAAAACAGAAAGTTTATTCATCATTTATTTTTTTGAAGGAGAATCGTTCAGAAGTCTCTCTTTCCAGTATCGTATGGGAGAACGAACGATATCTAATATTGTACTTGAAACATGCCAGGCATTGTACAAATCAATGAAACAAAAATTTCTTACAGTAAGTATAGAAGCTAATCAAAACAAAAGAAAGTCAACCAGGCTCAGCTAAAATAGCTATATGAAAAGTTACAGTTCCAATAAAATGTAACAACTCAGACTCCTTTATCAAACTCCATGATTGTTTCCAAAGTGGATATAATGTGGTGCAGAATACTGCGAAGTGCATCTATCTTGCTGTGGTGTATTTGAATTGTTTTGAACTGGATTTAACATGCCTATTTGTGCTTGAAATAACACATTACTGATTTGATACTGAGCATAATGTCTAGATTGTTGATCCATTTTTTTCAGTGACTCCACTAAAAATTTTCCAAATGATTCACATTCCCCTGGCTCTTTATCCTCTTGTGCTTTTTTGCTATCATTAACAATTGCAGAAGTCAGGCTTCTCATAACACTTAATTCTTCTTCCTCCAAATTTCTCTTCAATGACTTTCCCCTTGGCTTTGTTGGTAGTTTGGTTGACTTGATAACCTGTTGGTTATTGTCAGTAAGATCTAGCGTGTTTAAATCTTCATCAGAATCTATGGCATGTTGAAGCATGGAACCATTCTCATTATCACTGTTATCACGTGCCACCAAAGAGTTTGTCTGTAAAAAGGAAAATGATCACTATAAGTATTATAACTATAGCCTGGAGAATATTTCATACTCAACACAACCTAATTAGATTGTAAATTTTGAAGAGAAATATCAATTTTTTATTTATGTTTAGATACCGTTGACAGATAATGACTGGCGTAAAGTTGCTGATGGTTTTCACAAACAATGGAACTATCCATGCTGTGTGGGAGCAATAGATGGAAAGCATATAGCCATACAACAACCACCACACAGTGGCTCTGAGTATTTTAATTACAAACACTATTTTAGTGTCTTGCTTCTTGCCCTTGTGGATGCAAACTATAAATTCTTATTTGTGGATGTTGGGGCTACAGGGCGAGCTGGGGATGCCGGTGTGTTTAAAAATTCATCATTAAAGAAAGCTTTAGATGATAATTGCCTTCAACTACCACAAGCACAAGCAATTGAAGGAATCCAAACAAAGATCTGTTATCATATCATTGGTGATGATGCATTCCCATTGAGAACAGATATCATGAAACCTTATCCTCATCGATATCTGGATAAACCAAAACAAATTTTTAACTACAGACTCTCACGAGCAAGACGTGTAGTTGAAAATGCCTTTGGCATTTTAGCCAACAGGTTTAGAGTATTTCTGACAACTATCAAACTTGACCCAGAAAAAGTTGTTGACATTACCTTGCTGCTTGCATAACTTTATGATAGAGAAGAACAAGAATGATTATGTCAATTTTCGGGATCATGAAGACACTGAAAACCAGGTACTTATACAAGGCCAATGGAGAGAGAACTATCAACTATTAGGGTTGCAACCCATTAAATCAAGAAATGCAACAAATAGTGCAAAGAAACAACGTATGCATTTGACTGAGTATTTTGTGTCAGATGCAGGTTCTGTACCATGGCAAGAGAACATGTGTTAACTATGACTATTTTGATGATTGACTAAAAACTTACATCATCCATGTTAGACGCTGTTGCTCGGATGGCAACATGCTCTTCAAAGAATTGTAGTTTATCCAAAACCCAAGAAGTTCTCTTAGAAAGGTTCCGCCGTGCAGTTCCCGAAGGAGGTGCCTTTTTTTTGCCTTCGTATAGCAATTCCTTAAAGTTCGCAGTTTGTTCTTTACCCATTCCACTGTTAAAATTAAACAAAGCAATGTCGAGCATTGAGTGTAGAAGTTTTTCATGTAATATCACATCTCACAATTCACAGCAAAACAAGTCTACAAGAAATTGCATAAAATACCGTTTTTTATTGACTGCTTTCGCAATTTCGTCCAGAGCCTTCTGCCTCAACACTCTGTCTTTAAATTCAGATGAACGAACATTATAGAGGCATGGATAATCTGGCCATAATTCTACTAATTTGTCTTCGGAAACAACCTCGTCTATCATTTCATTTGCCTCCATGTTGTAAGTACATACATACATAATTGTAAAATCACGTGAACAAAGTAAGTGATTTTATTGGCTTACATTGGCTATCAGCTAAGCTCTTAACTCACAGCAGCCGCAAACATTGCGTTTCTTGGCACGAATGTTAAAAATTATCAAACATGACAAATTTTTTTCTCTTGGCCAAGCGTGTCAAAATACGCTGGAAAAACTATGCGCACACACGAGTAAACAGCTAAGCTAATTTCACGCGTGGCTGTTAGCTCAGCCAATAGCTCATGTGTGCGGCGGGCTTTAGTTTAATCAGGATGAAAGCTCTCTCACGGTGACCTCTTTAGTTGGCTTTGACAATGCGTGAAAAGTAACTTTCAAAAATTCTTTGTCGCTGGTCGACAAGAATTTTGAAATTACTGTTAAACGGCGAGAGATTTATATCTTTCAAATATCAACGGCCTGAATTTTAAAACAATTTCAATGGTGGGGATAGTACAAGAATATCATGGAAGATAAATATCTACTTTTGAAAATTTTTGGCGCCAGTGGTGGGCACTTACTATTCAACCAATTGATCTGAATGACGTGAATCAAACACTCGAATAGATATTGACAAAACCTTTTACAACAACACGCATTTATTTAATGTTTTTCAGATGAACCTCGATTCGTCACAAGGTTATATGTCTCTGAATTATTTATCATTCAATACTCATTATGAAGCCTTCATACCATCATACTGCAAGCCGGGTGAACATTGTCATGCGCATCATATTACTTGCAAATATTTGAAATTTGCACATCGGATATGGTTGAATTATCAACAATAAGATTGCTCGTGTTGTTAACTGCGTGAGCGTTCGCTGCACGATCGGCTCGTATATGTTGAGCAAATAAAGTACCAGAATTGTACGCTGAACGTTGACTTGACGAAACACAGATTCTCGAAATGGCCGACAAAAGCTTTCATGCCGTGGACTATGTCGTGTTTGGTTTGATGCTGTTGGTTTCGGCTGGCATTGGTATTTATCATGGATGCACTGGAGGAAAACAGCGCACGACCAACGAATATTTGCTTGGAAATCGGAGTATGAAGACATTTCCCATAGCAATATCGTTGCTGGCGTCTTATCTCTCCGCGATAACTTTGCTTGGCGTCCCAAGCGAAGTTTTTACCTACGGCGCTCAATATACCGTATTACTATTCTCTTACTTCTTTCTAACGGCGACTGCTGCCGTTATTTTCGTGCCGATTTTTCATAATCTGCATCTCACAAGTGCTCATGAGGTAAGTGTAAAAAGCCACGGAGTGAAGTAAGAAAGTGAACTTCCTAATCTGCTCAAGTATTTCAGAGAAAAAGCGGTTAACGGTTGTCACCGCGTGCATGACTATCACCGACCAATATCATACAGAAAGTTATTTGAATTTTAGCGACCATGCAGTGATCATTGCAAACGTTTACGCTTGTATTTTTTGGAATGTTTAATACCTGGGTCACCATATAGTAATTGTGAATGGTTAATGATCATGAATGAAACTCCGCCATAAAAATGCATGGTGAACTTCGAGTGTTTCATTTCAAACCATTAATAATAATATTCGATCGTTTCGTCGTGGATTAGTTTTTTCTTCGTCATTTGCACTCGATCATCACTCTACTCATGTTTATATTTACTTTCCTGGACTATTGAAATCCGTTCAAGGTCGAGTGTGTAATATCGTGCAACACACTTGAGCGAAGCCACAGCAACGCAGCTAAATTTTAACAGACGTGCTATATATGTGTGTTACGGCGATTTTTTATAGTGTGCTTCTTAATAAAGAGTTTATTTTAACGGTTTTGTTCCGAGAGAAATACTGGAAAACGTATTCTTCGAGACAGCAAAGCTATATATGTGATACGTGTGTGCTGGAAAACGTACGTAGAAATGCAAGACTAACATATTTTATAAATGACGCCTAATTTTCTTTGAGTACCTGATCGTAAGCTATCTACAGCTACAATCTAGCAGCACGCGATATCTTTAACACGTAATCGTTCATTCAAAACACATATTGCATAGCATGCAGTTGCTAGTGAATAACCAAACCCAAAATCCATTTTTTTCATTTAACTTCTGCGTATTTGACTCGAAGCGTGATTTTACGCACATAATGTATGAATTGTGGGAAATGACTTGCACCTTTTGTATGGAAAAATGCAAGCAAACGTCAAGGTCTTTTGTGTGAGTGGGTCAATATCATTAACAATCAACAAGAAGTTCGAATAGCTCTGGCACCAATCAACAACAAGATTGTATTATTCAATCAAACCGATGTCTCAATCATTGGTCTCAATATGCGAACGCCTTAGCGAGACATGCGGGAGCAATAAGGATAGTCGATACACAATTTCAAATTTCTTGGATTCTATTTTAATACCACAAGAAATGGTGTTTATACCGTCAGTGGAGTTTGACGTGAACATCGTATTTTGCACGTTTTTTCGGCACCTATATTTGTACTTGCTTTCCACTAACCATTCCGTGCAATTGACAAACATTAGAAAATCGCAAGGAAGTAAAGCATTACCTTTTAAAGCCTTTAAAGGGGTCATCTAAGTTGCGTGTTTAATTGTTTTCAAAAATATCTAATTAATTATGTGTGCTCCCGTTAATGTTGGAGTTTCGTATTGCAGTTTTTTATGTTATGGATCATTGTCATAATATATAAACGAGTTCACACGCATGCGTCAAGGAAAGTAAATGTTGTACTTAAGGGTTCAGGTGTTTCGAACTTGGACGAGGAATTTGCCCAATTCACATTCTCGCACTCTGCGTAAAAAATTAGTCGGACTTTGACGTCTGCAAGCTCACCTTGCTAAATGCACGGACACTTAGAGCTGAGTGCTTGACAGCTGTTTAACCATTACAAGGGCACAAAAGGAGAAATACGAGGAAAATGCGGAACAAGCTAATCAAGCTGAATTTCATTGCACGCCTTTAACCCTTCATTTCACGTTGATGCAGATGAAGCAACGACCATTAAACGATTCGTGAAAAATTCAATTCACGAAAATGGTTAAACGACTTGACGTTGAATTTGCTAACCATCAATTATCATATCACTAACGACGTCTGACAAATCTGGACAGCTGTTTTGCTAATGTCGTCCAGAGTCCAGAGGCACATTACATAAAATACCCATGGTCATTGAGCCTGTTGAGTCTCTCAACAAAATCTCTCAATCCAAACTTGTCGATTTAATAAAGAGCATTTATAATCATATTTTGATAGAACCTAGCATCATGTAAAATACTTATTTCCGGTTTTGATCTTTTCTTCAGAAATTATTGAAAACAAAGTGCTAGTTATATTAATATATTTTCAAACGAACGATCGTTAATGTCGTTTTTTCTTTACAGTACCTTGAACTCAGATTCGGCCTTGGAGTAAGGAGACTCGGCTGCTTCTTGTTTGTATTTCAATATGTAAGTTTGCACAGTTCCCGCTCGTTTTCATGGATTTTTCTCCTGTAGGAGTCCGTAACTTTCAATGAATTCAATCGAAAAACTTTGTGATAATTTTATGTTCTGGTATAATGACTTTAAGGTGGAAAAAAGCATTACTGGATTATTTTTAATAAAACTTGAACTTCATTTATAGAAACTGTCCAAATTATTTACAAAATGACTTTTTGTATTTTTCTTAGTTATTGTATCTTGCTGTTGTGCTGTATGCTCCGTCATTGGCTCTTCAAGCAGGTATATCTCGCGTAAAATTTTCATGAGTAGACGAAGTATTGAAGTTTTTTTCAATTGACCGCCATGATATAAACGATTTGAGTAACTTTCATTGAACTAAAATACATGGAACGCTACCTGTAATACAAAACCCTAATATTTTTTTGAAGCCGTGATTTTACCCGTGTGTAAGTCAATCAATTATTACTCCGCGAGAGAATCTCGAAACACGACACACGCGTGTCTGGGGTAAAATCTCGCGTGTCTGATGCAAGATTTGTCTTCAATTATTTGCTTCATTCCAAAGCCATCATCAGAGTATACATCCTAACCCTGATGTATACTCTGATGTATACTCTGATCCATCAGGGTATGGATATACATCCATACCCTGATGTATACTCTGATGATGGCTTCATTCCAAAGCCATCATCAGAGTATACATCAGAGTATACATCATCAGAGTATACATCCATTTTATATTAATCCTAACACGGTTTTTTAATATGCACATGAAAAAGTAGTATCCCGAAGGTGCAAGTTCAAATCTCGTCCAAGTCACATGTTTTTCATGTGCATATTAAAGAACCGTGTTAGGATTAATATATTATTTGCTTAAGGTAGCGTTCCATGTATTTTAGTTCAATGGTAAATTTAGACTTTCTACCATTTTGGTGAAAGGATGTAGCTGCCATCATTTCTTTGTGAACGCGTTCATATAATGCATTTTTCTTCGTGCATATAATAGAACTATGATAAGGAGTGTTGTTTACAATCATGGAAATTCTTGTACACGATTTTGTCTTCATACGGCTTTCATCTTCGGAAATTGAAGTATAATATCGTGTTACACAAATATCCAGCATAATGATGCAGCCCTATTTATAAACAAACAATTCCTGAGATACAACAGCAGCGGAACTTTTCCACATTTTTGTCGTAAGTCATGTTCTGAGATAGAGGGATAATTACATCAAATAATGGACAATTGGTAATTATTTGTATTAATTACGATTCTACAGTACAGACGCCATAATGTGCCTAACATCATTGTTTGAAGTCAAATATTTTAGATTAGATTTTCGTATTTTATTTACAGTTGCAGGTGTGCCCCTTGCTGCGTCGATCATTTCTACTGGAGTCGTTTGTACTTTTTACACCACTTTGGTATGTTTTGAAAAATCATTCGGGTAAATTTTATTGTCGCTCATTTCATTAAATATTTATTGCGCTCTGTTTAGGGTGGTCTGAAAGCCGTGGTGTGGACGGACGTTTTTCAAGCAACTGTTATGGTCGCCGGTCTTATAACTGTTTTTATCGTAGGAACAATTAATGTCGGCGGGTTTGACAAAGTTTGGCAGATAAACAAAGAAAGAGGAAGATTAACATTTTTCGAGTAAGTTAAAAAAAATCCGCTTGGAAATGTCACAGTGTACTTAGCAGGGTCCAAAAGCAAAAAATGTGATTTGGTCTGAAAGAAGTAATATAATTAAGTCAAAACGAGGCATGACTAATAGGTATTTATAGCTCTGGGGCCGGTTACCCGAAGCCCGGATAGCTTGTCCATTTGATAGCAATTTTTTCTAAACTTTTATAAAACCTTTTAAAAAGCAAAAAATATACGATTCGAATTGAGCAATAAAACATTGTTTCGAAGATTACGAAATTTCTTTGTCGTAAGAAAAACATAAACACCTTTTTTACAAGTTTGAAAACTTTTGCTATACAATGGATAACGTTATCTGGGCTTCGTGCAACCGGCCCCTGGTAAAGCCAATTTTTTTTAACTTCTTATGGTAGGAAACCTGGGCACTGAAGCTTAACGGTAAATTTAAATCTTGCATGCAATCAGGCTTCTTATAGCAAGACCTGCGAATGGGCGTGTTTGTAAGTCAGGCACGACATCTGTAAGTATGGCATGAAATACATACCTGCAGCATGATGTATATATATTTATTTGTTGGGGGATTGCATGTCTTGTTAAGTACATTTTAGATGTATGTAACACAAATATATAAAAATGACTATATAACCACAATGCATGTGTTTTTGACGAATCATAGATTTATAGCTTTATATTTGTGGTCCTGGAATGGCCAAATCTTTTACGGACATAGTATATTAAGCAACATTACAATGGTATGGTAATATCCCAAAAAAGGGAACTTTCCTGGAAGTTTGACAAAAATATTTTCGAACGCGATTTTTTAGTTTTAATCCTGACCCAACTGTTCGTAACACATTTTGGACATTGGCAATTGGTGGTGCGTTTACGGCTATGCCTCCATGGACTGTAAGTCAGGCTGCAGTGCAAAGATTTCTGGCTTCAAAATCTGTTAAAGTTGCTCAAAGGTGAGTGTTCATTTTATTGCCACAACTGTAGCTAATGTGTTGTAAGGTTGTGATGTGAACATAAGCATTTCCTTGAGAGCATGTTCATGCAAGCTGGTCTGCAGGCTGTTTACAAATAAAAAAGGAAACGAGACATCCTCTTATTTGTCAAACCTGTGATGGTAACAAAAAGATTATTTCGACTCTTATACACTTTCTCAGACGAGCCTTTTTACGCTTTTAGGTATTGTTGTTGTGTTTTTTTGACATTTTGGCTTTAAAATTGCTAATTTTCATGTAAATTTTTGTTAGATAACACACATGCATGTCACATATCATACTCTGGAGAAATGTTTTTTGCACACAAAACGACGTATTGTTGCAACTATAGTTTTCGTAATTTGCTTTCAGAGCGTTGTGGTGGAATATACCAGGTTTGATATTCATTGTAACATTTTGTTGTTTGGACGGTCTTGTTATCTTTGCTGTCTATTCAAATTGCGATTTGGAGAAATCTCGAAAAGTTACAAGTAACGATCAGGTATTTTGACACGATTACAGGTTTTGCAGCAACTTATTGCTTTGTTTTTTGTTATATTTCTTTATAAAATAACAACAGTATGTATATAGAGTCTGCTTTAGCCTGTCCAAGTGTAGGAAACTAATCTGAGCTCAATCACTTAAATTTAACACATTTTTTAAAAATTTTTCTCGACCTTAGCCCTCAGGTTTTTACTGATCATGCTCTCGAGTTCACCGAAACACGGTTAGCGTAAGCTTATGCGAGCACAAAAAAACATCTTTTATTTCTTACTTAAATGAGCATACTTTATACATATTTTACTTCTCAAAACAAACGAAACAGCCTCTTGACAAATTAAGTATTTTCCTTTAGCTATCGGTTGACGTGTTGTGTTCTTGCAGGTCCTTCCCTATTTTGTGATCGACAAACTTGGCAAATTGATCGGTGTGCCTGGAATTTTCATGGCCTGTCTTTTCAGTGGTGCATTAAGGTTTGATTGCCAATCGTCATCCTCAAATATTCCCAATGCCACGAAATCGTGTATACTGTAATGGATATAAAAAATTTCGGAGGCTCAGATGAATTTTTGTAAAATGGTCATAGACACCAGAACTTGGATTTGCAAGATTTTTTTGCAAAACTATTCATGACGGTTTTAAAGTTGTTCAATCAGTGTCTGTGTTCTTTGATAATATGAAATATTGTATGTGTTTTTCATTCGCTTTCATTTATTATTACACTCCCGTTTGCCTTTGCTCTTTTTTTACTATGATTCCTTTCTCGACTGACTCCACTGTAGCCAGCGCAAAACATATTTTCATTTTCAATGTACCATTTTATATTTTTTTTTGAGTTTACATTTCCTTTCTTTTCCGTATTTCTCTTTCATTTTAATCCATTTTGAGTAGGAATTTCTACGGAAGAATGAAGCTTTGTCTACATGCAATATCTATCTATAGCAAAAGATTTCTTTTTTGATATAGCACAGCATCTTCTGGACTCAATTCTTTGATAACTGTCACGCTGGAAGATCTTGTGAAAAAGAAATGGACAAATATCTCTGACTTTGACGCTACGAAACTTTCCAAAATGCTGGGTAAGATTTTTTTGTCTGCCAAAATTCAAAATGTTTGAAGAACGACAAAGATACTCTGTTTTAGCCCCCACTTGTTACAGAGTGTTTATGGATGATCTGTTTTTGGGCAGTTTAAAATACAAAATTTTAATTAAGGGTGAAGAATTGTTTGCTGTACACTACTCCGGATCGGTCTGAAAACGGCGTAAAAAAGTAACAGAACCGGGTTGCGTTTACACTGCACCAGAGCGGAATTGTTTGAAATAGTCTCTTGCCGGAGGGATACAACCACACTTTTACGGCTCGGCGTAATGTAGACGTAGTCTTATACATGCAGACCCTTATATTTATCAATGGAAAATGAAATTAATATTTTCTAATTAGCAGCAAATTTAAAAAACATTTGAGGAAAACGACGACTTTTTTAATGCAAACATGTTTCGACATTCATGAAATGAATGTACTGAAACCAAAATTCCACAAGGACTAGCAAAGAGCTTGCATTGCCATACTAATTCATTGAAGCTAAGTCCATTCTTTATGCTTTACAAATACTGAAATACTGTGCTTTTGTGGTTGTCCAGAAAATCATGCTAATAGTGCGACAACGTTGCGAAATTTTCCCATATAGAGATGATGAAATGTACACACATCGCTGCATGTGTGTCTTTAGTATCTACGGTGCAACTTTCATTTATTGAAGGCATTGTCACAATTTATAGTAATTTTCACCTTAACACATTTTACACAGCTGTTGGTTATGGTATTGTCATCATGGTCGGGGCATTTGGCGTGAAGTATTTTGGTAGTCTTGTATTGCAGGTACGTCTTTACTGTACCTAATGAAATGGTTCGTTCGTATTTTTTTCATCATGATTATAATTACATTTTTCGCTTTTTTTAATGAAACTGCAGTTGCTTTCTAAAAAATACTAGTCGGAGCCAACATTTATTAGTCCGTGCATCTGCAATTATCATTTTTAGGGTTATTGAGACTCATTGTGATATTTGATATAAATGTACTATCTCGCAAAATATTGTAATCACTTTTTCATTATTGTAATATGCGATCATAGCTTTTTGCTTGGCTATAATAATATTTCATGCCTAAGAAACGTTCCTTGGAACTTATGTGCAACGTTTTGCATCGTTGATAACACTTCCAATCTCTTGTGGGCATCTTTTATTGTATTTGTATATCTCAATTAATCTTCCATGTGCTACAATTTTATATCTTGATGTTGCTATACCTATCGAGAAAGGATTTTTTTCTGCTTGTTTGTATGCCATGTTTGAAATTGTTTACGCATTTAGCTTGCCTACAGTATATTTGGCATCGTCGGTGGACCTCTTCTTGGAATGTTTTTCTTGGGAGTTCTTGTTCCAAGAGCTAATTACAAGGTAGGTATACAAAAATGTTTGAACAACGCAAACAATAATGTAAATAAAACCTTTTAAAAAGGCGATTAAGTTAACTAGGCTGAACCTGTTATTTAATTCCTCCTGATAACCCCACTCACATCGTAGTGCAACAGCAATCATTTCAAATAGGAATCAGTTTCGATCTTTCATGTTTACATAGGGTGCGTATGTTGGTGCTGTGGTAGGATTTGGTTTGACACTAGCAATTGCTGTGGTTGGAATGACCTATCCTCCTGACAAAAACGTGAGCAGCATTTCAATCCAGAATTGTACAGATGAGATCAGAGCAGAATTTTTTAACGAAAGTGTGAATGGATTTTTTCCAAATAGCTTTAAACCTCACAGGTAAGTCAGCAAAGCTTAAATATGTAGGGGGCGTCCGAGTGATTATTCAATTGGTTAGCTCAAGAAAGTAATCATTTTGCATCGAGGACATGCAGGGAACACGTAGGGACATCTTTAACAGTTATACATAAAACGTGCACTCTACAAGCTTTGGACTGAGAGGATTTTTATTGAAAATGTCTTTGCTTTATTGTGGTAAATTCTTAATAGCTCCGTACAACATTTTGTTGATATTATAATCTGAGCAAAATGGATGCTTATTTGTCGCTTTTTTTTAACCACTGCGCAGTACATAGTTCCGGAGAATTCTGTATCTTCTTATTTATCTTATATTATGGCAATCTACATTCACCAAGGCGCAACCATCAACGTTTTATAGTGTAAAATATATTTTTCCACATAGTGAACCAATTGCGAAGCTTGGAAGCTTGTCTTATTTATGGTACAGTGCTACAGCAGTCGCCACAACATTTGTCGTTGGTGTAATCGTCAGCCTTCTTTCTGGTGAGTGTACTAGTCTATATTTCCAACATAAATAGTGGCTTACTATACGTTGAAAGACCTTGAAAGTAATCGAACAAAATGTATGTTGGTGATTGACTGAACGCAATGCAATATACGAATGTAATGTGAAAGAACCACCCTGAATTGACGAAAGAAATATTTGCACTTGGTCGATATGATAAATTTGAGCCAAGTCTTATCTATTTATGGTAAAAGTTTTATTCATACCATTGCATGTCTAATTGTTCTCATTTGCCATTTCAAATTTTTAAAGACGTCGGAGACTGTTATTCCGTCTTTAATTTTACAGGTAGTGAAAAGGTCATAAATCACTTAATTAAAACAAATTTTACGTATATAAGAAAATTGCATGTTAGATGTAATAATTAGTGTAAAAGTTCACTCTGTAATTAGCTAGCTGCGCACACTTTGCAGTGCAAACTGTCGAACGATTGAAATATGTCTTTTTATTTTTTTCATTTATGCATGCGAAGAGAGATTTTTTGATTTCCTGCAGTCTGATTGGCTGCAGAAGGGGCAGCTTTTTACGATATCCTCACCGCGGTTCAAAAGGGATATTTTTTCGCAATGTATTTGTTTACTAAGTGATTTAAAAGCAATATGAATTGTTCAACGAGAAAGCAAATGTATTGAGGTAGTAGTTATCATAGCGAGAGTGAATTTTACCGCTGTATCCAGATCATGTGAAGTTTGTACAAAACAATACAATTTTAGTACAAACAAGCCACATATCGGCCATTTTACAAAGTGAATTTCTTCATTACAAAAACAAAAGAATATTTGTTAATTACCGACCTCCCAGCCTGTAAGTAACAAATATATATTTTTTCTCAAACGACATTTTGTAACATCTTTGATTCATTGTGTTGGTCAACACATGTAACAAACAGAAAAGTGGTTTCGATCTACTTAATTAAGGAAAATAAAGACATTATCTGGAATACCTAAAATTGAACAACACTCACAAAAAGTAGCATCGCGGTCAATTGCAAATTTTGTATTGTTATATAGTTTTCAAACTTTATTGTATGTTTTATAAAATGATCAAAGCATTTTTACATATTCTTAGAAACAAAGGATGATCGTTATAAGCGTCCTAATCCTGAGCTGCTCTTCGACATCCCCATGTTTTTCAAATCATTGTGCGGCAAAAAAGGAAGTTTGATGATAACCAGCGTTTCGTCTCAATCTATTGATGGGCAAAATGGAATGTCCACAAGTCCAAAGGTATGTTACTTGGAAAACATGCAGCAAAGTTAGGTGTTGTGTTCGGTATGCAGCAATGGTAGGTGTTATGTTAGGTATGCAACAATGGTAGGTATTGTTTTGGGGTATGCAAAGGTAGGTATTGATGCAACAATGGTAGGCATTATGTTAGGCATGCAGCTTAAAGGTGGGAATTCCGTTGAGTATGCAGCAATGGGCAGGTGTTATGTTAGGTATGCAGCGAGGATAGGTATTTTGTTGGTAGAGTAGGCCTGTGGCAAATTGATACTTAGAAAGATCAATTTCTTACCATATCAATCCATGGCGCGCGCACATTGCAAGAACGTCCCTGCTGATTCAAAATTTTGTTCCGACTTTTGCAATCAATATTGTTAAATTGTACAATGTGTTCTCGATTTTGATTGCTTCTTTAAGGGTCGAAATGGATTAAGGGTAGGGAGAGAAAGATACGGAATGTTGTTAACGAAATTCGTTTGTTTCAGAAAAAAAAGAACGAGGAAAATGTTCAAATGAACGAGATGACGGACTCATTGGTTCAATAACTGTTCCTTTTTCACGTACTCTACAATGACCGTGAAGTATTATGGGTCTACAACATTTTTTTACACTGATATTTTGATTTTTAACAATTTTGGGAAGTGTATTGTTTGTTTTTTTTTCTTTTAAATTGTAGCTAAATATTGAAATAATTAAGACAATTAAGCATATTTGAGCAGATATATATTAAATACACTTGTTATTATAGATTTTCAATTGGTGTACGTACTTCTCATGAAAACATAGCCAAAACAACACATTTTGCGTGGTGTTAGCTATAGTGTGACGCCAACGGGGGGATGGGGTTGATAAAATCCATTTTAAGTGCTACTCAGACAGCAAAACGACTGAAAATTTGTTAAAACGTATGGCAATATTTACAAGTTTATTTTTAACGTTTGTCTGGGTATTAATTGAACACATATACAGGTATAACAGCGAATTCCAGAGACCAACAAAAAAGCGTTAGAAAGGAGAGCAGAGGAGTGTGATTGAACTGTTTCATTTGTTGCAATTATATTCACATTGCTCTTTAGCTCACTGACATGAGTAGGTAAATACAATAAACATGAAAATGTTGCTTGATAGCATAGAAAGCCAGGTTTACTACTCTGATTTAACACCACAGATCTGAATTGTTCAATTTGCATAAACTCTTTCGAACGAATTCATTGATCTATAGTGGTTATACTCAACCTTTTGCAGTTGTACTTATTCGATTGCAACTAACATTCGTATAGGAATATGCTAACATGCATATATATATGAATAACCCTCCCCCAATCATCGAAGGCAGCTGCGCCATTGTGTATTTCCCAACTCATCAGTCAGCAGAGGAGCAATGTTATATCATTGCTACAAATGAACCAGTCCAGTACCTTACATTTCTCTTTTACACTTCAATGAAGATCTCTTCAGTTGCAGTTACATGTTGTCAAAAAATCCCCGGTCTCCGTTTGAGCTATATTTTGGAGCTTTGACCGTATATAAAATATCGAATCTTTTGACGGATATATAGATTGACGCCATGACGCTATTTCAATCATAACTGCTTGTAAGATATGACTATATAATCACCGCACGATTTTTCCTCGCGACTGAAGAGAACAGTTCTGCCTTTGGATGGATGGCTTATAGCATTTCATTTTCAATATTTTTGAAAGTTACTCGATCTTTTGTGTACTTTTGTGAAGAATTGCACGGTTGCGCACCAACGGTCAAGTGCGAGTGTTCACGTTAACAATGACAAATAATTATGATTTTATATCAATGTGCCAGTTGTATAAATGGACAAATGTAAACATATGTTGAGGTCAATCTGGCGCCTGGCAAAAATATACAAAATGAATGACATCGATTTCTGTGCGATCATATTATTGCCATTTGGTTATTGTTTGAAATGTGCAGTCTATACAGTTTTGCGTTAATTGTCTTGCTTTTTAGTCATTCTCATCAAATTACGTACATTTTCGTACATTCTCGTCACTTTTTGTCTCAGATTGTCATGCCTAATTATCAAAGTCAATCAGACTTTTCAATTTTTGGTAAAAAAATAATTGCATGTTTATAATTGCATGTTTTGCAGAGTTTGCTTATGAAATGAGCTACAAACAAAACAGCCAATGGAATGACTATTTCAAAACGTGCGTCATCCGGAAATTAGCGACATATACGCTTAGCTATTTGTTGTCTGTCGCATAACATATGTCACTTGATTCATTTTGTGTGTGTTCTGCATGTCGGTCATGTTTATAGTCATATGTAATTCACATTTTCTACGCGTATTTTTCTTGCTCTACTCCAGTGAATGCAGTACATTTACGTTGGAAGGGGACGAATGAACACCGTCGACTCGGCATAAGGTAGGATACAGTGGCTCCACGCTGAATCTCTTTCACATATATGTCGTGTGTACAAGAGTGTACGTCAAAGTTGGATATGAAAAATCAACAATGTGTGGAATACCTAGTTGTTCAAATATGAGCCAAGTACGCTGTTTTCATTTTTTTAAACTTAAAATATAAATTTCACATGGGATACGTAAATTAGTTATTTGCAATATACATGCCTCCCTCCCTTACCGAAACAAGTCTAATTCCCACAAGTAGCAATTAATCTACTTCCTGCTGCTAAACTGCGGCTCTTCTGTAACAATGACATTTTATGTAATTATGAATATTTTTATGTAAAACGCGTTTGCTGCTTTTTTGTTTTTAAATTGCATTGACGTATATTTGTTGCATCTGAAATAAACACGATCTGGTTAACACACTCGCTCATTTCAATAACGTAGAGCTCACTTTTGTTTTGTGAGATCAAGAGCCGATAAACCTCTAAAGTTATCAAAGGTGTTTCATCTGACACTTATTCAACTCGAGTAAACTGTGAGAATAGGTAGAATACATAATCTTTCATTTTAATTATATCTTATATATGGATTTGATTAAGTGTTAATTGAAAAACCCTTAAACTACAAGGATTCTTCGAGACAGAGTTTCGAAAGTGCTTCATTTGTTTTTGTTATAATATATTTCACAGCGTAATTTCAAATTCGAAATGAATATGACCACCCGCGTTCTGTCAGTCTACACCCTCGATATAGGACGATATGTATAATCTTACACATATCAATGTACTTTTTGTCTAAGTATCTTTAGGCTTAAAATTGGAATCTGCAAAATAAACTTGTTTGTGTCTGAATCTTTATAAAACAAATATTTTAGGCGGTAGACCTGACTTAATGTTGAGTCTACCGTCCTACATCATCCATTTTGTAGAAAAATACCAGTCGATTAATATAATCTATAACAAAAACAGAAAATCGATTGCACGCTGGCTTATGACAAAATAAAATGCTATATGCATGCCAATCACAAAAAATTACTGAGTCACATTGCTAGAAAAAAGCATAAATGATTTATTTGATGGCGTTTTTTGAATACCTTGAATGTTATTTACAAAAGATTTGTCTGTGTTATTCCTGTGAATATTTGTTTTCTGCGAAGCTTAGTGAGTGTCGAAGCTGTTGTTTGCCATTCACGCTTTGCTCTCGACAAATAGCGGTAGCTAGTTACACATGTTTGCATAAAGTGCTTCTATGAAATTTCCAATTCTATTTAACTGTGTTGTGAAAAAGGTGTTAATTGAATAATCAAGATGTGAAAATACTGTTTTTTATAATTCGCTTTGTTTGGTGTCAGCTATCGTACTTTTTACCTCTCATTCTTGAAGTGAGACATGGCTACCATGCAGAGAAGTTTGGTATGTCAAAGTTTATCTACCAAAATTATTTGCATCTTACAGTCAAGCCAGATGTTCTGTTTCCATCAACTTACTACTGCATTTGCTATCGCAACATCCATCTGCACTTGCCATAAGCAAGTTTATATCAGACGTTACAGTAAATATAACTAATAGCGAGAGCTAACCTACTAAGACTTCTTAGATTGTTTTAGCTATACGTAACTTTAATATTCCAAAGTATATATCAAATTCTATACTTAAATCTCTCGATAAATCTACTTATAGAATGCTTGACAATCATGATCGGTGTGTTTTCAAGCCATCAATCTTGTTTTTCAAGCCATCAATCTTGCCCTTTTAATAGCTCTTGTGAGTTTTTGTGTTTGCATAAGAAATAAGATGCCTTTTACTTAGAAACCAGATTGTCGTCTTTTTACGCATTTTAATCACGTCAACTTGAGTCAAAATTTTGTTATGCACTTCAATTCGACAAATTTTTGTCAGCATGTTAGCATGTGCCGTTATTTCAATTTCTCGGTGAACAGAGCATGCTGTTTGACCGCAAAATTTTTAGTATATCCCAAGAAACATTTATAAGTATAGTTTTCATACCAGTATACCAGTTTCCTTCACTCATCCATTAAAGTAATATATCAAAGTTTAATGTAATATATCATCAATTAGCTACTTTCTAATTATTATTAATATATCAATTAGTTTATGTAAAGTATTATATCAATTACTTTCGAATACATGTATAGTTTAGAATTATATTTGACACAAAAGAGAGATCTGAGGCCAATTTTGTCACTACGACATAATTTTCTACCAACAAAATTTTACTATCTTTTTTTGTCATTTCATGTTTGCATGGTCATTTGACGAAGATGTTGCAGCAGATATTTTCTTATACCACAATCGCTAACACATAAGCATGTAAACCACTTCAAGTAATATCAAAGTGCTTAAGTCGGGCATGAATTTTGAAATTGTTTGATGAATTGGCGTTCTGGCGCCAGTTAAGTAAAAACGTAGTTAACTTTAATTGCAGTTAGCGCAAACTACTTTTTTAAACAACTGACTTAACTGCGTGGTCAAATTTAACTACTTTTTAACAGCAAAAAATGTAATTAAAAAGTAGTTAAGACTTAAGAGCTTTATACAACCGGCCCCTGATGGGACTGACTACGCTGAATACACGAAATGGTCACAATCTTTCTGATCCTTCAATGGAAAGATTACTTAGTTATTATTAAAATCACTTTATGCTACCTAGGTGCTTGTAAACGTTGTATAACTTTGACTCGTCTTCAACGGAACTTGGCAAGGGCTTAACTCATTGGCCGAGTTTGAATTTCGCCAAATGAATTTCAGTTTAATCAAAGCTGACCGTAAGAACCGAGGCTTGAGTGCATTTTGCGAGATAAAATCGGAAAATTGCTGACCAAATGCTTTAGCATAAATTACTGCACGAGTTTTTTTATATTGCTCATGACGATTACACCTGTCGACAAAACAGGTTTTTGGATTATGCAGATGACTTTCATTTTGAAATGAATGTCTGTAAGTGTAAATGAAACGAAATTTTCTCTGACAGCATTGACTGCGAGGGAAAACACAACTTATTCAACTTTTGTCATTTAATCGAGTTATAACTCGACCCCTGAAAGTTACTCCATTTATTACGCATTGTAAAGCATTTAACATCATCTCTTGTCATCACCGTTTAAGTCACCTGCTTTATTCCAGGAAATTTACCGATAAATATCAAATTTTGCTACAACTTCTTCAAATGAAACGATTCCTGTAATGAGTACAATGTTTGTTTGACGCAATTACAGCGCTATGTTAATAAAGTTCTTAAATATATACTTTGCAAATTGCGTTTTAATGATTCATGACATGACAATATATCAAATTCACTTTCACAGCAAGCGCTCCCTACTACTGTGTTTAATTATTTTATTAGTTTTAAGTTGTATGAATAATCTCAGCGCACATTTTAAGAATGCGCAGCCTTTGGTTCCTGCATTCTGTTACCCTGATATGATTTTGCAAAATACTGTTATCCTTTGAGCGCAACGAAAGTAAACATTGAAAATGAAGTTGAAAAATTTGCATAACCATTTGTCATACTACTACATGTATTATATATTAGTGAAACGCATGATTCATTGGCTGCTGCTTTTGAAATGAATGATTATGGTCAGGTAGTTCTATGGCTTGTCTACTTTCTTTCACACATGTGAATTGATATTGTTTCGTTCTTTTCAGCAGTTGAAATGGCATTGTTGCTGAAACACAATTGGATAGAATTATTGAAGTTGAGATATTTAACAAACTTCGTGTCGCTGTTACTTCTTCTAACGCACTTTGAAAGAGGTGAGTTCGTTTTTGATTATATTTATCCTAATTAAACGGTAATACAGTTGTGCATGAAGCATTTAAATATTGTCAATCCGTTTTATAATTACACAAAAACAGACGATACCAATGACGTATATAGTTTCTTTACGATTGTGTGTGCATTCGGATCATTGAAGGACTGCTGCGTTCTGAATTAAGTATAAGCTAGTTTAACTTTTAACGTAAAACGTTAAATAAAATATTAAGCTCAACAATTTACAGGCAATAACAACAAAAAAAACAAAAATAAGAAATATTGTGGAATGAACTATAGAGCTCAATTGTTTCAATATGGATTCGAAATATGTGTTAAGTGGTAGCTATCATTCAACCGATAATTTTTTGTCATTTTCTCTTTATAAACTTTGTTTACTATTCTTCATGGTAGATCACCTAAGTATGTAAAATATTTCAAATTTACTTTTTTAGTCTTATTGAGTTCCTGCACGAAGGACAAATTTAATAGTCTATACCTACACCACTTACTTTTCGAAGGGACAATAAACGCCATTAATAATCATGTTGTTTGTAGCACTGAACATTTCCAAAAGCACAACAATCCCTTTGACACAAAGATCCTCTTTTCAAATTACATATATTTTAGTTTTTTGTTTTCGTGTAAGGTTTGTGACGTCGCTCACGTCTAACGTTTATTTTGAGCTTTCTGTGCTGTTGTTAATATTGGCTTGTTGAAGTAATGTCGGAGTTCTCTTTGGAGAGCTTGCTTTTAGAGGAGGTGAAGCACAGATATATAGATTTAGATTCCAAATAAATGGTGTTAAAGGTGTTGATTTTCCGACCATTATCGGCTCTAAAGAATGATATTTTTCATGGGCATGCATGCCGTGAACAAATTTCCTAAACGCTGACAGGAAAATCATGCTATTTATAGAAATTTCTTTGATTCATCATCACTAACTTCTCATCAAATTATTTTAAGATGATAGATGATTTAAGTCAGCGTTCGCCATTTTGAATGAAAGATCGAACCCTGCACCGCTTTCTTATTTTTAGCAGAACATGTTAAAAATGTTAATATTTAAAAATCAAAACATTAAAAAAAGCTCCGACAGCATTTAAGTTTTTCTCTGGCTCCAACTATTGAAATGATTGCTCAGTATCCTAGCCAGTTCAGCTCAATGTTTGCATTACGTATGCAACTAGCTATCGGTGTTTGCCTAGTATTTTAAAGGCTTGCTACACAACTGAATGAATTTCTTTAAAACATGAATACATGAACATTCCATTGCTACGTTACGCCATGAAGTGTACGTAATCTTCAATACATATAATTCCTCGATGTGTTAAAACTCTCAAAAAACACAACCAACTGAGAAAGCGAAGTTCATGTTGTTTCTGAGGTGTTTAATATTTACTGCGTAAAAAACTAAATTCAGTATCATCTACTCTTCATTGGTTGTGGAAGTTTTAAATTGAAGCATCTGTGTTACATTTGATCGTTAATGATTCTTGTCATTTTATTTTTGTTGATTGAGGGCTTCCATTAATTGCCAATTCATATCATTTCCATAGATTTTGAGTTGACAGTTCGAGTTTCATCATTGTATCGGTCAGTGAAGGTTAATAAATCAATTGCAATTGTGAGCGTTAAATATACCTCAAGTATCGTTTTATACCCCATTGAACTATAAGGCGACGTTTTTTATACAAAAGTCTTGCCTTGGGAGATCAAAGGCTGTAGTTTACATTAAAATGTCGAATGGTTTTGAAGAGGACGTTAAATATTCGGAATTCTTTCACTGCTTCTTTGAGACAATTTATCTACCATATTCTGTGCATGCTAGTTTTCAATAATTCAGAAAAGGTTGGAACTAAGCTATAGTATTGACGTATAAAAACAATCCGCTAAAATGTAGTACATTGGCAACTTTAACAGTTTACTTACATCAAACACATATTGAAAAGAAACTTTAAAAACATAAAATAATGTGTGTAATATAGAAAAATTCTTTCATAAAAGAAGCACTTTAAAATTTTAAAATACAGGCAGAAGCCAATTGAAAATTGAAGATGAATCAGTCGATTACGACGGAGGTCAAGATGGTTTGAGTAAATTGCGCTGCAAAGTGGTTGGACTTGGTAAAAAGACGTATGAGTGGTACCACAATAGAACGAAAATTGATGGCATTCGCTATAAGTTACCCGGATTTCTTAGTTTTGACAGCGATACGCTGACATTTCACAAAATTAACAATAGAAAATACGAAGGCAACTATCAGCTGTTTGTGACGTCAGATTTTGGGAGAATATTTTGCAGGAAAATGAAAGTAAAGTTCAAAGGTACAGTGTTTTATTTCTCTCACGGTGCTATGTATGATGACTTACAGACATATTTGTAGCTACTTCATGTAGTTTGAGATCAGAATGTGACTCGCTTGTTGGACGTAGACCGTCGGGAAGAAGGGATGATCAAATTGTACAGTTTTAAAATATCGAAATATAATTCCATTAGAGAATTTATTGTTTATCAAGTGCCAATATCACCCTCAGGGAAACAATCTGCTTAGATTGAGTGAACGATTGTAAGAACATTTGCAACATATTTTATCACATAAAAAATATCTTTGATCTTCCTTGACTTTTTTTGACCTGGAAGTTGGCCTTTTCCGTGTTTGACCGTGAGGTGCTGTGACTAGGCCTAGTTCACTGGACGTGATGTACAATGAAGAACATGCTGTTTACCAATGTAATAGAAATATAACGTTAAATTCATCATAAACTACGCGATTTAACATAAGTGTAAGAAAAATAAATCCCTCGACTTTTCTACAAATGTCACTATAATCTATAGCGTTGAAAACCAGTGTGTTTTCTGATGTGCGTACGTCACGTCTAGTGAACTAGACCCAGTCACAGCACCTCACGGTCAAACACGAAAAAGGCCAAAATTCAAGGAAGATCAAATTTTCGTTAAAATATTTTGCTAATGTTCTTAAAGCTGCCCACTCTATCTAAATAGATATATCCCTGAGGGTGATATAGGCACTTTAAATATATGACTATACCTGCCGAGAGTATACAAAACTGTTCAAGTATGAATGTGTAGCTATGTGCATGGGGCTTTCTTAGTTGTTAAACTTTCAATTTTTGAATGAAAATCAAAGTTTGAGCACTTCAAAAATTTGAAATTCCTCACACACTTCTCACTCGCCTGCAACACTTTCAACCTTTTTTACAAGAGAGTTGTCAGTCTTGTGCATGTTTTATAGTTGACGTATATACAACGAGCTATTTCTTGTTTTAGTTGCTGGTGAGTTTGCATCTGGTCCCCTTGCTGCTGATATTCGTGACGTTACCGTTGGTAAACCTTTTCAAATAAATTGTCCAAAGCATTCATATATGAGAGGCTGCGTGTACAACTGGGGAAAAAGTAATGCCTTTGGAATGAAACATCTTAAAAGATATCAAAATCGCGTTATTTTGTCAAATGGTACTTTGCTTTTCTCTGCAATCACGCAAAGAGACGTCGATGATTTCTCCAAAGACGATTATCAATGCATAGTTGATTGTTGGTTTGGTAATTTTCACTCAATGTCCAGATCCCATTCTGTTTATTTAAACAAAAGAGCAGGTAAGAATCTGAGAGATATATCGTACTCTTGGTAAAGAAACGTTTCAATTAACTGTTCATGAAATATGACCAAACCAAATATAGTTTAAACTTGTAATCTTTCAATGTATCAAAGCTCGTTACAAGACTAAGAAGAGTATGAATCATTTTGCTGGTATTAAACACTTCCTCCTTTTTTATTTTCTATAGTAAATGTATCCAAGTTCGGTCCAAAGATTGTAACACGAATTCCTCATAGAGAAGTCTTGTTAGGAACAGATTATGTTCATGTCACGTGTGCAGCTGAAGGAAGGTTAATTATGTTTGATCTGATTATGAAATGTCTTGACTTGACTCAATAGACCTGTGGCTGGTTGTTTAAAGGTGGGTTGGCAGGTTCAAATTTAGTCGTTATTTTGTTGTTCTATTAATTGAACAGCCCGTTTATTTCGAGAAAGTTAAAAAACTTAACACGCTTAACAAAATTTTTGAGTTTTTGCGTCCAGTTTTTTCCTGTTGGGGGTTGAGTTGACTCGTGTTTAAACAACCGTCCCTGACGATGAGTCGATGTCATTAGCAGTGACGTAGTCAGCTTTAGAGTTTATCACAGAATAAGAATATACAAAAGAGTCATTCAGTCGAGGCCTGTGATATTTTTGGCCTAACGCAAGTCGTGCTGCGCATGGTGGCCGCCATTATTCCAGCCAGATGATTAGGGTTTTTGACTTTTTCCAAACCTTTAAAATGATCCGAAGTCATTTATTAATTCAAAATATACTTGAATTCATTATTAAGTATTGACGTCATGTAATTTTAATGGCTGGAAACAAGTGAGAAATCCTAATCATCTGGCTGGAATAATGGCCGACATGAGGCGCGTTGTACACCTGAGTGACCCTTCTGTATAATCTTCTGTATAATTATTCTGTGGTTTAGTTCTGCGATGTAAATTTGAGAAGATTATCATTATTCATATTTTTAAAAATCTATAGTTTTAACATTGAGTGAACAGAGAAAATATACATAGCAGGACTAAATCAATAGTTCGCTACGGAACTGGTCATTAGTTGGTAGCGTATTGAATATATGCATGTTTTCATACCAGCCCAATTCATAAATTATAGTTAATAAATTCAAATTAGCATGCAGTTGCAGCTGTTAATATTATGACCGGTGTCTATGGTTACCTTGACGCTCAAATTAATCGTAAAAAAAGAAAAATATTTAACTGAGAACCAAAAATTTTTGTTCACATATTTCTATTCAGCCTTGCAACAACTATTGTCTTAGGATAACCCAAATGAAAATTTCCCAATCCAGCAAAATTGCAATTAGTACAACTTCACTATTATGAATTTTTTCTTTAGTTGCCATAAGGCACTTTTCTCCTGTTGCCTTCCGCTATGAGGCACTATACCCATAATGCAATATTGTCTTTGTGCATCAAATTTCAAGGATGTTTAAAGTTTTATCATGTTTCATCACATCGATTTTGAAGCTTTTATGAAGCAACTACATGAATAACTTATGACCTGTTTTTTTGAGACACCACCTGAATATAAGTATGCAACATAATCGGGTTCTTTTTTTATTCACGAATAAAGCCGCAGCTCACGCAGTTACACTATATGTTTCCAATGAAAATAGTAATGTGATTGCGTTGCATAATGTTCTCATATAATGCTTACGAAGGTGCTTTACTTGTATTTAAGCCCGCCGCCTTCATATCGATGGGTAAAATATGGCAAAGCTGATGAGAGGTTTGACGTCAGAAACACACGTGACATGAAACTTGGCAAATTCAACCATACACTAACTATAAGCAACATTAATAAAAAGCACAACGGAACCTATGGCTGTGTGGCAACCATTGAAGGTCGTTCCGTGATGCAAACCTGGCGACTTCTTGTACGAGGTGCGATATAATTCACGGTGAATTGCAAATAATCACGTTTATTATAAGGCAAACGTCTCTTCCAGTGAAATAGCACGCTTTGATTTTCTCCGAAGCATTTTTGCTGATCCATTACTTTACTTTACCCTAATGGACTGGTGATCTATTACAGAAAGAATAAAACAAATTTCATAAAGCAGACAACCATAGTTTTGTAAGATACTATAAAAGAAAATGAAAAACATGTAAAAATACGACTCAGAGGAAGAACACTTGGAAAGTTTTATAACTCATGCAAGTGACCCAATTTCACGGGATTTATTTTTTACTGAAGAAAATCAGAGGGGTGAAGGCAACGTTGCAAAACAACCAGGAAGACAAAACAAAAATTTCGTGTCATGTCAAATAGTGTCATACGTAATAGTTTTTTTTATTATTAACTTTGCTTTCTAGGTTTTTTACGCGTAAAAACCTTGCGATTGGTTAATAATATTACATCAGTTAACTTTATGAAAAACCGAGTTCTTTTCTTGTAGAGAAACCATCGTGGCTACCTGATGGAAAAATAATGGACATGGAAGTAAACGTGTTTTCAAATTTTTTCTGGGATTGTAAAGCTCGTGGGAACCCTGTCCCAGAGTACATTTGGTTTAGTAATGCCTCTGAAATGGTATCATCGAGGTAATTCATTTCAGATTAAAGAAAAGTGATGCTCTCACGAAGCCTAAATTTCACTTTTCTTATTTTAGTGGAAAGTTTGTAATCGATCAAGGGAAACTTGAATTCACTCGTGTTTTACTGAGTGATATGGGAATGTACCAATGTGTGGCTAGAAATAAATTTGGTGAAATCTATCAAACAGTAGCACTAATTGTACGAGGTACTATATACATATATTAGTAATATCGTAGAAGGATTTATCTGGGAAACAAAACGTAATTAAATCATTGATCCACGCTCAATGGACGTGGACAATAAAGTTTTCATATCTATCATGACAGCATCTGTATTTTGGCATCAAATTGTGCACCTGCAAAATCTAGTATTTTGAAATAACATGTATACAGTAAATGGTTTGAACCCGGGAGTATCGTTACATGTTTGTAAATGTAGATCGTCCAGGTTGGTAAAGTCCTGAGAAGGACTGTTTTTGTTGTTGTGGACTAAGGATAACACCAACCTGGACGATCTACATTTACTAGCATGTATACAATTATACAGGCAATCAATATGTGTACGTTGTCGGTTCATTCCAGTTTATCCATGGATTTCTGTGTCCATCAGTGGAGTTTTTTAAATTGGATAATATACTGGCAAAAATTATTTATTCTTCTGCTCTGCCATCTTTTTTATACACTTTTTGTTTTTTTTTGCAGCGAGAAAACCGGAATTCAACGAGTCCTTCGTGGATGCGCTGTTTCTTGTGAATTCAAGCGCAACACTTAAATGTCGATCAAATGCAATTCCTCGCGCTGTTCATACTTGGACAAAGAGTGGCACATCAATTCGTCTAAGCAGGAAATACCAAATGAAAAGCAATGGGGAGCTCTTAATAATAAACTCTATTCAAGAGTTGGATGCTGCTGTCTATAAGTGCACTGCCGAAAACGTATTTGGTGAAGCAGAGCTCAAAATAAATGTTTCTGTTGGTACGTAGTTATTTTTATATTTTGCGCATGACAATTTTAGCATGGTAATTTTGATGTAATAACATTGTACATTAAGTCGTGTTTCCTTTCCCTTACCAAAAAACGCATAAAGTCATAATTTTTGTTAATAGTAATGGCTTGTTTTTGCTTATATAGCCATATTCATAACTTGGTACTCACAATTTGAATGAGATTGAAACTTAGACAATCGCTGTCAATAAATTATACAGTCGCATGTATCCTGCTATGTGGATTTCAGAACACAACCGTGGTTTGATTTCTTTGTATTGAAATCTATTGTTTTTCAGTAAATGGGTGAACCAATAAAACTTTCACAGAATGAGTAACTAAATCAAGCTGGCTTGTAAACAGATCATTATTTGATGATCGATGGGTGTGAACGATACCATGTGACATGATTTTTTTGTAAATGACATATTTTTGATCTAGAGAGTTTTAATTTCGTGAAGAGACCCGAAAGCAATTTCAACATGAAAAAAGGACGATCGTTTTCCTTGTTTTGCGAAGTCAACACTTCAAGACAGATTCGATACAAATGGACATTCAATTCAGGCAATTTGAAATACGATGCTGGTCACGTTTGGCTAAAAAGTATGAACAGATTACTAATCCAGAATTCAAAGGTATGCTTTTGCAAGAAGAGGAAAGTGTTTCTTGCTATCAGCATCTTTCATACTCGTTTTCTTTAGTGAATATGTCTTTATTTCAGTTTTCAAACAAGCAGTGTGAATATAGTCTTGAAGAAAACGTTCCAGGACAATTTTTAACTTTTTTATAACTTTTGTAGGAAAGTGATAGCGGCCGTTATGAATGCGTGGCGTACATTGAAAAACCAAATGTCATAAAGCGAAGTGCTTTCGCAGACATCGCAGTAGTTGGTAAAAAATTGTAGCATTTATTACATTTTCAAATTCCGTACTTGTTCCTGACTGATCGAAAATTGTCTGATAACTCTCAGTTACTCGGTACAGCGGTACTATCTATGTTAATTTGTACATGACATCAGCGTGACGTAGTAGTTCTTTAATTTTGACATAAGTTCACCCTTCAAACAGGCTATTGTGTGTAATTTCACCCTCTCGCTATCAAGACCTTCGCGGTCATTTGTTTTTTAAAAAGTATGCAACCCAGATAGCCAAATCACGTTGTATCGCGGTAACGTTGTCTTAACGTAATTGGAACGTTAAGAGAACGTCGGTCTGAAAGTCGAGAGTAGTTTTTGAAACCCTGAGAAAATTCACCATTCCTTTGTGCAAAGTGCTTTCTTTTATCCAGTAACTCGATAAAATTCATAAAGCACGCGGAGCTCGGTGATAATGTAAGTGCATACTTAATTTGGGATGAAAATTTGTATTATCCTTATGATGAGCATTTACTATTGTGTGTTTACACGGGCTTCGCTTTGCCTGCAATCCTTTGAAGTCCCCCAAGATTTAGAATTTGCATGATTTAGCAATAATTGATGAACGTAATTGAAAACAATAACACCTACAAATTGTAGCTTCTGCACATTCCAAAGTATGGGTTGCAGTTACTTTCATACAACCTGTACCCATTGGCGTCAATCCTGTGTTAATTGGGGTGGACCATATTCATATATTCTGCTATGCCTGGCTAATTTCTTTTCGAAACAATTTCAGTTTCAAAAGAAATCAACCTGACATAACAGAATATATGAATACGCCCCCCCCCCCCTAATGGAAGCTTATCCATATAACTGCTATCATAGTATTTGCATTTCCAAAAGCTTTGGATGCGTAACCAACGTAAATCTAGTATTGAGAAACGTTTTAACATTCTTAAGCTTGGTCCTCACTTGCGACATAAACATGAGCATAAATATGCTTAAATGAGCAAAAGAAGAACGAAGAGTTCTGATAATCTTGTGCTCGTGCTTGTGCTTACATTATTCTTATGCTTATGCTTATGTCGCAAGTAAGGGCCAGGGTTTAGCGGTAGTCATCTTCAGAGTCATTTGACTCTGTGTCTCTTGACTCTTGTGTCTTGTCGTGAGTACCGCTAAGGATGTCGAAACGTCAATCAACATCATTGCAAAGATACTGAACGATATCTTATTTTCAAATTATCGTGAAGAGAAACAATGTCGTATACATTCTAACAATTCCTGCATCATTTTTAGGTCCACCCGATCCTCTCGATGGATTTCGGTTAAAAGGTGGTTGCAACAACAACACAGCTTTGCTAACATGGCACAACCATTCCTTGTATAAAGATTATGAAGTTTTCGTTAAGCTACAATGGCAAAGAACAGAATGTATGAATGGCTGGCATACAGTTGCTAAAGAAGTGAGCGCTAGAGACGGTCGGGTTATCGTTGAAGGACTTCCAAACTGGTCAAAAATTCAGTTTAAAGCATATGCGAGAAACAAACACGGCTTTAGTCCGGCTAGCAATTTGCCAAATTCTGACAGTTGTGTTACATCACCTTCTCGTAAGTAAAATGCGAATAGTAAATTTTTCAATGTGTTTGTAAAATTTGAATGCAATTTTTCTCACTTCGAGAACAATAAATTCCTTATTAACATAGCATGACTAAACGTGTGAGATTTCTACGCTATTTAGAAATATTCCTCTCTTCATCACGTTTCAATAATGAGAAAGTACTTTATAGCAACTACATGATTTGACCACAGCTCAAAATGATTTTTCCTGTCAAATTCTTAAAATCAGAAGTATTCCTTTTCGGTGTGTCCTGATAACTGTAGTTAAGTACTTTTTTGCTTTAGGTCCTGTTAAATGTCCAGAGAATATTGTTTTCCAAGAAGGCAGTCCTGGAGTTCTGCTTTTGAAATGGAAGGTTCGACAAGATTTTTGTCAGCATGAATCGTAATAAGATCGTTGTCGCGATTAACTTGGTAATTAATCAAAGAAAATCAACAAGCCACATTTTTATGCAATTTAGCAGAGTCACAAAGATACTTGATTGATCAAGTAGCAGCTAGTTGATTGACATGCATATTACATAGTTCAATGACATAGCTAATCATGTCTTTAATCATTTCATAAATATGAAGAGTAGTAGGAAAGAGTTTAGGTGATTAAATGAGCCCAAAGCACCTCTTTATTAAATACTTTTAATAGTGAAATCGCTCAGTGGTAAAAGTCAATCTCTCTGGTTTCTTGTAATATAGACAATGAACGTCAGTGATTATAATGGGCCTGGTTTTAATTTCATTGTCAAATACAAGCGTCCTCAGGATTCATCTTGGTCGACGAAAGTTTTAGAAAAAACAGCAGATCAGATTACCATTCTCAGCAAACAAGTCAAACAATTGTGGAATTTTTCCCTGCAAACAAATAATAGCGAAGGACTTGGTCCAGTGTGTCTGGAAAACAGTTCATTCTCTGGACAATCTGGTAATGATCGTTTAAAACAAATCTCTTTTTGATATTTATGTAAAAGAAATGTTTGTAAAAGTCCTCGATTTAGTTTTCATTGGATGAGTGAGGGAAGCGAGTCTTCAGTTTTTTCTTTGTTTATGGAGTTTTGATTTATAGCTAGGATAGTTAAATTTCGTTGAAAAAAGATTATCGTTTAAAAGATAAATATTAATAAATTTATATCGTTAATAGAGATGAGCAAAAAAACAAAGTATTCTTTTCTCTCGCTTCTTTCATCCACATAATAAAAATGCGATATATTCTCAGTATACTGTCTCTTTTCTTCAAAGTGCCAGGTCGCATTTCACAAATCACAGTGAAAGAGATTGCAACATCAAGTGTCTTGCTTATTTGGCCACCACCTTTGTCTGATCATTGGAATATTGATGGATACATTGTAAGTATGCTGAGATATGTCTTTAAGTTTTACAAGCTGCTTTGTTTTAATCTAAATGTGAGACAACATGAAGTAAATAGTTTCACTTCTTAACAGAAAGAACCGAAATGATCGTTTGACCATTTGTTGAAATAAATTACATAAACCAAGAACAATTTTGTGTCCCTAACGAAGTGAATTTCTTTCGCTTTTATTTGCGAAATGTTTTAATATTTTGAGATAAAATGTAAAAAATATTTTATGGATAGTTAGAGTACAGTGAGTTGGGTAAAATGATGCAGAAAAAAAAGCGAAGCAGCTCTTATTGTTATGACATCATGACAAGTCCATGTTCCAGACTGGCCTTACCAGGACATTTAAATGAATACAGACTGAACAGTCTAAGCTCATCAACGTCATATAATGTATCCATGAAAGCATACAACAGCCAAGGAAAAGGGTTACCATTCTATACAATATTCAAAACAACATATCTAACATTGGGTAAGTGAAATTGTGCATTATAAAGCTCTGCGTTTTTATTTTGCATGGGAATTACCAACAGAAACTTGTGGAAAACTAGTTCATGTTTTCGGTATTATAATTCCACGTGTAGCTCTAAATTTTGGTAAGTCAAATTAACACCATTCGTGTTGGTACAATTATAATACAGGCGCTGTTGATCTAACTTAAAAAACTTTTCAGGTGAAAGTAGAAGCAAGAAAGAGTACAGACAAAATTGGTTTTATGTCATTATTATTACCACAACAGTTCTCATGATTATTGTTGGTTTTATTGTCTGCATCTTGAATGTTCGACGATCAGATAGTTATAAAGGTAGGACCATCATTTATGCAATGAAATGGTTACGGTAGCTATGACATGCAAATAGCAGGGGGGTGCAATGGATACATTCCCCTCAGAGCTCTGATATTTTTTGATGCATTAGGACATTTGCAAATGATGCACCCTTTCCTGAATGAAATTCTGGTCCACCCTTGTAATATGGACAGCGCTAATTTTTAATGAAATATTTTCAAACGTAGCTAATTTTGCAAAGTCAAAATAACAGCATTTTCATATTTCTTTTCGGAAGATTTGGATGACAATTTTTTGCTTGAATATATAAAGGGAAAAATATGCACTTCGATGTACACCTATTTGTGTGTTGACCTGTTAAATTGCACAACATTAACGAGTTGTTATGTGTTACCTTTAGTTGGCAAACGCGAACGGAAGAAAGGAGGTTTTCTCAATCTATACGACAGTCGCTTAGATTTCGATAAAAAGTTTCAATTGTGTGAAAAGATACACAAATCACGAAATTCCAGGTAAGCTTAATTTTGTCAAGCTAAGCATTAATCCTTTATGAAAATTTTGAAAGAAGGCTATATCGATAACTACTAGTAGCAGCAAGGCACGATGTTGTTTATTAAGTAATGGGATTTTTGTGATGTATTGATTTGATTTTTGGAAGTCTACCCGGTATTCTTAATTGTTGAATCCTTCCTTTTCGCTAATTTTATATACACCATTCATAAACTTTTACGTGACGTACGATGATTTTAAAGAGGAATTATATATGAATGGACAAAAACTTACTGCATGACTTCAACTTTTACGTGACCTACGACGATTTTAAAGAGGAATTATATATGAATAGACAAAAACTTACTGCATGATTTCAACTTTTACGTGACGTACGATGATTTTAAAGATGAATTATATATGAATAGACAGAAACTTACTGCATGATTTCAACTTTTAGGTGACCTACGACGATTTTAAAGAGGAATTATATATATGAATAGACAAAAACTTACTGCATGATTTCAACTTTTGCGTGACGTACGAAGATTTTAAGGAGGAATTATATATGAATGGACAAAAACTTACTGCATGACTTCAACTTTTACGTGCCTACGACGATTTTAAAGAGGAATTATATATGAATGGACAAAAACTTACTTCAACCTTTACGTGACGTACGACGATTTTAAAGAGGAATTATATATGAATGGACAAAAACTTACTGCATGATTTCAACTTTTACGTGACGTACGACGATTTTAAAGAGGAATTATATATGAATGGACAAAAACTTACTGCATGACTTCAACTTTTACGTGACGTACGATGATTTTAAAGAGGAATTATATATGAATGGACAAAAACTTACTGCATGACTTCATATTCACGCAGAGTTGTACACAGTGTACGAGCATCTTTGAAACACAAATAATGCTTTAACCAGACAGCATACTACTGTATTTTAAATGAAACACTTAAAAACTCAAAACTTAAAGTCTTATACTATACACTTTTTAAACGGCATGCATATAGAGCTTTCTTCATTTACCTCGAATTTGTTTAACTTTTCCTTTCTCCAATGGTCTTTCCTTTAACTGCACGAAACGCGGTGTGTCCATGACCGATTTTGAAGACATAATGAATTGATTTTGTCTTTATACAAAATGTCAGAAAACACTTAAATGATATCTATACTACGTGTGTATTTCACAGCGTGTTCTTGTCGAAAGGGTCATCTCTAACTGCTGCAGATGACTTAAATTGGGCTTTGACTACCGATGATAAATACGACTATGACGAGTCATTCGTTGGAGAATATGGAGTTGCAACTTCAAATAAGAAATTCGATGAATTAATATAGTCTGATTGCGTGAAATGTTTACGCTGTGTTTCTAGAGTAGCTGCGCCCGTTTCAACGACTGTGATACGGAATGGTGTAATGATCTTGGTAATATTTTGTAGGCTGCCTAGAAACTTACCACGTCACCATATAGAAACACGTAATCAATTGCAAAGACACGAGGCAAGAGCACAACATACTGATACAAGTTGTTATGAAGTACTGGTCTAAAATGTGGCGTTTCACTTTTAACTCGTGACAGGAGAACTTGAAATGTAAATTCCGTACCTTTTTTAAGATAAAGAAAACATTTAAACAGTTTTGAGATTCTGTTTTAAGAAGCAACGTCATTCTGATCAGGGAGAAAATCATCAGTACGGCAGTACATATAGGTATGTTTACTAGTTTTGTAAAAATTTTGTAAAGTATTTAATTTATTATATGCATACAAGCGATTATATTAAAATAGAAAAAAATATATGTTGTTCATTGTATTCACTAAAAGAGTTTGTTATTCGATAATTTTGCTCGTCCAAGAATCACGGTATTTGTGAAACACGTCGTTGATGTTGATGACCACATCTGCCTCAACTTCACTCTTTACATATACCAGAAACAACAATTGAATCTAGCAACCTATTTGTACTTCAACATTGCATGCTTTCATCACAAGCTCAATTTCTCACTTGGCTCCCCCACCCCCCACCCCACCCCCACCCCCCTTCAAAGTTCACAAATGAAAAATTGCGTTGTTGAGAACGAAAAAGAATGCATTTGTGCAACAGCAAATATAAAAAATTAGAACGCTACAATTAAATATAAGTAACAACTTAAGCAAATATAGGAGAGATCACTTCGATGAAAGATTTCTCAGTAAAAAATTGTTTTTCCGTCCTTTGTGGTTGAGGATTTCAAAGCATAGCTATGCATCTGGCTCGATATTTTATCCAAAATTTTTAGGCCTTGGAGTTGCTAAATTTTGAACAGTCCAATCAACTTCAAAAAAATGAAACAAGAAGCAACTGGCACTTAGCTTGTCAGCAAGCTATCACCTTTTGAAATATATATCAGTGATACAGCATTCTAAACGTGTATATATAATTTATACTAATCTGAATGGCTTTTGTTCATTAATAACCCTACAGCAACGACCGGAACATTCATATGTCTATGAACTTCATAGCATCCATATGTGTAATGTTATTGGGAGGAAGTTCGTCTTTGAATAGCGAAGCGAAACAAGCTGAAACAATACGTATACAGAAGGGCACTCGTATACTTTACCCTTTCTACATATTACCTAGCAATTTGAAGAAAGAAGCGACTGTTCTGTTTACCATTTTAACTTTTAGTAAGTCACCGAAAAGTTTCGGTGTCATATTAAGCATGGACAGATTTTATTATTTTTACAAGGGGTGCTAAAGATTTTAGTGGGTGAGCTCGTAAGAAAGTGACGTCAGACAGAGCATGGTCTAGAACTTAGGGTGGTCTGGTAGTGCAGCCATAAAAGGTTGCGTAAAAAGTTTAAATATTGCCTTGGAAAAACTCAGTTCGACTGAACTATTGATCTGCTTTGCTAGAAATTTGTGGGAGTGGTTTGAAATTTTTCTCAGAGGGGTGAAAGATTTCTTTAGGGTGGTGAAATTTGATGTATGGGATGTTACACCCCCTGGCTCTGCACCCCCAGAAAATTCGTCATGATTAAATACCTAATGTACCGTAATTTGTACATAATTGAAATTCCACTGTTCGTCTGTCACACCAGCACACTACATTGAAAATATTCCCACTTTGCTAATTTAAATTCGTACTTCGTCAAAGAATATATTGATGGGTTATTAGAAAACAATATTTTAATAAGTACAACGTTGATAACAATTGTGAGAAACTGAACATGGTATTTTTTTGGGAAGTTGAGTTCGTATTTCTTGAGTTTGTATTTCGAGTTTTGATTTCTCTTCTTCGCAGAATGCGGAAGCATGTGCTGACCTTGCTCTGACATATACTTTCGAAGAACATGCGGTTTCCGAAAAGGAAAAGATTTTAAAACTTGTTGAATGAATTGCAGAAGGCATCTATTCACATATGCATTATATGCATGTTAAGAGCTTTATTTAATTACTTTATTACGTATTCAGTGAATTGTAAGAGCGAACCAGATGTGAATAATAAGGCTAAGCTTGGTACTATTTGTCATTAACTAATGCACGTTTCGAATGTTGAAGACATAAAAAGTTGAAGTAAATGTTTCGTAAGCAATAATTGAAAATGTCTTCAGTAAATAACAAGCATTTGGTGTCGTTAGCTTTAGTAGAGTGCATTTTGCTTGCAAAATTCTCTTTGATAAGTTCGGCCGACATGGAAGAATCTCAAGAAAAGGAAGCCTCAAGAGAGCACAAACTAAACAGCGTGTTGTTTCTTCTGCTTTTTGCATTACTCGTTATTACTGTCTTGACAATTTGGCTCTTCAAGGTGAAACGTTTTCGGTTTTTGCACGAAACTGGTCTAAGCATATTTTACGGTAGGCACTTCATTTGTGTATTATAGTATTAACGTGAATTATTAATTACCCTGACTATTAATAGCAAATTTACTTTGATATAGATAAATCTATTTACTTCTACTGCTTGAAAATATTTGATTGTACCAAGTATGAGCCTAAAGCATGTTTGTTGTCCATTCTTCAACAAAACATGAATAATGTTCAGATTAGTTACATGACATATGGTCAGGTATTATAGTGAGATGGGCTTTCCCTCGAAAAAAAGTAAGAGAAAGGCTGGTAATAGTAAGAGAAGTAAACAATGCACAGAATTTACATAGCTTTTTAGTTTCATAATAAGTCCAAAAGTCAGCACATTCTCCGAAGACATTGGTAGAGCCAGCCCATTTTAACAGCACTCAAATGACTCAATGTATATACCAACTTGATAACTATCTTGGCTGTAACTTAATAACAGACTGAATAACTTAAATTTTAAGGTGCAAACACCCATAGTAGCCTGTTCATAAAAATCAGTTCTATTTTCCTCAATCTGTTTATCAACCTACAATGTTCTTTTTTATTGGATTGACTTCCTCTCATATCTCAATGGGTTGGACTCTATAGATTTGACCCAATGATTGTTCACATCTTGCTGTATTTATGCTTTCCAGGTATTATAATTGGAGCAATCATGAAATATGGTATTACGTTATCACCAAGATCTTTTTACTCGTCCAACTGCAATATCAATCCAACTGCACTTCCTACAAATCTTTGGGTGACTGTAAATGGCTCTAGATATTCATATAAGCTTACAGGGCCTGTAAATGAAACAAAAAAGTTGCAACCTGAAGATAATCTGGAGGAAAAGGTAATGATAACTGTAAAGTTGTGTTTTGGTTTTACTTAACCAATTTTATTATTTAATTATGAGTGCTAGGGACGTTCCTAGGGGAGGTGTTGCAAGAAAATATATGGCATACAAAATGAATAATAATTTTGGAAAAGTGGCGTTCAGGTTATCCTGGAACTTGCTTAATAATGTGGGAAATTGTGCAGTGTGCAAATTAACGGTGTGCATTGTGCAATTTGCACATCGTTTTAGCTAAAATGAAAACAATTAAACATGACTTTTTCAAACGATGTGCAAAAATCAGTGATTTTAACGAAAAACACTGTAGTAAATCATATGAATTTGTTCACATTTGAAAATATTAATTTAGCAATTAGCGCTATATAAAAATTAATGTAATATTGATTTGATTATGCCTCTAAAGAAACACTTTTGTCAAAAAAATTGCACACATCATTTTTTCTGAACTAATTTGCACACTGAAATTGTGGTTTTGACATTCTACCCAATAGACAAGGGGCATACCTCCTAATTCCCACAGAGTTTTCACACCTTTGCAGTTTGCATCATTCCTACAAGTTTGAATAACCTGGCAGACCAGTTTGTACATTATACATGCAGAAATGAAATCCAAATATAAATTTAGTATTGTAGCTGTGCAATAATTGGTGTTGAATAGTTCGATCATTGGTTTTTTTCATACTGCAAAATAATATATTTCCCTGAAGGGGAATGTGTTTACAACAATAGAGTTATGTGCAGCTGTCATGCCACATTGTGTGAAACCAATGTTGAATTAACAGACCTGCCAACCTTGAAAGACATCAGACTTAGGATCTCAATATTTTCTCTTCAAATAACTGGACATTTAAGAGAAAAACCTAAGATAAGACTGTGGAAAGCTAAAAGCCTTTCTTTGCACTTTAAATATCTAAATCAAATGTAGGGGCAATATACCTTTTTCTTTGAAGTTATGTTAAAAATATTACTGAGCGAAGATATGATGAAGATACTCCAATTTTCTAAAATTTGTTGTGATGAAAATTGACTTTATTGAAAACTCTCACAAAAACATCAACTGTGTAAGCACTTCAGAATTGTGACATTTCACATTTGATTATAAAGAGACTTAAGTAAAAGCGTGTTGTCACATGGCAAACCGTGCAAAATAATGAAATAATGTCCTTGAAATCCATTGTCTAATTAGGGAAAAAAGAAGATAGATCATTCAGAATTTTTTCAAACAATTCCAAATTATTTTTTAGGCTGTTTTTAATCCTGAAATATTTTTCAATGTTTTATTGCCGCCTATTATCTTTTATGCTGGATATGACATGAAAAAGGTAACAATTCAGTTCTTTGTTGTGAAAATTTTGCCAAAGTACTTGCATATATGTTGTTTTTGTCACAAGATGAACAAAATGAATCTGACTGTCAGTGGATTTTATCAATTAGAAACTGAGTAATTTTCCACTTTATTTTACTACTTGAATGTTATTTCTTTGGGTTGTCGCACCTCCAAATTCTCTGTGAGCTGTATTTCTTTCTATATTGCAGCGTTACTTCTTTCGCAATATTGGAGCCATACTGACATATGCCTTTGTTGGAACAACAATTTCAAGTATTGTATTTGGGTGAGTATGCTGCACGCCTTAGTACTACTTTCGCTACATTCACCCACTAACGACATTCACCACATTCACTTCATTCACCACATTCACCACACTCACTGCAGTCACCACATTCACCGCATTCACTGCATTCACCACATTCACCACATTCATCACATTCACCACACTCACTGCATTCACCACATTCACCGCATTCACTGCATTCACTGCAGTCACCACATTCACCATTCACATTCACCACATTCACCACATCACTGCCATTCACCACACTCACTGCAGTCCATTCCATTCACCACACTCACTGCAGTCACCCATTCACCATTCCATTCACATTCACCCATTCACATTCACCACATTCACCAAATTCACCACATTCACGGTGTTCACTGCATTCACTGCATTCACTGCATTCACTACATTTACTGCATTACTACAATATCAAAATTTCTAAAATTACAAAAGTAATTACTAAAATTTTCCAATTACTAAAGCATACCAAAAAATAACCAAAAATTACTGAAAGTTATTTAAATTACTAAGTATGGTCAGTGGTCACACTGTTAAAGATCATCTCTGTAACTTTAATCAGGCTTTAATACTTGAGATAGAACTGCGCATGCGCATATCCTATCTCCCAAAGTATTAACATGGTATTAACGCGACGGAGATGATTTTTCTCATTCGAAAGAGAGCTTTAAGATAAGCTAAAGATCATCTCCGTAGATCTAATAACTTAAGGAAATAGATATGCGCATGCGCAGATCTTATTTCCATAGTATTAACGCTAAGAAGAAGATGCTTAGCCCATTCGAAAGAGGATGGGGAATGTTGAACCATGCCAGTATCCAGAATGTTCAAAATAGTAAACTTGAAAAAATTACAATTAAAATAGCAACAATAACAAATTTTAGATTTAAAACTGCTTATACTGTGTTCATATAGATCGTTGATATACGGTTTTGTAAAATTTCAAAATATCCAGAAATTTGACTACGTCGAATCCCTATCATTTGGTGCTTTGGTTTCAGCCACTGATCCAGGTAAATGACCATCATTAACTTTAACTGCGCATGCTTGTTGTACTGTTGTTGTTTTTTGGGGAGTGTTTTGCAAAGTTTTCACACGCTGTTGTTTGACATTCTTGTCTTTTATTTTTAAAAAACAAACTCTGTCAGTCGCTCATGCTTTTCCACCTTTATATTCGAGATTCTTTTGTATTACTGTACTCTTTATTCTGTTTTTTGTACTTACTTTATTCTTTTGTATCTGAGACATTTTTCTACGGTAACTCTTTTTTCCCTATACATCAAGTTCTCGACATTTCATTGCAAGTCTGATCGTCGTATATTTTTATTTTTTTATGAAATTTTTTATTGACGTTTTGTTTTCATTTTCCTCCGCTAATAATTTTTCAAATTTCGCTATGTACTTCTTACGAAGAAAAATCACTTCTGAGAAGATGAAACGTTTGTCCTCTTCCTACGAGAATCAAATAACTTGGAACAATTATTTCATCCAATAAAATTTTGCTTTTAAAAATATACGACTATTTCTGTGCCCGTTTTTATTTTCAGTGACCGTGTTGGCGATTTTTCACGACATGCATGTAGATGTTGATCTTTACGCTCTTGTCTTTGGGGAAAGCGTTATGAATGATGCTGTCGCTATTGTTTTATATCGGTTTGTAGAAATTGTCATATATTGACAATTGCCTGCTGAAGTAGTATGTGATACGAATTGGTTGATTTTATCAATCAAAAGGCCTTTTTAAACTCTGTCTAATAAAGGAGGATTTTTCATTTCACGCTGTTTTGACTCAGAGGCGAAAGTGGAGTGCTAATTTGGTGGTTGGGGTAGTGAATATTCATATATTCAGTTGGTCACAACTGAACATATGAATATGAACACTCCACCCCCCTCCCCCCCCGCTCCAATTAACTTTTCTGCACTTGTTTTGACCTGTAGATGTTCGCTAAGAAATTGGGTTCATTTTTCTGACTATGAATAATACAGCTCAAATAACATGATTTATGTCAATATCAAAGCTTAGAGTCGAAAGTCAAATTAAATAACTTTTACATAAATTTGTTTCTGATATATTGCTGATCAGTTATACATCTATGGCTTATTGACGAGAAAATTGTTTGACGTAGCCACATTTTCAATTCAAACAGCTTCATGCACTTTCATTAGCAACGTGTATCATCTCATATACGTTTATATTATAAGGTTAGATGTTGTTAGAAAGTTTGATTTAAATTTTGGCATAGCAATAAATTCTCAATTGAAATTCTTTTACAGCTCAATTAACAGCTATTCCTCAAATAGCGGAGATTTTAAATTCACTTCATTATTGTCTGCTATTGGCGTTTTCGTTGGTGTTTTCGGAGGTTCATTTATGATTGGTACCTTAATGGCGTTGGTCACCTCTCTTGTATCCTTAATTTTTATGTGCACGTAATGCTGAGCTATCGTGTTCGTTTATTCCTTCTTTAATGAGGATAGTTAAACTATATGTTCTTTTATTACCTAATGTACGGTTTAAGTGTTGGATAGCTGATATCGTGATCTTTCTAAGCCGGATCTTGCTAGAATTCTGAAGAGAATAAACGGCTTTCCCAAATTTGAACCCCATCCCAAAAGCAAGGATAATTTTCCCCCGCACGGAAACTACTGAAGTATTGGCATTGACCAGTCAAAATCCGTATTTTGTAATGATTTGATTTCGCTAAAACGCGGACTCATGGTTCAGCAATGTATTTTATGTAAAAATCTAATGATCGTTTTAGACTAGATATAATTGTGAAATCTCTCTGACGCCTTTGTCTTCCAAAAAAGGCTGGAGTAATGATTAAACAGCAGATATTATCTTTAACTCGATGAAGTTAACAAAATTTACAAATATTAGAGATTTTCCACTATTGGAAACCGCGTTATTCTTCTTAATGTCATGGAGTACATTTCTTATGGCCGAGGCTGCTGGTTTGACTGGTCAGTAATGTTTTATTGAAACTATTTTTGATCCCATAATTTGCTTTTATGGTCGTGCATTCAATGGGTTTTATCCGTTTAATATGCTAAAGAAAACTGTAGATGTCAATGTTCACACGTTTAACCCAAAAATATTTTTTAAGTCGATCTTATATACTCATTTATTGTTGTGTATTGTTTTAAGGTAGGCTCATGTATTGGTAGCTTGCAACCTTTCCCCTGGGAGTAAGAGAATAATTGCTCGCCATGTTGGATGAAATTTGCAATGTAAAAAAGGAAAATCCTTTGTTAAAATTATCCAACATGGCGACTATGACGTAACTTGCAAGCCAAGAATTAGAAAACGTTTTCTTTTGCAGGTATAGTGGCTGTTCTATTTTGTGGTATATCGCAAGCACATTATACATACGACAATTTGTCGGAACAGTCCAAGCAACAAACGAAACAAGTATGTTTAATATACTGATATGTTTTTATCAATAAGTGCACAATCATCGTCATGTTTGTCTTCCATTAACTACATATCGTCTGGTGATGTCAACGATAGATGTGTGCTGCTTGTAATCTAGTCCAGTTTTCACCATTTAGAAAACTGCTCCATTTCTATTTACAACATGCCATCTATATATACCGTAATACACTGCTCATCGTGAGTAGCTATAAACGAATAACCAAGTTTCATGTATTCAATAATTGTTTAGACTTTTGGATTACTAAATTTCTTGGCGGAAAACTTCATTTTTTCGTATATCGGCCTGTCGGTGTTCACCTTTAGTAAACATAAGTGGGATATTGGTTTTATTTGTTGGTCATTTGTATCCTTTTGCGAATACACTTCAGAAAAACAATCTTCGAAAGTTATAAGATTTTTTTCAACTATATTTGATTTCCATGACCTATGCTTAGCTTGCATTACTTGTATCTCGTTTTTTCAATATCTATCCACTATCTTTTCTGCTGAATCTCGGGAGGAAGAGAAAAATATCAGCGAAATTTCAACACATGATGTTTTTTGCTGGTAAGTGTTCTATGCCATACGACAATATTATTGGTAACATTTAAGTCGATGTGTTGCCGTTCACATCTAATTTGGATGAAAATAAAAAGCGAAAGCTAAAATGGTTTTAAACTGCATATGGCATGAAATTTTTCATCTTTTTAATCGAAAAAGTACTTAAAACTCCAATGCGTCCTCTTTCGTAACTATCATTTCCTGGCTGTTGTTACTAAATTTTCCAAAAACCAATCACAGGTCTCCGTGGTGCCGTGGCGTTTGCGTTGGCCATACGCAACACGTCGTCTTTGGCACGACAAATGATGCTTAGTACGGTCCTAATGATAGTTCTTATTACTGTTGTAATAAATGGCGGTAGCACAATGTCAATGTTGACGTACCTTAAAATAAAGTAAGTGAGCTTTTATAATGGAGATCGGCATTGTATGATTCACACTTACAACCGATTGCTGTGTGTGTATTAACTAGCTATTTAAGATGAACTAAGAGTTTCGTTGGGAGATATGGTGGCACATTAATTTCTAGTTGCGGATCCCGCCGTGAAAGAAAAAAAATATTTAGCAGCTCAGCGCAAAAATACTTTCTTAACAGTACTGTTGGTCATGAATTTATGATGCATCTTGCACATTTCGTTCCGGAAGTGAAGAGATTTACATTTAGTTACCTTTAATTTTTCAGAGTTGGTGTGGATCCAGATGATGAAGGCTTCGACGATGAAACAAGTTTTCACCGGGTTCGCACTTCAGTAGGTTTTAAACACGACCGTAGGAACGGGACCGCCACACCCTTGCTTGATACTTTGGAGTGAAAGCTAAACCCCAGAATCAAAGAAATGCATGTAGTTCGTGCTCGATTGCCTAAGTTCATATTTTAGAAATTTTCAATGTACAATTATTTCCGAAGTTCGTAGATTTTTGTAGTTCACGAATTCTAAACATCTTTCATGTTAGTATTTGACGACGTGGAATCGAAACCTTTGTATCGAAATTTATTCAGACAAATCCTAAAAATTTAGAGGAAATTGCGAATATTCTGTTTACCTTAATACACTTTTCCAAAGCCATCATCAGAGAATAATCATAATTAGCACTGATATTAAAACACTTTTTCTTGGAAAATCCAACTTCAGCAGCTCAATATTAGCCAAACAACACTTGTTTAAATCATTATAAATAATGTTTAGGAAGGGGGGGGGGAGGGGGTAGTAGTTTAGAGTTTAATGTTCATGCTATAAAGAATAGCGAACCATATTTTAAATGAAATTTTAGGAGGGAGACGTGACTTTTCCAGAGCGACGGTCATACTACGAAAGAGTGTGGCTATTTCGATTGTGGTATAATTTCGATAAAAAGTATCCTTTACAGCGATATTATGGATTCGTTTGTGTTTTGTAGCTAATTACCAAATACCAACAGACATGGTAATCGTCGGGTGGCATGCAAGGCAGAGATCACTTACGTTTATACACATGCTGATAAGACTCAAAGAAAATCTGTTTTGGCATGAAATGTGCTTCGTAGATTTTGTTTTTGAAATGTAGTTTATTATCTAATTGTTTAAGCAGACAAAACTTGACTTTAGCGTAGATATATGAAGCCATTGTTTACTAAAGCTGGTCCGCCTCTTTCTGAAACACTGCCCGCTTGTTGTGCACCTTTGGCTAACTTTTTATCACAACCGAACATAGCGGAGGCCGAAGCTCAGGTTCTTTTACGTTTATTTGTAGTCATATTGACAACTTGGATGGCTTTCTTGAAAGAATCTTTTTTATGTTAATGTTCATGCATTGGCTTCAGCTTTTGTCCCTGTTAGCATGCTGAATATCACAAAAACATTTTGTATTTTGGGTGCTCTGTAGCACCCAAATAAATTGATCTGATGGAATTTTTTCTTTTATTTTTTTCAGGGTGCAGCTCAATCGGCTAGCAATGAAAATTTCGACAGTGAAACTTCGTACGAGCGAGGTGATGGTAGAGAAGATAGAGACCAACATATATCTGTTGATCAGGTGACGGCCGATAGCCCTGGGGACATTGAAATGACCGAGGGAGATTTAGGTCTAGGTGATAGAACTTTCAATCCTAGAAGTTAAACCACGGAATATCTTAGTCACTTCGTTTTTCCATCACTCAAATGGTCAAATCTTATTTTAAAATGCATCAATCGTACAATAAATGCATTCGGCTTTTCGAACAATTTTATAAATCACACGATATGCAGCCAATTATTACATATCTAAATCATTGACTTAATGCAAACGTATAAACAGTTGGAGCCGGTTGCACGAAGCATGGATGGCGTTATCCATTCGACAGCAAAAATTTTGAAACTTTTTAAAAAAGGTGTTTATACTTTTCTTAAGACAAAGAAATTTCGTAATTTTCGAAACAATATTTCATTTCAGTGATTGCTCAGTTCGAATCTTATATTTTTTGCTTTTAAGAGGTTTTGTAAAGTTTAAAAAATTGCTATCTGATGAATAACGCTATCCAAGCTTTGTGTAACCGGCCCCCGACGTATAAAGCTTTAAGTTGACTCACTTAGCATGTGAGAAACAGCAATATGGTTTGTCATTTCTTATATTTGATGATACACGAAGCATCCTAGTTAAGTTTTCCAAATATTGTTCTTGACTTGTCTGAACTCCTTACTAAAGGCAAAGTTAAAGTAATTGCATAAAATGAATTTGCGAATCGAATAGTTTGATACTTATCAACAAATTAAACGATTATACAACAACAATGTCTGTTCATAACGGGTAAAATATTTTCAATACCTAAGGCAATTAAAAATGAGTATAAATTCAAAATGTAAAGAAATTCTTCCCATCAAATCTGTGTTCGTGAAGGCATTGTCTTCAGCGTGACCAAGAAACACAATTCAACCAAGTTTGCAGATATCGTATGAAAATTGAGACGTAGACAAAATATATGTTTGTAAATGATGATCGTCCAGGTTAATAAAGTCCTGAGAAGAACTGTTTTTGTTGTTGTTGACTGACGTTTCGACAACCTTAGCGGTAGTCATCTTCAGAGTCAAATGAGGAGTAAACGTCAGGTTAGCCGTATTTGTTGTCTGGTTCTTACGTCCTTGCAGCGGTGGTTGAACCAGAGTTGTTGGCGTATGCGTCTGACGTTGCTTGCAAAACGTATGTAGTCGTTAGCAAGTTGTTCGCTCTGTCGTCCAAATGATCGTAATAAAGTAAATGGTTTGAACCCGGGAGATAAAATAGCTAGTAAAAAATCAAGGTTTTTATTTCATCTTCTGTGAAAGAGATATTGTGGAAAAGCAGTAGCGAATATTATATTGCCTATAGCCGAACCGCTCCTGTGGAGAAGTACCAAGATAGTAACCTTGTAGAAACCCTCTTACGGCAAAAACTCGATTATCACTAATTACTAAACATTTATTTCTTATAAATGGAAGGGATATATGTCTTATAAGTTTACTTTAATGGCGTACGAAGAAAATTTAAAGCATCGTTGTAGCCGTTCTTGTATATTTTGTGAAGTTTGTTTTGCGACGGAGGAAAGAGTCCTTGAAAGCCACGTTCCATATTTTTATAATTCACCGCAATTTTCATGTTTTTCAGCTGAACTGTGAGCGGTTTCTTTGAGTTGTTGTCCATTGGACATACGTCAAAATCACCACTGAATGGCGAGACGCGGATCGTCTTGCCCGTTTTGAAAATGGGCAAGTTATCGGTGAAGCCGCCGTCAAACCACTTCTGTTAAAAGTAAATTTAAATTGTTGAAGTGCATATCGATAATAGAGATTAAAAACGTGCACAAATTTGCTTGCTGCCTCGTAAAATTAAGATTCCGTTTTTTATTTACCAGAAAAATCAACCAAAAGGCTTCATTTTTCAATACAAAAAATGAGGTGAATGAATGATTGATCCTGCTTTCAGAGCAAAAGGGAGAAAAGAGTTATCATGAAGGGTTCCATAAAAATATTTTGTCTGCAAAAAATATTTGTGCTTGAGAGGATGGAGTGCATTCATTTAGGATAAAGCAATGAGTCCCTGAATTAGACCAAGTCTTCTGCCTCCCTACCAACCCCCCTCCTGCAGGCTCTGGTTGTCCTGTCTGGTCTGTTCAATTGACATCATATAACATTACCTCTCCTTTGTAAACTGGGACTTTGGTTCCACTATAAATTGGAATGTAACAGCTTGCCAACAAAACCTGAATTTGCAAAAGATGTAAATCATAAATTAGATATTTTCTTTGCACAGGGCAAAGATCAATGCATTTAAACTGGCCAACTGACCTGTATCAATTCTTCTCGAGTGCTGAATTGAGAGATGATGGAATTCTCATGTTGAGGGTATTTTGTTATGGAAACAAAAAGGCGACTGCTTGCCATTTTGTGAGCATCTTTAGGCAGCAAATACTGCAAGCCTTCTTTGAGGTGATGAGTCATATCAAAAGAGGGACTTAGAGCTCCAAAGGATTTCTTGCGAACATTCAATGCCAGTTTTGTGCTGAAATGAATCCCTTGCTCCATAGGAATGGATGTTGCCAATAATGTAGCAGCAAGTGAGCCTGCTGATGCACCACCATAACAGCATATGTTTTGCATGATGCTTTTGCCATGTCTCTGAAGGCATGAAATAACTCCCAAATGATACATACAATGAAAACCACATCCAGCAAAAGAAAGATTCATCATTCCGAAGAGGAATGTTTACCTTATATATATGTAAATCTATTTACATTACAGACACAAGAAAAGTGGCACACAAAGAAGGATTTCAGTTTTCATTATCTTAGTCCTGAGCGATACAAAACACTAATCAAAAAAACAACTACATTTTGGCAATTTTATGAGGTAACTTAGGTTGCATCATGAGAATATAATAAAAATGAGATTCAGTGTAGCAGAGCCAGCGGTTGGCCAGCGGAATTTTTGGCTTTTAAAATCCAAAATCAAAAACTACTATTAAGAAAGATATATAATCGAAAATGACTTTGTTTCATTTTGGAAATTGCGTGGCCTTAGCGTATTTTCCCTATTTGATCTTGTATAAGTGCTCTGGCCTGTAAGTATATGTATTGTATGATCTGTAAGTAGCTTGTAATGTGGAGGAATGACCAGTTGTGTAAAATTTATACGTATAAGTATTAATATGTATTTATATGAGCTTGCATATTCCGAATGTAAATGTAAGTATTTCATTATTGCAGTCACCATTTTTTTATATGTTTTGAGTCTGACGAAGCTGACTAACATGAAAACAATGTATGCCAATGCAATTGGCGATTCTTGTACTGTCACGACAACAGTCAATACCTTGCACTAGTCACCATTACCATGGTGTAAAGTATTTATCTTAGCAGATATATGCCAGTTATATGTTCAGTACAGGCTAAACTCTTGCCAGAAAATTTGGAACACTTAAATGACTGGAATAATTAAAATTGCCATCATCTTTTTTCCCCTTTTTTATCAAGATTAAAATTTGAGAAGGTTATTTGGAAGGATAGACCTCTAGATTCTTTTTAAACACTCTCATATAATTTTATTGAAAGTGTATGAACACCAGTAATTCTCTTGCCTCAAACTCACCATGCTGAAAGGTTGCAGGTTTATCTTTTCTTTGGTAAAGTGGTTGTACATCCCTGTCTTAAAAAAATCACTTGTCACCTGTTGGATGGTAATGTGTTTTACTATTTTTAGTTAATACTTTATTTTTCCTTTTTACATAGCTCAGAGTACAGTGCATTTTGGCGATGTGCACAAGCAGCCGGCATATATTTAGCCACTCAACTTTGCAAGGTATAAGAATGTCGCTTCAACTTGAAAAGAATACATATATACTTCTGGATGAAGATATTGAGAAATCTTTGTCTCAATCAAACCAATAACATTTTACTTGTCTTGAAAGATTTTGATTGGTATACTGCCTTTTTGAGGTGGCTTCATACCGACATGTATTTATTAGATAGTTAATAGTGGTCTTGTGTTCTATGTGGGTGTCTGACATTATTTCTCTTTTCAAGATGCTTGTGCTGGCTACTTTTTTTCCAGCATCAGAAACAACTGCAGATTCCTTTGATGTTTTTGCGGTAAGATGATCGGGTTATGCAAACTATTAATGCACAATCTATTTTATGACAATTACTAATGGCGCATAAATTAGGCATTTATTGTATTCATTCATGCTGACTATATCACAAAAAGCTGACTACATTCATAACTATTTCCCATGTTGATTTCTCCCTAAATTTCAACGGTAACTAGATAAACATGTTTACAGGTTTTCATACTTGTAAATTTAATCTTTGGTCATTTTTTCAAAATGACCATCAATTTATATTTGTACTTTCAAGTAGCTCCTGAGCTAAATTTATATGAATGGTGTATGTGTGTGTTTAAGGAATTCTTGAAATGTACAGTTGATGTTGCTGACTTGTTTGGCCTTTACATCACAATGTCAAAGATTCCTGGAAGAGGGGAGCTTAAATTGTTAGTTGCTGCTCTGGGTGAGTGAGTTCACCTTCTTTTACTTTCATTATTGTTTATGAAATAAAAACAATAAAATGTGTGCAGTGATTGGTCTAGAGCAGTAATTGGTCTAGAGCCGTGTTTGTCATTAGCCTGTGCAAAAGGCATCTAAGCTCAACCAATCAAATGGATCAAAACAATCAATCAGTCAAAGAGAATTTGCAAATCTATCATGAGGAGATTTTAGAGGAAAAATTAAAATGTTTGTCTTTTTCGCAATATTTTCTTTCATAAAAGAAATAAAAGATGTTTTTCGTGTTTGTACTGGCTTATGCAAACCTCGGAGACATTTTTGAGAACTCACGAGCATGTGCAATCCTTGACCTTTGGTCTCATGCTTGCACTGATCTGCTCTCGAGTTCTCCCAAAGGTCTCCTTGGTTTGCATAAGCTCGTGCAAACACAGTAAACATCTTTTATTTCTTAATTATGAACTTCTTTTGAATAATTTTGTAATTTATTTCATAACATTTGTTTGCACACAGACTTTGCATTATGTCTTGGTGGAAGAAAATGTGTATTTGTAAATGCATCTTTATATCATGTTGAGGGTAGTTTTTTAAGGGTTGAAAGTTAGGTTCAATTTAGACTTTAAAAATGGCATATTGAATATTGTTGTAAAAGCTTTAAAGTCTTGGACTCAATTATTATTTGGACTCAAAAGCTGACAATCATGAAATCTGTGGCTGCTTTCATTCATAATGCAGTAAACAGTAATGTGAGAGTTGCGATGTAAAAGCCTAATTAATTTATAAGTCAAAATGCAGTTGTTGGTTGTTCGAACCTTTACAGTATCCACAAATTTTTCATTTATGAGAGGTACATGCATTGATAAATTAAGAAAAATTTTCAAAACAAAAAAATCAGATTCAGATACACTGAGACAGTCAAGCACAAGTTTTACTACAACACTTAGCTCCTGCCACGCTATTCTACTTGGTATGCCAATAGCAAGCTTCTGCCGATCAGACAACCATGGTGGCACTAAGCGAGCTATTTACGTTCTTGCAAAGTGTAGTGCAAGTATATCGAGTTGGTCTTTGGCAGGACTATGTTGCGCATGCACAGTTAAATGCTCTAATAATTTGTGACTAAGCAACCAGTTTATCATGGCAACATAACCATGAACTCGGAGAGTTGGCATGCTCGGATGATATCTTTATTAATATGTGACTAAACGAGACAGTTACTTTGAAAACAATTGCTAACAATCGCAATTTATGATTGGATTTTTACAAATTACTTGTAACTCATTAACTTTTAACACGGAATGAACTATCGAGCGTACACGCAATATGCCTTATATAAAACAGTGGACAAAATCGATTTATTTTTTTAATTTTAAGAGATCCAAAAGTTACAGTTAATTTGAAAATATAAATGATAGTTATGGCATACAATCAAATTCGTGGTAAGGGGGATATTCATGATGTGTCAATTGCTGTTGGTGGTTTGCCCCCACGTTTTTCGTTTCGGTGTTCCATAAAAATGAATAAATATTTCTCATCGATGTTAATCATTCCTTAGACAACTTAGAGTAGCGGGGGGTTAAAGATAAACAGTGGTAACTATGAGATTTTTCGTTAATTATTTCTGCTTTTTATTTCAAAATCGTCGTTCTCAGTCAATAAGTGTTGATCATTACTGGGAATGCATTTGAAAACATTTTATTAGAAAGCTTACCAATTAATTTTATGACAATTCTGGGTCCGCTTTTCTGTATACATGAAGAAAATAGCTACAACGTACTCTACCTTCTAAAAGTATTTGCTTCCTGGCAATCAAAGATTCCCAATTTCGTGATCTTCATTTTAATTTAACCACAATTTGATTACATATAGATTTTAAACGATGATGATTAATGGCACTTCGATCATTAATCCATTTTGAATTAATTTCTACAAATGACAATTTTACAATGCACACACTAAATTAAAACGCTATTTATCGTACATGCTGAGCAAATTTCAAATGTGCAGGTGAATTGTTATTGGATTTTATTATTTGTCTTTTAGTTCAGTAACTTCGAATTTTCAACGAGTAAGATGGATATAAATATTTCTTGTCCGACTAAAGGTCTCAATAAATCAACGAATAGTGTTGATGTTTCAAGAATTGGATTCGTTTTATTCGTCGTGCAAGCCTCGTTCTCTTTGTTGGCGAACGTTGTTGTCTTAATTCTCTTCAGCTGTCGCTGGCGCTTGCTTCAAAACTCTCATAACCGCTGCATTTTGGGTTTGGCCTTGACGGACATTTTTACGTCGATTGCCGTCATTTCAGCTCCTCGTCTTACTTTGGACGAGGAGTTTTACAGGCCTTGGGTAAATAACAGGCTAAACCGAGAACTTTACTGCCGTGTTTTATGGAGCAACTATTTGCCATTTTCATTGGGAATCACATCGTTGTATCTTGTTGTAGTGTTGGCACTTGAGCGTTGGTTGGCCGTGAGGCGTAGCGTTTTCTACAAGACCAGATTCAAACCGCGACATATGAATATCTTCATTGTTAGCGCATGGATCGTCGGTTTTGCGGTAGATTCTCCCGTGCTTACTTTCTTCCATGCCGTTTACGATCATCCAAAGGAAACATGTCGCTATGCTTTTCCGCAAAATAAAGCGCAACTCACAACGCTTGCGTGCCTTATGTATTTTTTTCAAACAATATTGCCCTTGGCGTTGATCTTACTTGCTTTCGTTGATGTGTTTCGAGCTATTAAGACTTCGCTTCGGTTTGCAGAAGCCGCTAGAGCGAAAAATATTCATTGCTTAAAGAGGATGAAAAAACTGACCTGGATTGCAGCATTGGTCGCTTTTGTTTCGATTGTTTCTTGGATACCTTCGTCAACACCCTTTTTTGTCTCTCTTTTAAATAATGAGCCTTTCCTCAATCTTGGGCGTCCCCTACCTATTGTTGTTTCTTTCCTCTGTTTTGCAAACACCGTAATTAATCCAATTATTTACGTTTTTTCTAATCCCCAGTTGAGAAATGTCCTCGGACGCTTGTTCAGCGCATGCTGGAAATGACCATGTTACTCAATGAACGAACCTGGGCAAAAAAAAACTTGTTGCCACGGAAATTGTCTTGTTTAATCCGGTATCGTTTGGAATGATAAAGAGAACGTTTAAAAGTAAGCCGTGCAAGAGCTTAAGGAACAAAAAAGCCATCTTTGAAAACTGTGATTACATTGATGACCATAAACACTAGTTGCATCTATGATTCGTCGTTTTGCAGCAGTAGTCGCTGCTTCTACCAAATACTAAGAAATGTTATACTAATAACCTGTTATAGTAATAAACAAACGTTGTTGTTTTAAACTTGCACCATCGTCGAATGTACTATGTCAAATAGATGAATCGGAGAAGACTTTTAATTACAATACTATTTTGAGCCTGTTCAAATGTCCTTTATAAGTACGTAATTCCAAATAGATGAACTGTGTCTTTACCGTATAAATGATTCAATTAATTCCCCCTATCATATAAACGCCGTTTTCGTCTTATAGACATCTCTAATAAACGTCTGTAATAAAAGCCCCCTCCCTACATTTGCACAATGACAATATGATTAAAGTGGGTTCAGAAACTGTATGTTCAGTTTCAGATTTGTTTTCATTTGTTAACGTTAAGATGAAGGAAATGCTATAAACGCCTCGTGCTTATTAAACGCCCCTCACCCTTAGAACTGTTAGAATGTATTGAAAGTCCCGAGCGTTTATTGATCATTTACTGTAGAAGTTCTTCCAGGTGTACCCAGACTGATTTCTAAAGTTCTGGCTGAAAGCTATGTTTTATATGTGCACTTGCGCAAAGGAGCGTGCTTTCTGTGCATCTATTTTTTACATTCTTACTATTGAGATTAATGTTTTGCGCTTACCTATTTATGATGTGGTAAATTCAACGAAATCCATCGTTTTCTACATGCATTGCTAATTCGCAACATTATTTCGTCCGTGTTTTGTATTTTAACGCAACATATCAACGAGGGAGCGTAGAATACAGAACATATTGACGTTACTTGGTCAATATTATTTGCAAACGTACATGACCAGTTAGTCAATGAACAAATGCATCTGCTGACTTTCATCACTCACCCACCTTTTGAAGTTTTTACTTCGGCAGGTTTGGCGTATGTGAATGATATTATTGTCAAGTAATTTAGCATAGTTTTTTGCCACTAAAATTTCCTTATTGACTTGCTTTTTTAGTAGATTTTTGACAATTCTTATTAATCCTAGGTTGGGCGACGGCTGAATTAGTAATGACAAAATTGTTGCCACTGTGGGTGGGTGCTCGAGGCATAGAGTTCGACTGGAAGTATATTCAGATGAGTTTCGACGCTAATATATCATTGGTACGTTCATCGTTCATCTATTTATTTCAGTTATCGCCTATCGATCACCCGATACCAGAAGTGTCCTTAGAACCTTAAATAAAATTGACTTTGAAAAAATCAGTTAGGCACAACTGATAAATGAATACAATAAACACCACCACCCCCATTAACCTTATAGGGACTACCCAATTCCACTGTTTTATTGAGTTGCATTTTTTGTTTTGGCTCTGCTATCGTCTTAACATACAAGTAATAAACATATAGCAACAGACATGCATATGTAACATGGAGAGGTATTTCAACACAATTATTAGCAAACTCATGCAGAGGTTACTTCAAATGTGGTCGTGTTTTACTCTCTGTCGAGTTCAGAGCACCATCCATGCTCAAAACCCTCCAAAACGTATGATCTTGTGTTGGTAGATCCATCATATAGCTACGGCGACACTCGTTTGGCTGTGGTCAAGAAAAGATCTTCAGAGGTCGTTTCTACCTGTTTTGGTGGCGTTCATGGCACTCTGTTCGTTCAAACCCCTTGTTATAGAGTAAGTGTGTTGACGGCATTGCTTCAGTTTTTGCTCAATGGGCCAATTCATGTACTGTTCTATAAAGACATTTGGTTCTTGCCCTTTCACCTGTCCCGAATTCATATGTCCCTTATTTTCGACGAAGTTGTTCGAATGCGGATAAATTACAACTGCTTTTGCTTTTGCTTTGTTAGTTTTTTAATCTTTTTGAATTTGAAACTACTAAAACGGAGAACTGTTATAGGAAGATCTTGTATTGTTTTGCCACATTTAGTTTAAATTGTTGTGAAATTGCATTATCGATCTTTAGATATTTTACCATCACGATTTGCTGTTATTTCCTTGCATCGAAAACCGATCTTTTTCTTTTCAGATTTTTAAGCTTTACGTTTGGCATACAATCTTGGAACTTGTTGATCTTAAAAGGCGCTTTCACCGGCTGTGTGGGTATTGTTGCTTTGCAAATTTATCTTGGTTTGACAACTTCAAGATAACAACTCCCAGTATCTTTTATTTGCTTATCTAACAAAAAAATTTATTAATCATGGGTACATAATTGTGAGCAGTTTACTGAATTTAATAAAAAAAACTATCAGTTACCTGGTCTGTTTGAATAACTATTACGCACAGCGTAGGTTCTCGACCAGTAAAGATTGGTAGCAAAAGAATAAAACGTCTCGTCAAGTCACTCTCATGAAAAAATTTGACGTCAAGTCACTCTCATGAAATATTCATTGTCTTTTTGTGTGAACTTGAGTTCACTACACGATTAGGTCAAATATTTTATAGCTGAATGATTGGATGTGGCTGGACAGCAAGAAATATAAAGACAATTAAAACATCAATAAAGTATAGTTTTATAGCAGGCGTGCTTAGCAGTGAAATACCAAGCGTGCTTTTATTGGCTTAGAAACATTTTTGCGACGGTCCATTACGAAATAGGTAAACAAATTTTCTATGCTGAACTCCCTAAAGCAAACAGAAAAAGTTCAAATGTCTCGCGTCTTATAATAATTGATAAGTTTTTCTTGTTCAGTCTTCGTTCGCACTTTGAAAAAGTTTTCTTTGATTGCATTTCCACATTGACCTTTACCGGTGAAATATGTCTCTAATCTTTTTTAAAATTAGCAATGTCATTGCTGTAGTGTATTCTGTTATTGATTCTAATATCAGGATTATAATATTATTGCACTATTATACTCTGTTATTCATTTTTGTCAATATATCATGTTAATGCATCATTAGTATCAAGTCGAAATCAAATTTCCTCGACATGTTTGGTTTGTGAAAAAATTATTATGAATAGATCGTTTGTGTATTTAATTCAACAAATTTTGTTTGCTTTGTCCTCTAATCAAAACAAATTTGGAAAATGACTTCAGTAACTGATATTCTAATAATCGTGTTAGGACGGAATATTTCCCTTGCGTGGCGTTCGCGCGCGTTGGTTTTCATGGTGTGAGCGTGAAATATGAATAGCCATGAATGGGAATTCGAAAGATGACGATCTACAATATTTCGGCAAATTTCAATATTTTCAGCAAAATATCTGTGCGTAAAATAGCGCTATGACCAGTTGTATGATGAACATAAGCCCTCCAGTAGCGAACAGAAAAGTGAAAGGTTAGATCGTTGGTTTTATTTTTTTCATCTCGGCTAATGTTTGTATGCATAAATTCGCATATCAAATGTCGTGTGATTTGAATAAAAATGTACTATACTTAAAATACTTAGCACTCTAGATTTTTCGCACCGCTTTATTTTAAATGTGATGGCTGTCTTTAGGAGAAGCGCGTGAAGGCAATGTTTACACCGAACAAGCTATTTGCGTCTATTTCAATGACAAGTAAGTTTATATTGTCTTCATATTTTATTGTTAAACATATGTAAATTTTTTCAGACTTGTATCCACGAAAACCAAACCCAATTTGTATACAATATTGAATAAGTTATGAATTTGTCGCATTTTCGATCACCGTATTGCGTGAAATCACTGTAGCGATCATGTAATTGTTTTAACGCAGACTTATTGAAAGTCAAAATTACACGGTCAAGACTCGAGACCGAAACTTTGAGAAGCATCCTGATAGTTTATTTTGTTCAGCCATTTGTTGTTGACATTTATCAGAGATTCTGCTTCCTCGAAGAGAAGCATCTGGCGCTCTCACGGTTGTCATTGTAAATAAAATGACCCCAAGAAAGGAGAACTAAATAAGGAAATAATGTGGTCAACGTTCTTTTGAGTTTATATCATAATTGAGTGAAATATGAAGTTCGCTTATCGTAATAAGGGCCTGTAAATTGGGTGAGTTATGTATTTTTAATTATGAATGTATGGTTGATGCGCTTGTACAAACAGTGTCACTTTGCACTGTTATGTAAACCCTAAGCTCAGCTGCAAAACGGAAACCTGAACATGTCAAATGCATTGCTGTAAATCAAATTGTAGAAGTCATTATGAGAAAGAAAACCTGATCAACTTTAACTGACACATTTATTTGACTTCTATGTTCTCTATAAACTCTGAAATGTTTCATACTCAAAGGAGATGAGCAATGTCAGAACAGCAAGGTTGCCATTTGTCATAAATGGGTAATTATATTATATTTTAAAATGTTGAGTGACATCCTCAGAAAGAGCTATTTTTTTGGCGAATAACTCTTGCTTATATACAGTTCTGTTGCTAGCTTCAAACATAAGATTACTTTGTATTTCTACACAATAACATCTAATTCAAAGCTTCCCACCATGGGTAATGCAATAGTAGTCCTGAATGAAAAGAACTCCAATGGGAAGCTGTGTGGTTATCAGTAACTTGTAACAAGGAAAAATAAACAAGAAAGTACTTATAATAAGTGCTGTCTCAGTGTCAATTGTGGATAGCAAAAAATGTGGTACACAAATAAGTTTCAAGAATAAAAGCATTATTTATGATTATCTTGAAATATTGATGACAAGGAAATTGAGTCAACTTATATAGTTTTAAGGCTTGCTCGGATGGTGAGTGGGAGCATATTTAGGATAGGCGATGAAAGCATTGATCGAGTTTGTGGATGACTGAAAAGAATTGTTTTGTTTGTATGGCTATGAAAGTGTAAGAGTTTTTAAAGAAAATGGCTGTTTACATGTCCAAGCGAAGAGTGTGTGTAGATCTGCAATATATTTGTAACAGTAGCACAACTTGCATTCATTATATGTGGGTGCTAATGTAGATGTTGGAAAATCAGTTGATGATCACAAGGATGCCATAAAAAAGAGTAAAAAAATCCATCTAATATGCTTGTCAGTTTTTCTTGCTTGTAAGGAACAGAGGAAAATGAGAATAAGAGCAGATAAAAGTGATTTGTGCTGGTGGGAATGTACAGATGGTGAGATTATTCATAGTTTAAACGTTGTCAGAAAGGACTCAAAGGAGACGATTTTGAGAAGGTGTTGAAGGTACTTAAGGATGCAACTCAAAAGAATATGGCAGAGCTGGTTGACAAGTGTTAAGTCCAGCTATGTTTCAAGGAAAACGTGTTTAAAGCATGTATGAGATTGTATGTGCGGTATAAATCATTCGTATCAGGAGTACATGAATATTCGTCAATTGTCACTTACTTAACGCTGACACAATAAGAATAATATGTAGGTGCGTATGTTAGTTGACCATGATCTAGTGCCGACCGATTATGTGGGGAGAATAGCGGAGAAATCAAGTGATAGCGAGAGCAACGGATGCGTAAATTGAAGAGTGTTGCGAAAAATCTCAAGTATATAAAATTGAAGAAGCAGATTTTAAATGAAAGTAATTGGAAAGATATTTTGCAAGGAGGTGTATCAGAAGGCGTGACGAAAGACCGAAGTTCATTGAAAACACCAACGAAAACCTGAATCAAGTACGATCTTTTCGGAGAGAATCGTAGAAAACAACAGTAGAGAAAGTCAATTCAAATGAATCATAAAAGTATTTAGTGAAATGAAAGCGGTAGAGACCGTACTACTCTAGGTGGTAAAAGCTGAAATGATATTGGAAATCAGGAATATTGGGGTTTGCGTCATATTGGACTGGCTGGGTTTGCTGAATAAAAGAGGAATAATAGATGAGAGAGCACTACACATGTGTTTTGTTTACGGGGAAATACGAAACCGAAGATTTCCTAAAGAAAGTGAAAATCTTTGAGGCGTGCTATACCAGGAGCAATAGATGTATTGCCTATTTTAAAAAAGTTCCAACGGAAATCCTGCTATGAATTAAAAGAGTTGCATAATGTATGTATATATATGCTTTTGTTGAGTTGAAGAATACATTTGCCCGGATAAGTAAACGAGAAGAAAACGTAACATGTGATTTATGAGTAAAATGATGGAGGAACTTTACCTTTATTATATGTATGACGAAGGTCTTTTTAGGGCGAATGGAGAAGAATTGCATGAGACGTACTAGCTATGAAATGTTTGTGCCCGTTACTAGGTATACATATCAAATCTTGGGAAGGTGTAAAAAATTTTTGAATAAAGTCAAGGCTCTTCTATCTCCCCTGGACAGATGCATCAAGAGTCTTTTATTTGCAGCATATATTAAGGCTAGTGTATATCTGTAATACCAGTGCCTCATGACAAATATGTCGAGGTTGGTCTCCCTGGCAAGACATGCATAGCCCTTGGAGCATTTCCCATCGGGCTTAGACAAAGCATAAGAGTTGCATTACCTGCCCGGATCACGAGGTTTAAAGCTCTTTTGATGTTAATTTCCATTATAAGAAGCAAATGTTCTCGGCCGACGTACCAAGAACTTCGTTAAGAGGATAGTAATCTGGTATGCCCAAGACGAAAAAGGCGACCAAACAAGTTGCAAAGCTATCAAAACAACGAGCCAAATGAAGAATGAGATTTGGCAACCGCTTGTACCATGATAAATTCAGTTTCAAACTTAACGATATTCGTTCATGCATCCGTTTTTACTGTTATTGACAGGTCCCGGCAAGGGGAACGACTGCACCCCCAGTATTTCTCATGCTAAGATGTTTATATATGCAGCTTGAAAATGTCAATCTTATAATACAGTGCGTAATGAATGTAAGTGATATTTTGGGGTTTTTTAGCCCTCCTCCCCCCAAAAAAGCTGTTATTGAGCTTGAAACAATATTTATAAACCAAAGATCAGGTTGCCTGAGTGAGCGCTTGGCCATCTTGTTTTATTATATGCACCGGCATTCTTTGATCAGCTGTACTTAGTATGAATCCGGCAAGATTGTAAGAATTGTGGTGGTACTAATTAACATAAAAAATTAAAATGAAATCACATCACTTGCATGGAACGTAAAGAGAAAAAACCTTTTTTATTTGAGGGCAAATCCAATCTCAATTCTTTGAATCTTGCAACAATACATTCATAATATTTTAGAACGCTTTGTGAATTCTTTTTCGTTTTGGTGAAATAGAGACTGTCGTGGTGACAAATTTAAAAATTGTTTCAGCTAAAAAGAGCATTTGCTCTTTTTGAAACAATTTTTTTAATTTGGCACCCTAGCTATTAAGTGTGGTTAAACGTATTTTCATATTATTTAAGCTTTCTATTTTATAGTATTTCTGATGATTTCATGTGTCGTGTCTGTAGATTCAAATCACAAAGAGTCGACGAGAAGACTGATTTTTGCGCTTATCATTTCTAGAAAGTTGAAAAGATTGTCAATTGATGAAAAGAATTCACAGCCTCGTCGAAAGAGCATCACATTTAGAGATGATCGTCCTGTAAAAATAGCCGCAAAGGTAGAAGCGATATATTCTATTTCTTCTTCAGTTGTACGGAAGTGGGATGTTTCATCTTGTGAAAAGTTTTTGTATCGGAACTGTGTAGTTAGCAAAAAACGGTGAATGTTCACATTCATGTACTATTGTTCTTGTTCGAATTCATCAGGATGTTTGCAATATGTAAAAAAATATTTGATCCTTGGTTTTTACGATACTTCAATTTTGCTGACACCAATCGACCTTCGTTTACGATTACGGCTTCGGCAGGTTTCTCATTAAAATAAAGAAATTGAGCACCACACTTATCGAAATAGTTGTGATGCGTTTTATTATGAAGCTGTCACAACCTTTTAAAGTCTTGATATACAATTTTAGTTCGAAATTGCTTACGAGAACAGAGAAATTGTTTCCACCAAGATGAGGTAAGTGATATGTCTTCAACCTTCACCCGTACATTATTTAACGTTCATCGTAAGTAGGATTTCATTGGTCGCTATTTTGTATAGTCTCACGCGCGGTGAACGCACACGTTTTCCAAAAATCGAGGAGATGGCTCATTTTCATTATGACACAGTTGATTTCAGCTCTCCACTTCAGGTAAGGTAGCTAGTATTAACAGCCAAAATTTGAAGTCAACAATTCAACTATGCCCAATCTTTTCACTCACGGTCAATAAAGAATTCATCACAGTAAGTTTAATCCACCATACGTGTCTGGGGCCAAATTTGGCTTTCTGCGAAAATGGCATGTTGTCCTAAAGGTAGCTCTTCCGTTTTGCGCTCAATATTGTAGGAAATGTCCAATGCACACACTCAGATAATACCTATAGCATTACTGTCCGAATCTGCTGTTTTGTCTCATAGCTTTGTAAAATGTAAAAAATTTTGCAATTCCTTAATTTTTTTCGAAAACATCATCAAAATTATAGATGTGTATCTATTACAACAACGAACCTGGAAAGATGATCCCCGATGAAGACGAACGAGATATAGTTAAGGTGAAGAGCGTAACTTATAGTAATTGTTTTTGCTGTTTAGAATAGATTTTAGTTTTACGCGTCGTAGACACTTGCCATTATGGGAAGTTTGAAAGAGTAACTGCATGATGTGACACATCCATCTTTGCCATTGCATTTTAGCAGCCTGTGCACGAAAGGTTCTCATAAATCGGCGATGCTGTATAAGCCAACGCGCTTTGATATTCATACAAAAAAGGCCCCTTTTAATCTGAAGTTGATAATGCAGCTTCTAATGTACGTGTGTGATAGAAGTTATCGCCGAAGTTGCCCTTCTTAACTTATGCTGGCTCTAAAAGATTTTTTAGAAAGTAGCACTCGGCAATGATAGGCGATGATCGCAAGAAACAAACCGTTTTGTTTCTTGCGATGGCAGCGTCGATGTTCGGTTACCGCCGCAAAAACTCGGCAACACAATTTTCATTGTGTTCTCATTAATCGTAAGCGCTCGCCGACGTCGTGAAAAGTTTTGTCGCCGACGTTTTGCGATGAGTGAGAACTAGGCTTATACATTTCATTGTGTAGGTGTTGGTGAGTTGCCGTGAACGGAGCTGGGTGATCTCGCGTAGTCTTAATGATTTTGTTGGGCTGGACATGCAATTTCACAAGTAAGCAGAAAAAGATTACTACGATAGCTAATGCCGTGATTAATAAGCTGTCTAGATTAACTGCTCTTCCTAAACTGCAAAGTAAAGTGTACATTGATGTTCTCGTTTAATGGTTTGAAAGATGATTACATGGAACGACGTACGTATGCCTGTATGTGATTAGAGATATATATTCCTGCGTTTCAGTTGAGAGCACTAGACAAAAAAATCTTCAGCATGACTTTTAAGCCTTGAAGACACTCCTCAGAGTAAAGTACAGCGAACAGTTATCTTGTTTGAAACTGGTCACTATACTTTTGTCTGAGTTTGAAACTGGTCACTATACTTTACTCTGAGTTTGAAACTGCATGCTCACTATACTTTACTCTGAGTTTGAAACTGGTCACTATACTTTTCTCTGAGTTTGAAACTGGTCACTATACTTTACTCTGAGTTTGAAACTGGTCACTATACTTTACTCTGAGTTTGAAACTGGTCACTATACTTTACTCTGAGTTTGAAACTGGTCACAATACTTTACTCTGAGTTTGAAACTGGTCACTATACTTTACTCTGAGTTTGAAATTGGTCACTATACTTTACTCTGAGTTTGAAACTGGTCACTATACTTTACTCTGAGTTTGAAATTGGTCACTATACTTTACTCTGAGTTTGAAACTGGTCACTATACTGTACTCTGAGTTTGAAACTGGTCACTATATTTTACTTTATCGAAAATGGGATTGAATGGAGCCAAAACTTCAAGTTTAAAAGTTACAACTTTTTGCGAAGCACCACACGTCACTCCGGTTTTAATTCTCAAATTATGGCAAATTGGTTGTTTCAATTTTAAATGTTTTGAGAAGTTATTAAATCAGAATGTTGTAAAATTGCTTGAGAAGATTTATCTGATGATAAGTATTGAATCGTTTCCATTTGCAAAAATCATTTAACGCTTGGCTGAATCCCGGCTACCGGGCTCATGTAGTCAGCCCTAAAAGGGAATTTGAACATAACTGAGAATACGGCTAACTATAAAGGCATCAAAGGAAATTACTGTGTCATTGAAATGTTATAGAGACGTGACTGTGTTGCTTCATTCTCTTTCAGGTGTGTCTACGACCGGAATTTCTCTGGTTTAGAATCTTTAAGTTTTCTTAAGGATGAACATATTTTCACAGAGGTGCGCAACGACCTAAAGAAAATAATTTTTAATGTAACAATTGTAATACATAACTGTGTGTGTGAGTGTGTTAATGGATGTTTTTATAGAATCTGAAACAGAGGCTCGTCAAATACATGGATAGGCTTTCAAGCATTGCTGGAAACGCCATATGGTGTGGGCCGATTCTAAATTGGTTCGAGGTAATTTCAATGTCATAAATACTGCACAGTTAACCACACCATGCCAGAAATGTCGACTTCGAAACGAAAACGCTTTGCTGTAGCAAATGTCGATAAATTTCTAACATGTTAAAAATCACCGCAAATGATACTAGGAGGCAAGACGTTCAAATGTGCACACATGCGTAATAAAACAACCATACAGGATGTAGAAAATCTCTGAGATACGTACGTTTTGAGAGCTGCATGCATTTTATTGCATGTAAACACTGCTTTGAATATTAGAGCTCAGATGACAAAATCGTACAAATATATGTATGCCAAAATAAATAGTTATTTATATGAAATCATAACTATAAATGTCAAAATGAATAGTGTTAGAATGTGAAACAGTCGAGTTTTAGGAAATATTTGATAAGATGGGAGAAAATGTAAGGTATACATTCAAATCAATGACTGATGCAGCTGGGCACAAGATTGTGATCGGCCCAAGGATAGCGAGAATTCTCTCAAAACAGCTGGAGTGACTTGGTTGGCTCACTTCATTCATTCATTCATGGTCCGTGGGTACAATGTACCACATTGTGTCGCATTTGATGGTGTTCACAATCGTTACTATCGCTGTGAAACCATTTCCAGCGGAAAATTTAAAAAAATAAAGCAAAAAACAAATTCCGAATACATATACGGCATTTTCAGATGACAAATCAGTACAAGACTCAAATAAAACTGTGTCTGACGATGGCTTTGAATTAAATCGAAAATTCACGGTTTTATTTGCGTCTTGTATTGATGCATATTTCGTTATCCTAAGATTTCCCGATTCGGAATTTATTTTTTGCTTATATACTTACTGTTGCTTTTTTTCCTAAATTTACCGGGCGTGGGCTCTACCCACGTAGCGTCGCATTTGATGGTGTTCACAGCCGTTTACTATTACTATCCAGCAAATATGATGTCTAGCATTTGCCACAAAGAAGTGTCCGTTTCTTCTTTATGATACAAATCTTATATTTTTTCTAAGCCACCTCTATTATTTGCATCATTGATCATATGTGGCGTACAGTATTCAGTATTTCCATTAATTCTGCATATGTTCATTATCAACGGAGCTTCTTCACCTTCAGTCTTAGCTGTAGTAACGCTTAACTTCACTTGACCTTATAGGTTGACAACAAGGGTAACCATCTTATGCTCACCGAAGACTCGGCTATTAATGTTCCCGCTGTTGCAGCTGCGCATGTCATTAAGCGTTATACCGCTCAAGCTTCTGATGAGATCTCGTTTGAGGTAGGTTTTTTATACGACGTTAAATAAGGCAATAAAAGTTTATTTTACGCTTTTTTCTCACCCACCCTCAATCAACACTTTGGCGGCGTGCTAGCAGTTGGCAGTGATTAAAACCTATCGGCTTAAAGTTTATTCTAAAGCTTTTAATTTTTCTTAATACTTGCTGCAATTACGGATAATTTTGAATGTAAAGCTTTTAGTGGTCAGCATAATAATAATAATACTTTATATTTTAGCAGGGTAATCCTACTAAAATACTTTGCATGTGCTTTCAATAATTTGCCTGGCCTGGATTTTCATTATATGCTATTCAGTTTCGATTTCTTTTCACACTTTCCGATGTCTAAACAAAGTTGAACATCCCCTCCTAACAAAGTGGATTCTTTGGTCCATATCTGCTAGCAAGTTGTACAGAGCGGGGGTGGTGGGTGTCCAGAACATATATGAGACATCATTCGGTAGCCGTTTTCAATCTTCCAAGTAAACTCATAAATCGCATGTAAATCAAAATGTTTTATATTATGTGTACATCAGGCTCACGTTTAACTGACATATCTTTGCACGTGTACTTTATCAAGTATTTCTGTTAGTACTTATTTATGCTACTTGTTGGAATGATTTTTCGGCGTCGGATATTTAACACAAGCAATGTCTCGTATCTGAGCGGATTGTTTTGACGAACTGTTTGCTGTTATAATATACATGCATTGCATCTCGCATGTCATGATCATGTTTTAAATTGATTCTACCTATTTTCGGTGATCGCTCCGTGAATAGTCTTGTCGAAATTCATACGAAAATGCGAACAATCTTCGGAATGGAAACGATGCGATTTGCATGTATGACGTCATCGCATTTATGTGGCACTTGACGATGGCTTTAAACGTGCAATACTAAACAATGCTCTTGTTTTGTAACTCGAGTGTTTACAACTACGATCTTGAAACATTCGGTGTCGTCAACATTTCCATGACAACTATGAATAACTGCAAGGGGGAGCGGGTTGGTGCCACGGTGAAAGTGTAGTGACTGTACATATTCCTGGAATTATTACGAACGAACGATGTATTTGTGACAATAATACGACAAAAATCAGCTTTTCACCCTTAACTAAGCATTTTTAGTTTCAGATTCTTGAATGTGGTATTCATGCGTTTATTATTCGCGGCACTATTCCTTTTTAAGCGCTGGCGCACTTTATTAGTATTTGACAAGCATTCAAAATATTTCTCTTGTTCATGCAGTTTACATTACTTGCTGCGACAGCAATAGGAACGAAAAATACTTGTTTATTTCATTCTAAATGACATGAACGTGGATTGTTATCTCATGCGTATCATAAATTGAAAATCGCCCATCATAAATTGTTAACTTGTCAATGGTAATCATATTTAATGTCATGCGCCATTGCTGTGCAATATATTTTGGGGGCACTTTGTGAAAAAATGCAGCAAAATAAGCCTCCACCTCAATAATACAGCGTTATGTTTTTAGCTGTGGCGAACTTCTCGTCATCACCTTGAACCCACGGTCGGAGTCATGAATTGTGATGGTTATGCTAAACTTGACTAACAACGCATTGACGTAATATTGTGCCACGTATTCGCTTTCAACTGCTTGAAACTGGTTAAAACTGCTCTATACACTCAGATACCCTGTTGGTACTGCTTAAACAGGTTGTGCTACGAATCAATATTTGTGTTCTCAAATCCGAGAACGATCACTTTTCTTAAGTCATATTCAGACTCATTTGTCTTCCTTTGTGAGTAACGGATATCGAACTTTTTCTTTATTTGTTGGACAGCGAGTCGACATGAGTTAATATCGTCCATGAGCTTTGAATGAGGCAGTTTTGCCATTTTTGATGAAAGCTGCTGGAATGTAAATCTTGTTTTTATACATTGTGTTGACGGACATTTCTTCAGTTTGTCTTATTGATTTCACGAGTGAGATGTGTGATCTTATGCACATGCCGCAAGCTCTTGGAGAGAACAATAATCGTCATCGAACTTTTTCAAATATTTTTAATTGTTGACATACCTTGTCGAAACATCTGCTGCGCGAGCATATGTGCTTATGAATGATAATTGCCCGGAGACTTTTGAGGAGACCGTACTTTTAAATGAAAAAAAATTAATGACGTTAGTGACGTGTCGAAATTTTCTAACAAACTCTTTATAAGTGCTGAATGCACTCCCAATAAATTTGCAATTAATACGACATCACATGCATTCAATCGGCCCCAACTATTGTGATGTCGTGATTCTGCTTAGTATTGCGAGCCTCGTGCGCGCGCATAATTTATATCGAGCGCTGAGTCCACTGTTGTGATTTATAACAAGTTCATACGTATGATCAAATGTCACGATTAATCCTTTGATTGAGATCGTTTTCTTCATATTTTTATCAACATTGTCCGTTTGAGTCAACAAAGTCACGTTTGTTTGACGTGGCATGCGTAAATTTGTATTTTGAATGACAATACTGCTCGCTAAATTGATTCTTTATCTGGCATTGAAAAAAACGTGCTCCACCCCCCTGCTATTTTAATTATTTTGTACTTGTTTTTGTCCCCCCAGCGTGGGACGTTAATTTTCGTTCAGTCGACGCAGTTGCTAATTCACTAAAGCTCTTCGAATATGTTAAGAACACTTCGCGTTTCCTCCCCCGAAGCGGGAAGAAAACAGAAATGTGGTAAAAACGATGTGAAACGTATGAAAAGGCATCGCCTCTCCTACTATCTCGCGACTCGCTCGATTGTATTGCAAGATTTGGTAGGTAGATTTTGTACGAGGAACTGATGCAACGCGCGTCGCTTTTCGTTCCCTGTAGTGCACGGGTTGGATTTTTTGTTATCGTGTTATATGTTCGCGCTATGTGTTTGTGAATTTGCGAAATTATTTGTTTAAGAATTTTGTATACATTTCGATGTCACGAGTTGAGTTGTGATTTTTCATTTCTTGTCATTTCCCCCCATATCGAAAGCGAAACATTGCACGTTATTGTGAATTCCCATCATCGGAAGACAATATAAGACCTGTTTCGCTTCGTGTATGTGTTCGATGACTCGAAGGCTTCAATATTTTCTATGATTTGTATATGCTCTATTGCAAACACGACGATTTTTCGTTAAAAGATAACAAATCAATAAAACATTGTTCAGTTTAATAGTTGCTTTGTCCCAATTTCAAGCGTAACGCCTTATCCTAGAACCTCGACAAGTTTTCTTAGTTGCACAACATCTTCTTGAAAGCTAAAGGAACCTAATGGCGGGTTCGAATTTCAAATGTTTAAGGGCAGAATAAATGGTAATTTACGTTTGCTCTCATTTTAATATGATAGTTCGTACCTCGTTTATGTGAATGTAGTCAAGTAGCTCTTGTGCTGTAGTTGTACTACGGCATGTTGCGAAAGTACATGTATATATAAATGCTGACATATCGCGTACAAATTGTTCGAATTAGCAAATTAGAACACATACGTTCATGATTAACATCGCAGGTTTCGTTACGTGTTATTAATACAATAAGCTGGGGCGTTGATTAGCTGATAAAAATCAAATTGCCTTTAATTGTATACCACTTTCACACGAAGAGGAAAAAGGCAATGCGCCAGAAATTTTCTTGGTAATTCGATGATTATTTATAAACGTGAGATACTTAGAAAACTATGGTTTTTATTTAATTAGCGTAATATATGCATTGTGTGTGATATGTGCATTAAGACACACAAATAGGTGCAGGATATACTTGAGAATGAGACATGAACATTTATCGTGTAGTAGAAAGTAAGATAGGGGGGACCATACTTTTCTGAAAATTGCATCTCCTCAAATCAAACGCAAAAGAGCGCCATTTCAACCAGCACCTATATCAACCTGTACTTGTCGGTATTACGAAATTGCCTTTGATGCATGATGAACACATGTATTTGATCAATATTTGATTCTTTGAATAGACAAAGGGAAGCTTCATCTTATGCAAGGTGTTTTTCTCTTTATGTTATTGTTGTTTTAGTGTAGCATGTCATGAAATTGAATCTTGAGATATGTACAGCCACTTTAAATTTGTACTCTTGTGTAACTTAATATGTTAGGAAATTTTCTCAAAGCTGAGATTAGCCGAAAGACGTATTATCGAAACTGTACCTTGCAGTGTTTTCAAATAGCGTGCAACTGGTTTGCATTTCACGGTCTTTAAAATGTACTTGCTGATGTGATTTCTATTTCCTTTACAGACTAAATACGAGTGATGTAGTGTATGTTTGTCTGACGACATAATTGTACTAAAAACAAAGAACTTTTTTCTTTTTACACGATGTACAAGAGCTATACATACATCTGTCGAGCCTTGTGTCTCTTTCCTTAATGATATGCTCCTGAAAATGCTATAAATATGACCAGCATTTTATTCACAGCTATCTTGAACGTTGAATATGGTTTAAGTTTTCGATTTGTGAAATTCCACACCCAGTGTATTAATTAGGGAATTTTTCATCCCTTCGTTGTTGTCCGATAGAAAACAGCGCTCAAGTTGCTTGTTGAAAGAACTGTGATAAGTTTTCTAACCGAACCAAATGCGTTTAGTTTGCGGTATCGGAAATTGCCATTGAAATTGTTCGCATTTTCGTACGTGTGTTATGTAGCTCGCAATACTGTCAATCAACTCATCAACAAGTCAACAGACACGCTTAAACGCATTTTGTAATATAATTTGCTCTTTATGATGGTTGATATTGACTTCCTTGTTCCATGTCCCTAATAATTGAATTCTTCTGATGTTAAGTTTGAAAGAGCGGTCTTTGGAGTTGCGAAGTTCTTAAAGTACAAAGAGAGAACCCTTGATTATTTGTTTATTGTGTTTCAGCTAAGGTTATATGTTTTCATTTAAATAAAATTTTTTGAATTATCGAGTCATGTTAAAACGTGACGACATTCGTACAACGCAAACTTTGCATATTTCTCGCACGCGTTCTTAACCCGTTAGTATAGTTATTCGGAAAGTGTAATGTCTGGGACTATCGAGCAATCTAAATAAAAGACTATTTCAGAGATGGAGGCTTAGAGCTAGATACGTTTGTAAAATGTTATAATGCGATTATATACTGAAGTGATTAATGATCTTATGGAACATTGCCCACATTTATCTGATAAATCAAGTGATGAACACAGGGCGGCATGTAAAAATAGAAAAATCCACAAATAAAGTCGACCGTTCCCTTGAACGCGATGAAAAGCGAAACGCAACGGCAATACCAGCATCTATAATTTTCTCAGATTGTTGTTGTGGTCGCTATCATTGAGACAATTACTTACGCAGGTCTATTTTACCGCTTGTCGTGTTTTACAATGATGGGCGAAAAGCGTTGAGTGCTACATTTTGTTTCCTTTGTTGTTGATATTAGCTTTCAGTTGTGTGATATTGTCATTTCAGGTGGGGGATATCGTGTCCGTCATTGACATGCCTCCTGTTGAAGAAAGCTCATGGTGGCGTGGGAAACGCGAGTTCGAGGTATAAACAGAATTTATCTTACATGCCTCGCTGATCTTTTCTTTTGAATTAATCAAACACCGACCTATTCGTCAATTAACTGACGTGCATCTCCACACAATTTCTCAGTTCTACGAACTTCTATCCAGTGCACGATTCTTGTAGGAATTATGAACTTCGTCAAATGATACAACAGATTTTGTAAAAAAAATTTCATAAGTGCTTTTTTTGTCCAGTCAGTCCAGTGTACTGAATAACACAATAATGACGTTACAAAACCACGTAGTATTCATTGAACTTTAGTATATGTTTAGTATAATTCTCAAATTCAAGTTTTTCACACACCATACTCCTTTTTGTGCATCAAATGCTAGTTTCACCTCTTCTTTTCACCATGTACGCTTTCTAGAAAAAATCATTCTCCGAATCAAGCAATGGTTTTTAGAATTTAGAATTCTTAGTCTTTCGCCATTTTTTACTGGTACTGAGCCATCGGGAGTATTTACATTTCAATAATCTTCATGGATATACCAAAAACCATCGATGCTTAATAATGTAATTGACAGCACGATAACTCGATGATGAAAAAATAAAAGCAATTATCGTCCACTTTCTATTTCTTAAAACCGCGAAGAATGAGTCAACTGAAGAGGGATCATATATCTATTCAAATTTATATGTTCAGCATTATTTATCGAACTCTTAATTTCACTAGTGTCATGCAAATACTTGCAAGCAACTGAGTAGTCTACACATCACTAGCCTTCCTCATTATAACTCCCGCGGCATAAAGTTCTGGACATATCAGGAGTGTCGTTTACTACCAAAAACCAACAATAGCACCCGCACGAAACGTTTGGTATTATTGATAGTGGATGTCAACTACATACGTACAAAAAATGTACTTAAGAATTAGATGGGAAATGAACAAACAATAAGCAAAACAACAGAATATAAGTAAAGTACCATTACCGATTGTTCCCGTTTATATCCAGATCGCAATGATTCGTATATTTTCGAGAAAGAGTTAGAAAGTACAATAGATTACGCGTTCGTAAGTTTACGTATACAACAATATTATTTCGATTCTTGGGGACTGGCACTAGTGTCAGTTACACTCGTGTTGACCTTAAGACATTTACCACGCAAATCGTTATTTGGTAATGAATAAAACCGTGACCTTAAATTTTTCTATAATACATGTATATTTGACAACCATTGACAAGATCCGTTTCTTTCAAAAGAGTTGTACGCTTCTCATAACATGAAATTGGATTGTTATGCTTTAATACATGACAATTTCCTCAAATTAGATTTCTTCCCAATCTACACCTACAAATGTTTTCTACTTCCTCTCCACACTTCCATAACGGATAAAATTTTACCTTAAGGTCGGATTCTTTCCAAGTCAATGTGTAAAAGTCATTGGTGACAATACTTCATCTACGACTACCCATAAACTGACACCAGGTACATGAATTTCAGCAACTTATTTTCTAGTGAGAACATTGAATCGAATTAATTTTTGATGATTAATGTATAAGACTCATTCACTTTTCTTTTCGCAATCTTTAGTGGCATCGAAGCGTGGAAAGGTTGTAAGTTATCTTAGAGCGTTTCTCTCGTCGAGACCAAGTCGCGTGAAAATGCTGCAATCTGGCATTTTGAGGTAATGCCTTTACATCCATTTTAGCTGTTGAATGTCAGCCGTAACAGGCATTTTTTCATTGTTGGGACAAAAAGTACCTTTTATCGTTGTTTCTTTCTCTGAGATGTGCATTGAAATTGTTCTTTCCTCGCGTCAAGTGGTGCAAAAAAACCCTGATTTTCTTTGAGAACTGTGTTACTTCCAAAATGTTTTCAATACGTATGTTAATTTATAGAGCGAGAACTTTTGGTTGCGACCTTGGCGAGCATCTTCACAGAACTGAAAGGGAGAGTAAGTTTGCTTAAATTTAAATTTCCTTGCTTTTTTTTCTTTTTGCCATGGTTTTTGCTGCTCGCTATCTATTGCTTCGCTGATAGCTATCAAATGAAAAATAATGCTGCTCGCTTAGTCGCCAGTTAAATTAAAGCATTTGCAATATAATACTACGTGCAATATAATTCTACATGCAATATAATTCTCGCTTGTTTCTACTAATTGCAATGGATAAGAACAGATGATATAACAACTGTACAAGCAACACACTTATAGTCTTTGTCTTTGCAGTTAAAACTGGGTACGATTCATCAAAAATGGCCAATAACTGCATCTGAATGTACAAAGCTTTTTTCATGACTTTGTGCAGGGTTTGATTTTATGGAGGGGTGCAGAGGGGCTTACTCCTCACCCCCAAATTCTCTAGAAATGTATATTACAATTGAGTATTACCATGCGCGTTTTCACTCGTTTGTAAGCCTAAAAATCCACAATAGCACGAGGCCCTTGCATCTTTAGCTTGGATAATGATTCACCTCCCTTGAAAAATCTGCACCTCTTCTGTCAAATGAGCATTGATCCGCCACTGAATTTGTGAAAGATTATCGAGCTGTCTCGTCTGCTAAATTCTTCAGGAATATTAACTTTTGTTCAACAAGCAGTTCCATGTTATAGTTTAACGACCGATTACTCTGTAGTACCTCTTGTTGTTGAAATGTGCGCCAAAATGATTGAAGAACATGGAATCACGAATGGGGTGTATCGTCATTCTGGGATGTCGACGAATGTGCAAAAAATAAGGTATGCCTTCAGTGTATTTGTTGTAATGTACCTCGTTGTGAAAAATATTTGTCATTTCTTTAAAGTATGTGTGTCGACGAAGATGCATTGCGCGCTTTTGGTAGTATTTACATCGTTACTTCTTGAGCTTGTGACACACTGAATTCAATTTCGTTAATACGTCGTCTAATTTGTCTGAAAAGATAGCAAAAAAACATTGATTAAAAACTTTATTTTACATTAATTACCGTTTGTCTAAGTTGCATTGACTAAAAAAGCAAAATCCGCCTTTTCTCGACCCACAAAATGGCCGTCACGCTGTGATTGACGCGCATTGCATCTTAGTCGACACTTGTATTCCCACGTTTTGCCACCATGAGTTACATCAAGTAAGTTAGTCTACAACATCATTGTTTCATGTAACCTGCACTTGCGCAAGCATTGAATGTATATTGAGATGGCACAAACATGTATATATAACATTAGATCGGTTCGCACGTCATTTTTTAAACATCGTTTTGTAGACTTATGTTTGATTCTGAAGAGTCGCCCGACATAGAACAAGATTGCTTTCTTCGCGACATCCATTGTGTTGGAAATGTGCTGAAGATGTACTTCAGGTAAGGATTTGAAGTGTTGGTATCGTTCAAACGTCAAACTTTTATCAAGAGTTAAAATGTTTTCAAATTTTTTTTATTAGGGAACTACCAAACCCTTTGCTGACTTATCACTTATACGAGAAATTTACGGTAAGATATTAAAGACAACATTAAGCAAAACTTTAGCTATATCATTACACCAAGTCCGAAGATCAAACAATAATTATGACAATGTCCTTTATTTTTTAAATTGCAAATATAAGTACATCTGCATTTGGTGTAACATTTAAAGAATGAACTTGAAGTGTCTTTGTGAATAAATGATAAGGTATTGAGCGAATAGCTCCTTTGAAAATGATGTTTACTTTTAGAACGCTGTAAGCATCAAAGATGGTTTTGATCGCGAAATAGCAGTGCATCATGTTGTTCAACAGTTACCACCACTTCATTACAAAACCGTCGAGTTCCTTTTAAAACATCTGGCGAAACTGGCGAGTTACGAAAAAGAAACTGGGATGCACGCGAAGAATCTATCCATAGTCTGGGCACCAAATCTCATGAGGAAAGAAAAGATTGAAGACAGCAGTTGTACATTGCAACATTTGGGATCACAAGCGGTCGTTGTCGAATATCTCATTCGCAATGTCAATATTTTCTTTGATAAAGACACTGCAGCAAGAGCAATCACAAGGTATCCCTTAAGTCCAAAGACTCTAACAAGAGAAAGAAGTCGTAGTGATCCATCATGTGAGTATTGTAATATCCTTATGTATTGTAAGAGAGGTCAAGAAGTTCTTCAATGCTGGAATGTGTTTTTCTCCAAATCTATAACAGGGCTATAAGATTCAACGCAAGTGTGACCTTTCTGTGCTTGCATTATGACTGCGTTAATTGAAAGCGTGTTACATACATACTCTTGATGAGATCTCCAACTGTAATTTTTTATTTTATTCGCACTTATTTAAACACGTTAATATCTCAACCTGGATCCTAAAATATAACTACGTATAAAAAATAAAAAGGTTGATTTTCAAATAGCCGTGTGAAAAAAAAATTGAAAAGGATACTATATCTAGGTATAAAAAACTATAAGCTATGTAAAAAATAAAACTATTCAATCTTCAATTAAATTTATGCATGCAATAGATATTTTCTTCTGTCTTCATTGCTATTTCAAGCTTCTGCACCTCTTAAGGCAAAGGTAAGTTTTAAAGCATTTCTTTTTGGTTTAGGCAAGTTAAGAACGCGATTGTTAATTCGTAATTCATACATTGAGGAAAGCTGCCGAAGATAATCAGTAGAATTTCCTTTCATTATTTGTATCATTAATAGTTTGTGTCATTAATAGTAACAAATAATAGTTTCAGATTCATCCGACTCGTTCGACCGTAGTAAAATACGCCCTGCTTCTGTTGGTGTCTCGCCTCCACCTAAATTGATATCTTTGGAAGAAGCAAGAACATCAAGAAAATCATTCAATGTTGCCGTACGGCATCGGCACGGAAGCAACTCTAGGGATAAATATGGAACGAAAGTGCCATTGGCTAAAGTCGACTCTTCCCCGGATCTTAGTTTACCCGAGATGACTTCTTCTGAGGCGGTCAATCCGCTTAGTCAGGCGCCAGGAAATCCAATTAAACCTGGCAAAACGTACATAGATGTTGGAGAGGGTCCCGACGCTCTACCTGAATTTCATACTGTTATAGAACTGCCTCGTAAAAAACAAAACTTTTCTCGGAACAGCAAGCGCTGGAAGTCGTTCTTCGTTAGACGGCCTGATTCATCGGCGAAGGGAACAACGCAAACCTCTGCTACTCCGTCCTCTGTATCGAAGAAACCGCCCATGAGGCAACGTAGTTACGAAGATGCTATCAAAAAGATTCCTGAAAATGGATTATCTAAAAGTGTTGATGAACTATTGCACCGCAATCAATACAATCCTCAACAAACGATTGCTAACGCCACCAGTAGTAAATCAAAATTTTATATCGAACATGATCTGCCTCATGATGGTACGGCAGGGACTTATGTCCAATCACGAATGACCTCACCGGATTCATGTGTAGTTGATACGACGAGTCAGAAACATTTATCTACGAGAACTCAACCACCTCCTAGACCTATGTCCCCACCACAAGATTATCTACAAAGAAAGAAAAAGAGCACTTCTCCCGTGCAAATAAACGGTGACGATTCTGCTTTTTTTCTTGCCGGCCAGTAGACGTGCAGGCGAATGCGAAAACGATAGCAGTTGTACGTGCTCCAGCTCGAAACAGTTCGACGTCTTCTGCTAAAGGAGAGGGTGATCAATAATGTAGCGTTATTCATTCCTTTTCTATCGGCATTTTTGATAACCATGCCTGCCATACCTTGGTGGCTTGTGTATATATAGATGTTGTACTTTATAATATTTCCATGAATTATTGTATATTTTCATGCATATAAATCAATCATATCTATCATTCTCATTTTATGATGCAGTCATTTCCATTATATACTAACTTATATGTTATGAAACAGCGAAACCGTGGATCTTCGTTTGGACGTACTGAAACATCAAACATGTAACACTTTATGTTGAACAAACCTAAAAAGACATACTGCAGGAGTGTGTAGCCCGCCCGAATAGTTAGCCTAGTGTTTTAACTTTTCTGTTTTTACTCGCTGCAAAAATAATCAATTTCTAAAAAATTAATAATTGTGACCTGGTTAAGCAACTGGAAACCCTGTGCGTGTAGGCGTCACCAAAGTAAAGAATTAATAAAAAACTTCTTTTTTGCTCTAATTTTGCAAAATAAGTTTGGACTTTTGAAAACATTCCATATTTGTACCCTGACCAGTTGTTAAACGTTTTAACCAAGAATTTGTTTTGCTGAAACGGTATTTTAAAAATGTTTGATTGGTAGTTTTGAAAGGTACCTTTTCAAAGGCTCAATGTGGCGTTAGTTCAATTTAATTGATAATTGTCTTCGAAAAGATACAAGTCGTAGAGTTGGGCTTGCCACATTCTGCTTTGTTGCCAAGCTAACTTCCAGCTGGAAAATCAATGAATATAATCGTGATCATGGGTAGCCATTTTTGTGGAGCTAGTCATTCACGTTTAGTAATAATATATAAATAAAACATACATGTTGAACTTGATTTAGTTATAATATTATGTTACATAATATCTGTACTATAATAAGCCCCTAATACCTATCGTTGAACTATATTTAGCTCACGAGTTAGTTGCGGAACTTTACATGAAGTAATTCTAACAATTAAAAATGGCTGCAATTGTGACCTTGCAATCTAAACATTAAAATTGTTGTTCCAAAAGAATTTCTTCAAATCATTCAAAACATATGAACTTCTGGAATGGTCTGGTCATGGCCGATTTGTCTAGCGAATTATCTAAGAGAACAGAATCAAATCACAAACAAAGCAATAAATTGGTACGTAAATATTCTGTGTTGTAATAAAATTGGCTAGCCTCTCTAGGCTATCGCCGTATAACTGCAAGCATTGTCAGGGACTCAGGGTAGACCGGTTGATTACATAGCTGGAAAGACAGGATTTTGAAAATTAAATAGGTTCAATATTTCTAATTAGGCAAATCGACTAGAGACTTCACACTTGTGTCTTCCTACTGAAGTTGAAATTTTGAAGTTGACAACAATTGAAATCTGTCTGATTGCCTTAATATCAAAGAAAATGTTTTTCTTATTACAAGGAATGTCGCTGTTCAGGACATGCTAGGCAGAGCTTTTAAATGAATATTTTGTCAGTTTAAATGCATGAGGCAACTCGAGAGTGAAATACTATTGTTGTCATTGAAAAAAGAAAGGAATCTAAAAGGCTGAGAATTAGCGACATTTTCAACATTAAACCTTATTTGAAAACTAGTGAACATTTGCTTGCTCATCATTTTGCAAGTGCGCTGTTGATAATCTTATAACTATAAAATTTTTGAATATTAAAAAATATTTTGAACAGATTTCTATCCAAAATGACTCAAAATTCATATTTTAGGATTTGAAAGTGGGGTTCAATTTAAAGTATTTGATATCATTGTAAAAACTTGTAAAAGTTTTGGATTCATTTATTTGTTTCTTGATGTATTAAATGAAAGAAGGAGAACAGATTATCTTTGTTTGTCATGAAACAAACAGACGCTTTCATTCCAATTCATTCATGATGCATTAAATAATAAATAAAAAAGTTATATTACATGTTTGTAAATGTACAATGCAAATTTACAATGCACAAATGAAGGTCATATGCTGCTTGTTAGTTCAATTCCACCTTTCAACTTTGTTAATTAGCTCTTCTTCATTTTCCCTCAACATTTTATCATTTCATATGAAACATCCAACTACAGATCAATTTGAAGCTTCTTTTTGTTGCCACTGACAGAAAACTATGGGTGAGAAAAGAAATATCCTATTTGCACTTTTTACATTGTCTAGCCATTAAATTGTTCTTTTTATGTGTGTCTACATATCTTTGTAGAGGAAAATCATAGCAAACTTTTACTTTATTTTCAAAGCCATTGAGGAGGAAATTCTTTATCACAGTAAGTAATTGTTATTACATGTTTTGATATCTTTCTCATTATGAACTCAATGCAAGTATTTTTTATGTATTTATGTAATTAAATATAATATATTGTGATACATCTCTAATCCCAGGCTGTTGGGTTCTTTTTTTCCTCTTCATTGCAACAATCTGTTTTTATTATATGGCAAGCGTCACTTCCGACTAAATAGCCCTCTTTAATTGGCTCAGAAACTTTTTGCCAGTCCATGATTTTCCTGTAATCGACCACGGTCCAAAACGCGTAATTTTTCAGTCAAATGCAAACAAACTTCGTAATGCAAACAGCAAAACGAAAAAAAAAACAGAAACAAAAAATCATTTACGACAGTTAAACTATCCAGACGATACAATTTGAAACGTTATTTTTTTTTACTGACGAAAACTAAAAAAGTGAAAGCCAACCGTACAAAACAGCAAAGACGAAAGAAAGCAAGTTTCGTTTACGTCGAATAATGCCATATAATAAACCTTTTAATAACCTCGCTTTCTCAGTCTTTACTGAAATATCGAACCTCTGTCTTTTTTTACAAACCTCGCCCTACGGGTTCGGTCTGTACAAAAACACCACGGTCCATTATTTCTCCGTAAAGACCTCGCGCTCAGTTATTAAGGGCTTAATCATCTTTCTGCAGGCGATCAAGTCATCGTTTTTTTCGGTCTTTACTCTGTTTTCCCTTACTTCAATTCTCCTCGTCACATGACCCTGCCATTAACTGATTATCATCCTATCTGATTATTATCTTATCTCATTATTTTTTATTTTTCTTCCGTTTGCTTTTTTCCCGAAGATTCCTTTTTTATCGTTGTCAAGCATTTATTTCCGTTCGTTCCATCCTTCCTTCGTTCCTTCATTTATGTCCGCATCCATTTTTGAATTGGTTTCGATTTCTACTTCAACGTCCATTCAATTGAGGTTGTTTTTTGCCAATTGAGAATTTAGCTTGCTTTGGCAGGAACGACAACAACGTTTTATCGTTAAGCGTTAACCTCTACGTTTTAGATGCTTTTTAATATAAAATAAACGAGCATATTTTTCCTCACCATTGGTTATTCTAATTATAACATACCAACTTTTGTGCTAAATGGAATAGGAATAAAATAGAGATTTATTCATTTGATTGGTTTGCATGTTGATTTTACGTGTTTGATAAAGCCATAAGTAAGTTAGTTGTTTGAAATTCTTGTCGTGTTTTTCCACTTTTCAAGCTCTATACTCCATACATAACTTTAATTAGCCATTGCGATGTTTGAAAGCGTTGTTCGTATTATAATTAGCCCCATAACAATTGACGCTCCGTATAAAGTAAACATTATTATTCTATAAACATTATTTATTCTGTATTTCATAGGGAAGGCTGTAGACTTAATAAAAGTTGTGCACATAAAATTTCTCGCTACCTCAATTAACCAAAGTGTGGATTATAAATATTCTATTAGTTTAGTTGATATATTTTTTGAAAACTGTAAAATTATTGATTGTAACTAACAATTGGTCCTTATTATTATTCAAAGAGGCCTATCACATTCAGCTTAACAATCCTCTACTGAACCATGGTGTACGCGCGTTATGTGAATTGACAATTTTGCGTTGAAAATTTATTCATTTCATTTAAATGACGTGAATGAACGGTTAATCACGATCTCATTTATGATTTGTAATTTTTGAAATAAATAATGTTTACTTCATGCGGAGTGTCAAGTTTTATGTTTTACTATAAAATACCAAGCTATGAGGAAGTTTTACTACCCTCTCATCACCCCCTCCATTGCTCACATTTGTACATTTGGTACATTTCGTTTCACCACTAGACACTTAACGCAAGTAAGCGCGTTAAGGTCAACTTTAACATAAGTCTATAGTCCAGACTCGCCACTGAAATTAGTCAGTATTAATCATACAATCTTAATAAGTATTCAAACATTTTTGTGTGAATGGGGTCGTCATGCATGCCGGTAATGAAACTAGCGACGTACGGAAGAAAATGAACGCTTTATGAATAATTGATGTCGCGGGCTCATGTTGTCAAGTTTTGAATGTTGTCCCAGTGCTGACTGCTGATTTTGCTCATTTTTCATTGATTTCTGTGGACTTCATTTCCCTGCATCATAACAGCTATTCAACATCTATTCAATAAAATACACCCTTTCTTAATTTTTGTGCTTGTATAGATGGTGGTGGGAGCCTACGAAGACGCCCCCACCTCAACTGTCCGGATTTTTAAACAAACGCTATTTCCCGTAACATGGTGTATCCAATAACTTTCCAACTTCATGGATTTTATGCGTTATAACTCATGGCTTGTTTTACCTGTTCAATAGAAGATCACGAACGGTTGTGGTGCCTGTATATTCCAGGACTGCTGCGAAAGAAAGCTTTCGAAGAGGTACCTGTCACGCCAATTGATAGGATTAGCATTCATGATATTAGTTATAGTTGTTATACTGTTTACATCTTTTAATTAAAGTGGTGTGCACATGGTGATGGACCTTTAAATGTGACCTGCTTTGTATGAGTTATTTTTCATAAAAAACAAAAGTACTACTATAAGTGTACATGCTAGTCATTGAAAGTAATTTTCTGTTCTTAACTATTTCATTGGACGTTCGGTTCCGTTCTGGACGTCTTTCGATTACTTATATTTTCATCTTATGCATGGTCTAGTGCAATCCCTGTCATTGCGAAAGAAATTTAGTAACATATCGCTTTTCCTTTATTCTTCACTTATTTATCGCAAAGCAATCTTAACTGTACATTCTCCTTTGCTATAGGATTTACTTTACTATTATGGTGAGCAGTGGTCTTCGTTGGTCTCTCCAAGTCCCGCTACTGTAAGAAAATAATAAAGTTCTCATTAGAGTTTTCATTAAGATTTTTATAACATTGAGTAAATAAGGTATGGTATCTTATTTGCTTGCCAAATGTGAACAAAGTTTTCTGCGTTTCTATATCATTTCTAAAATTATGTTTCTCTGACTAAATTATCAGCTTATTATCGGTTTTATAGAAGGATTTTGTTGACCATATTCACGCAGTTGTCGAAAAAAACCCGATGCTTTTGGTTACCTATAGTCACACTTTTTATCTGGCTTTGATGGCAGGCGGTAAGGTAGGTGCATATATGATAAATTATTTTGATTTTTACACAGTTTTTGAAAATTTCTTAATTTCTTGCTGAAATCTAAATTATTTGATTTTTTGAATTAACTTTGCTTCTGATTCCTCTACTTTGAATTGTTCATTCATGATGTGGTTATTTTTTATCGGCGACAAGAGTTAGACCACTCGCTATAATTGCAGTATATGGATGAACAGTATATCCACGAGAAGATAAACAGATTTCCTTTCATTTTTGTGCAAAATTGTGCATGGCGTTTTGCAGTTTAATCTCCAAGTGCCAACATCTAACACTTAGCCGAAACCAGAAAGTTTAAAGGGGATGCATAATTTAGAAAAACGGATTTGACGATGTTATTGGCATTTTAAATGACGTTCACGTTTTTGGTACATGCGCTTTAAATGAGACTTCAGCCGGAGAAAAAACCACGTGATGAAGCTCGATAACATTGGGTCCGTTTTTGTTAATGCAACCAGACAATTTAAGTTGTTGTTTTCTTCTTATTTTCTGTTAATATTTTGAAAAATGGACTCTTGTACGTATTGGGGGTCTGCGTGCACACAGGGAACTCCCTCCCTTGGTGAAAGGCTTTTATTGACTGACTGTGAAACATATGTGCGAGAGTAAACATGATATATACTGCGGCTCTCTGTTCATCTTTATTAAGTTTTTTTTGTGAAGTAGAAGATCGAACTACGCAAATTGATTACGACGTCTGCTCAGTGGCGGATTATCCAGTAGGCTGAGTAAGCTTAGCCTACAGTTCCGGGCTTTCGAAACGCCCGTTGTATCTGGACACAATTAGGACTTGAACGTTTTTGCTTTCCGGGCTAGGCTGCTAGCTGAATGTGCTTAACTTAGATAATTTACGCTGTTGAAACCTTACGAGCAATTAACATTGTTTTAGCCTACAGGCCCGTAATTAGTAAACAGCCATTGAGTCTACAACTAGTTGCTTTAAAACATGATTTCTTATAGTTTTAACTCAAACAACTTTTCCACGTATAGATTGTAAGAAGTATTGTTACGAAGTCCTTGCGTTTAAAAAATGGTTTAGGAACATCAGCATTGGAGTTCAAATCTGAGGTATTTATTTCATTTTGGGCGTATTTATGTCTTATTGAAATATAACATGTATACTACGACGTGCGTTTATTTTCCCGTCCTATGTAAAGAGCATGGACAATATGCATCTTATCATCCGTAGAAAACAATTGATTTCAACATAACAGGCATATGGCGTATGTCACATCCCCATTACCAATCTTCCTACGTCCCTAATAAGACCTATAGGTTCTCCGTAGGAAATTTGTTGTTTCCTTACATTTTTTCACGCAAGTGCTTTCTGCATGGCGTTTATTCATCTACTCATAAAAATTCCAAACATATTCTGAGAGCTGCCTTATTGAATGCGACATAAAATTAACGCTTGCTCTTATCAATGGCGAAGTCATTTCTCCAGCAACAGCAACATTTTTGCTAAAATATATCAAATCAAGCAATGAGAGGAGTGAAAATGCCGTCTTTGAATGATTGTAACATGATTTTGAAAACCCACTTTTTGAGTGTGAGCTTTGAGAAAACGGGACACAATGTCTGACTCTTCAGGTTGAAAGGTTTTTGTGTATATAGGATTCTGGGTAGACAGAAAGGTACACTAGACAATTGACAAGAAGGTTGAGACAACTAAGATAGACGAAAAGACAGACGTAAAGATTGACAAAAAGTTAGAATGAATGGTTGACGCAGAGGTTCATATGGAGGTAGAAAAAAGTAAACACAAAGGTATACACAAAGTCAGAGATAAAGGAAGAAAAAAGTTACACACAAAGGTAGAAAAAGGTTGACAAGAAGGAAGACAAAAAGGTAGACACAAAGGTAGATAAAAGGTTGACAAAAAGGTAGACAAAAAGGTAGACACAAAGGTAGATAAAAAAGTACACGAAAAGTTAGACATAAAGGTAGACACAAAGGTAAACACAAAGGTAGACAAATGGATTGACATAAAGGTAGACACAAACGTAGACAGAAAGGTAGATAAAACGTGTAATATTGATGGAAATCCAAAAAAATCCAATCCCAACTTAAGCATATACGACAATTTTACATTCATTAAATTTGGTCAGACCACACGATAATATCTTTATAAAATGAATTCTAATCTTTTTCTTTACAAAGAGCGCGGTTAAACTGAAGAAAAATTTAAAGGATACCATTAACAGTTTAGGTGTTGACTGTGAACTAAAGGAACAACTTGTACAAGAAAAGGTATGAATATCTTTGGTTTTATTATAGACTTTCGCGCTCATGCCTACAGTGTGATTTCCTTGTCCGCCATGTTGGTGAAAAATACATGTAGTGAAGAGAATTCATGTTGATCTCATGCTCTGTTGAACATCACCCCTTTGAAGTAACTTTCCAACCGCTAGCTTTGACTTCACCTGAAAACGCATTGAGATTTTTGATGTTTGACAAACATATAAACGTAAGAACCTTTCTTAGTTGCAATCTAATGTAGTGCATAAATAGAGATCTATTTTGGTATATTAAAGTACTGCGCTTCAAGTGACATACCAATCTTGTCGCATGGGCGATTTTTAAGCTTTTGTGGAAACAATATTATGTATGGTGAATGCTTTATTACCCACAAACTGAGTTTCTGAAACTGTGCTTCTCTGTGAATGCTACTTCACATAAGTTCATAATCTGTTCAAAAGAAACAAACCACTATTTACAATCGCACCAATGGTGAAATATGATTCTTAAGCCTATAGTCTGCGTTATTTTGACACGAGACAGACTGAGTTTCAAATTTCTATATAGATTGTTGCATTTAATATGGTTAATGCAATCGTGAAGGAGATCAAATTGGAACCTTCATCGTAAGTATTCTGGCATGGTATCGTGTTGTACTTAGTGGGACAATTTCAAAATGGTTACTTGTGGCCAGTATATTAGGGTTGTAGATGGTGGGACAGTTTACAAAGCTAGCTTGTGGTCAATATCATAGGATTGTACTCGCCAGAACGATTTCACTATAGACACTCGTAGCCAGAATTATTTATTACAGTTGGTAGAACATTTTTTACAATGGCAACTTGCAGCCATTATCGTATGGTTATAGTTTGTCTGAGAGTATCACAATGATACCTAGAAGGGCAACTTGTAGCCAAAATCAAAGGCTTACAGTTTGTAGGACAGTACACTATGGTAACTCGTGGCTAGTATCATTTAAGAAATAGAAGATGTTTACTGTGTTTGCACAGGCTTGTGCAAACCAAGGAGACCTTTGGGAGAACTTGAGAGCTAATCATTGCAAGCCTGAGACTGGTTGCACCTGTTCTGGAGTTCTCACAAACGTCTTCGAGGTTTGCATAGGCCAGAGCAAAAACGAAAAACATCTTTTATTTTTTTTATTTAAAATAACAACAAGGCAAAACAGACGAATTAAAAAAAGTCTTAAATTTTCTTCTAAAATGTATTCATGATTGATTAGCAAATTCTCTTTGATTGGTTTGATTGGTTGAGCTCAGATCGGTTAGCACAGGCTAATGCAAACAAAGCTATAGACCAATCAGCGCATAAATGTTATAGTTGACAGCACAATCTAACTATATGTTTGAGTACCTCAGAGTCATTTGACTCTGAAGATGACTACCGCCAAGGTTGTCGAAACGTCAGTCAACAACAACAAAAACAGTCCTTCTCAGGACTATACCAACCTGGACGATCTACATTTACAAACATGTAACGATACTCCCGGGTTCAAACCATTTACTTTATTACAATCTAACTATGTTAACTCGTAGCCATTATTGTACGGTTATAGTTAGTGGGACAGTTTCACAATGGTACCTCTCGTGTCACTTTTTTTGGTGAGTTCAGAAAGATAACTCGTAGCCTGAATTAATAGCTTATAGTTAGTAGGACAATCTAATTTAGGTAACTCGTAGCCAGTATCACAACTTTATAGTTGGTAGGACATCTGGTTAACAGAATCAAAGGGTTATTAGGTTATGGCTTTAGGGATAAATTGGCAATCGTAACTCGTTCACCAAATTAAAGAGTTGTAGTCAAGTTCTGTTTGCATATGTATGCAACATTCTTTTTATTTTCTTAGATTTATGGGAATCATCAAGTTGCTGCTTTTACTTCTTGCCCCATTGATCGTTGCTTATCTTATTTATCAAATTTGGGTGCAAAAGACGTAACAATGTTTAGCTTATTGATAATATTTTAGTATAAGTTATAACGTCGTGTTAAAACGAACAAGTTAATTTTAGAAAAGTGTGAACTATACAAGTATCTGATAAAAGACGTTAATATGACTTCTGGGGGAAAGGGATGAGGCTTGCAGGTATTACGTCTACGCTCAAAAGCTCATGGTATTATAAAGGTGCACATCCAATACGACAGCAAATACTAATCCAATGGGAAAAAATATGTACGCAGTTGATAAACAAATACATCTGATCATGCAATAAACCCATACATACGATCACACAATGAATGCATACGTACAAACTATCCGCTGTTCGAACTGACGTCTTTGGGAGGGTAGGAGATGGGAAAGATATGTCATATTGACATCTTTTCGGCAGAAACGCATATTTGCAGAACTGACTTGAAAATGCATCGTATGCCAAATTGTCGCTACAACCGTAATGCGTATCTGCGTAGTAAATGAATTGAAATTGAATATAGAAGAAAGTCTGATGTTCTGATTTTATTGTGATCATGCGATCTAGCTAGGCAGACCATTTATCTAAATGAAGGGCGAGGTCCGTTTCCACCCTCTTTGTAAACTGAACATGCATAAAATCATAACTTGTTTATAGTCTTTCTCACGCTCTACGAAGCAATTTCTACTCGACTTTGGCGTTAATTTCATCACGGTAGAGACAGAGCCTTCGAAGCGAAGTGCACTCATTCAAGACATACCGCTTGAAGATGAGTAAACAAATGTGACATATAATATAAGTGGCAACTGACAAAAACTTTGAAACTTTAATATCAATTCTACGAAAAAATTAGCCGGTTTAATTTCCTTCACCTAACCATAAGCTCGCTCAAATTGCTTTTTTCTTCATGTCTTGTCGTTGATTTACATGTTCTGCAATTTTTTGTTGTTGTACGTGCCCGCAGTTCTTATGGTCACCGCAAGATGGCGTCCTTTGCCACTGTGCACTTTACACTCATAAATCATAAAATCTAACCTTATGGACTCAAGTATAACGTCTCTTATTGATACAGAAATAAACACTGGTGTGTGCTGGTCGTTTAGTCCTTGCAAACGTTCCTATCTTCCTGGGGATAGGTTCTTCGAGGTATTTTTAGATGTTCAAATTGTGTTGTGGCAGTTGTGCTTTTTCGTGATAACTGAATTAGCAGTTCTTCTGTGTTGTACTTTAGAGAGAAGTGTATTCCTTAGTGTCATATGAACTCATGACGTAATTAAACGTATGAACATGATCTTGGCAGTTCATTTATTAATTATTTTGTTATCTATTTATTTGTACTACAATATTGTCGATATGTATTAATGCATATGATATGTAGAAACCAGCTCGATAATTAGAGGGTAAAAATTCACGTTTGCGTGTTTTTGCATGTTAAGTTCCTTTGAAATCAGTTTTTATGGTTTATAACATCCATTTACCTTGAACTGGCTTTGCCACTGATTATTTGCCAAAATATAACTACAGATCCAGAACTATGTATTTCATGTATTCAATAATAGAATGTGTGTTTGATTTTGCAAGTAAAAGTTCTTGTTTCATTTCTTTAGGATGGGGACATATTTTGTGGTGTGCTGTCAAAACAGATTTTTCTTCCCACAGAAGATCTTCAATGGGATGATCCAAGTGAAAGGTATGTATAAAAACAAAATCAGACCCAATATGTTCATTAATGGTGGTGAAGAAGCCAGCTCAAATTTTTCATCTTTAAAAATTTTTTTGCTGTTTTTCTAATGAATGAACACAAGCATATTTACATAGCAGAACTAAAAGATCAGGTTGGCTTCTTGTATTCTTGGTGAAAACTGTTGATTAGTTTAGTTATTTGTTTAACTTGTCCCTTCAAAATTTACATTAAATGTGGTTCAAACCACAGATTTTGCCCACCAATTTAGTGAACAGATTGTGTGTGAATTAGCTGGATGTCATAAGGCTTTTGGAAGTGTTGCCAGGTATGTTTTGCATACATTTTACATGTGAAGTTTTTTCAAATTTGGATTGCTCTATGTATAACTTATAAATTATAAGCAATTTAGGATGAGGTTGATTGTGAAATAGTTGAACTAGTGATGATGAATAAACTGTATTGTGTTCTCCACATTATATCTGACTTTTTACACAATAGTTTTTGTTATTTCCTGTGATGTTTTCAGTTATGAAGCACACTACAACAGTTACCATAGAAATACCTGTGCTGAATGTCGTCGAACGTTTCCATCTAACTTTCTCTTGGACCTCCATATATTGGAAAATCATGATGTTCTGTTTAAGCTAATGTTGAATGCAAAATACACAGTAAGCAAACCAAGCATGTTTTTATACACATTTGAACTTATTGTGAGATTTTGATATTTGTTGGACTGGTCTATTTTTCCCTACTGCCTATTATAAACATATGATATTTCCAGAAGTTACCATTATGTACTGTCCTACCAACTATAAGCCCTGTGATTCCCAAAATTCTGACCACGAGTTTCCATTGCGATAGTCTCAAACAAACTATAACAAACTCTATGACAAGGAGTTACTATTGTAAAAACGTTCTTCCAACTATGTTACTTTAACTGTCTAATACTGGCCATTTTGTTGGACTGGTCTAACCCAGCAAATGTTTTTCTCGCGTGCAAAACCAGGAATTTTTCAATGAGCATTAAAAATTCATTAAAAATTCATTTGACTCTGCTTAAAGATCCATGCAAGTGAGTTAAAAAAGAAGCTGACATCGATTGCAAACTAGCCATTAAGGGTTAAAAATATGCACAATATTTATTCAAGATCACAAAATGTAAATGCGTTCGGAAACAGGGAAATGTTTCTTCAATGTTTCCTAATTTACTCACACTCTCCGATTGATATTTTTGCTTTATTTTTTATAACAAAGGAAATACGCTTATAGGCAACGTACGAACATCGTTATAATTTTCATCACAAAAAACAAAAACTCACGTGATTAGTCTTTTCACCAAAATAACATAAAGTTTCCAACAATGCTTATGAAGAAACATTGTGTAATGAAAGCCATAAAAGATAATTGGCTCAGCATCACTCAACCAACTGTTTAAAAGTGGTAATTTTGTAATACACTTGTAGGTAGCTAGATCCGTGACTATCGCACTTTTCATGCAAAATTATCATGCATAAAGCTTTTGTGCAATACTATATTTTCAAACTTTTTTGACTCTCTTCTCCGAGTTCATAGTCCTGCACAACTAAAAATTTCAAGTTTACTTTCGGCGTAAGTAGATCCAATAAAATTATATGTTTCTTTGCACATTTAGTATCGATGTCTTGTCGAGAGTTGCCCAGATAAGTTTTCAAACGATGGCGAACGAAAGGTACGTATGACACCAATGGAGTCAAACTCCACTTCTAAATTGGAGGCATCATCTGTAGGATAGCCAGCCTAAAACATTCACTCGCGTGATGTGACAACTAAATACATCACTGAAATGAATAGAACGAGCCTTTATTTTTGTGCCTTATTGTATTTTACTAGGAACATTTGGTCACCGTCCACAAATATCCGGCGAATTTTCGTTTCAACAGACCTACACGCAAGCAAAGAAAACTCCACACCGAATCTGCGGAGTCCATGGACACTTCGAAACCAACCATTGATATGGTGTGAATCAGATAGTTATGTTTTTCGTAATATGATAGTTTTACGGGCTTTATTTTCACCTCGTGTTGTGCATATTAAGCTATTCTTGCATATTCCACTGCTGAAGTTTAAACGTAGTTATCCAGAAATGAGAAATGCCTTTAATTCTTGGTTTATCATTGTTTGCAATATGGATGCCTTTAATTCTTGGTTAATCATTGTTTGAAGTTTGTTCTTTTCCACTTATAGAGCTCAAATTCAACCTGTGATCTGGTTTCTGATACAGAAATGCAAAGGTAGGAACCTATATACTTCAATGATTCTGTACTATTTGTGTGGTAGTTTTCCAATTGTTATTACGTGAATTTCTCCCAATTTTAGATTTCTGTCTTTATAGCTGATAATCAATCCCTTTTCTACATCCTTCCTACAGTTAGAGGGAAGAGAAAAAGGGCCCTGGGAAGGAGTTAGCAAATATTTGCATATTAAACAAAACTGCGCCGGGTTTTAAAGTTTAGACATTTTTTCACAAAAATACTCCAAGCTTGTCTTTTTACAACCCACTTCAGTCTGTTGCCTTATTTTATTTTAGCTCATCTCCAGAGAAGATGGAAATTATTCTAAACGAAAAAAGAAGGTATAGTAAATGTGATTATATGTAAAAATTTTCGCATAGTATTTGATGATCATGTTGAATTGTTTGAAATGTATGGTGGTGTATTAAAAATTATTCTCCACTAATCAACGTATGAAAGGTAATAAAAGAGTTATTGACAGGAAAGCCTTGTTATGTGTTTTCAAGGATACCAAAGAACGTTTGTTTTGGTCGTGGCTCAACGGCTGCTTTTCATAGAAGAGGAAAATCAAAAGGACGGCGTAAATAGATACAATACAGTACAACAACACAGTACAATTAGCGGAAATGGTAATGTTTTGATCTTTATTGTTTAGCGAATACTGGACATTTGACACTCGATATAATTTAACTCTGTTCAGTTTATATAAGACTTTTGAAGAAGTTCCATATTTTATATGCATTGATTGATATATTTCATACAGTAAATAGTGAATGACAACGTTTCCTTGATATATTTGTTGCAAGTGGTACTATTGTTCTAAAACATTTAACATTTTATCATAAAATTTTCGATGTTTGGTGTGAAAGTAGGCATATTTATGACATTAAATTATAATTCAGCGTCTCAAAATCACATAGAATCCCATAGTGGGTGGTTTTATGCATCAAGTGCAAATTGTTTTTGTTCGCAATCAGACGTTTGGCCACTGTTCGTCTCAACATTGAATTCGAAGCAATTATTTTTCTATACGAAGAAACAAGTTGAAAAAAGTTTTCACAGTGTCAAGCATTGTCCTGTGGTGAATCAGCACTATGACGCGCATGTCCTTAGCCAATAGTTCACATTTAAAGGCATCTCGACCATTGAGTTCTATAATAACTGGAGCGGCTATCTCAAACACGGCTTTAATTAGCGGCTGACGCCAAAAAATAGGTCCATTGGCAGCCATTTTTTTGGCGTCAGGTCCCAGTCCACTTAGCCGCTCCAGTTATTATAGAACTCGATGATCTCGACTATTTAATGTTAGGTTCGGAAAAAACTTACTTCCTCGAACTTATTGAATAAATGACTGTGCAGACAAGATAGGCTTGCCTTATTTGATAGGATGAATAAATTTCATTGTTTGATGCTTTGCATAATACCATAAAACAATGGTCAATTGTCATTTGCATTTTGTGTATATTTAATGAGGGCAACATAATTCTTTTGTTAAGGAACAAGACGTACTGTTTTTACAGTTGGCTTTAATAAACATCCGGTAATTTGTTCAAAACAATTATGTGGAACAAACAAAGAATGATATGCATATCACCATTCACTAAAATGTTATTCTCTTTAGCTTTTTGGCACTTATGAACTACGAGGCGTCGTGGTAAACACTTATTGTTTATACGAAGTTGAATAAGACCTCATAAAACCAACAAGTATAACGTATTTAAAAGATTTTTGGTGGTGCACACAAAGTAGTCGGCGCAATAATTGGACTACAAGACGAGTATCATTAGTTTTCTGCTGATGACTGAGAGACGTCTCATATGATGGCAGGTGTGTTAGAACGTGTTGGTAAAAAATCAAGATCGCCATTATATCTGTGACTGCTACAGAACAAGAAATGGTATTTATGAACTCGAAAAAACTTGTTGAAAATATTCTCGCTACCAACAGCTAAAGTAAATTGTTGTTCCTGTGGTTTTTGATGATAACAAATCGTCAAGGAGAGCTCGCCAAAATTGTTAAAAATTAGTAACGAAACCATTCGCGCTTTCATTCTATAAAGGAGCTGCAACAGTTGCTACAATTATAAACTGAAGATTTCGTGGTTATATTCATTTCAAACGTTATTAGATGATTACACTAAAGTTAAAACTTTTATAATAATAAGTTTTGAAAATGATATTTGATACATCTCGCCCTATTTATATTTATTACCGAAAAGCAGAAATTGGCCCTAATTCCTACTTTATTTTGAGCTGCACACATCCATGGTCAGCTAGTCTAGTGAAATGATGGTTCAGTGTCACTGCATGATCTTTGGGTTTGATACTTGTATGATACTTTCGTTTTGCAGCAATAGCCTTTTATTAAGATGCACTAATGAAAAAGTAAAATAGAAATTCCAACATGGCATTGTATCGAAAAGGTTTATGCTCGGGCGTAAAACTTCATTGTGCCTGTCTGCTGGTTGAAGACCGTTTTGTGGTAATCGTTCTTTATTAAAATGGACTTAAGAAAAGGGTTAAATATAAGTTCCAAAGCACTTAACTACGGGTACAACACTCGGCCAAAATTTTTCATGCGAAAATTTGAGAAAAAATAAAAGTGATATTTCAAGCAACCATCTCTACCTTTCACCTCTCCCCATCTTCTCTTTCCATAACACAGCACTGTCCTTCATCTTTCATACGATTCTCTCACTTGCAGGTTGACTTTAACGGACTTACTAAGGTGTAGAATCACGAGGAGACGGGTGAGCTTCGAACCGCGACGACAAGCGGAGAAGGCAAAAACGGTGACCACCATACTTTTGCTGCCGGTTAACAGCTATCGTTGACGGTTCGTCAATGATAACTGTTCGCCATAGGCACAGCATAAGGAATATACAGTAGGGCCACTTTGCTGTGCAACTGGCTGCTGTATATTTAATTATTTTCTGGCTGCCGTTTGCCATATCGTAAATCCTATTGGTCACACAATGTAATTTACTGGCTGGCAATATGGTAATCACATGCGTAATAAGATATGCGTGAACTATAGTCTTTGGCATGAAAATGCGTGAACTATAGTCTTTGGCATAAAAATGTGTGAAGTATAGTCTTTGGCATGAAAATGTGTGAACTATAGTCTTTGGCATGAAAATGTGTGAAAATGCATGAACTATAGTCTCTGGCATGAAAATACTTGGAAATGCATTAACTATAGTCTACACACATTTTCTTGCCAAAGACTTTAGTTCATGCATTTTCACACCTTTTCATGCCAAAGACTATAGTTCACGCATTTTCATGCCAAAGACTATTCTTCATGCGTTTTCACACATTTTCATACCAGAGACTATAGTTCATGCATTTTCACACAATAATGTTAAAGACTAAACTTCATGCAATTTCACAAATTTTCATGCCAAAGACTATAGTTCACGCATTTTTATGCCAAAGACTATAGTTCACTCATTTTTATGCCAAAGACTATAGTTCAAGCATTTTATTTGCGTGAAAATGTGAAAAAAATGTGTAAATTATACTCATCGCATGAAAATGTGAAAAAATGTGTAAATTATATTTATTGCGTGAAAATGTGTAAATTTTCACAATTTATAGTCTTTGCATGAAAATGTGAAAAGTTGGTAAATTATATTTTATGCATGCAAATGTGTAAAAATTCGTGAATTGTAGTTAAAATGGGAAAAAACGCATAAATTGTATTTTTTGTGTGAAAATTATTAAAAATGTACGAATTAAACAGCCTGCCTTTTATATGTTTAAATATGGTGCGGTATAACCACTGACAAATAGCTTTCTTGGTGGACGTCGTTGTAACTACGCACTGACAGCTTGCAGTGTAAAATGGAGTATCGTTGAGAATCACTTCCAAACTTGACATAATAGTCGTTCTACATGTGGTCTCTCGTAAATATCGGTAAATATTTCAGCTTGATCACAGCTGCTTCATCTCCAAAATCATCGTTTTCAAGTAATGTTGAAAGCACCATTCAATTTTTTTCTTTCTTCTCGTGTACTTCTAATTCGAAATATTTCAGCCATTGCACCTGCTGTTGTTCCATTAATACATAAATCTGAATTCAACAGTACTTTTATAGGCTTTGTTAATTATTTATACATAACCTAACACATAAGTTCATGGTATAAGAGATATCTTGAAAACTGTAGTTCTTTTGATTTAGCCATATTATAGATGGTGTGCAAGCACCTCCCTGGGGATGAAAGAACAGTAAAATATTCGTTGCATTGGATGACATTTGCTTAGTACGAGAGGAAAATCTTTGTCAAAATCGTCCAGCTTGGCGGTCATGACATACTTGCACCAACTTGCACACACTAAGACCAATTTAGTGCGCAACTCAGACTCCTTTTAAACGTGAACCAAATGTTATTAAATTCAATAGATTTACCTGTCTGAATCGTTATTCAAATTGTGCCTTACAATCAGTGTTGCGTCCAGTCCCGTATAGCACAAAAACAATGCACATGACGCACAACACAATTTATGAGGAGATGATGTTTAATGATTTTGAGGCACTGAAAGGAATGGCTCAACTTGAACAAATAAAGTATAAGACAGTGAAAAAGTATTTTTCATGGAAGACGACATATACGACACTCGAAATTGTATTTTTCTCATAGAAGACGACACGAGCGACATTTGAAAATATATTTTTCACATAGAAAACGACATGAACGACATTTGAAAGTCGTTATTTTACAAGACGACATGAACGACATTTGAAAATGTTTAAATCGTTTAACGTAATCGTGTAATCGATTACAATGTAATTGATTATTAAGTCGTGTAAGAAATTGATAGTATTCAATGACTTTTGAGTGGTCAAGTGCACAGTGTATTAATATTGTGATGGTAAGTTCATTTCCTTGATTTTAGGGATGAGCAAGTAGATTGAAGATTAAGTTGTATTTAGATAAGTAAAGGCAAGATGAACTAAGTGGGAATGTTTTGTAAAGAATAATTTATAATAAGAAAACAGGCGAGTTTTTTAGTGAGAGAAAAAGAAAGGAGAAGTTTGTCTGGTTTGCAATAACAATTTTTTTACTTAATTGCATTGTAATCGATTACACTAATCGATTTGAAAAATTTAAACTGTTTTCAGTTTGTCGGTCCATACATCTAAAATGTAATACAGTCATGGCCTTTATTGCAAAATGTTTTGAAGTGCCTTGCATGTAAGAGCAATATTTCATCAAACGCAAAACCATACAATAATAAATTTTAAAACTTCCACATGCAAAGTAAACAAACACGCAACTTTAATAATAATAACTTGTAAGAGAAATTAGGAAAGCTTGACATCTTGTAATACGACTAAAATATGAGGCAGTCAATGATAGACGTAAGGCTAAAGACATACTAAACTTATGCTTTTTGATAAAATCTTTTCCCTTCGCTATTCATATAAAACACTTTATTGAAAATTAGTGATCATTCTTAACGTCATAAATGATGAATTTTAACAATTGCTAATTATTTTTTATAACAAACATGAACTAACCTTTTTATCCAAAAACTCGGTCATCTTCATTTGTCCATTCTCAAACAACTTGTACTTCTTCCAGATGTAGTTCAATTCCCTTTTTACCAACGATTTTTCCGTTGTACACTTGCGGTAATGTCCTCAGTAGATTCAAATATTTTGTCAACATTGATGCCATACATCGTTAATTAATGATTAAAAAAATTCATTTTCGTAATTCAGGTAGACAGAAAGGTAGACAGAAAAGTAGACATAATGGTGGACATGAAGATAGCCTAGAAGGTAGACCTAAAAGTAAACATAAAGGTAGACAGAAAGATAAACAAAAAAAGTAGACACAAAGATAAACAAAACGATAGACACACAAAGGTAGACAAAAAGACAGGAAAAAGGCAGGTACAAGAATGTAGACACAAAAAGTAGACACAAAATTTTGAACCTTAGAATGTGCAGTTAAAACACCCATGACATTGCACTACTTATTTAGGTTTTTTTTGATCGATATTATTTTAACTATGCATTGATTGTTTTCATTGATATAGAGCGGATTTCTTCGAGGATTGCTCCCAATCTTGATTTAGTATTTTCCCTCGGACTGCATGGTAACAAATATCGAATGGTTTATAAATTGATGTCGCTAAAAAAGGCTCCTTCGTCTCGCTGCTTTTCAATTGACAAAATATCTGATATCTTTTAACTCTTTTTGAATTCCAATGAACAAACTAACAAACTAAAATAAAAACTACCAACAAATAAACGTTCTAATTTTAAATTAATATTTTGATCAACAAAGAATTTATTTACACTCATTTATATGCAACAAAAATACCTAATTTATCAATACTTCATTTTCTGTGCACACAACGAAAAAATGATCATGTGAAAATTTTCATTGGACTTTGTTTGCATCTAAAAAAACTTAGTTTGTGTTGCAATTTGACCTGTATGCATAAGAAATAGAATAGTTATAACAAGAATCATCGTCAAACCACACAGTAGACTGCCTCGAACTGGAGTAAGAAACAAGTAGGCCTACAAAATAAAAAAAAACAATATGGTCATAGCAAATTTTCAAAATTCAGTTGTAATCGAATTTCATAGGGTATGGACAAAGGAAGATTGATGGTTAATTAAAGAGGGGGAATATTCATATGCTCAAGTTATAATCGAGACACAAATGTAGACAATAAGGTAGACAAAAATGCAGACAGAAAGGTAGACATAAAGTAGACAGAAACACATGCAGAAACAAAGGTACAAAGATAGACAAAATAGAAGAGAAAAAGATAAAAAAAAAGATTGACAAAAACGTAGACAACAAAGGTAAACGAAAAGTTGGACAAAAGACAAAAAGTGGACAAAATGTGGAAAATATCAAATATAGGTATAGATAAAAAAAAAGGTAGAAAGCAGTAGATAAAACACAAAGGTAGAAAAAAGTAGACACAAAGGCCGAAAAAAAGGTGAACACAAAGACAAACACAAGTTAGAAAAAAAGTTATTCACAAAGGTAGGCACAAAGATAGACTCAAAAGAAGACAAAAATGTACACACATAGGGTGAAAAAAAGGTAGACACGAAGATAGGCAGTAAGGTAGACAACAGAAGCGAAACCAGCCCGATCTTTCACTCCAACAATGCGAATTTTTCAGCAAATTATAACTTATTTCTTTAAAAAATTAATTCAATTCATTGTTTCCTTAGTAATTGAACACAAAAGTATTTGCATTGTAGGTATGATAAATGACTGGTTATACTACTACTATACAAAACGTAGACAAAACGGTATATACTAAACAAACGAGGACAAACAGGCAAGTTATAGTTAAAAAGGGAGACACAAAGTAGACACAAGCATAGACAAAAAAGTAATGAAAGAGGTCGGCATAAAAATTATGAATATTGCCCCCCTCCTTCAATTAATAATCTTCCTTCGTCACGGTTTAATGCCCATGACAACTGTTGGGTATTAATTCCGTGTTCTACAATTCGAAAATTTATCGCTAATCCTAATCCAAATCCAATCCTTTAGGACATACCTAATATTTCACAGTTTATCACGATTTGCTCATCATTATTTGCAAGTTTCACATTTTTCCAGTCAATACAGAGTGTCTACATGCATGCACGGCTTTAATGTATGGACAAAACTAGATGCTTGAAGAATGAACTGCATTTATTGATCTGGATGAGAAAGAGCACAGCGTGCTACTGCAAGGATGCAGAAGATAAGCCTGCGCGCTGTTAAACAAAATATGGAGGTATTGAAGATGACAGGTTCGTTGAAAGACCGCAAAACGGAGGGCTGTCGTCAGGTTAAAATGATGAGGAAATATAAAAACTTTAATACAAGAGTTTAAAGATGCTTTGGGGAAAGAAATATCTTCAAGTACAATAAGAAGAAGGTTACTGGTGCAATACTGGAGAGAATGCGAATTGTGTAAGCTAGGAGCAAAAATAATATTTTGTGGAGTAAAGAGGAAATATTGTTTTTAGAAGAATTTAATTTTTCAAGCTGATCTCTGAAAGAAGAATATAAATCAGAGGAACGCTAGTATCCAAAATGTCTTGTTTCCTATTTGAGAAGATTTGGCAAATGAAAAAGAAAATATTTGAAAAGTAAGACTTGCAAGAGTTTATTAGAACTATAAACAGTCATCTTTGAAAATGGAATTGTACTGATGGCGAATAAATATTATTATATTATTATTGTCGTTTATTAATATGTTGGTGCTCATTTGATATGTTCTTGCCTCATAAATATGTTGTTGCTTCATTAGTATTGTTGTTAATTATTATGTTGTTGCTTCATTGATATTGTTATTCATTAATATGTTGTTCCTTTTTAAAGAAATTTCTAGCCATCAGCGCTTTTAGGTATTTTGAATGTAAAATGCAGTGCATAATGCATTCTGAACTTCCCTAAATCCGCCCTCTGGGTTGGAAATTGGGGGATAACAGGGTTACGTTTTCGTTTAAGTTTCTGCAGCATTTTTTTTCATGAATAGTTGAACAGTTTTGAAAGTACAGTCTACGTAAAGTACACTGTACGAAAGACGGCTTCCCTGATTGGTTATTGTGAGTATAAATGATATCATGTGATGTGTACGCACCTTTAAATGAGCACTTTGAACAAAATTCAGGAAGGAGTCAAGCTCCAGTTGTGAACTAGTTTGGTGGCCAAAAACTCGAACATCCAACGAAATTTGCTTGAATTGTGACGCAATACCCGTTACTCTGGCGGCCTGTATAATCCAGACAATAATAATTAGAAAACCCTTAAAATATGGATCAGTCAGAGTAGGATATTAAACAGAGCAGGTAGTTTTTACTATAAACATGCGTCAAAAGACAACTGAGGCTTTCGGTGTTCATTACCTGAATGACAGGGAAAAATATTGCAAGAGATTTGACAATCACATCGATTGTTCTGTACAGTATAACTTCCACGGAATGTTTGTCCTCATCGACAAATAGGTAAATAGAATCTGGAATAAGGATCGAGAAGAGCAAATCATTGTTGATAGCTAATGTAGATTTAAATAGTAATCGAGTTGGTGGATTCGTTGTATTGTCTTATTTGTGTGCATGTCTATAAAGTTTGCTGTCAAGCAAGTTGGGCATGTTACAATGTAGATGGCATTCACAGAAAGACAAATGTATTCAAGGTGTGATTTTTTTTAGAGTAAATATGATAATAAATAAAGAGATAAATTTTATAATTTTTCGCCTCTTATAATTTTATGGAAATGCTTTGAAATTCCATGAAATTTGATTTCGTATGAATATTACCTTCATACAGATGCTCTTCATTGTCGACATAAAACACAACTATACAAAGTTTTAAGGAAGGAACCTTACTTATTAAACAGTTTTCCAAGAGCGTAAATACACACAAAGAGACCATAAAAGATAGCAAAGAATTCATTCTTTCAACTGCATTTTTGATCTCAAGTATGTCCTGAAAGGCACATAAGAATTTCATGGTATTAGAGGAGTACATGTCCACTTGAATTTTTAAGAAAGTACTGAAGGACCAACTCAATGTTTGAAATACACATAGTCAGAACAAGCGGTTAAAAATTCACGCATACACAATACACGGTTCAGATACTGAAGTGTATTCAATAGGTAGATTTGCACAAGAAGTGTCAATGAGATTATACAATTAGAAAATGCTTTAAAAGGCAGCTGTATACCTTTACTTATTAATAACAAAACTATGTCGAAAAAAAACAACAACAGCATAAAATTAGAGACTTGCTGATGGATTTATACGAGTAAATTTTACGTGAATTCACTAAAATTGAAACTACGCAATACATCTTTAATCTTTTGGTATACATTACGTAGATTAGCTTAAGGTACGTGTTGTTGATAGATCATTGATCAAAGAAATCTCAAGCAATATAATTGATGATGCTTACTTTCATGATACTCTGAAGATCGGCGGATTTCTCTTCGATTCTTCGTGTTACACCTCTTATATAATGAATAATAAGTTGACACTGAGCTGCATAATTTACGATGATTACAACGTTAACCAATTCCGAGACAAGTTGACCAGCACACATTAGTAAAGCTGCCAATGTTAGTCGCCTGTATTGGAAATTGAAAGCAATTAGATAAGGAGATCACTTATAACTGATACTGAAGGTAACTTGCATTGTATCTAACTACGCATGTGCGGGAATTGTCGCCAAGAATCGTTGATTGAATACGTAAAAATAAATTAAAAAGTGTACGCAATTTTTTCACGATTTCTTTTTTTAAAAAAACCAAAAAGACCGTTGTAGCAACAATTTCTCTATAATGATAAAAATAGCTGGACTTAGTTATTCAATAATATACGAGAAGCAAGAGTGACATGGTCGGCCCTCAAGTTTGGTCGTGCCATACAAATTTCAGATCAATAGCAATCAATTACTTCCGTAGAAATCTTATATTTCTTCAGCCGTAAACATAGAATTAGAAATATATACATAGCACGGGCTGGCTAATGATGAAAGAATAGCATTGTTTTTCTAAATGATACTTATAGGTTGTCGTGAATGCAGCTATAAATAATTTTTGTGAGTTCATCATGGTAAAGAATTGAGTAATATCTAAGAAGATATTTTTATCGAAGTTCATGCATAAGAGACAGTAAACATCATTTAGATGCAAACCAAAACGGGGACTACTTACAATCTGTTGTGTCGAAATCCCGTCACCGTTTCAGGTCCAAAAGCGAGTATGAAGAAAACAAAAATGCCCATTTCGAGAACCAACCAAACCATACCGAGGATGAGAAAACACCTAAATGTGTGTGAATTGCACGTTGAATTTTTATATTTAACTTTTGATTACTTTCATATAATAAGCCCATCGAGTCTACAGTAAATATTGAGTCTTATTTACTAAATAAGTTTCCTTCTTCTCTCTATGAATGTTAAGGCCGATAGAAATCATTTCTTGCAGCTAGCACGAGAGATTTATGTATAATAACCTACAGAGGAGTAGCCAGGTGTGAGCAAAGGGGCATTTGTCTCTCCTTTTTTCGTGACAATTTCAAATTGACAACTAAATATGTTGCTTTTTCCCAGCACGTCCTAAGTGACTCCCTCACCCCCCCCTTTTTAATAAATCCGGCCTACGCCTCTGATCATGATACATACCATGACGACAATGTAACCTCAACATGTTTCTGCTTCGAACTTTGTAGGAAAACCTAAACGGTTAATATTAATGATAGTTTTTCTTTCCTGAAATTTTCAACTAAGAAATAAATGGCAAAAAGATGACCGAATATCTAAATGATCATTTTCTTCAAATCCATAAACATGGACGCCTCTAGTATGTTTCTGCTAGCAGATGAAGAGGTAATCACACTATCCATGATTGTACAACATATCATTCATGGTCGCAAGATGATCAATAAAAATTTACCAGATATTAATGGTTTTATAACGTTTTTATAATGGGGTTTTTATAACGTTTTTATAACGTTTTTATAACGTTTTTTATAATGGTTTTATAACGTTAAGTTTTTCTACCAGATATTTATGGTCCGTCATTATCTTTGACGGACAAATCATAAACCTTGATTAGTAAATACTGACCCAAGATATTTCCCGCACACATGAAGTAAAATGAAATTGCTTGCAATCTTCATTTCCAAAAATTTTACCTACATAGTGCGGCAAACATCTACTGCACCCTGTATTTATCACCTGTACCTACTAATCAACCACACAGACAGAAGCTGTAGGTAGCCTGCAGGTGTGCTCGTAATATGTAAGTTTAAGATTGCTAGTTATATTTTTTCATGTAGGTGAAATCCATAGCTGTAGTCCTTTTTAGAGTCGAAACGTCAGGCAATAACACCAATAGTCCTTCAAACTCCTTCTCACGACTGCACTAAACAGGACGATCTGCGTCCATAAACAAATAACGATGCTTACGGGCTAACACACTTTAACACTCATCACAGTTGTTACCACGTGTTTCATGCTTAATTTGACTGATCAAGCATCATAAATTTTGTGACAACGTATTAAGGGTGAGATGTGCCAAAACATATACATACCACAAGGGGTTGTAAGCAGAGTAAATCAGTGCAAGTGAGTACAGTTTGCTAAACGTCAAAGTCACTGGACAATCGAAGAAGTTCGTTTGGTCTACAATATAGTGAGAGAACGTCGTTCTCAAGTTGTGGTGTGTTTCTGTCATGCTATGAAACTGTTATACGCACTACAACATATATTTCCTTCTTTGATTAGCAACATGTGACGGGTTTTTTTCCTTGACAACCCCCTACAGACCAAATCTATTAAAGTAATATGACTTGGAGACTTTTGAAATGAAACCAAAATAAATGATGTATTTATTGCTATCTCAATCCACCTTTCCAACGGTAAGCACACGTGTCAAAAATACAAGATCAAATCACAAAATTCGGACAATCAAATGACCGGACATAGTATTGTATTAGTAGAAAAGTGGCAATAAAATAGAAAGAAGATGCTCTTGGGGCATTTGTAAATCTTATTTTAGAAATCCAGAACGACTAAATATTAAGGCAGAAGGTGTAAGAGTGAATTAAAACCATTTTCCGTCGAATCAAAGGAATGCTTGGATATGACATGCAATATATATGCAGATCAGATACAAAGTTATAGAGAAATATAACAACATCTCTAACGTTGTCGTGGATATTACGAGTGCCACTGGCCCATTAGAAAATGTTGATGCCTCACCAATTTATGAAAACCAAAGCATGCTAAAAATATATGATTGAAAACTTGCTTAGCGTATCTACAAACAGAAATTTCAGAGCTCGCTCAGTTACAAATTATTTGAGAATTAACCTGACATGCATAGTTAATTCCACCAACTCTCTAAGTTCATGGTCATGGCAACGACCAACTGGATGCACTAGTAACGATTATGGAGAAAATAGTTGCCAGAGACAAATTTTCAGATGAATAATTTGCGCATGCGCAGTCTGCTTGAGCATGCGCAGTCAACTTGGCTAGTTGCCCAAGTTCATGGCCATAGCAACGACCAACTACATCTACTAACACCAATTTTGAAGTAAATAGCATGCTTAGTAACAATTTAATAGAGAAATCATCTGCGCATGCGTTCGAGCATGTGCAGTCCACTCGAGTAATTTTCATAGTCATGGTAACGACCAACTATATGTACTTGCACTACATTTGTGGCAATTAGTTCACTTATTCGCAAATTATCAAAGAAATCATCTGAGCATGCGCAGTAGTTACTGTAATAATACCACAACTTTCGTAAGCCTTTGAATTTGTGTATGTATGTATAAAGCTAAAACTTCATAGAGTAGATGTCAACTAGCAGTGGAAGCTGGGTGCGATATAGTTTGCTGTGGCTTAGGGGCCCAGACTTCGGTCGCGACCGCACTCTCCCTGCGTACCCCGAGCAAAGCCTATCGAGAGGTGATCTCGGGGTCTGATGGGCGGAAGCTTGCTATTGCATCTCCCAAGTAGGATAGCGTGGAGGGGCCGAAATCTCTAACCGAAACGTTAACATGCGGCGTTCTAGTGCCTTACGCTTAAGAAGGTATCGGGAAGCATGGACCGAAAACGGGGTTTTTTGCTTTCGAATTTGATCTTTTTCTTTACAAAATAAATCAAGCAATGGTTCAATTAACTTTTTCTGATACTGTGCCTTTTTCTGACACTTATAATTTTAGACAACCTTAAACATATTTTATACAATTTTTACTGGTTTATACTGTATCTTTCTGATTTAGCTCTCTCATTTACTGTTTCTCATATATCACGAGCAAACCATCCATGGGCTTCATACCAAACAAAGATTATTTGGTTCCCTTCAATTAACATGCGACGCTCTAGTGCTTAACTATCTCGGGGCATAGGGGGGCATGGATCGAAAACGGTGTTATTTGTTTTCGAAATTTGTCTTGTTTCTTTACAAGAATTCTTCTCATAAAAGAAACTAGAACATCCAAAGATCCTGCAAAGGTTCAAACAACTTCTGCCTTTTTGAATTATAATTTAAACCAACTCTAAACATGTTTATAAGTTTTTTAGTTGTTGTCTTTTACAATGTAACTTTCTCATGACTCTCTCGTGATCAGCCAGAGCCTCCTTATACAATGTAACTCTCTCATCATGAACTAAAGTGTCCATGGGCTTCACGGAAAAAGCTATTCTACACTTTTTAATAATAGTTTTTACAAAGATAACATTTATAAGTCAAGCTATTTGTCTTGTCTAAATTGAAACGTTATGTCATAAAATTTTATTTCATTTTGGATGGTAAATTTCTTTTTATCTTACAATATTTTCATGATTCAATCTAGAAAATAACTTTTCTTCTCAAGTCATTTTGCGATTAAATAATACACTTTTCGGATTCAAAGAACTTCTTTTGATCACATAGAGGCACCTGTCCAATATATTACGTAAATGCCAGTAGTATGCATTTCGTTGTAAGAAACCACCCTACCAAAGAATATCTAGATCCGACTTTAGCAGCATGGAGCGAAGAAAATTGCAAGTCATAGAATTACTTTAACTGTTATTTTTATGATATTTATGATTCGATGTATCATGAGATTCCATAAGAAATTCATGACTGCTTTTTAATGCATCGACACCTATTTATAACAAGACAATGTTTTATTACATTTATAACAAGACAATGTTCAAACCATTTACTTTATTGCAATGTTTTATGTTACCATTTAGCATCATCGTAATTTTATACATTTAAATAATCGTTCTGAATAACTATAATCAGATTCACAAAAGCCCCAAAACTCAAAAGCATCTTCGAACCATTTTATTGCCACTATTCTACATAAACAATACTATGTCCGACCATTTGATTGTCTGAATTTTGTAATTTGACATCGTATTATTGACACGTGTGTGTGTATCGTCGGAAAAGGTGGGTTACCGAGAAATAGCGCTTTTTAATCACACCAAATTTTGCTGACTTGCAATGTCATGCGGAGTTAACAGTAAGTTTCAAGCAAAATTTTTCTACTTTACCATATGTAGGATTTAACATAATCTCATTTCTTTACCTTTTCCATTAGAAAGTACAATCCTTCGTGTTGTCGTATTCGATACAAGTAAAATCCGATTAGGTAAGCAGTCAGATGAAGCAAACTGGGTAGCACAAAGGTGCCAAAAACATGTCTACATTCTTTATATGCTGGTTCCCAAGGCTCATCATACTCATCGTCATCACTCTCCTTAACTATTTGTTTTGACCTGTTTAGATTTGTCATGTTGGAAGACGCAAAGTGAACAGGACTCTTCGAAGCAGGAATTGTGCTGTTCATTGATGATTTCTAAAAGTAACGAGGGCAATAGGATTTTACCAGACAATACAACGTGGGAGACAAACAACAAGTAACATGTGCCAGAAGAATTGTACAGAACCTTGATTTCTCCTCGACAGGCAACGGCACTGGCAACGTAACTGAACAACAGCAACGATATGATCATAACAGGGTATATTGTGTTTACACATTTCAAAAGGAATGCATTCTGTTGAGGACTCATTCCTCCATAAGGACGCCAAGCAATCTAAAACATACAAAGGGAAATCCATCAGTGATATGACCTTATCCATACACATTTCTCAGTTTTCCTGACGAGGTTGCAATATTGGCAAATGGCTAGAGATTATCTTTGATAGTTGTGTCGTCAAAAGTTATATAATACGATGAATATAAGACGATTTTTTCGTCCGCATTTTGACGTAAACTGGCGAGGATAAAAAGGTTGTATTCCACGTAACGTGAGATATGGCCACAGACCTGCCAACCCCAAGGAATACAAAACCTTGAGATTAATGCAGAAAAACCGGGAGATCTGGCAAAAAAACTGGAGATTTCTATTCTTGTATACGACATATTTTTAGATTGATTTATTAGGCAAATGGCAATGATTACCTCAAGTGTTATGCACAAAAATTTTAACTGGCAGCCATTTTGTGTTACATAATTATACGAAAAAACGAAAATCAATGTCATGCCCAGTTCCCGGCGCACCGCGGCTACAATACGTTATGTTTTGAATGCTTTTCATCGAGTATTTCTTTCCATGCGATGAATAAAAATGCCAAAAAACTTATAAAGCCTAAGCTTTAAAAAATCCGGGAGATTTAGTATCTTTGTCGGGAGGTCGGGAAAAATGCAGCAAAAGCGGGAGTCTCCCGGCGAAACCGGGAGAATTGGCAGGTCTGTGGCCATATATACGCAGGGGCGGATTATCTAGTAGGCTAAGTAGGTTTAAGCCTACAGGCCAGGGCTTTCGAGAGACCCGTTGTATCGAGACATTTGAAATTACTGAGTATTCTGAAGCTGCTGTAACTGTACGGGGTAACTATTTTCAGTACATTTCACCAGGTTTCTATATTTTTTTACATAGGATTTGGACGTTTTTGTTATTCCGGGCTAGCTAAACGAGCTTAATTTAGATCATTGATGCTGATGAAAACCCATACGAGCAATTGAATGCAGAGGAAGAATGGCTTTAGTGCTATCTACTGCTCAAATTTCAAATGCGCAATGCTCAGGACTCAGGAAGTACTGGCTTTTCCCATTTCCCTGACCATGTCAATGATTTTCGAAATTTCATTTGAACTTTAAAATGAATTTTTTCCCATTTTTTACCTTATGAGGTTACAAATAGGAAATGCAAAAGCAAAGGAAAGCTGAACTTAGTAGGAGGAATAGATATCACTTACAGGGATTTAGCTATTAAAGCAGTTGGAATTATTTTTTTTTTTTTCAAAACTAATGTCGGGATTTTTTTCTTTGGAGTAACTTTTTGGGAAACTTGATTAACTAATAAACGACATTTCCACATGTTATGAAGATAAAACTCGCTACCAAAGCCAGTCGGTTCTCTGCTCAACTTGTTACTGGTAGAGTGCAGTGACTAATCACGAATGTTTGATGTATGAAACGACAGTCTATATACATACAGAGTACAGTGCTCATATCTGTCTTACGGAGTCTGGGAACGAAAGTAAGAAAATTGTCATTTTTGGAATCTTGGTGTAGTTTGGTAGCTTAATTGGGTGTTGGCATTTTTATAAAATTATAGTTGACAACTGGCAATGTTGCTTCATTTTTTTCTAAATATTAATGACAACCGACTATGGAAAATTTTCAGTTGACATAATATGTATATACAATGTATTTCTAAAGTTCTATAATGCTGTACTTACAATTCCAAGTAATTTATAAAAAGGTATTATGATCTGTTTTTTACAATGCAAAAGAGCAACTGTTGTAGGATTAAGTGAGCCACGAGTAATTTCAACACCATTGGCATCTTCAATCTAATAAAAGAAAGAAAAAACATGGCTGCTGTGGTTCAGCGGTTGTACATTCATAATACTTAATTCAAGCATTGTGAATCTCCCTGATTTTTTGTAGTGCTTGAAACACAACAGCATCATCTGATTACAATCAATGGTGACAAACAAACACAAAAAAGTTACCATTTCATTTGCCATCGAAGTTTATCAAATCAGTATCCAAATATATCTCAATTACAGTATTTTGATGGTATGATATTAGATATCTTTCAAATTTGTACTTTGTAGGAGCAAAGACAAAAAAATCATTCCCAGGAGGTGATAAAGAGTGTTTGGAAGGCAATGAAATGAAGTTGCTTTAACTAGGATTTTGGAAGTTCATAAAATACAAACACAAAAATTATAAAATCCCAGTTTCAGGAGATGATAATGTAGTTATTGTCAGCTTAGCTGTATGTATTTAATATGAAATGAGTACCAGCAGATTATTAATGATTGCTACAGAGTAGTGTGTGGATCATGTGGTAATACTAAATGGAAATTTATCATCTGACCAACTTTTACATCTGATCACAAATTGTATTTGTCATAAACTTTGTTAAACAATGTATTCACATTAATCATGCTCTGAGGCAAATCTATGATAAGATAAGAAAGGTGATAGCTGCTGGTGATAGCCAAGCTACCATGAATACACAAATGAACACATTACTTTATGTAAGCGCTCTGTAAAGTATTTACCTCGACTTCAGGGAAATCATTGATAATAATATTGCCCGCAGTCACTCTCATCTCGGTCGAGGACATAATGTCATTATCATCAAGTTCAACAGACGCGTCAGAATTGCCATTTTGAGGTGGCAAAACTGCATGATTTGATTTGACCGACATTTGATCGCGTTAGGCTCCAAGAGGAAGTGTTGTGAACTGTGAATTACTCGACAGCTAACTCCGAGCACCGAGATATGACGAAAATTGTTGTCGAATCGAATAATTTGTATTTTTTAGTCCTCTAATATTTTCAATGTTGTACATTATCATTTCCCCAACATATTGCCAGTAACCAATTCCTGCCCCAACGCATCGCCAACTTCGATGAAGTCATGAAGGCCAGAACTGAAATTACAACGCGACTGTGTCATTTTATTGACATGTGTAGCAACAGGGAATGCCGAATGGCAGTCATGCGAAACACAATAGTCTTCCTGCAATTATATAGCCGTGAGTCCACAGGGAGTCCATTCCACCACAGTCACATGTAAAAATAAACATTCATAACTAAAGTATGGTAGGATATTCATCGTTCATCATACAGATGTGACGTCACGTTCAGCCAAAAAAAATTGTCTAAGTGAAAGAAGTGAAAGAGGTACAGAGAACTCGTTAGGGAAGTCTATTTATAAGATACAGACAGATGTAAATTGCTTTCGTAAGTTTATAACTAATTAGTCGAGCTATTCATTACAAGGCATCTTGCCAATAATACAAAGCCCACGTTCATTATTTCAAATAAGTTCATTATGTCGAATAAGTTCATAAGCGCACTCCCCTTCCAGTAAGATAAACACAGAGGCAGAAGGCTCTAAGAATAGATCGGAGCGGAGTTATCATCTTTACTCGCTCTTTTATTATCAGCAAACCTCAAGATTGCGTGCTAATTTTACGAAAGTGTAGTACTATTCAGAGCGTCATTATACAATTTTGTCGCTTGTGCATTCCTGTCGAAGTTTAAATAGAAATGGTGATCGATGTTGAGCATATCGAAAATTCTTTCGTTTGGGAAACATTTAAGGATGGAATGCCTTACCTGGGAACGTACAAAAATGAAAAACCAGGTTCGTCTTCGTACTTTTTACCGATAGTTTCGTGACAGTGAATAGATGCTGGTATAAATTTTATTGCGAAATATGATTCGATGAAGGAATTTCATGTTCAATTATTTGCAACAAAATAATGAGAGTGATATCATTATTAAATTTAATGTAAATACTCCCTTTAGCGAGCATAATACAGGTACATCATGCCTTTAGCTCAGCATTTAGTTTGCCGCGAAACTTCGATTTGGCAGTATTTGAGAGAGTTGGAACTTGGAATGTAAACAAACATCTGCTCCCCCCCTGCATAATTTTTCTGCCACAGCGACAGATATCAAGCTACAGACTCAGCCTGTCTCGGTAACTACCTTTCTTTCATTCTAACGCGGGTTTACCTGACCAAAATTCGAGCGATGCTCTCTAAAGGCTATCTTATCATAAATCCGCACTCCTATATCAATTGTTAGCTTGCTGATGTTACGGCTAAGCCTGTCATACGGTCTCACCCAATAGGGGAAAGGGGGCAGGAACTACCTGATGTCCGTTTTTCGTTCTTGGTATGCACCTGAGCTTTAATAATAGAATGTGGGAGTTTTTCTCTTTTCCAGATCGCGTAAAGATGCACACGCAGCGCTTAGATTTAGCGAATTGGGTGAAGATCGACCGCACGTACGCCTCACAGCAGTGCGAGAAGGAAAGATTGTTGAGAACTAAACGAAATGAGATCTTCGTGACGAACAACGATGAATCAACTGTCCTTGCCAAGCAAGAACTCCTAGAACTACTTTCCGATTATTTGCCAAGTATATTTTCTCATTGCAAAAGCCTCCTATCTATATGTTCAGAGGATAAGTAAGGAAATTTTATCAATAAGAGGATAAGTAAGGAAAAACCTATCAAACATAACTATGCACAAGAAAAGCAAAAATTAGTTTCATTTCATGACGCGTTTTTCATTTTCCATAGAGCGATTTCCGGACAAGTTCGAGCGTCAAGAGCAAGGCATTTACAACAAAATGCTTGACGAATTCGTATCTCTACATCCACAAGAAAATGATGACCCTCTCATGAAGGCATCGCGTCTCACTCAGGAAGACTGGTGCATAATGGAATGGGACGATAAAGAACAAGGATACTGTCTTACTGCAGGTATTTCTTTCGTCGTGGTTCTTTATTGTTGCTTGATTTTCTTATTAAGTCGCTAACAAAGCGAACATTTCACTTTGCGAACGAATTCCGAAGTTAGTTGGTTTGTTGGTGAATTTGCATCACGGACGTTGAATATTTCGCATATCGAACGAACTCGAGACAAGAAGAAGAGATAATCAGCTAATATTCCATATTCTCCATATTTCATTTGCAGGCGTTGTCTTTTTCCCCATGCGTTGGTCCCTTAAAGAAAAACACAACCTACCAATGTTAAAAATACATAAGCCGGTCGACGGGTAAGGCCACAATTTGACAAGAAATCATATTTTCGAGTTCAATGATGTAATTTTAATCCACCATTTCATTACTGACAAGACCACGCGAGAACTTTTATTCACGAAACAAAAGTTTATTGGTCTAGTATTAAAGAAGTAAACCTGAAATAAATACTATGATGGCTATTTTATCGACTAAATTATCCACAAAACAACCACAGTCCACCCACTCTGAAGCCAGCTTCTTTACGTATTTTTCCAAATCAGCTTAACTCAGATCTAAGTCCATTGATTTAGGTTCACGAATCATTTAGTTCCCAAAGTGTACGATCTATTTAAATCAATGTCAACCAATGCACCAGTGCATCGTGGAAATTGGGCTGTCTTTCATGATCTTCACGGCGTTCTTGATCTATACACGCCGACTGGTCATGAAGAACGCAACGAGGCAAGTGGCATTATGGCTATACATTATTTGTCTTTCGGCTTTTTCTTGTCAAACTATTTAAAAGCGTTATATTTTTGCGGTTGCAGCTAAGACAAATCGACATTCGAATTCAATCATTTATATGATGCACTTAGCTACGTGAGACGTAAAGCTGTGTTTAAGACATGCGAATTTAGGGAATGAATTTATTTCAGGATGCAGGTGTATACCGTTATCAAGGAGAGAAGACGGGCCACGACCTGATGTTTAGAGCCGAGTACCAGACCTTACGAAAGTTGGAAAAAAGTTCGGCGATCGTTTTTTCCATTCGTACTTACCAAATACATCTTGAAGATTTTAAGAAATTTCCGCAGAAGGAAGCCGAATGCCTGATAAAAGCAATCGAGAACTTACATCCGAATTTCATTGAATACAAAGCGCTGTCATCTTGGAAAGAAGCCTCGCTGAAGTATCTGCGTAAAAACGTACTTGGTCTTCGTGATCTCGAAGAGAAGAAGTGGTATTATTTGGGATTAACAGTAGGAAGTGTGGTAATTTTGGCGACGGCTGTGGCCATCGTTTGGAAATTAAGGCGTGTGGGTCAATGCTAGAATAACCTATAGATACATATCTTTGCTTTCTGTCCAATTCGTATGGACAATTGTAAGGTGGAAATACGCCACACAGGCTGAGATAGGTACATGCAAAATAGTTTGGTAGCACAATTCTTATAATATGTAATAATACTTCTTATTTGTAATATATTTAACACGAAGGTACACAGTTTGCCATTCTGTCCACAGTCTTCGTGTATTCCAAGTCGTTACTGACTTCGTGATCGTGCATATCCAAGGCAACGATACAGCTTTCCTTGGAATAAGAAAAAATTGTATCTTAAAGTTAACGTATAACGGTCAACTGCAGAATTTTTAAGTTGTATACCTTCACAACCTCTTCCCTATCGTTCACAAACGTTTCTAGGATCTTACGACAATCCCCTTAAGCAAAAGAGCAAAATATTATTACTTAAAAAATACGTTATGGTATGATCAACGTTGCGATGAAGATGTAAATGCTGTCCAACCTTCGCGATGGCACCGAGTGCTTCAGCGCATTCATGCCTCACCATTGCACTTTCATTGGACTTTTCCAGACACTACAATAGCAATACTTCGTCTGGAATCGTATGTTTCATATGCACAATGCCGTGGTAAAACCAGAAAAAAATTTGTCAAACGGTTTTACTGCACCTGTTTAAGATGGGCAACACATGCTTCATTTTGCATTTGTCCCAACACGTACGCTGTAAATAAACCGATAACGTTACATAACGTTACACAACATGACACATTCTTATATAGGAGAATACAAAATGCTCTCTAACCTATTTCATGACGAAAAAGAGCGCTCTTACATTTCAAACCCTCTGCTATAGCCTGTATGAATAAAAATAAACAAGCAAGTTTTACCTGCCTTGCCTTGATTGTACAAGTTAGCCGGGATTTAGTATGGCTACGTACTTACCAACACTGCAGAAACTCCACCAATATTTCGGAGTGAAAATAAAGCTCTAATAAATAACAAAATTGCGCTCAGTTCAGTCATCTCCGTCGACTTGATTGGAAACGAGAGGCCTCGAAAGACCTTGTAACACAATAATAAACGTCGCAGTTCAAGTTTCAAAAACTCGCGGTGTCAACAAAAGGTTGAATGCAACATTGAAAAAAGTAGATTAATGGTCTACTTGATGTAGCGTTTGCAGATGAGTTTAGGCAATACTTGCCTTAGCAAACGTGCCGTCTCAATTTTAGTAACATAAAGCTACCATATAACGCTATATACAATGCAGGCGACAAAAGCATTACCTATAGCGTTTGAATAAGGCGAGAGACTCGTCCAGTAAAGTATTCCTTAAAGAAACAACATCAGCTTCTGTGACGACTTCTGGTGGAGCTGGATCGACGGAGTTGTACGGATTTGTGCTTAATGAAAAAAAACCATTGAGTTTATCGAAGCTTGAATGCACTTGCATATCACCGCTATGTACATAAAATTCATAATTTTTGTTAGCAACCTTATTTTATCTTTCTCGTTCCTCTCGTTTTCTTGTAGCCATTTTATCCTTTCAAGAGCTATTTCACACGTTTCTGCTACCTTAAAAAGATGAGCACTCAAAAAAATTACGTAAAGAATATAGGTAGTAAAACATATAACACCAACAATCAATATATTTAATGCAACACATGACACATACCTCTACTTGACTGTCGTCTTTATATTGTGTTAATATATTAATTACATCCGGAGAACCGATTGCTCCTAAGGCCTCTGCAGCCTCGTGCCGGACCATGGGATCCTGTAGTTTATCACTTAGCACACTAAAAAAGTAGCAATTTCATTGTTTAAATTTTTCTATTGAGGATGATTAATGCAAGCCTGGTTAATAAGCTACCATACATTATGTATTTTTGTGCTGACATCCATCTACATACCAAATCTTAACTAGGACTAATCCAATGCAAAATGAATCGACAATGGTTGCAACACAAACATGCATAAAATCATAGTTTCCACTTTTTCCTAACTCAAACTTTACTATATGAAATTCAATGGGTTAGCCAGCTTGCAAGTTGGGTCATGCTAGGTAAATTTCAGCTTAATATTTTTTGTCCGCCCTCAGAGGTTCCTTTGCCACTAGCACTCCTTTCTTATAGAGCCAAGGATAGTTAAACATTGCAAGGGCAAACGTACCTTATCAACATTGGTATTGCATATTCATTCTAAAAATAAAAGTAATTACATATCAGTGTGATCTTGAGAGTTAAGTTGGTAGAAACATATTTAATATGAAAAAATATGATAAACCATTAAGAATGACAATTATGTTAGTGCTTAGTTATAGTTTCTATTATTGAGTACCAATTCTTTGTATTTACAGCAAGTTAGTGTTAAAGAAACTTTATTTAAAAAGACCATGAAGAAAAGAGATATATAAGTACAGTATCATATGTGTTGGTATGTACAAATACAGGGCCGTACATACATAGGGCCATACTATGGGTGGGTGTAGGGGTAGTCACACTCACCCAAAAATTTTATTCGGAAATGCAATCGGTAGAAATACTATATTAGTCAGCAGAAAAAAGATTGTTGACGACTAACCAACATTAGGAATAATTTGGATAAAGCATAAATAAGAGTTAAGAGACTAAAATTTTGGTATAAACTAAAAGTAACTTAAGAACAAGACAGTCGGTAAAACATGTGCAGTTGGAACAATGTCACACTTCTGTAATATAACACTGTGCACTAACATGAAGTATATAATTCATGATAGTCCATGACTATCTTAATAATATTACTTTAGTACATCAACTTGCTAAATTAAATTCAAAGTTGTTGACTTCTTGGCATTTAACAATAGTTCTATAGGTAGGAAGCTGAGTCAACTACTGCATCATTACTTTGAGATTACTGCTATATTAATTAATAAACACACTTAAGAGGCATCATTTCATAGACCTTAAAATTGACAAGGTTTTGTCCTTTAGTGTGTTTGGTACATGTTTGTTACCAGTCGATTGAAAGGATTATACCCCCCTGATATATTTGGTAAGGACAGCCCTGTATGTATATCCCAACAGTTCTGACTCACTTGCATTTGCCCAAGGCAGTAAGCACATTCATGTTTCAGCAAAGCAGATTTATGTTCAAAACCTAAGACATACAAATATGTTGAAACCAAAACAACAACCTAGAGTAAAGTAAACAGAGACATGTAACATCACTTGGAAAGATTAAAAAAGTTTCACCTTTGCATATCCAGTCTATAGCCTGGTTACCACCAGCATTCTTTAATGCAAACAAGGCCCGGAATTTGTCTGACAAAGAGCTACAAAAAACATGATCATTAAAGACAAATATGTAGGCATGCATAAATCAATGTACTCCAGAAATTACAAGAATACAATAAAACACAACTTCCAGCTTTGAAGCTTGAAAAGATTGATGATATTTACTGAACAAAAGGATTAACATTTGATGTTCTAAATAACAGAAGGGCCAAACAGCCTACATATTAGCCAATGGATGCACACATACTGGTTAACCCCAAAGAAGCAACCAATGAAACCTTAACACTGCATGCAATCACTCACAAAAGCAATGCTGCAACTACTTCAAGATCTTCCAAGCTTAACAATTGGTTAATGGATATTACACATGTGCTTTAGTCGGTTAGTCTATGGATGCAGTGGACAACAGAAGTGAAAACCGTCATAATATTTGGCCACATGCTTTATACTTAAAAAACTGGCTACAACAATCAACAACATGCATTGACTAACTAGCTGGTTCCTGTTAAAAACATGAAACACTAAAAATCACCTATCTCTTTCACACTGACAAGTAATTGATGTGTCCCAAAAAGAATCGCATTAAAAATTTCTCGAGAATAAATTATAGACATTTTAATTATAGGTATTGAGCGCTTTTTCATTCAACCCAACCTAGACTCGTTCACAAATTGTTCACCAATTATATTGACAAAATTATCTTCCATTGCAAAATATTTTGTTTATCAAGAACTTCCAGTAGAGATTGTGGAGTTTGTTGTCAGGATAAACAAAAGAAATTTCAAAGTCTAAATTCCAACATGTCCACCATTTAATTACCATTATATATACAAAACACGAAAGAAGCCACGAAAGGAAATTTACGGAAAATACTGAATTCATTTCGCGAATTTCCTCTCCTTACATTTCCAAAATAAGAAATATCATTGAAAAAATTAAGGAAATTCCACTCTTAAATCAGGAATCTGTAGAAATTGCAATATTGACTGAGCAGTCAAATGTTTATGTTGATATTCGACAAAAATGGCAGCAAAGATAGGGGATCCAATAGGCGAATCGTCGAAAAAGAACCCCCGGCCTGTATTGAAAACTAAACTTGAGGGATGCAGTGATGTTGTAAATCAAGCGAGATTCATTCCTCACGAAGATGCCGTAATAACAGTCTCCGATGACAGGTATACGATTGTAGAAGTAAAATAATTTATTGCCCTCGACGAATTCCTGTTTGGAATTAATAACCGTAGGCAGTTGAATCTTTAAAATATCTTATTGATGTTTATCAGAAGCATTCGTGTATGGGTCAAACGCGACAATGGTCAGTACTGGCCAAGTATATGTCACATGATGTCAGGTATATATATTATTTCATAGGGTATATGGACTATATACTAGAACATGTATATACATGAGTAACTTAGATGTGAACTTCAAAGTAATTTTTTGGCAACTTTTATGGCGAAAACTCAACAAATGATCTGTCATTTTTCACATCTGAGCACTTGGGAAGAGTATAAATTATAATTAGGTACATTATTTTGTCGTTACAAAAGAAATCTGCTGTTGCTTCATGACAGGAGACATCTATGTAATTTTACTATATTTTTTTGGGGGAGATTTGTCTGATTTAGTTGCTCTCTGACACTTTCTACCCCTTTAAATATGAAATAAACCCAGCTACAGAATTGACAATGACATGTTACCATCACTTAATGATAAAATTGTGAATTCCGCAATGTGATAAAGGTACACTATGCGAGGGCAGATTTTATTCAAGGCATGTTTGATTTGGCAGAATGATTTAATTATCAAGAGATAGTTCATTTAATGATTATGTTGCTTTCCAAAATAGCAATAAGTTTTGAATACTCATCAGAAAATTTCTGTCTTAATATTACCTATGGTCACCTGTTCCAATATAAAGTAAGGATGGATATGTAGAGTGTTAATGTTTTCTTTTGCATTAACTAAATCAGACAGGAATTATTTTTATTTTTAGATTCATGTAGTTCATTAGATTATAATAGTGAAACGAGAAGAACATTTGTCGGCCAGGACAATGGAACAATTTCGGTAGGTATTACCTTTCTGAGTTGATAACTTATTGTGTCTGCTCATATGGAAAGTAAAGTTGTATTTGTTTGAAATATTGTAAAAATTATAAAGCAATATGTGGTTAAGTTAACTCTTAATCTTGTAAAACTTTCAATAGGAATTCACTATTTCACGAGATATGAATAGATTGAGCCATTGCAAAAATTATCCAGGTGAGTGTTTAATATGTATTTTCTACTATCTAAAAAATGACAACAGTAAAAATGTTTTCTGGGGACTTGTCAAATGTATGAGGGTGAAAACTGCTGACCTATGCAGGGTGTCTCAGGAAAGTGAAATGATTCTTTACAAGCTCGCTCAGCTGCATTGTAGATACATATGTCATACAGTCAAAATAGACCTAAAGCAATTCTCTATAGCAATTTTGCTGTTTAAATGCAATATGAGGGACCGTAGCCTTATGAATATGCTTGTCATGTGTATTAAATGTGCTATAACGATCGTTCTTATGTACGTCGTTACGGCTCGTTACAGTAAGATTAAAACTGTCCAAGGAATTACCTTAATTGCTGTTTCCAAGGACTTTTTGGACAATACAATCTGAAATGAAGAACGGAAAATTGAAAATCTTTTGTTGTTTTGCATTGGAGCTTTATAAATAGCTAAAAAAAATATGAATAGTTGGAGAATGCGGTAAAAGGGAAAGGGCAACAATTGATCAATTAACACCACATCTAGAGATAGTTTCCTCTAGATAAATTATCATAAATTCAACATGAATGAATCGCAGCTAGTCTATAAAAGTTCAATTACGATTGCCCTTTTTTGAAATAAGATATTTTTGAAATCAAGAGACGATACGTCCATTTCTAAAGCACGACTCACCTCATCCTTTACATGGCAGTAAGAAAGTTAACATAAATCGAATTACTGATGAATTTGTAACAATTTATCTTGGAGGGACTTTCTATTTGTGGGTAGTGTTTATATTTGTAACATCTGTTCTCTAATTTCTGTTATTAGCTCACATGGGACGTGTAACTGGAATCTTCTTTAGTTTGGATGATGAATGGGTTCTGAGTGTTGGTCGTGATAAATCATTTCAATGGCACGAAAGCAAAAATGGAAAGAAATACAGTGAATATCAAACACAGGCTTGGTGTACTTCTTTGGAGTATCCTAACCTCTGATCTTATTTGTTTCGGAACTCAACATTTGTGTTTTTGTCGTCTTATCCTTGACAGTTTAAGATTCGACGTTCAAACGAAGCACGTTTTCGTTGGTGATTACAGTGGATTGATCAGCGTGTTGAGATTGGAAAATAAGATGATAAAGCTTAAGACTACATTGAAAGGCCACTCAGGTAAAACAACGATTCAGTTCTATGTTCAATTCTTTTTCAGACTTTTAATATTTTCTTAATGCAGTTAGATATATAACTTGTTGGTTCGAGTTGTATACTATGAGCGGCAGTAGCGGATCAACGCTCATTTGACAAAAGGGTTGCAGATTTTCCAAAGGGGGTGCATGAGAAGTTGGAATAAGAAGTTCTACCTTAACTTAGTCTTACTGTACGATTTCATAGCGTCTAATACTACGATATATTAACCGTCTACAGGGTGCTTGAATTTGTTTTTGGTGGGAGGTACGCACCACTAGAAAATCCGCCCCTGATTGGTGGGATTAATGACGTATCATATGGGGGTAAAAACTACAAGCTAACAAACGAACACCCTAGTCACACATGCCATACTAATGTTTAGGATATGAATTCGGTTATTTTTTACGATATCTAAAAACTTTAGTAACTAGTAAAGGTGATCTCAAAGTTTTTATTGTGTGCACATCCCCATCTACAAATACTGTTTTACTCATGGAAAAATTACGGCAATCTGATTAGGTGCAATTAATATTTCAAAAACACAAAATAGCGTGTGACTTTGTGAACACAAATCAGTCAACGACTTACTTACCAAAAGTATACCAGAACATAAAGATACATAAAAACCACTGCTAGTTTGCTTAAGGTTTGGCTGGATTGAGCTTCCTACAAGAAATATGATTCTAATTTCAAAATGAGAAAATTATCTGATTCTGGCTCCAATTGCATGAAATTCGGCTTGTATACGTACGACAAATATAACAACACGAAATAGTTTAATCACTGAGTAAACGTACTGATGACCAGCCATCAAGGTGAATATATTCCAGAATGCACTCACCTGTGCGGCTGGTGCAGTTTGGCATAGTTTCAACTGTCATTTGTACTGTTAATCATTAATTGGACTTCTTGCTGAATGCTTTGATGAAACCTTAGCTCACCAAGAACATGGTAGATGTTAAAATGCATACAACTGCTTCATGTTGTTGAAGTTCTCTACGAGGCTAAGTTTTACAATTCAGGGCTTTGATTTTCATTTCTCTCCTGACGGTATTTCCACTGTCACCAGGAAGTATTGGATCACTAGAGTGGGATTTTGACAGACAGCAACTGTATTCTGGAAGTTTTGATGATTCAGTCATTGTATGGGATATCGGTGGTGGGAAAGGAACCGCGCTTGAGCTACATGGACATCATTCCAAAGTTGTCGGACTGGCTTGTGTATCGCACTCAAAACGTCTCTTCTCGATAAGTAACGATGGAGTGTTAGGTATTTGGAATATGGCTACGAAACGAAAAGAGGTGAGCTAATTGTATATCCATTCAAAAGGCTTGTTCACGATCGATTCCTTCTGATTGTAAATTCCGAGTCGGCAAGCAAGATATTTTGTTTCCCTTTTTCCTCGATTCTCGTGTGAGAAGTTGTACTTAAAGTTATTGTATTCCAGAATATCAGCGGTTTGTTTGCAATCGTGATTAACATTATCGTTAAGGCATTCTGCTTGGCTCTAGGAGATTATTTGTGGAACGCACACCTCGAAAGAAAACATCTTCAATACAGAAATTTCACTAAAAAAAATTAGGCATACATCATGGTCGCATGGTGATACTTTCATATTTTCCTATCCGGGCTCAATAAATAGTCTAAAATGATGATCTCAACTACGCTTACTGATTGTTGAACGTACTTACATATGATAATGGCGAATTTGCTGTATTTTTAACAATTTGCATGTCTTCTTCCTCAGACACCTGAATGGGTGGACAGCGATTTCTGTCAGTATTGCAGAAGTCCATTCTTCTGGGCATTCAAACAAATGTGGGACCAAAAACAAATTGGCCTCAGACAGGTACGTACGTACATTTCGCCAGTGGTAGTCAGTTTGATGTAATTGCTGACTTGAACTTCCAAGACTGCTAATAGAGTTACGTTCCTACGAAACTATGAGTTGCAACACAAAGACTCCCATTTTGGAAAATGCATGCAAAATCGGGCGTAGTGGACAGTTGCAAAGCAACTCGATAATATGCTCTATTCTTACTATGAATTTGTCTGTGTTCTGATTTAGTTGTTCGTTGTTTATATTAGCACCACTGTAGGAGATGTGGAAAAGCAGTGTGTGACAAATGCAGTAAGAAACGATCGACGTTGCCGATATTAGGCTTTGAATACGAAGTACGCGTTTGTTTGACATGTTTCGAAGAAATAACTAACGAAGAGTAAGTATAAGTCACATCTAGGTTATTCAGTGGCAGATGACTAAGTACGGGGACTTAAGGCTAAGACTGAGTTGTGGACCTTTAAGGCCTTGTTCAAACGTCGAGCCACAGATTAGACATCTAACAGAAGACCCATTCGGCTAAAGTCGTGGCGTACTTTTTCACTACGCATGCGTGACTTCCCAGCAAGCTTCTTTCGCGAAATAAATATGGAACAATATTGCACGAGAATTTTTTTTACTAATAATTCACGTTTAAGCAAAAGTTTGCCGAAATTTTTTGCCAAGAGCTATCATCTTGGAGCTATCAACATAATTATTAAAACATCTATATTTTCTATTGCGATCTTGTTGAAGTATCTTGCTGGAAGGTGTGTCTGCTTAAAATTTGCTTCAGAAAAGTGGGGTTCGAACATCAAAGGTTCCGACACGAGTGGACTTTCTGTTAAGATATCTATTCTGTGGTCGAACTTTAAATGAGCCGAACGCATTTAAAACAAAAGATAATGAGGACGTTCATCTCATTTTCTTTTGTCTTCAATGCGTTCGGTGCATGTATAATTCGACATTTGAAACAGGCCTAAGTTGTATCTATCCACCCCCAAGCTCCCAATAAGTTGAATAACTGGACGACGTTTCCGTTCCTCACGCTTTTTTTGCCTTTGCATTTCTCGTCTGGTGTTGGTAACTTATAGTGTAAACAATAAAATAAATTTAAAGTTCAAACTGGGAGAGTTTGAACTTTAAATTTAACCCGCACATTTAAACAGTAGATCTTACGGTTTTCAGCATAAAAGGTCTAAAAATAAGAACATTTATCTAGTCCAGAATGGCAAGAAATAAAAACTTATTTATGTCTAGATATAACGGGCCTCTCGAAAGGGCGGGCCTGAAGGCTTCAGCAGACTTAACATACTGATTAATTAAGCCACTGTTATTCACTGTTTACAACAATTGCTGTATAGCGTTTCAGGTCATACCATTAAATTTTGCGAAAACATTATGTCGTCCAGTGATGGATATTTTTTCTTTAACTGTATGCCTCTTTATTTAATGTTTAGACGTCGACCGTTAGCTCTTTTTCACAACACCAAACAACCAGTTATTCACATGAGTATTGATTTAACCAAAGGAAGACTTGTCACGTCCGGTAACGATAGAATTGTAAAGGTACGAGCTTCAAATGTCTAGATTTCATTTCCATTTTCTTTGTGCATGTTTCCTTAAAGCACCAGCACACAATAATGGCAGTTCACAATTTAAGAATACATAAAATGTCAAAGGAAAAATAATTCACACATCAAGGTTGTTGGTGATTATAAAGTGTTTGCAATTCCTTATCGCTAACAACAATATTTCGTATTCTTCATTTTGTCTGATGAAAAACTAATGCACATTTAAATAGCGTGATTTTTGAGCCCATCAACCAAGGCGATTTCCCTGTGATTTCTTTTTGAAGATTTGGGATGTATCATCGCTTATAAATCCAGTAAAGAATTAAGAAAACGATTACAAAATGGTTTTTCTGCAGTTTGTAATTGCTACAACCGTTATCGACGTTTGGGGATCCATGAAACGGTAAAACGAAAACGTGACGTGTGATTTCACCTACACTTGACAAGTTGCTGAAATTAATAATCAATGGTTTGATGGCCTAGAAAATGTCGATTCTCATTGAAATTTATCCTACACAAAGAGCTGATAATTAATAGACAGAGACTTATTTCAAACAGCAATTATAGAAGTAGTTAAATATGTTCAAGTCATGCAAGTAAAGTTTTGATATTAAATTACAAATACTACATCATCAACCAAATATAATTGCTTCTTGTAACTTGGCTTAAACGTTTTTATATGGCGAATAATACAAGCCCTCGTCATTTGAAATCTAACCATGCTTGTTTCCATTTGGTGAGACTCGAGGATTGAATCTTACGTTGCAAAGTTATGCATCATTTCAATATTCCGAAGGTCGATAGACAGACCATCCACGACCCATTAAAGGTAAGTGGTTAAAGTAACCTTTCTATGCATATAACAAATTTACAAATAATATTATGTGTAGAAATCATATCTTTATTATATCAATTCTTAACATCTTATAACAGCATAGAGCTAACTAGAAAACTGATAACTTTTAATGTAATATGTTTTAACGTTTTTTTAAAAAATATATACATCCACGTACATGTAGCTACGTGTGTGACGTGTACGTGACGTAAAAACTAAACAAACTAGCATGTTCGGATTGGTAAATGGATATCCATACATGAACCTTTTCTTACTGTAATTCACAGGTTACCATCTAATTTCAAAATCGCAATTACGTGAAGTTGTACATGGTCGTTTTTAGTCTCATAACAAAGGTATTTCAAACTCGGTTAGCTAAAATTTAGTTAATAACACTATTTAAGTCCTCGTTTATACTATACCGGATTGCTATCGGAGCTGGATAAATTTTTTAAGTATGTAAAGGCTATAATGACGTTCAATGTCAGAAACAATTAAATGGACTAATATGCCTTTAATCGGAACAGTTACCCCTAGCAAATAAAAATGTGATGAGCGAATCCGGTAAAGTGTAAAACCAGCCTAAAAAGATTGAAATAAAAAAGATACTAATTTAATTATAATGTATAATAGTGTTCAACAGCGCACAAGAGATGCACTGCAAATGGTCCCAGTTGTAAAGGACCAATACATCACGGTTGATACACTGTAAAAACTGATTGGTTAAAATAACCATAAAAATTGGTTACCTACGATGCATTTAACCATTTACGTTTTTACAGTGTATAACCACACAATGATGTGTTTCCACGTCAAACTTCCACGTCAGACAGAACTTGAACTCCACTTACAATCTTCCAATATGTGGGTTTTTGAATGAACAAAGTCCTCTCTTCTAACTATTTTTCAAGTTTTGAACTATGCAAATATTTCAAGTCAAAATAGCCAACGATTTTAACATTTTTTTAACAACGTATTAACAAGTGACGAAACCGACCTTTCACTCCTACAATGATACTTTTCAGCAAAATTGTTATTGTTAATTTCTTTTAAAAATCAGCATGAAGCATAAAATGAGCACAAATATACTGGCACTGTAGGAGTATCGGCTGGCTTCGAAACATAAGCTTAACCTGAGCCAAAGTGCGCCATACTCAAATAAAGCCGGCGAGTCTTACATTGGGTCAGCGGTTTACCCACGAGCAAGTGTTCAAAACGAAATTTATGGCGCTCATAATGCACCGTAAACTGCTAGGTTTAAAATATCGTTTGGTACATCCATAGGCTGAAACGTTTAGATAGGTTTTTCGAGTTCGAATATTGTTATTTAAACTGGAACATAAACTCGTTGAAAATGATTTGAACAATATTTCTATTTTATTAAGGCAAGTAGGAAGGAATTAGAATTTCCCAAATTGTAGGCACGAATAGGTCGTGGGCTCGTACTTATGGTTTGTACTGCAGATATTTTGTTGAGGAGTCAAAAAACATAAATGAAGACCGATTTATGATCGAAACATGAAATACCCACCATTTATTCAGTGTAGAAAAGGCAGAAAAAGGAAATCTTTCAGCCAGTTAAACTAAAAATCCTACAAGATTTGGCAAACAGAATAAGAAATGTGGCAATTTTTTCGCATTGTGTGCTAGCTGCATGAATAAGACAGTTTTAGGCAACTGCCCGAGTCGTTTGCATACCTGTCGTGCGCTGTCGAGTCCCTGATGCATTATTATTATACATGTATTTAAAAACGAATCATGTTACTGCCAGTGTTCAAGAAAAAGTTAGTGAAAATAATGTCTCTCTGACGCACGCTTCTATACACAGATCTGCGACCAGTCGCACGAAGCGTGGATCGTAAAATTTTCAAACTTGTATAAAAGATGCTTATATTTCCCTAAGGACAAAAATTTTTTGTACACTCAGAAGCAATATTTCATTTCAGTGTTGCTCAGTCCAATTCGTAAATTAGTCTTTTTGTCGCTTTGTTTTTTCTTTTCAACTGAAAGCAGAGTTAGGGCGTATTTTGGAAAAGAGTAATGTTGTGTAATGCATGAAAGAAAGATGGAATTCACACAAATACAAAATGTTGTTGGCAATTAAAAGACAAAACTAAAGAAAGTCAGCAGTATACTTGAAGAAATGGAGGATTGTCGGGTGGTAGACGAGAAAGGTTAGTGCAAAAATCAATATGTTAAAAAAATACCTATTGATACTGTAATATTTATGCTTTAGAGAATAATAGGTAGCAATATGTTTATTCTATGCTATGTTGATCATATTAGACATTGAAAATCTGTGTAAAATAGCATGTTTGCCTTATGAGTTAGAAGACCAACGCACCCATCGAGACATGAATAAAAAGCTGTTTTGGGACATTGTTGATGTAAGAGTCCATTTTGTCATTTTGGAGAATAACGTCAAGGCCATTATAAATGTGTTAAAGAATGACTTTATCGATCCTTTCAGCACTGACTTGGACCACGATAAGTTGTACAACCTTGCCTCCGGTAGCCATTTACCAGGCTTTGGAGAAAAGCACAGCATCCAATTATGGCACTGGAGGATTCCCAGTTCCATGGTTGGCTCCCGAACTTGAACATCGATTGGATCGCGGAAGCATATCCTGACGACGTTGCCGAGCTACTTGTCGAACGTGATGACGAAAGCGATGAGGAAAGTGATGACCAAGAAGACAGCTGCAGTTCAGACGACGACGAATGATACAGCTATAGGTACTGTATGTGATTTGAATTATTTAAGAAACTACATCAAAACTAGTAGTGTTGATTTACATTTATTGTTAAGATTTATATCAAATTACAATATGTTTGCATGAAAACTAGGCTATATTGGGGGGAGGGGGGGGGTGTCTTGCGATTTGAATTATACTGCACTTCTAATTCTAAAACTGGTCCAGTATACGTCTTTTTATTATTGTTATTAATAGGTAGGTATCACGTCTGTGTTTTTATTAATAACAATAGCTAAATCTTAAAAACGTTTGATTTTGCATGAAAATGAGGTTGAATTGCGCAATATCTGGAAATAACTCTTAAAAGCAGCCTTGTCGGAGAGAATAACATGCGGATTCGTGTTCTACGCCAAAAACTGGTCTAGATAGTCCTACTCCCGTAAATTACCCGCTCAGGTGATACCTAACTCACTCACCGCCTGGACTAGACAGGTCAATTTGGTAAAGGAGTTATTTGCATAAGCGAATATGTTGTAAAGTGTCATGTCAAATTATGTAGAGTGTGACTGTGTCATATTATAGATTATAAGATATAACGGATATTAAATTGATGTAAAATAGTATAGTCATGTTAAGAGAACACTTCCTCACCGCAATGCGTCATTGCGGTAGGATGTAGGTAGAAACGGAATGGCAAAGTTGCGCGTCATATGTAAACGCCAAAAAACCACTTCCGAATAATTATACATAAATATAGCTTGCAAGCGTTGGTTCGGGAGTTCGGAAAAGTTGACGTTATTGGTGTATGAACTGGTCATACAAATTTGATGAATTAGAGTCGTATTGCAGAAGGCAATAAATTTCGAAAACGCAGTTCTAGGATTGACGGTTGTCCGTAATCTTAACAAGATCAAATTTAATCATTCCGTATCGCGAAGAACCAATGCTTGGAACGTAAAATCGTGCACAACACTGTAAATATCTTATTGAAGTGTTAAAATTATATATTCAAAATACAGTCTCATCGTTAGTGTGAAGTTTTAGAACAGTGAACCAGCACTTCGCACAGATTGTGCGTAACGTGGTCCTTCGAGCCGGATCTAGTAGCAGAATTGAAGAAGAACACAGAAATAGGATACAGGGTTGTTCACGATGTCAGAGCTGACAAGAAAGCGACAGTCGAGGAGTGGACACAAATCGTACGCCACAAAAGTTGTGAACAAAGTAAGAAGTATGGTAAACGATAAAGCGCCATTAAGGAAAGTCGAACTGGAACAAATGCGGCTTGTACTCGTACAGAAATTAGATACGATTTCGAAGTTGAACGATGAGATTCTGAGCTTGTTAGAAAAAGATGAAGATATTGCAGCAGATATTGACAGTTCATCGGAATACGGCTGCGAAGTTTTGGGCGCGTTGGCCGAAATCAACGAAGCGCTTAGCACGATAGAGACAAACAAGCGAAATGAGGAACTCGCCAACACATCGGCAAGTACGTTATCCAGTGGAGCACGCTGTAGAGTAAAGCTGCCTAAACTGGAGGTGAAAAAGTTCTCGGGCAAGATACAAGATTGGCGTGAATTCTGGGACTCTTTTGAAAGTTCAATTCACAACAACGACGGATTGTCTGAGGTCGACAAATTCACCTATCTGAGGGGACTGGTGGAGGAGCCGGCCAAGTCAGCAATTTCGGGATTTGCTCTGACTTCGATCAACTATGCAGAAGCCCTGAAGGTGTTAGAACGGAGATACGGGAACAAAGTGATGGTGCAAAGGGCACATGTAAATGATATGATGAACCTAAAGCCCGTGTACAACGAGAATGATACGACGAGGTTGCGCAAGTTCTTTGACGCCGTGGAAACGAATTATCGAGGACTCGAGGCGCTCGGTGTAAAGGAGGAGACGTGTTGCGAGATAGTCGTGCCCAATCTTCTAACAAAAATACCGGACGCATTAAAACTGACGATTACCAGGGGAAGAGACTACTTACAGTGGGGAATGAAAGACTTTGTCGACGCGTTGCAAGTCGAAGTGGAGCTGCGGGAATGCCACAAATTAGCAGTTGCGGAGAAGGACGAAGATCAACGAAGAAGACGACGGCA